ATGTCCATTCCGAGAGCCCACATTGAGATGCACCGAGGAGGAGGAGGCGACGACGACGTGAACCCCCCGCTCATCGTCAAGCAGCCCGTGATGCTCGAGCCGACCGACCTCCGCGCCGGCGGCGGCGGGAGGCCGAACAAGGTCTTCGCGGCGCTCAGCGACGCCGGCAGGGGCCACATCATCGCCATGATCGGGGAATACCTCGGCACGACAATGTTTCTCTTCTTCGGGTACATCGCGGCGCAGACGGCGAATGAGAAGAAGGACGTCACGCTGCGCGCCTCCATTGGCGCGGGTGCCGCGCCGGCCGGGCCCAGTCTGCTGCAGATCTCGTATATATCCGCCGTGTTTGGGCTGAGCCTTGCTACCAATGCATGGATTTGGTACAGGGTCAGCGGTGGCATGTTCAACCCGTCGGTCAGTAATGCCGGATTTCGGGGGCCAATCCATGGTCTTTATTCAGTTGCTAATGGTAAGGGCAGATCGCTTTCGGCTTGTGGCTGTCAGGCGCCTTCAACTGGGTCCGCCTCGTCTGCGTGATCCCGGCCCAGTTCCTCGGGGGCATCACGGCCGCCGGCTTGGTAGCTGCTATCCTCCCCGGGCCGCTCCAAGCCGAGAATTCCGTCAGCGACGGTGTCAGTACAGGTGGAGGCTTCGTGATGGAAGTGTTTCTGACTGCCGAGTTGATGATCACCATCCTGATGCTTGCCGTGGAGAAGAGCCGCACTACTTTTATTGCACCTCTTACCATAGGCATTGCTCTCACAATCATCCATCTTGTTGGTACGTGCTTGTGAAAATCTTGAAAGTCTGGTACGATGACTGGGAGAGGCTGACAGCATTCTGAAATATGCAGGCATAAACGTCAGCGGCGCGTCCGTCAATCCAGCGCGCAGCCTGGGACCCGCAGTGGTCAACAACAACTATGTCTCGGAATTCTGGATCTACTTCATCGGCCCTACCCTCGGCGCAGCCATCGCAGCAGGCCTTCGTCACTTGCTTAAAGCCCTGGCATATCAGACCGCCAACCCCGGGCAGGACGGCGATGGCATCGAGTTCTTCCGCGTGGTGGCTTCTTCATCGCAGGGGTCAGTGTATCCTTCACCTGCGTGGCGCCGCAAGCCTAGACCCTCGGAGGACAGAGAGCTGCTCCTCCATGACATGGTGCAGCAGAGGGAGGTGTCACATGATTTTCCTTGAAGCAGCTGTTACAAATGTTCGATTCTGAAATGGACTGAATCAGCAGTCCCGACACATTACAGGCAGTCTGGGGCGACATAGAGGTGTGGCAATTTTGTTTCTCATTTCTGTTTGGCGTTAGATGTTACATGCCTGCGGAAATTGACATGAAGGCAGAGTTTTACTTGCAGGTGGTCCAGGCGAACCAAGAGGGGTGGACTTTTAGGTCAAGTGATTAGTAACTTGCCACAGTCATCACTTAAGATAATGTTTTCCTCTGGTTGAAAAGATGTAAAAAGCCTCAGCTTGCTAAATTTGGTCTTGTACCTCGAGCCATGTGAATGTTGTAATGGACTGCCAGTCTCTCTTCCCATTCAGTTTCCAACAACGCGGATTTATAAGAAAAAACAGCCCATCAGACTCACTCCAGCACGTAGGCCTCCAGCGACCTGAGGTAGATGTTGGAGCAACCAAAGGGATGATAATGGCAATGAAGAAAAGCGAAAACACCGTCAAAGTGCGCTGGCCGGTTTTTTAATATGCCCCAAGAAAAGGTTTTGGGTTGTGGACAAGCAGGTAAACGAAGTTTTCGGGGATCATTTGAAACCATTCACAAATGCCTGCCTAAGATCAGCTAGGCTCAGGGAGACTTTGAGTGGGCTTGAGCTCTGCCTTCGAGCCTTCCTCTGAGACAGCCTCAGCAAGTGGTGTCAACCATTCAAGCTTGGATTTCTGTGCAGCTGCGACCCATCCAAACTTGCCCCTGTCCTCCGTCTTTGACCTTTGGATTCAAGTCCACTCAACCTGAGCATACAAACGGCATCCGCTTAACGTTTTGTTCTGGCAGTGGAACATCTTCCATTCATAGCTTTGTGTAAAGGCATCGATATCTTCAACTTTTGTTTGGCTCATTCCAGTGATTCGTCAGTCAGCCAATTCTTGTCGAGTGAGGCGCCCAACGAATTCCTCCCCTCTCGTCTCGGACAGCTTCATTTGCGACAACCTTCCCTTTCCTACAGGGTACGCTCTCCTGGCAGTAAAAAAAAAGCGAGAATCAGTCCAAACTACCCGAAAGTCGAATCCGTTGCAGAATGGCCGACAGCAGGGAGCATCTGGCGACACTGCCAGCCGAGCTCATCCTCCTCGTCGCCGAAGAGCCCTGCCTGTCGACCCGTGACCTCGCCGCTTTCGCCCGCGCAAGCCGACGATATTCGGACCTGGTGATCTCCGTCCTGTACAAGAAGAATATCAGAGAGGAGAACGCATCTGCCTGTAAGACTTTCTGAGTCGATCAGCACAACACTTGATATCCCCTTGCCTGGTGTGCGACAACTGACACTGAAACTTTCACAGTACTTTGGGCTGTCCTAAAGGAGAACACCCAAACCATGGCCTTGCTTATTCGATACGGCGCCGACATCAACAGCGTGGAAGCGTCTACACACATGTACCCGTCTACGCACATGTACCCATTTACACACATGTACCCGTCCCGACCCTACCGATGGATCAAGCGTCTACGCAAGTGGAATTCACATGCAGAAGACGGCCGACGTCAGGCAGTCAGCCGTTTGTCAAACAGATACGGGCAGTTCGGGCATACTGCAAACCTCATGCCTGCAGCAGCCGCACTTTTTGGCCTTGCTCCAGCTGGCGCACCCCACAATCCTGCTCCTGTTGTTCCACAGTTTCCGCAGCTTCCGGCTTTCCAGCCTCCTGCCATACCTCCAGGTCGAGCATGGAGACGACGAGGCAGAATGAGACAGTTCATGTTCGCACCGCTGGCCCTGGCCGCTCGAAAAGGACTCACCAAAGCGGCAAAATGGCTGCTCGAGAATGATGCAGACCCAAACGTCCCCGCGCGGGACCTGTGCCGCTGTGACAACGAGCCGATGACATCGAGTGGCATGTGGCGGGTTCCGCACCAGGCGACCCGCCCGCTCATGGACCAACCACACTGGACCGCCTTGCACCTGGCTATCCACTACGGCCACGACGACATCGTCGAGCTGCTCGTCACCCACGGCGCTAATACCCGCCAGGTCTGTCGCCACGAGGACGACCCTTGCTCTGCACTCCACACGGCCTTTATCCATGGGCGCAAGTCTATAGTCGAGTCCCTGATGTATCGCTTCGAGGGAACAGACATGGTCGACATCAATGCCCGAGGCAGAGGTGGCATAACCCCTTTGCACATCGCCTACTGTGTGCAAGAGACGCAAGGACCTCTTGTTGACTTGGCGCTGAAGTTCGGTGCCTACGTCAACCTCGAGTACGAGATTGATCGGAACCAGTGGACGCTCTTCTCTATGGCTTGCGCCCGGAAAGACTGGAAGTTCGCACGGAAACTCCTGGAGCTGGGTGCCAACGCGGACTTTGATCTTGAACTACATTTTGGCGGGCGTTGCACATTGGATGACTTACGCAGAGCCATCGCGTGGAGCGACGACAAGGAGGTTGACTGGGACAAAGCAGCTCTCACACTGGCGTTGGAACAGCTCGTACGTGACCACGAAGTCGCCAGGATGTGAGCGCCGGAGGTCTCGCTTCGGGAGAGAGAGTTGGTCCATTGTATGGATGTTGGTCGGCATGTCTCAGGGCCATCACCACCATCACGGTTCAATTGCAGGGATCCAGAGCGGGAGCTACGCCCAATTGCCTTTTACGGCTTAATAACGCATGGGGCTACCCTGTATAAGGTCACTCCAGATAGGGTTATACCACAGGATACTATTCCAGATGAGGTCATTCCATTTCAGGTTTTCCACATGAGGTGTACGGAGCCCAGGTGTCACCTCCTACCCAGCCAACAGCAGTATATTAGTCTCCAATGACGGAAGACACCAGAAGACAGACTGGCACTGTTCCTGTTCGTTCAAGCATCTGCGATTCTTGTGGGTCCAACACGAATCGATCACATGCAGCAAAGGTTGGACGGATCCTATGTGACAAATCATCTAGTGAAACGAGTCACATTGTCTACGCGGAGAGAACGAGTTTCGAGAAGTAACCATCGTCAGATTCAGAATGCATTCAGGCCGTCGTTCCCCGTCCTCATCAGCTCGATTCCAGAGCGTACTGTCCGAGCTGCGTGGCTGGTGTTGCCCTGACACAGTTATCCGGGGTCTGGTCAAGTCTCTGCTGCTATGATGCATGGGACTGAGCTGTGCCACTGCCGTAGATCCACATGTTCGAGTGAGTTACCGTCATGGCATGCCAGCTGAGCAACAGGTCAAAAGGACACATACGCAGGGCAGATAGACGCAGTCTTCAGCAAATGCATCCTTACGTACCTGAATGCATGGGGAGGGTTTATGCACCATGTCTAGGATCCAATGAAAACAATACACTTGTCATTTTGTGTGAAGTGCGAAACATCAACAGCTGTAAGCCCGTGGTGAGGGAAGAATCCTGGGAAGACCACCGTGCAAAGGATCAATTGAGGCCCACAGCTCTTGGCATAATTGACACTGCGCCAAATCTGGTGTCTAAGCACGGCATCCAACAACTTACCCCGCCGTTTAGATCATTGACTCGGCCCCATTGGCGTGACTACAAGAAGACACCTGCACCTCAAGCCTTCCTTTCAGTCTCGCGACGGACACTACACAAGCAGACCCCATTTCCCTCAGGCCAACCCAACCTCGACCCCCAAGCACACAATGTCTTCCTCATTCACAATCAAAGCATCACCTAACACGGACATCTGGCGGAAGCCCCCTTCCACAGATGTGTTCACCGGTAAGTTTTGTCCCTCTCACCAGCGACACCCAGGACAGCTGATCGGATATCACTCCAGCTCCCCGCGGTGCCGCTGCCGACACCAAGACCACAGCGCCGCTGTCGTCCTTCAGGTCGGCCCGCGTGTCCTTCCTGCTCCACCCCAAGGAGCAATACGACCAGGCCGGCCTCGTGCTGTCCCTCAAGTCCCCCGGCGCCACGGGGCCCCTCCCCGGGGACTCGCCCCCCAAGTGGCTCAAGACGGGCGTCGAGTACTACAACGGGGTTCCCAAGGCCGCGACCGTGGCGTGCGACTCGTGGGCCGACTGGAGCCTCGGGGACGTCAAGAAGGGCAAGGACGGCGACTGGGTCACGGTGCTGGTGGAGAACGGGAAAGACGTCCTGGGCAAGAGCTTCTGGGTCTACCAGGTCGTGGGCGGGGAGAAGGTCCCGCTGAGGGAGGTGTGCTGGGTGTTTGGCCACGGGGACCCGGAGAAGTGGGAGCTCAGCGTCGAGGCTTATGCCTGTCGGCCGGCGAAGGATGCTGCTGAGCTTGTGGTTGAGTTCAAGGATCTTGATGTGCAGTGGGCCTAGGTGGTGTCCCGATATTACCAAAAGGAGGAAGTTAGGGAGTGCCAGACCGAAGGTAGCAAGCTGCGTCATGAAATGCAGCCGCACTGCTGAGACATCAAATGCACATGTATGAACAAATGACTATGATATCACACTGTTCGCTTCTCAGCTCCATCCTGATCAGCGCCTTTCACTGACTTTTACGAGTGCCCGGATGGGTCATCTGGACATGGAACGAGCACTCTAGACCCCAGAAGTCACTTTCAAGATGTGTTCATATAGAGCACTTTTTCCTCCTACAAATGACAATATAAAGTTAATGCCCTGCCCTGAGGATCGCCAACTGGCAATCCCATCTAGTATTGCTACATTCATGCCCACAAGCCTTGCAAACCCCTAAAAGCACTCCATGCAGACAAGATCGCCACCCGTCCACTTTCGTGTACCGATTTCGGATGAAGGTGTCCTTGAGCACTATGAAATGCACGTTTGGAAGATCCCTAATCCGCCTGTAGCCACCGAATCGATCACTCTCGTTCCTATTGAGGATCCCTTGCTAGATGGCAGTCCATCATTGCTTTCGCACTGCTTGATGGAAGTACGAGCCATGTCTGTTCTGTTGACGATATCGCATTGGGACTTGTCGACACCCAAACGTTGTGTCACGCATCTTGAACACAACACCGCTCTGACGCAAAGATTCGGACACGGCTGAGAGACGCAATGCATCAGGGGTGTCCCGGTTGGAGTGCATCAGAATTTCTGTGGGGGGGTGCGGACACTTCCAGGTAATGTGGTGATGCGTGATCGGGTACGGCTTGCCTTCCTCATAGCAGATATTGCTGAGGTCGGGGAAAGACTCGACGCGGGGGTTTGCGATGCCCTCCAGGAATCCGAGAACAGCATCCGGGTGCTGATATCTGCAAGGTGCTCTGTCGCTGGCGTACCCGCGAATCCGGTACGCGCCGCAGGAGCACTTCACAATCCTCGGATCCTTGTAAACCCGGTACCCAATGCACCAGAAGCAAGTCACAATCCTCAGAGTCTTCAGTGCACGTGGAAGGACGCTTGTTGGGCTGACAGCTTTGTGATGACCATCCGGTCCCTCCCTGACGAAAAAGTGGAAAGGCACTGCAAGAGTCTGCAGGTTGGGCAGGGCAGCCAGACTTAAAGTCCCTGACGGTCCAAGTGATCGGCTGATGTCGCAGGCGTAATGGAGGTCGAGGTCAAGCGTCGTCAAGTTCTCGAGGGTCGCAAATCTGTCGGTAAGATACTTGATGACTAGGCCTGAGTTCGGAGATCCATTCGCATGGAGCTGCCGCGGTCTGTGAACAAGACTGCGCAATCTTTCTCGGCATTGGTTCGAATCAGTGTCGACTGACAACGACTCGAGGTTTCTGCACGATGTTAGCTACATGTTTCAAAGCGGAACGTGCTGGTTGCCAAAGATTTTGCAGAGATAGCTTGGGGAACAGGAGCAGGTAAAACGTGTCTTTTACGTACGGAAAGACGGAACAAAGCGTAGCAAGGTCGTGTGGAAGGCAGAGACTCTCTCCCAATTTGAGTGTCCTCAAAGATTTGGCATCGGCACGTAGACGCTTCCCCGATCCTGGGCGCAGGACATTAGTAAAGTGTGAAATAGCTTCGGAGAAGGGGTCAAGATTCTGCCAATCCAAACCACGGGGAATCCAGGGCTTACCAGATACCGTTCGGCGTGAAAACGCATCAAACCAGCCGTGGGCGTGATTGAACCAGACGAGTTGTTCTAGTTCGGGCAGGCTGAGAAAGCACCTGCAAATCAGTGCCGCATAGCCCCACCGATTACCTCTGTAGGCACAGGCTTTCTCCTTTCCAATCAACTGCAGTTCCTTGAGCCTCGACAGACAGGGCGACGTCTCTCTCCACAGTGAACGAAGAACGCGACCGACTACGTCCAGGTAAATCGGTTGCGTGTCCATGCAAATGTTTCGCATCTCCGTCTGGGGATGGACATTGAGGTCCAACGACTCGAGGTTTCTGGTACGACTGAGGACTTTGAAATGTAAGGTGTAGAGTCTCTCAAGAGCAATCTCGTAGAATTCAGTTGCACGGCGTGCATGTGTTGTCTTCCGAAGTTCTTCAAAGCCATTTTGGGCATATGAGAGGAGTGGACGTAGGTTAATCGACCGACACAATTCTCCATAATCAGAATTGTAGTCTTTGTCTCCGTGACAAATGTTGAGGCTCATCCGCTTGACAAAGATGCCGAGTTGGGGCTTCTCAAGGAAGGTGCGATAAAGGAGAATCAAGGTGTCAAGATCGTCAATGAGGATGTTTCGATAGAGCGCTGGTCGAGTTTTGGAAATCATCCGTTTGGAAACCATGCAAAGGCTGACAAGGTCTCGACGGGCGCTGGCATCTTCCTTCTTGCGAGTCGCTGAAGTCTGAAAAGTGGATGGAGATACCACGTACGGTACATTGACGTCAATCGTGATCGTGGCCAAAATCAACGAGGTAATGTTTCGTGGAAGTGTGTCGAGCGTGAGGGCCGCGTTTTCCCTCTGAGCCTCTTTCTCAGGCTTCTTCTCATTTTCGGCTGGTATTTGGTCGGCCATGTTGCTCGAAGAGATCTTCTGTCCCTAAGTGGCTGCGGTTAATATGGCTGATGGAAGCAGCCTGAGAATAAATGTCAACATATGGACTTACTTTCCCGTCAAAATCAGTCGAGTTGCTTCCAGCTCCTCGTGAAGCCGTTTGTCGTTAGGTTGCAATGGGCGCGCTCTGAAGTCGCCTGTTGTAGTAGAAGGTTCAAAGGATACGCTTGGCTCCAGGGTTCTTTGTGGGCCTGACTCCTAGAGTTCAAGGAGTGAAAGGTTTTGCTAGTGTTGAATCAACCTTGGAGTAGTATTTGACGTCAAGAGATTGCACATGCGCTCTTCGTGATGCGTTTTGGGCTTGCAGGTAAAGGTTGATGGTGAAATGCAGCGGCCAAGGGTCTGGTGGGAGGGGCCTGGATTCCAGTGCTGTCCCTTTTGATGCCAGTGGTTTCTGTCCAGGCAACTGCAAACGCTTGAAAAGTTTGCAGCTGCGTGACCTGAGATCAGATGAACGTGGAAAGGTCGTGGAAAGGTCAGAGACAGACTGATGCTGATTGATACAGTTTTGCGGAAGCATGCGTTCCCGTAATTGCTACGTCAAGGTTCACACTCACAATGGACAAGGTGAACGGCTCAAGGTAATCAACAGAGCCAGAGATTGAAGAAATAAATCCACCCTGGGCAGGTGAGAGTGCAGACGTAGTAACACCACCACAGCGCCTGTGATATCAAGCTAGAAAGAAGCACTGACGGCCAACGGCAGACTCGCTGACGACCCGCAGTACATCGTCTGTGAATGTCTCACATTCCCACGGCCGCCCGGTGTGTCATTAGAGAGATAGCTGGAGACTATCGCTGAGACTATGACATGCTGCACACGGGGATGTGATCTGAGGTTTGAAGTGCAGCTTAACTTTGCCTCGTCTTGCCTCCCTTATCACAGAAACTGTATAGAGAATGAGTCGATCACCAGTTCCCGGCCAAGGGTCGGGCTTTCGGCAGGAGATGGATGTACCAAACCGGCCATGCAAAGAGGCAGGCTGGGCACCGCCAACAGCATATCACGAACAACAGAATCAAGGTCATGGAGCAAGATTTGGAGGTGGCCGAATCTCCCATTACTAAGCCCCTCCAAGAGGGGCGCGTTGCTATCCAAGCAGAGCCAAAGGCGCGAGCGCAGTGAGGCCCGAAGTAGAGTACATAGACATCATACAGTACACGAAGGAATGTGTGGTATCAAAATCATCAAAACCTCGTCAATCATGTCCAAAAAAAGGAAACAGCTGAGTGACACACCAAGGGCTCTGAGAGACAACGCGCCAAGGGTTTAAACACCAACATGCAGGCCACACACGGATTTGAGGGTGTAGAATCGAAGAAAAGTAATTTCGCTGCTCCATCAAGTCCATCTCGCTGAACCCCTTCCCTCCCTCCCTTTTCTCGACTTCCTCTCCCCTAAAACAGCCCTCCAGCTTCTTCCCATGATCATGTGACAAAGGAAAAGTAATCAAGGCCTGGTCGAAGGTCGTCGGTTGGTAACAATTTGGTTTGTTTCGTTGCTTCTGAGATGCGATGTCGGCAGACGGAAGAGACAGTCTGGTTACGAACAAGCGGACAGCTAGGGCTGGCCTGGCCGTGCTTGCCCGTACCGGTGTATAAAAGCATTCTGGATGACTTGTTGTGTTTCGTCTCCTTTCCGGCCGCCGTTCTGGAAGGAAGCAGGGATCTTTCTTTTCTCCACGATGACAGTCTAATTAAAGAGTCCGCATGAAAGAAAAAGAAATAAGCAGAAACCCGCAGTAACATTTCCCGAACATGAAATGGCAAAACCAAGAAAAAATCATTGAGCTGAGAGATAAACAAGCGCGTGACACAAACTCCAGGTGTGTGTGTGTGTGGTGTGTATAAGACGGATCGGGGTGGGTGGTTGTTTTTTGGTCCGTGTGTGGAAGAGCAGCAAACTGCACGTGTAAAGAAAAACCAAATAAAAATTCAAAAACATCGCTCGCTTCGAGATTTCCTCTAAACGCCGGCTCGCCATGCGTAAGAGAGTAAAATCAGAATCCGTTCCCAAGATCCAATTGTTCCGCAGAAATAACAGCGCTTGATGGAAACACACGCGAGGCGTCAAAAATCATTAGCCAGGGGGAGTGAATGCAGAAGAAAGGCCGGGCCACTCGGGGTATTAGGTTCTCTTGTGGGATCCCGCAATGTCTTGGTCCAAGATCGTCGTCCTGATCTTTCCCGGGCAGGATGGCAATTAACGAAAAGCGAGCCCTGTCCCCCTTCCCCATGCTCTCCCCGTGGCAAAAATTCAAAATCAAATACTGGTGAGATCGGCCAACCTCCATAAAGAAGTGAAGAAGCAAGAAACAAATCTAGCATCTCCCAAATGGCCGCGTGTACCAAAACCTGACGTGAGTTTCCGGCCATGGGGGAGGATGAAAGCAGAGAACGCCTCTTGGAAATGCCAGACCAGATCAACAATCGTGTAGAGTAGAGCAGAGCAGGTTCCCAAACTGAAAAGAAAACCAGGCAACCCAAGCGTGTATGCCCATCCGTTCCTCAAAAGCAGACTCCCTCCGTGGCTGCAGATTCAAGGAACCTAGCATGGGGTGTGTGTATCATTCTCTTGTCTTCAGTAGTGGAAACGCCGACGGAACGCCCGTAAGAAGAAATTGGGATTCGGATCCACCTGCCCGTCGCGCGGTCTTCGTGTGTCGACCCGGACAAGCCTCACAGACTTCTCCTCAGGAGCCCTCCTACCCCTGGGCGGAGTGGTGGTGGCCCCCTCAAATAGTCCGCGGGCTGCCCTTGTTCCCCGCCTCGATGACGTCGTCGAGGTGGTTGCACAGCGCGACAAAGAGGTCAAAGTACAGTTTGCTGCCCTCTCCTCCCTTCTCCATCTCGGCCTGCATGGTGCCCGACCTCTTGAAGGTCTTGCGGCACCGGATGATCAGTGCCAGGTAGTGGGCGCGCAGGCGGCTGTCCGAGTCCGGGGTATGGGCGTAGCAGTACTGGGCCGACCGCAGGATGGTGCCCACGTCGATGCCAGACTGCAGCCCCTGCTTCCGCAGCGCCAGCCGCTTCAGCTCCTCCAGCCCGTACCGCTCGGCCGCGCAGTAGACCACCGTGTCCCGGAGGAGGTGGTGGCCCACTGACGGCAGGAAGACGGTAGCCTCGACAGCCGCGGGTTGATACGGTGATGATGCTGCGCGACCACCTCCGTAGGTGTTTTCTGAGTTGATTTTGGGGGATGCGTTTGGCGTGCCCCCTCGGCGCGTGGGGACGCTGTCCTCGAGCTCCCAAGAGTTGCGGTGCTTGTTGTGGAGCAGCCGCGGATAGTAATCGCCCTTGTAGAGGTACTCGAGGACCGCCGAGAAAACCTCCGGCTCCTCATCCGGGAGCGCGATTCTCCTGGACTGCGCGTACGACTGCTCGAGGTATCCACCCTTTAGGGCCTGCTCGAAGAACGGGCTCTGCAGGAGGACGTCCTCGTGAGCCGCGAATAGTCGCCCCTCCATGCCGATGGTCAGGGTGACAATCGGCGATGGCGCGAGGTTTGCCTTGGAGGCATCTTGTGTCTTGGCCGAGTCGGCCTTCAATCGTGAAGCCGACCCGGAGGCCTCGCGTTCGGTAAGCGACCGCTGCAGTTTCGACAACTTGGTAGGATCCCGCACGGAACCCGCATTCGTGCCCTTCCTGGCCAGCCTCGCCGACTTGTCCACACGGTGCTGAGAATCCATGGCCGCACCAGCTTGCTGGGCGTTGGAGTTGGACCTCAGGCGCTTGAACATCGTGGTGGTGGATGTGGTGACGTAGTATCGGTCGTCGGCGGGTGTTTTGACCTTGACTCTTCGGCGGCGGAGCCCCAACTTTCGTTCGTGTTGTTGCTTCGCCTGTTCAGGTTTTTCCGGAAAGCTGACTTGTGAAGAGCACTCGGACTCGAGGCGTACGGGACGACGGAAAGACAAAAACGAACAGAACGAGGAAACCACTTTTGCGGATCTCGCGGTGTTGCTGCCTTGTCCTCGGCGTGTGGTAGTACCAAGAGAGTGACGAGACGAACGAAAACCAGATAAGAAACTCCCGCGATCGAAAGAACGACGGAACGAGAGCAGAAAAAACAAAACCAAACGCTGACACACTAAAGATTGACGAGAGGGCCCGTGAAGAAATACCACTGGTTGTACGTAACGACCGTCCAGCTCAGTAGATACCCTATATTGCACTTGGCGCCCTGTGTGTTCGTGGTGGGGGGGAGGAAGAAGAAAGAGGAGAAAAGCTTCCGAAAGGTACGGGTGGTTGACGGGGATATTTATGCGGCAACGCGGCTTGGTTGCCTGCAAATTGCCTGCAGCCTCTCAGATCAACCGTCGAATCAATTGGTATCTGGAGGGTTTGGGGGTTTGAGGAACCCGGTGCGTCGCCAAGGTCAATATGCAGTAGTGTGGTGTTAAAGCTCCAAGAGCTAGGCTGTGCCCCGGAAAACAAGGTGGGATCGCCAGAACAGCGTGCCGTCATCAGAGCGCAAGGTGGAGTTCCCAGCCTGCCCTGCCATCCTTTTTATAGAGTTGGCTCTGGGGTCGTGCCGTCACCGTCACGGCCCAGCCTCACTTGAGGCCTGCGACATTGAAGCCCGAGAAAACCCAAAGACGACGTGTTAATAGCCTGCACATGGTGGTGAGTTGACTTATTGATGACTGACGAGCAGGCATCATCGCTCTGGTGTTGGCTGGTGAACGCTCTGGATGACGCGAAGCCGTAACATCGAATTGGCGTTGCCGTGCATTGGGCCGACAGCACGTGCGAGTGACACCGCGTCTCCTCAGGGATGCAGCGTCGAACATTGTGCGCCTTATCGCTGGGCATGTGAGCTGTATGACTGTAATAGACACACACAAGATATGAGAGGAAGCGCATCGAAGTCGCAAGAAGCTTCTCACATCAGCATTGCGACGAATCGAGAGCCAGAGCCGGGTGAGTTGTGCATTTCAGAATAGCCGCCAACCCGTTCCGCAGGCCAATGGGTATGAAGTTCAGGTATCAAGATAGCGCAGAGCTGGATGTGGTTGGACGTGGTCACAGCCCAGTAGGACTTGGGCAGTACAGCCCGATTCCCAGCGTTGCTCCCTGATTGTTGAAGTCTTCGATTGAAGTCTTCGATGTTCTCGACGTTGGCGCCGACTACCCCGTGGCCCGTAGGACTCGAGAGGACTGCTGCGTTGCAGTACAGGTGGGAATTGATGGAAAATTGGGCAACCATCAAATTCGCCCCCGACCGTGTGCAGACGGTGCCTGAAGAGTTCACTGAAATTCACAGCGCACTCATGATGGTCTCCTTAGCGTGTCGCCCTCGGATGAGTGCTGAGAATCCTGATTCGGGTGTGCCATTTTCACAAGCTCGGGCTAATGGTACAAGGGAAGCCTTGTCTCGGTTCCAAATGGCTGGATTGACGCTTACACTATCTTGTTAGGGTGCCACGCTGTCACCGCGGGGTTGGCGGGAGTCCCTGAACGGTACTTGTGAGGGTGGGTGGAGTGTCTGAGTGTGTCTCGCCCTGTTCGCTAGCTGCCAAGAAGGGAACCTACTCCAAGACATTTTTGGTGGCTGGATTCAGGGGTGCCACACGTTCTGGTGTTCCCCGCCGTGAGCGGCTCTGTGGCGATTGCTGGACGTCAGGGTACACCTCGAAAGTCGCGACGGAGACAAGCATTGTTTCCAGCCACATCATAGGTGAGGAGCGGTGTATTGTCAATCTGTATTGCGCAAAGTCTCGATACAAGAAACATACTTCAGGTAGGCCTGGGGTCAATCAATCAAAACCCAATAAGGGCATATCGCCACCGTTACCTCCCATCTGTTCACAGTGAAGAAACAGCATGCATTACCCATCCAGTCTAGCAAGAGTCAAACGTCCCGAATGTCAGCTGGGCCGCGGGCGAGCCCGACCGTAACGTGCCTCACAGCATTTTGTGCTCTTTTTTTCTTTTCTTTCTGGCGAATCATCGAGAATGGGCACGATCAGAGATACTCTCGCGCATGCCGACGATGCCGTAAAGCGTGGCAAAAGCTGTTGGCAGGTCAGTAAGGTACTCATGCTGATGCCCGAACTGGCCCAACATTCGCATCCAGGAAGGCACTCACATGCAGCTGCCAGGGCGATGAAGCCAGTGCAGTATGCCGTCACCTTTTCTTTGCTACCGACGATGGACTCGTCCAGCCAGAAGAAGGCATTATGGCCGGTAAGCTTCTTGCCGATCATCGCGTATACTAGATACAATGCAGCGGATCCGATACTGGTAAACAGGTGGGTCGGGACGGGCTGCAGACAAGGTCAGTCATTCCGGTGGAAGAAGGCCAGGGACGGCACGCCTACCTCAGGTCGTCTCATGCTGTTCAGGACGACGGACTCAACCACGACTTCGAGAGCCGGGAAGACGTAGAGATTGAACAGACAGTATATAGGGAACCAGCCGTGGACTTCCTTGAAGGGGTTCTTGCTGGCACCGTCTCCGTAGGCAATGAAGGCGTCGCCACCACCATCATCGCCACCGCCGCCATCACCGCCGCCTTCGCCGGGTGCTGGCAGGTGGCCACGGCCGTTGGGCACCTGGATAGTCCAGTACACAACGACGTTCAAGAGGGCAAAGACTTGGGTGACGACATGGAACAGGCTGAAGTAGATGCGGCCACGACCATTGGCAGTCTGCTCAGGGGGAGACATGAAGCGGAGTAGTCGAGACTCCCAGCGTGTGTCGTTCTCATCGATGTCGGGCCAGTGCATATGGGTGATCGTCCATGACTGATCCGAATGGTTAGTTGGGGATCCGCCCGGGACACCGACGGCCAAGTCGCACTTACAAAGACAAGGATGTGATAGACGATGAGCAGGAACCAGGTGACAGCAGAGAACTGGAAAGGAATGCGCCACTCCGTGTATTCGCTCTCGCGATGTTTGAGCTCGTAGTCGAGTAGCATGCCGGCGGTTGCGATCAAGTAGGCCACGAGGGCAGCCCGGATGTAACCCAAGGCATTTTGGTTGAGTGGTCTCCATGGCGAATGGGCAGCACGGAGGAAAATGGGCTGGACAATGTCAGCAAGCTGTGCTGCCGATCGCGAGTATCAAGAGATGCTGCCAGGAGAAGCTGCTGGCAAGAGACATACATGATCACCACCAGAGGCCTGGCCTTCCTCGTCCTGCTGGTGGCTGCCGACAAGGTTGCCGACCTGTGAAAGCAAAGGCTGACGTTCCATTGTTCGGCTGCTTGGTTGATACTCGGGGAAGGAAAAGTACCGGGAGGGCGGGTGTAGAGCCGGCGACTGGGTGTTGGCACGTTGTCTTTCCAGGATTGTAGGCTGACCTGAGGTCAAATCAATGCTTACATGAAAAAACTTGAATATTCTCGGTAGGATGGTGGTGGAAGAGATGCAGGTCAGCAAGGGGATTTGTGCAGAGAAGAGGGAAGAGATCTGCGAGAGTCGAAAGCTACTCGGCGGAGGATGTCAACAAAAGAGAGGCAGCTCCCTCGGCAGGAACAGCCTTAGCTGTGTTGTTCTTGCACTTCGGGAAGGAGAAACACGGCGCCACGGGCAAGGCCGTTCCTGACGATGAGCAGGCGCACCCGCAGTGCCAGAGTTATCGCCTGCTTTGTGACTTCTTCACAAGCACCGCTATCTCGAAAGCCCCAGAAAACCCAGAGAACGGAGGGAAGCCCATGAGATGATGGGAAGCCCTTGGCTTTGTAGTCTTACGCCCAAAGCGTTAACAGACTGGTAGAGCTGTCCCAGCCGTGGAACCAGAACCACGGAAGCCACTGTGCCTACCCGGCGCTTGACGACTTCATTCCCACCTGGACAGACCGATGGGCACTCAGGATCGCCCTGACCCTTGGTCAATATCCATCCTTCCATTCTCAGACTGCTCGAAGGCCCAATCTGTTGTTTGGCAACAGTCACCATCTTCGAGTAAAACAGGCACGTGCTGTCGCGGCACCATTCCACAGCAGCAGGAGGCAGCCGAAAAGTGCAACAGCATGGCGGGACAGAATTTCGTTCTCGGGGAACGCCGATTCTGGCACCAACAGAAGCGTCTTTTTCAGAACGTGTCTCCGTGTCTCCCGTTGCAGCTCGGGATTTGTGGTGGAAGAATCTCGTTGCTCGCCAGACTCCATCACATTTAAGTCAACTTCGAGTTGTCGTGCCTAGAACTGGCCCCACACAAGCCAAGACCCTACGGTACGTACCGAGGTGCCCCTAGAGGTACCCTTGTACCTGCATGACAAGTTGCCCGGTATGTACCCGCTATTTGAGGACAGCTTGTGAAGCTCCCCCACAGGCCACCTCTCGACTTCTTTGGGCCACATTTGCGACCATCAGCAACAGCAACCTTCTGATTTTCGTCCACCGGGAATCTGCCACTTCTGTACTATGCGATAGCACTCCCAGGAGAAACGACGACACCACAGATCAAAGCATCAACATGCTTTCCGTCCTCGGGAACCCGCGGCAACTCGCCGCCCAAGTACTCAACTTTGGTATGGCCCTGCAGCTTCAAGCCCGGCCGCATCGCGACACTGACATGCGCCGAAACCAGGTCTGATATTGTCGACGGCCTTCATGATGTGGAAAGGGTACTATTATGATGGTTTCCCCCCGTTCCTTCGCGACCACGGGCTAACAAAATCTCTCCACAGCCTCTCCGTCGTCACCGACTCGCCCTCTCCCATCGTCGTCGTCCTGTCCGGGTCTATGGAACCGGCCTTCCAGCGCGGCGACCTTCTGTTCCTCTGTACGACGAACCCCGAACTTCCCAACCGGCTTCGACCCGTCTATCGAAATATCATAGATGTACAAGGCTGACTGGTTGCTGTTGATAGGGAATCGAAACCTGATCCAGGAAACGGATGTCGGCGAGGTCGTGGTCTACAACGTGAGGGACAAGGACATACCCATTGTCCACCGCGTCGTGCGCAAGTTTGGCGACGGGTATGCATTCCCCGGAGATTCCGTCGAGGGCCGGTCAAGCGCAGTGTGCGCTGGGGAAAGGATCCTACTAATACTGTCCGTACAGAGAGCATGCCCGACTACTGACGAAAGGTGACAACAACCAGGCCGATGACACCGAGCTGTGTATGTGCTTCCCTTCCCGCTAGAACGAAGCTTGTGACGGCTAACAGACCGGGGCAGATGCGGAAGGGCAGGACTACCTTGAGAGGCAAGACATCATCGGCAGTGTCGGTACGTTGTGGCAACGTTCCAGCATGTACGTTTCGTGATGACTGACACCGTGCACAGTGGGCTACATACCATTCGTCGGATACGTGACAATCATGTTGTCAGAAAACCCGTGGATGAAGACGGCAATGCTAGGCATAATGGGTCTAATGGTCGTATTACAGAGGGAATAGCCGTCGTGAGAGACCGCAGTCCAGTACCTCACCGATCTAGAGCTCATCCATCTAGCTTAGTTCCGCTGAAAAGCATTATATGGGAGCTGGGCGATTCGCGTTCCTTGAAAAAGTGCCAATCGTTCTGCGATCCTGACCACATCGTCCGGGTGACTTTGGCCCTACTCTGCTCTGGGGGTTCAACGTAGACTCGACAGTTCGCTTTTCCGTCTTGAATGATACCCGATTCCCACTCCTTTTCGACGTCTGGCCTTGGTCCTTTCTGCCGCTCCATGCCAGAGCAACAGAAAGGTGATGCGGGCTTCTCCGCAACCGGACCAGCACGCATGTGTCCTCTGTTCTCTACATCCTTCCTCTATCCCAGACTTCGATCGCTGGGCGTCACTCACAATCATTCCTATGTAATAGGTGCGTCGCTGCGCAAAAATCTCCCAAAGCCCTAGCCAAGTCCAGGTCTCCGTGGTGGCGAGAGGGCCTGGCATGACCGCTCTGTTCGTTGCTCCAGTCCCTCTGAAAAGCCTTGCGAGCTTGCAGTGCCCCCCAGTCTGATGGACCATGCAGGCACCATTCAGATCTCGACCGCACAGGAATTTGCAAGACAGTACCATCCCATGTTCGACGTGCGAGACACGGTTGTCGCATGCAGGAGGCCTACCAGAAAAGAGCACACCACACTTCTGCACCTTTTTTCCTCCTCAGAGTTGAAATTTCACAAACACGACAGTTTTCAATCAATTGAGATCCCCCAAACATCTCTTGGGTACTGCCGGCTCAGTTTTCTGTTGACTCCGTCCCTGCTCACAAAACCATCAATTCGAAGCTGCCAACGTCGAGCAACGCCCCAGCCACAAAGCACCACCGAGAATGGCGCGCAAAAAAGGATCAGTAAAGGCAGGCGGTACCTACTGCACTTTCCCGTCTCTTCATAGCGACGTCTCCACCCTCCTCGAGGAAGACGACCTTTACTTTGGCTTCCGCGACGACGACGATCCGACAGGCGCCATCAAGGAGTACGACACGAACATCATGGGCCGCTTCGTCTGCCGCAACATCGCCTGCAGCTGCAGGGGCTGGTACAGCATGAAGATCGCGATCACCATCCGCATGTCAGTACCAACGTCCCTTATCTAAAAGTTTCCCATTTGTCTTGTTTTGGGATCTTCCAGAACGCGTTACGTCAGGCCCCGTATGGAGTTACTAACCAGCCAACCCAACAGGTACCCCGGCGCCGACTACAACGCGCGCGTGTACAAGCAGCGTTGCCGGCGCTGCAACGCGCTGGGCGACCTGTTCCTGGAGCACGGGGGCTCGTACGCGGAGAGGGTCGCGTACCGGATCAAGAAGTGGTGCGGCGTCGAGATGGAGCCCTCGACGTACATCGTTAAAGAGACCAAGGGACCGCACGAGAACGATCTGTGCGAGGGCTGCAAGGCCGGGCACTGCAGAGAGGGAGGATTTGATGGCTCTTAGTGATGAGGCGGTAGAGGGTGTGTGTTCTTGTTCTCGGATTTCTGATTTCCTGGATTACATTCGTGCGTCAACGTGATCAGGCCGCCTTGCGAGGGTCCTCTCCATTGGAGGGTTACTTGTGCCGGCGTCTTCCTTCTTTGTTTGGATGAATTATGTTAGAATCGCGCAGGCGGCGCTGTTTGGACCTTGTTGATGACTGCCGGTACTACAACACCATCAACTCTACTGTCCAGTGGAAACCGGTCGGAGAGCAGGATGATACAGGGCCGCCTTGATACAAAGTTTTCATGTTGGATGGAATGGTCAATCTTCGATGCAATGGATTGAAACTGGTCGGCGCAAGTCCCGTGCATAACCACGGTCAGACAAGCCGAAGCTGACGCGCAGGGCGTACTGCGATAACTCGGCCAAGTACTACAAATACACAAGTCTGTTTGAAGTCAGATTCTTTGTGCCGAACGGCCAATGGCAGGGCAGCGAATTCGTCTCCGTCATACAAGAAATTGACATCTCTGCAAGAGGACAAGGACAGAAGGAGTGAGATGGGCTCGACGTCATGAAACGCACAAGGGGCACATAAACATCACAGGTCACCTGCGCATATGAAGACATGCTCAATAGAGCAAGAATGAGACACTCTCACCCGAGCCCCCCATTCACGACCTTGCAATGCAGGAGAGATGTTGACCAGCTATTGTTGCAAGCGGTTGAGATAGCAAGACTTGGGCCAGCAGGACACGCCGGCCCAGGAGAGGCATAACAGCACCCATATGCACAATAACGATTGGCAGATTGTGGCTATTATTTCGCCGTGTTGTTGATCTTTCCCCTAGCTGGCTGCATTAAGTGGCTGTTTGGGAGAAGATGAGCCCGGTGTGGATGAGCTGACCCGGTCGTCCAGCAGGCGTGGCCGGCCTGCTTCAGGCCGTGCCTGAGGTTGACAGCATCTGGGGGCGATGCAGCCCTGTTAACGTATGACCCGCAATATAAGGGGCGAGATTGCTAGGTGCCAAGCTTAATTCCCCCAGAGGTCCACTTCGGTCGGCATGGCCTGCAGTCAAGCCATCGAGTTTCAGCCGACCCTCAACTGTCAACCGACGATCGGGTCGAGTCAGGCTTTTTTTGTGGTTTTTGTCTCTGTTGGACGGCTGCCGAGGTGGTGGCCTGGTGGTCTGGCGTGGTCCAAAGGGGCCCTGTTCGCCCCAAGGGGCTTGTGGACGGCGGATGGATGAAACGAAACGTCGGACAGCGGCACTAGCAGCACCACCACCCGCACCGCATTGCAACTCGACAGCAGCCAACGAAACAGACAGAGCTGGCCAGAGTGAAGAGCAGGAGGCAGGCCGGCGACACACAAGGTGGATCTGCCCAGGCTGTCTGCTGTGTATATAAGCAAAGGTTCCATATAAGCTTGTCGCGTGGTTGAGCCCGAGGATCCTGTCGCGCCGTCTCTCTGGTGTCCCCCGCGAATCGCAATTTCACAGTCAGCCAGTGCCAGGCAAGAAGTTCAGCAGAACATTTCGTATCCCAACCCTGCCAAGCCCCACCCACGTCGAGCTCAGGGGTTCGCCAATAGCATCCCTGCCCACTGCGACATTACTGCAGAAGCACAACCCTGGAACCTGGAGTGCAGGGGGCGAGGCCTCTGGATTGAAGTGATCTCAAATTCGTCCCATACATTCCCAGCAGTGACTGGCTCCACGACTTTATTCTTTCGCCCTCACCACCACTCACCACCACCACCTTCATCACCAACCACCAGCCGTCGGAGTCCATTCCTTACTTCGCACGACTTGTCGGTCCGTCTCTCTCTTCGTTGATATTATAGTCATTCATTCGCTCTTTGCGCTTTCCACAAACCACCGCTCTTCAGCATCCGAAAACCCCCCAAGACTCTTCACCATGCAGTCCAAGATCCTCACCGCGTCTGCCCTCGTTGCAGGCGCGTCCGCCGCCAACTACCTGGGCTTCAACTCCGGATCCACCCACGGCTCCGGTGCCGCCAAGGTCCAGAGCGACTTCGAGAAGGAGTTCAAGACCGCCCAGAACCTCGCCGGTGCCCCTGGCGACTTCAACGCCGTCCGCCTCTACACCAACATCCAGGGCGCCTCCACCTCCGACCCCATCGAGGCTTTCCCCGCCGCCGTCGCCACCAAGACCTCCCTCCTGCTCGGCATCTGGACCTCCGGCACCGACAGCATCGACAACGAGATCAACGCCCTGAAGGCTGGCCTGGAGAAGCACGGTGACGACCTCGCCAAGCTCATCATCGGTGTCTCCATCGGCTCCGAGGATCTCTACCGTGCTGGCGCCACTGGTGTCGAGAACGACGCCGGTATTGGTGCTGGCCCCGACGCCATTGTCAACTTCATCAAGGAGTTCAAGAACGAGTTCTCCAAGTACGACTTCAAGATCGGTCACGTCGACACCTGGGACGCCTGGACCAACGGCTCCAACTCTGCCGTCATCGACGCCGTCGACTGGCTCGGAGTCGACGAGTACCCCTACTACCAGACCGGCGATGACAACACCATCGACAACGCCGCCTCCCTCTTCAAGGAGGCCTACGACAACGTCGTCAAGGTCGCCGGCGGCAAGGACGTCTGGGTCACCGAGACCGGCTGGCCATACGAGGGTCCCGACTGGGACAAGGCTGTTCCCAGCGTTGAGAACGCCAAGCAGTTCTGGGACGAGGTCGGCTGTGACCAGCTCTTCGGCAAGGTCCCCACCTTCTGGTACAACCTGGTCGACGACTCGCAGACCAACGAGATGTCTTTCGCCATCACCAAGGACCTGAACACCAACGCCCTCTTCAACCTCACCTGCCCCACCACCTCCAAGTCCAAGACCAGCTCCTCCGCCGTCAGCACTGCTACCGGCACGTCCAGCGCTAACGGCACTGCGACTGCCACCGATGCCGGCGCGACCGCCACTGGATCGTCCGGCTCTGGCTCTGGCTCCGGCTCTAGCAGCTCCGGCTCTGGCTCCTCCAGCTCGGACTCGGCCGACTCTTCATCGTCTTCCACCGTCGCTGCCAGCGGTGCCTCGGCTGCCAAGCTGGGCTCGTCTGCTTTCGCTGCCGTCGCCTTCATCGGTGCCGCCTTCGCCCTCCTCTAAGTGGAACGTTTAGACAAGATGTGACAGAGAAAATTAGGTGGCTGTCAGCATTTTCGGTTGACAGAGCGTTGAATTCATACTTGCGCTTGATTTGGTTAAGATGATGTGGGTGTGTCATCTGGCATAAGCAGATTTATGCCGGCCATGTCTCGCACTTCAGAATCGATACCCAAATTCTAATAGACAGATAAACTTGGCATGGTCTCGAATTGCTATTCATTGTCCTTTTTGGCTTGTTTTGATTGGAGATGATCATGTGAATGGTGATGCCTTTGCTCTAGCAACTCCTGACGAGGACCGTTCCGCGTCTACAGATGAGCTCGATGGGCTCTCCGCACCACACGCCGCGGCGGCCGGCCTTTTGTGCCCTGTATGACAGGAAGATTGTCCGCTTACGTTCTTGGACAGCATCACGATAGGCAATACTGTCAGCCCAAAGGATCAGCAGGCATGGATGTGTGGTTAGAGATAAAATGATACCCAAGGAAATGGTGTATCTCAATGTTGTTATGTTACCACGAGGGATACTCGTAATCATGTCCTCTGTCACCTGCGGCTCGTGGTCAAGATTTCTTGCAATTCGCCAGATACTTTCCTTCCAACGTAAGAAAGGTAAAGGGGTATCATCTATCATTAGAAATTATGTAGTAGCCACCGCCATTATTCTGTTCTAGCCGTCACTCTATCCATATCCACAGTCATTTAAAAGTCTATCAGCCCTCACACACACGCAACCTCATTAACTCCCTCGACTCTCTATCTCTACACCGCTGTCCCCGGGTGCACTCCGGCGGGCGGCGCGTAGTATCCATGCGCACCAGGGTCAGCGTTCTCCTGCTGGAGGTGGTGGTGCACAGGCTGAGGCGGAAGCACGGACCCCCTGTTGTTCACCAGCTGCTGCGTGGCGAGCGGCGTGTAGTACATCCTCCCGTCAACAGGCCCCGGCGCAGCAACAAGGTAGACGACCTTGGTCGCCTTCCCGTACTTCCGCCTCCGATCCGTCTCGACGCACGCCATGACGAACAGCGTAAAGTGCGAGATGAGCAGCAGCGTCGCGAAGGCGGCGAGAGCCTCCATCATGCCGAAGTACTTATTCGCAGCAGCCTGCGACGGGAAGCTGTAGTAGTTGCAGTAGAAGGAGCTCGAGCCCGAGCCCGTGTAGTAGCCGTCGGAGTCGCGCTGGCTCTCGCAGTCGGACTCGATGGTGTAGTCGCGCAGCTCGTACGCGAGGCTCAGGTACAGCGAGGGGGCCACCAGGATCGCGAGGACCCAGAGCACCAGGTGCACGCCCACGTGCGCGCCCGGGTGGATGGGGCGCCAGCCCCTGCGGACGGCGAGGGTGATGTGCTCGGCGAGCTGCCAGACGATGGACGCGACGGCCTGTGGGGGGTTGGTTAGAACTTCATGATTCTTGGGAGCGGAGGGACGGCGCGGGTTACATACGAGAGAGAGGCATATGATGACGCCGATGAACGAGTCCATCGAGAAGGACGTTGTGACGACGCCGAGTGTTAGCCCCAGGGCGATGATGGCAAAGGCGAGGTTGAAGGAGCCCAGCACAAACTTGGCCACGGCGAACGGCTTGCTGGTCTTGAATGGCTCGGCCCTGGGGAGCTCGATCGGCTGGGGCTGCTGCTGCTGCGCGTACTGGCCGTTGACGGGCTGGGCCGGCGTGCTGAAGCGTGCGGCAGCAGGCTTCTCAGGGCCGCCGGGCTGGGTGCTCGATGGGTTCTCCATGATGGCAGAGGAGAGTGTGAGAGATTATGTCCTCGAGAGCACGGGCTGGAAAGTGAGGTATCGTGAGATGTCGTGAGGTGGGGCAAAGATTAGTAGCACGTTCATATAAACGCAGGTAGACAAACAAAGCGAATGTGGTCAACCACTAGGTCGAGGCTCGTAACGTCGTAACGAGGGACGGCTCTCACGATATTAAGTAAGAAGCTGACGAAGAGGGAGGTAAAGAGATCGTCAGTCACAAAGGGATTAAAAAAAAATGGGCTTGGGAATGACTTCAGTCTTCATATCATCGCCCCCGTTCCTCCTGCTTCCTTCCCGCACATGCCCTGCCATGGCCTACCCTGCGCTCGGCTGCCTGGTATGCACTCAAGCCCAAGATGGCGAGTTTCGCGCATGCGGCAGCGCAGAGAAAATAAAATTAGCCAGTGGTTGCCTGCAGTGGTGACTGGCTGAGTGCTGAATCCTTCGTGCGGCTAAGCTCAAAGCAGCCTCTAGTACCCACTTGGCATCTCGTCTTTCCCAGGGTAGACTACTTTCTAGCGCGCCACGCCAGGATAAGAAATGGCGTGCCGCATGGCGGGAAAAGTGAGAAAGGGAAGAAGATGAAGGAGGAGGGTTCGGCTGTCGCCTGGGGAGCGGCCGTGAATGTGCAAAGCCACATTTCCGTCTTGTCTTTCGTGACGTGCCGTCTTTGTCCACACGAGATGAAATGGTGCAGAAGGTGGAGGTGGGTGAAGGGGCTGACTAAGGGCATACGTTACACCAGACCCTTGCCGATTAACATCCTACCAGCAAAACCGGCATACATTTTGCTAGCTGGGCCAGGGCGGCTAATTTTCTGACGTCGCCTCCTCTTCCACACCGGAATCGTATTCCATCAGCGACGATACCCAACAACGGCCTAGCCGTCGGCTTGTACACGAGAGGCCAAGCCACTGAGCGTGTCAATTGCCTCATCCCACCATCCGAGGCCCCCAATACCTCGCACCTTGGTCTTTGAGCAGCTCAACGCCATTGAGGCCGTTCCCTGTGCAGGCTCGGCCTCCGGCAGGTAGTCCACCATGACGTCTCGTCGCGGTCTCAATTTGATCAGCCGCTGGCAAGGCTTCACCTCGGGCCTTTTCAGAGCGATCGTGTCATGGCTGAAGCCCATCAAAGCTCAGAAGCGCATCCCCAACGCAGGAATCATCCGCATATCGCCACTTGAGAAAGCCATGCAAGACCTGCACGGTGATCAGTGGAAGGCAAGGCTCAGTAGACAACAAAGGAGTCTTGTAAGGTTGAAGGAGTTTTCACGCGCGAAGCGCCAAGAACGATCGAGCGGCCAGATCCGTCCTGCTCGCGACGATGAATACCATGCCGAATGGTACCAACAGGTGGAATGGTGGAAGACCCATCTTTTGAAGGAGCAGGAGGCTTGTGATACAAGAGGAAAAGCCGTCCCTAAACCGGAACAGCCTGAGTCTCAGGCTTGAGTCCTATACAAACGGGCGTGCCGGCACAACTGTCGAGTCACTCATGGGCAAGCCAAACCTCGTCCACTATGGACCTCACAAAGATGTTAAGGGAGGGGTGGAAATCTGCTTCTCTAACAAAGATGACCCTGAGCATCGGCTGAGAGGAGAATGGCATTCTTTTCTTTTATTATAACGCATTGTTATCACTACAACCTTGTGGACAAAGACGGCATGGATGAGACGTTGATGCTCACCAGTGTTCCAAGACAATGCCATTATCTCCCTCATCGCGACCAGCCTCATGGCTCGGCTATGTAAAAAATCACGTCAGACATGCTAACCTCGACTTTCTTCTCATCGCCACTCACACATTGCACTGCAATCTGATCACCACTTTCACACATTGTATTGCAATCTCATCACATCCACCATGCCTCAGCAACAGAGCCACAACACCGACGGTGCGTTCCCATTCGACTGGCAGCTCGATCCAGTCCACTAGCTGCTAAGCCACGAGGTTGCTCCTTTCGGGCCAGCGCAGCAGCCTGGAGGTGAGTATTTCTATTCTGCTCTACCTTCATTCGACCTCCTGTCGCCTATGGAGACTGTCTGGAACCCGTGGTGCATGGCCCTCGGCCACTACTGTCCCCCGCAGCCCCGTGGGATTATCATGGACGTCCCCATATGCCCTTACGCTAGGCCTACCCTCCACACGTACCTCGACCCAATTGTCTGCTACGGACCTCCTTTGGAGGCCCCCTCGGAGGTGATGAATGGCTATCCCGACCCGTGGCCACAGCCCGACCAGCCTGGACAGGAATACTTCTCTCCTTACGGCCCTCCCCCGCCGCATCCCCCGCCTATGCCCATGTCCTTCTGGCAGCCCCCGCCGCCGTCTCCGCCTGTGCATTACCCGCCCTTCGGCCCGGAGGACATGATCCCCGGTTCTCGGCAGCCCGGTTGGTTCCTTGACGGCCTACCTCCATGCCCCAACGCTGCGTCTGCCCTTCGCACGATTCACTGGGTGATTGACTGCTCCTACCAGCGTCCCCACGATCCCGCTGAGAGCCCCGTCACCCCTGGTGCACTTACCGCCCCTGGGGCACCTCGAAGCCCTGGGAATGGGCCCTCTCCTCTCTCTTTTGGACAGCCCGACAAGCCTGAGGACGCACACCGGCCCTCCTCTCCACTAACTGTCTCAAATGCAGACGTGACCGGCCCAGACGGCTGCGAGGTGAAGGTGAGACGGCATTCATGGGCATAGGTTTGTCTCTTTTTCTTCTCCCTCGATTATTGATATTTTGGGCGCACAGCTAGATTGGTAAAGGGACAGGCGCATTTTTTTGCTCTGGAGTTTCTAGAAGAAGATTAGGTTATCATTTAGATTGGTAAAGAAAAGATAATGAAAAGACAAGAAAAAAATTATCAATTGCAGCTTTGCTGCTGTTTTAAAAACAAGTCCTGTCAAATGCATGGAAATGTGTGGAACCTACTTGATCAAAAAAGAATGTAAACTGCAATGTGCTGCTTTGGTTCACATGCAGAGGCATTTTTAGGATTTTATTATGTAATTTACGTATTTATGTATATGTATGTATGCATGTATGTGCGTATGTGAGTACTGGTTATGTGTCTGTGGGTATGTGAGTGTATGGCTGGGGGTGCGCAGGGTGCGCATGTGGTTTTCTTCCTCGCGTCACGAGTAAACTCATGAGCCGCAACGAAAAAAAGTTTTTGGTGTGATTGACCTGTTGACAAAGCAACGTCGTGGTGGGGTGAACCCTCCTGGCTTCCACGCAATGCCCCAACCAAAGGACGGGAGAAAAAAGATCCGTCAGCATCGGTCAGGGCATCGGACAAACAAGGCCATCTACTTCCGAAGAAGTCTCTGTAAACTCTTTCCGCCACTGTCCACCCGGGTGCCTCGAAGGTGTTGGAACCCTGTTGGGCCGGTCGACAAGGCATGTTTCGCTCTTGAGCCGGTGGTCGCGGCCCATTCAGTTGTGGTACTTCATTTCGAAGCTCGTGCCCTCGCCACTGCTAACAGGGCTCACGTCTGATCCCACGCCAAGAGTGTGCTAAGCACCTCAAGGCTCCTTCCCAGAGCACCAGAGTCGTGGACTGGGCTACCCATAGTCAAGGCATCGAGTGGCTTCCTCCCTGCCTGCCTTTGGCGTCTGGTCATGTCTCGCCGGTGGAGTTCGGGGCCCTCGCCACTGCTGACAGTGCTCACGTCAAATCCCCCACCAAGGGAGTGCTAGGCACCCCAAGGCTTCTTCCCAAAGCACCAGTGTCGCAGACTGGGCTTTACCCGTAATCGAAGGCGTCGGATGGCTTCCTCCCTGCCTGCCCTTCGGTTCCAATGGTGGTTCGCTAAAAGGATTAGGTGCCCTCGCCACTGCTCGACAGGGCTCACGTCAGGTTCCACGCCAAGGTGGTTGCTGGGCACCCCCAAGGCTCCTTCCCAAGCTCCAGAGTCGCAGACTGGGCTTTCCCTTCGGTTGAGGGCGTCGGGTGGCTTCCTCCCTGCCTGCCTTTGATGCCTGCTTATACTTGGCCAGCAGTCGCAAGCTGGCAGCATTAATATCCCGCCCCTCCTTGTGTCCTCCACCATTGTCGGACCTGGTCGATTGTTTGGTTGTTGTGTGGTGGGTTCGGGTTGGGTTGGGTTGGGTTGAAGGGAAAGAGGGGGGGGAGGGAAAGGGCGATGCTCGCGTTGGACGGGGAGGGAGCTGGGTTTAAATACTCTGGTCAGTGTGCACAGGCCTCCAGCTGATTTCGAGCAATCGCTCATTGACTTTGACTTGTGTGACTTGCTGGACGATTCTATGAATGAAATCAGACAATAATTGACTTAGTGAGGGTTTGGCGTTGGAGGTGAATTGAGCCGTCATGGAAGTTGAGTCACAGAAAAGGTCTAAAGCTGTGCTCAGGACTGACTAGGACAATTACTAGGAACTAGTCACCCACAAATGTGTAGCTCGTCCAGAACTAGGTAACTACTGACCATGGGAAACGGCCAAAGAGGTTCCTGAGATGTAGTCCATCGCTAGTCGAACGCTTTACTCAGTCAATTTTGCTCCCGAGTATTGTGCCCCTGTTTCTCTGAGGCACAGAGAGCCGTTGGTGTGACTCAGCTGCTAGGAGTAATTGGTCTGCAGAGCGTGTGTCACATCTGCTTCCACTGGCATCTCGACCCAATTCATCGTTAGCCTTTAAGACTGTGGTTTTAAGTGACTTTAGATGTCCACTTTGCATGCCACCCCCAATTAACAGCCACTACGTCTTGACCAGCAATTCTGAGAGCTGTCAATCATTTGCATTTCACAGTTATCAGTGAATATCAGTCTTCATATGCCTCCTTGTCGCCTCATCTGCCATTCCCAAGAGCAACAGGTATACTAGAGATTCTAAAAGCATATACGGTTTTCGTCACAGTAGAAAAAGTCAGCCCCGTTTCTCTACCATCGCTTTACCCTTGGGACTGCCCTCAGTGGCTGTTGATGTAAAAGGGGGAGAGAGACCTTTAGCTAGTACGAGCAAGCTCGGATCGAGACCGGCCCCATAGTGGTGCAAAGACCAAGAGCTCAGTTTCATGTGTGACTTCACATGTTTTTGAGAGCACCAAAACACGCAGGACCTGTCATTTGTGCATGATCCGATACTGGACAGGCCAGAAACAAAAATGCCGTAGTCCAGATAATGCCCAGCTCATCAACAGATCGAGTTGCATGTGCGTGACATATGACAGCTCTTAGCTTCTTTCCTATGGCCTCTGCGTGCTCTCTCAACTTTGTTGGCGCCGGTACGGGCAGCTGACGTTCCTGGCACAAGCGCAGTAGTTAGCAGCTAAGCTGTAGTCCATTTCCTGGTGAGACCATGCCGTCACGTGGGTGTTCAATCCACTTTGCATTCTTTTGCATCTGAAAACCCGACATTGGATAGTGGTGCAAGCGAGAGTGAGTTGCACACATGAGAAGGTGAAACAGTGCACGCGACCGTGAATGTTGACGATCGTGTGCGGGGGCTTACACGACTGACTGGGCTGAGCCCAGGGTCCGTCTTCTGGTCAGCGTTAGTGAAGTTTAAGATTTCTGGGGTAAAAACGTTATCGGGCTTTCGTGAGGAAGGGTGGAGGGTGTCAGCCGCCCGTACCGCACCCCCAAAAATCGCCGGCGTGATCTCGTTGGCTGCAACCCTCAGGGCCCCTGGTTGCGAGGGAGCGGCGCTACTGTTAGATCGGACGGGCGTCAGGGGACTTCTGATGAACACAATGCCACCTTGAAAACTCAATCAGCACAAACGTCGAATCCATCGTATCCCCCTCCTCATCGCACATTGTAAACTCTGAGCGCTTGAGGCAAGCCTCAGCTCCTCCCAGGCCCTGCTGACCGCATCCGCCCCACGATGCAGCCCTACCATGACCGCCCTGGGGCTGGTCGTGAACTGGGTTGTTCGCAGTTTTCAGGTGCAAGCCCCATGTCGCACGGGCGGTGGTGCATCGTGTGAGGCGCATCATCAGGCGGTCTACCGACGCCTCCAGGGGGGGCCCCAAGGTGAACGGGAGCGGTGACGGGAAATTAACCCATAACATTGGCATCAAATGACATCCCCAACAATTCTTCGTACCTGCATGAATGGCATGATGGAGGAAAAAAAACCACATATTGAAAAGTAGAGTCTGTCCCACTTGGCCGTGCCTGTGTGATCTGAGCCTCCTGCTTCACTTGCTCTGTTTCCTCATCTTCTCGATCCCGCGAGTTCCCGCCAAGAGAAAGCAACACTGCAACAAAAGCCAACAACACCAAAATCAACATGCCCCGCTCCGTCGTCCCGGTCGTGCTGGACAACCGCGTGCAGCACCTCGGCAGGATGTACGTAAACAACCTGCGCGCCGCCCACAGGCTGCCCCTCGGCACGTCAGATTCCATCTTCCCAAATCACTACACCTCGGTATGTGCGACCATGGAAGCCTCACCACAAAGTCCCCTACCCCGCTCCTAAAAAAAAAGAAAAGAAAAAGAAAAAAGAACAAAAAGAAAACAGAGGGAAAAGCCAGCACCGGAATATAGAGAGTAAGACCTGCTTGACAGAATCTGACCTGCCCGCAGAGCTTCGTCGAGGAGGACGTCCTGGCCGCGAAGCTGCACTGGCTCAGGAATCGCGCCAACGGCCTCTTCCGCCGCAGGCCTGGCCCGGACGAGCTGAGGGGCCGGCCGCGGTACCGGGACTGGGAGGCATCGGCATAATGCGTCCCGTGATTACCTGTTGAAGCCACGCATCCAGGAGAGGAGCTCTTTGCATTGCGGGTTTGCTTTTTTTCCTGCTCTTTTATGGGTCGGCAATGCATTTTCATGAGTCATGTTCTTCGGGAACTGAGGAGTAGTGGAGTTTTTGGGATGGTCCTCAGGCCAAGGCGGGACGGAGGGCATCTGGGTCACAAGGCGGGCACACGACGGCATCATGTTTATCACGACAACAACGGCATCTACATATAACCACACAGCAGGTTTAATAAGGAGGCCCCTTTTGTGTGCAACCCGTCTATTCACGGTCTCCGATCTCTAATGTCAAAAGATCGTCCCTGGTGAAGGTGACGACCGGGTATCTAAAGAAAGCATTACGCGAGGCAGATCGCCTCCACGGGGGCTCGCTGTGGCCCCCAAACTGATCCTCCTCGCACGTGCCTGTCAGTCAACGTCACTCGAGCAGCCATTTAAATGACCCTCGGGGCTCTGCTCGTTTGCCCCACCAGCAACGCGATGACCGCGGCGCCGATTTAGTGAGTGCTCAGGCCACTCGTGGCCGCGGCGCCGTCGACGTCGTCGGAGCTGTCGCCGCTGCGGTTCTGCACGGCGTATGCCTTCTCCGAGTCGGACGACTTGCGCCCCGCGGCGGTCTTCTCCGGGTCGGCGACGCTGTGGTGCTGGTGGACCCTCTCGACGGTCTCGATGAGGCCGTAGCGCATGGCCTCGCGCTCGACCTCCTCGTCGGTCAGGTAGGGCAGCTCCTTGGCCGCGCGGACGTACGACATGTTCTCGACGCTGCCCTTGGCGAAGATGATGTCGATCTCCTCGAGCGAGCGGCGGGCCGTCTCCGGGTAGAAGAACCAGATGACGGGCAGGAAGCAGGCGTTGACGACGGCGAAGAAGAGGTAGGTGCCCCAGCCGATGTTGGAGATCATGATGGGCGTCACCATGACGATGAGGAAGTTGAAGAGCCAGTTGGTGCACGTCGACACGGCGTTGGCCTTGGCGCGCGTCTTGATGGGGTTCACCTCGGCCGGGTACAGCCACGGCAGCGGCAGCCAGCTGGCGCCGAAGCTGGCGATGTACGTGAAGAGCCCCACGGCGGCGCCCTTGGCCGCCGTCTGCGTCCCCGGGATCAGGCACGCGAACGTGATGATCATCGAGGTCATCTGGCCGATGGTCCCGTACAGGAACAGCTTCCTGCGGCCCACGCGCTCGATGATGAACCACGACACGGTGGCGAAGATGGAGTACACGATCATGTTGACGCCGCCGAGGATGAGCGACAGGTTGCGGTTGCCCGGCATGATGGACTCCTCGAACAGGATGGGGAAGTAGTAGATGACGGCGTTGCAGCCGCCGATCTGCTGCATGAGCTGCGACGACGCGCCCAGCATCATGCGCCGGAAGTGCTGCGTCTTGCCGTTGGTGAAGAGGGTGCTGTACGGCGTCGACTTGGAGAAGCCGCCCGAGGCGCGGATCGAGTCGACGATGACGTCGCGCTCCAGGGCCGTCTCGGTGCTCTCGAGCTCGTAGCCGCGCAGGGCGGCGATGACGATCTCGGCCTCCTCGTAGCGCTCGTGGGTGAGCAGCCAGCGGGGCGACTCGGGCAGGAACCACATGGGCACGGAGATGATGAGCGCGAAGACGATCTGGAAGGCGATGGGGAAGCGCCACGTCAGCTCGTCCGGCCCGTAGCTGGCGCCGTAGTCGATCCAGTACGCGATGCAGGTGCCGAAGGCGATGACGCCGCCCTCGATGCAGATGAGCAGGCCGCGGTTCGTGGTGCGCGAGCACTCGGCCTGGTACGTCGGGATGGTGGACGTGTTCATGCCGTTGCCGACGCCCATGACCACGCGGCCGACGATGAACTGCGCGAACGGGGACGAGCCGTGGATGGCGGTGATCTGGATGAGCACGCCGAGGGTCATGACGAGGCCGCCCATGATGATGACGCGACGCCGGCCGAGCAGGTCGCCGACCCCGAGGATGAGCATGGCGCCGAAGAGACACCCGACCTCGTAGATGGCCGTGGTGAACCCCTGCATGGTGCTGTTGTTCTTGGTCGGTTCGAACATGTTGTTAAAGGGCGCTGCGGTGATGATGCCGCTCATGACACTGCAAGGCGACACATGTTAGCAGCCTGTGTTGAAGGAGGCGGAGAGATGCGCCGCCGTGGTCTCTGAGGCCGAACACTAACCCTTGATCGTATCCGAAGAGCAGGAAACCCGTAGTCGCGATGACGGACACGAGCAGGGAGAGCGGCCGCCCTGACAGGCCGAGGAAGGTGGGAGGCGCCATGTTTGTCGATTCACCCTTGCGGGTGGGTGTGACGTTGAAGATGAGGTTGGCAGAACTCTCGACAGGATGATCTCCGACAAAAGCGGCCGGCCTGCAGGCTGGAGAACAGACAGGTAAACTCGGAGAACCTCAAAAGAAAAGAGGTAGGCCAGGTTCACACGTCGATGAGGGGTCGAGGGAAGGTACACCTTCCGCGGCTCGAGGTAGCACGAGGGAAGGGCCATCTTATATGTACATGACAGGCGAATGCAACGTCTGGCGCGCCATGTACCGTCCCATCCATCCGTCCACCCACCCATCAGTCGCTGGCAGTCCCGTCAGGGCCAGGATCAGAGGCGTCCCCCTCGACGAACGAACGCCAACCTCGGGAATGGTCGGTCACGAGTAGCGAGGGCGAGGGGAGGAGAGCAGGCCGGGTTGAGCTGGGGGTCGACGCGGCGGGCGCTGCCGATCCACTTCGCCCACGGTTGGGCGGCGCTGATAGGCGGCGGTAGCAGAGAGGTCCCTGAATATCTGACCGACAATCTCTGGCGAGTGCAACCGTGTTATTGCAGTCCCGTGGGGCCTAGCAGGCCCAGCATCTGCTGCATCTGTATCGACTCATGCATGCAGGCAGCATGTCGCCCAAGTTGGTGTTGCTGAGGACATGTGAGAGAATCCCGGTCTCTGCATGCTGACTGCGCGCACGTCGCTGTCGGCCTGGTGCGAGAAGATGGCAGGTTGAGGCTCTGATAGGCCAAGGCGGGAGGAGGGATGGATAGCGTTGCGGATGAGGCGTTGCGGGCTCCACCGAGCCTTGGGTGGGAGCAGGGCAAGAGGGTGTGCGGCGGCATGAGGTCATCGTATGGCCGCCCTCAAGGTTGCCAGTTGCTTGGGCCAAATCACTCTCACTCTTCATCTGTCTGGGGCCAAGAGGCGGCTCGGCTTCCCCGCTTTGGCCAAGATCGGCCTGGGGGGGGGACTCTTCTCGTTCGACTGCAGGGCCGGAGGTTTTGTCTTGTTTCGGCCTGACGTCGAAACTTCTGCTTGCCTGCTGCCCGTCCCTGTCCCGTGGCGGCGGAAGTGGCTCGAGAGTGGCTTGTTTTACATGACAGAAACTTTACAGAATTTTCTACTACAGGCTGCTTCACATAACAGTGAGACTATGGGATAATTTGGCATCCGGGGGTGGACCTTGTGTGTGGAAATCAGTGTGTGGTTGTGTGTTATTGTTGTTGAGTGTATTGACAGTTGCTAACATGCGCGTAGGACCTCACCTCGTGGCATCTGCCGTCGGAATTTGGTCCAGCCCAAGCATCGAACTGTGCGCCCCTGCACGCGCACGACCGCCTTCTTAGCGCCGTCCTGTGCCATGGGGATTTCTGTGGAACACATGCGAGCCAGTTTTCTGGTGCCATGGGGATGCAGCAAACTTTGGTCCCTATTGACTCGCGCAAGCGAACTGGCGGCCGCCGATCAATCACCATGTGCGGGCTAGACATCTCAGATCCGCAAACGCTGGAGATTCCCCATCTTTCCTGCAGCCCACCTGTGAGCTCGTCGAGGCTTGACGAGCCGGTGGATATAATTATGGGGATTTGCTTATATCTTTCTTAGAGCATACTGCGTATCCACCACGCCGTGTGTGCGCCCTCCAGGGCCTCTCCAATGGCACTCCCCGTCCTGCTTGAATCAGAAGGGTTAAGCCGGCCCAGTCATGAACACGCCCGGGTGCCCAAGTTGCCCCCCGCGATTCCGCCGTGGGTACCTGGAAGCGCGGGCCTCATCATGACCGCCGATGCAGATCTTTCCGAGATCTGGGATAAGATGCCCCTTGCCGACAGGGAAGCTCCTTTTATCAAGGTTATCGAGCTGCGTCTCTTGCAGGGTTCTGGTGCATCCTCGGCTGTTGTGAACCAGTGTCGGCAGCTTTGGCTGGATAATTTGCCCTACAGCAGCACATGTCGTGTCAGGCGAGGCGACGTGACATTGCTAGCGAGAACCGGACGAACATTCAGCTCGTCAAGTTTTTCGTTCGCCTGGCAAGTTTCATATCGATTCCACTTAGGTAAATACCCTGGACAATTTTGCATGCGGGACCGGATAATAACCGTCTTCTGTCGACGTTGTAACCTAACACCGACAGCCAGACGGCCTGAGTCCCTGACAGTCAACAATAAGCTCTAGCACACGAACCACCTTCCAAGTTCCTGCGCAAGAATGGAGCCGCTTTCGCACCTTGTTTCCGCTTTTAAATCTCCGCTTTAGATAAAGATGCGTCTAACCACCGTTGCAAATTAAAAGCGGTGAACTTTATTTGTCGCCGTCTCAACGCCAAGCAGATTTAGTCGAGTCGTCCTGCCCACATTCCTTCACCAAAATTCAAAACAAGCACAACACCAGAGCCTCGGCACACCTCGGCGGGAAACGAAAGAAGCATCGCCCAGCCGAATAAGCATTTGGCAGCCCGCGTGACGTCAGCCTCGGTCCATGGTCTGTCTGGGATATCCAGTGGTGACCGGTCTCCGAGGCCCGTGGGCGCGACGGCGCCTGGGATCCTGCTCGGCCAAGTTCCGGTGCTGCGGTAGGAGCTGGGTGCATTAGTGATGCACGCAGCGAAACGAACTGGGCGGGAGACCACGAATTAAACACTCCCGGCTCGGAGGAGACACGACCGAAGGTGAGATGGCTGCCGTAAGAGCCATTGAGGTCAACTGCGGCCGAGGTTCTCGCCGCTGGCAAAAGCGCTTGACCGCCAGTGGGCAAAACACGCGCCACGACTCGTTGAGCACGTGTGGTTGACGACATGCATCCGCATAGCATTGGAAAAAGGTACAAGCGAAACAAATATTTCCATTCAACGCCAAATCTAGACAATCGCTGCTATCGGTACAGGTACTTCCGTCGCAAGATACCGTGTCCAACCTCCACTGAAGTTCCTCTACTCAGCTGGCAGTGCCTCGCTGTCGCCGGGCTCGCGGTAGGAGCCAGCCTCGGGCTTGGCGCCCCGGGTCCGACCCTCGACGATGTTGGACTTGTCAATGGCCTCGTTGTCGTCGCGCTCTGGATTCTCCACTGTTAGCGATGCTGATCAACAACTTGGCTCTTGTCATGGAGTACGTACCGAGTTGAGCATCTGAGTCAGCAGTTGCGGCATCGACTCCCTCCTCGACGGGGGCGTTGTCGTCTTGCACGGGGATATCGCCGCCCTGGGTGCTGTAGTCGTCGTTGGAAGACATGGTGATGTTGACTTAAGGTTTAGTGTCTAGGCGCACGTGGGTTCTGACTGGAATTGTGGTCCGAAAATGCGGTCCTTCGTGGGGAATGTCTTGGGTGCTGATCTCAAGGTTGATGTGGGTTTTATGACGTTGATCTTGTGTGTCAAGACCTCAGCGAGAATCCGGGGATTTCATACACCTTATATCTCCGACACCCAGACTTTCACCAACGCTCTGCTCAACTCCCATTTCGCTGGCAGTCAGCTTCGCATTGTGCGACTGGGCTTTCATTGTCATGACGACGACGACTTGTGCGTCCAGCGCTGGCGAGTCGAGTGCATCATCGCGGCCCGCCAGGGACGGAGTCTAACACTATGGCACGCCCCGGACCTGCCCCGGACCGCTGGGCAGGTACTACCGACCGATGCATCCAGGCGTAAACGAGCCGTTCAACCCATTGAAACAATTTGGTTCCTGTCGATCACTGCCGCTGTTGCACCAGGGCGATTTCGAGACGGGAAAGTCATGACGGAAAGCGCAGTGAATCGGCCGATTGATCGATGATTCCGTGGCCGAAAATCGATTTGCAGCTCCAATTTGCAGCGGTGCGCTTTGTCCTGGGATGCTGGCTTGGATATGACCGGATCGTCCAGCCTTCAGACAACGGCCTTGTCCATATCTGCGATGGTGCAACGCGAGGTCGAGCGCGAAGGTGGTGCGACCTTGGAAGCGTCATTGACTGTTTGCGAGCACGAGTGGTTCCACAAAGTCTAGAGGATCGACTTCGGCCTCAGGCCTTGGCGTTCCTGGACCAGACGCGTCGAACGCGCCTTTTGTGTGGATTAACTGCTGAGCAGGTATGGCCACGTCTTCACGCATTGCAAGCCTTGCATCGCTGGTGGTGATGTTAGTCATGGTGTCATCTGTGTGTCATGAAGCCCAAATCCACCCAGACCATGACTACACCCCAAGCACATGGGGCTCCAGATCACAAAAACCTTTCTACAAGGCCTCTGTACATTGGTAGATTACTTCAGAGCGTTTCACAGCAAGGCACACACGCGTACAAGCGGCTCGTGGCTTGCTTGGGCTTGGCTGCGCCTTTTTTTTTTTTTTTTTTTTTTTTTTTTTTTTTTTTTTTGCCCTGCCAAGCCTGCGCCCCCCAGGGTGGTTGGGCTGTGAAGTCTGTAACACCCAGAGGTCTCTGCAGGGTGGCAGCCCAACTGCAAAAAAAAAAAAACCGCTGGTAACTCCCAGTACCACCAGAATCCTTCGTGTTGATATCCCAATTATTCCACAAACACATCATATGTGCTTGATTTTATTGCATTTTTGTCTTGAAAAAAAAACGTCTGATTTGACTTATATCAAAATACTTGCTAGAATTGATGATTGTGGTGGTGAAATAGCTGTAGGAGTTGTGTTGCCTGGATTCTGGTGCGAAGCATGAGTGGTTTTCTTTTGCAGAGCGCCTGGATGGTTGTTCCCATGCAGGCCACGTCAGCCAGCGGAACACAAAGTCTCCTAATGCACTATGCAGCCTAAGTACGAAGTAGAAAATCAAAATTTGCGTAGGCAGACAGGGCAGACAACGAGGCATGCCGTATTTTCTTTCTCTTGTGCAACACATCCTCAAATCTTGATCGCCATGTTGCACAGTGAAGTGGACCACTAAAGCCTGGCCTCTTTTTATTTTCTCTTCTTGCTGCCATGTTGGGTCCCAATTCTGGATTAACTGTGACTTGTCGTCTGGTCCTGCAGACCTAAGTATTCCTTCAGCAGATATGGATCCCCATCAGTACGATCTATTTATCCACAAACAACAAGCAGCTCAGGTATGAATGAAAAGCATGCGGACCACGACTCTCCTGACCTTTGTCGTTCCTTTCGGATGACTAGCTAACAAATACCTGTGTTCAATAGAAAATTAAACCGGTACAAGACGGAGTTGCTTCTCACCCATTCGACAAGGCTCGTGATGACTTTTTGTCATCACTCTCCACTCAAGATCGGTCGCTGTATCCCCCTTGCGCAACAGCTACCGATCTGGCAGATGCGATCAAGAAACTAGGGCACCTTACTTGCCGTAGACTGCCCTTGGAAGATGCATTGCAAGTTATTGACAAGCTCGGGAATGCTTTCAAACCATTCTTCGACGTTGTGGCCGCCTTTGTCTCTTCTAACCCACAGTATGCTGCTTTGTTGTGGGGCTCAATGCTTCTGCTATTCAAGGTTGGCACATCTTGAATTCTCTTGGATTTGCATTAATCTCTGACTTTTTCAGTTGGCATCCAACTTCGTAACATTCTTCCAGAAGCTGCTCCCTCTCTTGGACAGCCTGTCCAGATCATTCATGCTATACGAAGATGTTTGGAAGCTATGCCGGGGCTGGAAGGACCAAAGTTCCAGAATCCCAGAAGTCATGGGAAAGGTCTATTCCGAGACACTTCAGATTTTCCATGCTGCCGTGAAGGTTTTCACGAAGGGCAACGGCAGTAAGCATGATCTCATGGGACCACAGTGTAAGACGGGGCATGGACGGCTAATCAAAAATCAGAACTTAAAAGGACTCCGATTGTCATTGGGGAACTCATGTGGAAACCGTTCGATAGCAGGCTCAATGACATGTTATACCGCCTTGGTGAGTACCGTCGCGAGATATTTCAAGAAATTCACATTCAGCACAGCAACGCCCTCGCTCGACAAGAGGCACAGGCTGAGGCGGAACGTGAAATATTTCAAGAAGAGATGGGTCTCACGAGCATGGAAAGGCAGAAAGCGGCAAGAGAGCGTCAGCTCTCGAGCAAGGAGCGGGAGCTGGCATGTTTGGAAAGACAACAGGCTCTCGGGTCACGAGAGCATGTACGGATCACACTTCGTGACATTCGGAGTCAATTGAATGAGTTACATGACATTCGGACTCAGTTAAATGAGCTGGGAAAGCAACACAAAGGTAAGCTTCGCCCATTCCTTCCTTATGAAAGCAAAAAAGACCAGGGTGATAGGTTCCTGAGCCGAGGGAACGCTCCATTTCTAACAGGACGTTCATAGAGAATGCCTACGAAGGATCACGACAATGGATACACCCGCCCAGCTTTTTGAATTCCCGAGACCAGGCAAGAGATCTACGAGCACCCGGAACGGCGAATTGGATCTTCGAAGACCCGACCTATCTTCGATGGATCAAAGGAAGTCTCGACTCAGGTGACGGCCTATATCAATACGGATGTGAGGCTTTGTGGATAAATGGTAAGTCAAGGTCCGTTACAAATAGAGACCCTGTGCTTACCCTCGCACAGGCAATCCAGGCTCGGGCAAAACAGTCCTCGCGGCATCCATCATCGATCAGCTCGAAAACGACCTGTCCCAAGATAAGACCAAATCACGACAGGAAGTGTTCTATTACTTCTTTGACAGCAAATCCAAATCTCTCAATACCCATTCAGCTCCTACTTCAGCGTACCGATCAATCTTGGCCCAGTTACTATCCAGGAATGCCGACGATACAGAAATCCTTGACAAGTTTAAGTTCGTTCAACGGAATGAGAAAGGTCAAATGCAGGCATCTGATTCTGAAATAATCGAGCTTCTTAGATTATGCTTGGACGCAAACTCCATCCTCATCCTTGATGGAATCGACGAGTGTGATGACAGCGAAAAGCTCGTATCACTGATGCTCGAAATATGGAAGGAAAGCCGCCCCAGGGTTGTCTTTCTCAGCCGAATCAATGTTGAAGGCTTGAAACGATCCATACCAGCAGGGAATCAAATGGCAATGTCCAGAGACTCATTGTCAAGAGATATACAAAAGTTCAGTGAAGCTGAACTAGGGATTCTCTTCGACAGGGCTATACTTCCCAGAGATGACCGACAACACCAGGAAGCTCTTGCCAGTAAAATGGTTCACGGAGCTGATGGAATGTTTCTCTGGGCCAGACTGATGATTAAGTTCATCAAATCCTCGTCGATGACACCAAAACAACGACTTCATGTGATCATGCAAGTCAGTACGCCTGAGGGACTCGAGCCGATGTACGAAAGGATTGTCAGCTTCATTTCAACATCCGGCAACCAATCCCAGCAACTCGCCGCCAAGTTACTGAACCACCTGCTGCATGCAACAGTGCAGCTCTCGTCTCGTCAGCTGCGTCAGGCACTAATCGTTGACGGATGCTTACCACAGCAGACTGCTTCAGAATCCATTACCGAATTTGAGGATGCCGCACTCATGGCCTGCGCTGGACTTACGGAACGAGTCACTATGAGCTTATGTCCAGGGTTTCTTGTCGGGGAATCCACGCTTCGACTAATTCATCTTTCCGCTCGCGAGATCTTGGAGGCAAGGCATGCGTGGCCATCAATAACCACACAAATGCATCAATCATGGCCGCAGTCTTCCAGTTTGCCAGGCCAGCTGGCACCGAAGCTGATTCTCGACAGAACGGGTGCACATTTGGAGGTTGCTACGCGCTGTGTCCGACAATTGTTGTCACATACTCCACATCAACCTTTGTCTGGAAGAATTCATCAAGATATCTCAGCTCAGCGTCTTTATGCAGAGTCCTGCTTCACCGACTACGCTGCTGCAGCTTGGATTGACCACGTCTCGACCGTTGTCAACACCTCACATGACCCAGGATATCCAGGCTACAGCAGCTCTCTAATATATCAGTTCTACTCGCCGGAATTCCTCAACTTGCTCTCTAGATTTATCACAGACCTAACAGCATGGTTGAGAACTCCTGCAGCTCTTTCTGCGTGGCTGGAAGCATTCTATACTACCCAGTACCATGCAGATTACGAGCACCCGAACCATCAAACCCTATATCTCCTGGGCGTGTGGCTTGGGAAGGTCTCACAGCAATATTGTTGGTTGCCGATGGCTGCAGAACTTCCTCGAGATATTATGTCATTAAGTTCGGAACTCAGAGAAATCTCGGAAACATGGAAGGATCGTCTCAAGGAATCACCTGGCCGTCTCATCTGGGATGAAATGACAGGGTTCTTGCAAAGGAGCTCCTTTTTCTACCGCCCTGACAGCGTGAAGGTCATGTATCAGACAGTTCTGAGTCCACAAGGAGAGATACATTCTTCAAACCCCACTCTTCAGATGTCAAAGACATCAGATTCTGGAGATTTCAAAGGAGTACTGAGCATCTGGGCACCACCGTAAGTCTTTACAACACGTGCTGACTTCCTCCAAGCTAACATAGCATGCCGAGCAGGGCGTTTTCGTTATCGAATGCTCATCTCAAGACGATGGCTCGCAGCGCAGGAGTTTTCAACCTCTTCTCCATTTGCACTGGTTGGGTTGCCACTTATGAGGTCTGGACACTTCATCCACAAGCGGCCCAGGCTGCTAGGGTGGAGCTATCCATTGACAGTACAGCAATGCTACTTCCTATCCATACATATCTATCACACCACAGCTCAACCGAAATCGACATTCACCTAAACGTTGCACCAGATGTCGCGAGTTTCATCATTGGTGAGACATTGTGTACTTTGAGACAGACAAGTACTGGCGCACTATGTCTCTCATACCCATTGCCAGTACGATCATCCCAAGGGCTTTCATTCGAATGGTCGGCCAGCAAGGGAGATGAACGACCGGCCATCCACACAAGCTACTTCAGTCCAGATAGCCAGACACTTGGTCTGTTGGAATGGATGCCCTCGGGGGCTCAGCACCTGAGTGTGTTCGAACTCATCAAGGACCGCCCAGCTCTCGAGCTTAATCCGCTTGGAACTCTGGAGTTTGTCCCTGGCATCAACAGAATCAAGGAATTGATCTTTCACCCTCATCAGTGCATAGTGGCGTTCTGTGTTTATGACAAGCTCAACCACAAGAATACAGCCTACCTCAGACGGTACAGACATTGTATGCCTATTTGTCCAAACATATGTAACCACTGTGCTAATAACTTTCCAGCAAGTTCAACACAACCTGGGTTCTCCGCCGATCTCCCAAGGTCTACCTTGTGGGAGTCAGTTGGCTTCTCTTCTTGTGGCCAGTTTTTCGTAGTTCGATGCCGACTGAAACGGACTACGGAGGTCATACCAATTCCCCACTGGCTACAAGATGCAAATGATGTAACAATGCCAGGAACTCAATCGACATCGCAGAGGCAATTGATAACTGCTAACAAAGGGCCGACGGCTCAGCTGAGCCACTCTCGAGCCTCGCACTTGTTCGGATCTGGGGCTGTGAGTTCAACAATAGACGTTTGCCCACAAGAAGGCACAGTGGAGCTGTCCGTGGATGCTTCTGCCAAAGAAGTTCAAATGTCCTTGACCAACATTTCAGGGATCCGCCAAACCGCGAGGCTGGTCTCTTTGCCCACATGGATAGGAGCCGAGCACACCACGCAGCGCATTGTGCTTCCAAGGTTTGCCGGCGACACGTTGAAGATCAGTGTTGACGTGGATCCCCGGGCTTCCTACAAACACTCGGAGTACAGCCTGGGAAGCTCACCAGTTGTGCCTGCTGTAATAGAAAGAGACGTGTCATATGTTGAACTGGGACCCACAGCGGCGTCGTCCGACCCATTGTCACGGTTGCTACGGAACTCAACAACGGAAGCGCGTACGGGCCAGAAGAGGTCGTACTCCCAGGCAAGGCTGCAGGAGGATGAGAGACTGGCAGATACGCTCTGCAGACCAGGCAGACCACCTTCACTCCGGTTCCAAGACAACAATGAAGCCTTTGTCTTTTTTGAAACATCAACCTGGCTGCTTGAGTGCCCCGCGAGGCTGGATTACTTTGCAACATAGAAGTGCATGGCAGGGTTTCATATTTCTCGTGACTAGGCGCAGGGGGTTATGTTACCAACACTTTATATCTTAGCCGGATCCCGCTGCCCTTTCCATTACCTTCGGGTGCTTCTAGGTCGGGCTCAAGGCAGAATGACTACACCTCGAGTCAGGGAATAGCCAATTTGATGACAAGTTCAGAACCCTAACCCTGATCAGTGGATTGCCGGACCCCGACCTCCGCATTGGTTTCGGCCCTGGCGGCCTGGATACGTCAAGCCTCGGCTCGGCCATGTGAAATGCTGACCCCGTACGGTGGCCCTCCAAAGCGCGGCGATGGTCAGCTTCAGTGAGACCACTGACGATACAATCGTAGAGCTGCGCACGACCGGCTCATGACCTGACCAGACTTGGCCCGGCATGGCCTTCACACCCGTGATCATCGGCGTCGCGGACGTCACGAACAAGTCCCAGGTGCACAAGGAGCCCGCGACGCTGATGTTTGAGGCCATCTCCAACGCGATCCACGACACGGGGCTCGACTCCCTCGCACCGGTCACGTCCCAGATTGACAGCATCGACGTCGTCAGGACGTGGACTTGGCCGTACGCCGATCTGCCCGGCCTGCTGGGGAAGTGGCTCGGGCTCGACGAGCGGCCCGCCTGGACGCGGTACACGGACCACGGGGGCAATGAGCCGGCTAAGCTGGTCGACGAGGCGGCGGGGCGGATAGCCAGGGGCGAGAGTAAGGTGGCTGTTGTTACCGGGGGCGAGGCACTTGCTTCTGGTGAGTACACGCCGGTGGCCGTTACATGACATGAGAAACTATACTCAGGATGTGCTGCCCCTGTCTAAGAATTTAGGCTTTGCGCACGGCAAGATGTGCGCTGTGTGATATATTGACTGATACAATCCCACCATCACCAGTGACTGCATGTGCGAAAGCCGGCCAAGCCGAGCCCTCAGGCTGGACAAAGCCAGCCACGTCCGTGGATGCCGTGTTCTCGCCATCGACTATAGATCTCGGCCAAGGTTTGTTGAGCCAGCTCCAGTCTCCCGACACGGTGATGGAGCTCTTCTAACTTCGTCCAGACCTCGGCGGTATACACTCTATAGGCACACCTATCCAAATCTATCCTTTATACGAGAACGCCTTCAGGGCTCACCGCGGGCAGACACCCAAGGAAAACAATGACGAATCTGCAGCTCTATACGCAGATTTTGCGCAAGTGGCTGCAACTAACCAGTATTCCTGGAATTATGGAAATCGACCGGCGACCAAGGAGGAGATAGGGGTTGTGTCAAAGAGGAACCGAATGATCTGCTCACCATGTTCGTGTCCAAGGTTTCTCCTTTGGACAGAAAATACTGACGCCGCCCCCAGATCCACTTCTCATGAACGCCTTCAACACCGTCAACCTCGCCGCAGCCGTCCTTCTGACGTCCGCCGAAAACGCAAGGGAGCTCGGCGTGCCAGAGGACAAGTGGGTGTACCCTCTGGGCGGCGCGGGGAGGAAGGAGAGAAAACACTTCTGGGAGCGGCCCAACTTCCACCGCAGTGACGCGATATCAATCGCTTTGGACGAGTGTCTCTCACTGTCTGGGGTCAAGACCACAGACATTGACGTCCTTGATCTGTACTCGTGAGTATCGGCAAACCCAGCGAAAGGCGACACACATCTAAGCTTCGCCCCGCGCAGATGCTTCCCCATCGTCCCAAAGCTGGCCTGCCACCACCTCGGCCTCCCGATCCTCAACAGCCCCAAGCCGTTGACGCTCCTCGGGGGCCTCACATCATTCGGCGGGGCCGGCAACAACTATTCCATGCACGCGATCACCGAGATGTCGCGACAGCTGCGGGACCGGAAGGCCAAGAACGGGCTCGTGCTCGCCAACGGAGGGTTTCTATCGTACCAGCACGCTTTGTGTCTGTCCGTGGAGCCGCGGCGGGAAGGGTCGTCGTATCCGGACAGCCGTGGCTCCTCGGCCGCTGTCGTGGGAGCCCACGCCCCGGTAGAGCCGTTGGCACAAGGAGAAGCTGTCGTCGAGACGTATACCGTCCAGTTTGACCGGGAGGGCAATCCAGAGATGGCTTTCGTCATCGGCCGTCTGACTGGAAGTAAGTATCGGTTCGTCGCCAACCACGGCGACCAACGGACACTGCAGGAGCTGTCGTCTGCTGTCGAAGAGCAAATTGGGAAGGTTGGGTATGTCGAGATTAAACGGGATGGGAATGGGGACCCTGAAAGCAACGCTTTCTTTTTGGGAGCTAGGTCGAAAATTTAAGCCGCCCAATTGTCACTATCAGAAGCTATGCCTACCTTCCGGGAAGAAGACCCATATTTGGAAGGTTGCGCCGCAAGATTATAAAGTACGTGAGGTCAAATACTAATACAGCAAAAGGAGATGCAAACGTATGCTTCCAAGCAACCGAGTCATCATCAACAGTTGTCTCAAGCTACTTATCCTGACCTCTAGTCAATTACATACAAATGATCCCTTTGCAGGCCATAAACCTACTCTAAGCATATAGCTTGAATCCACCGGGGACGTTCTTCTGAAACAGGCCCTCAGGATCATACTTGGGGCCAACCTCTTGCAAGAACTTCTTGTTCTCTTCCCCGTACGACGAAAAATGGGTCCTGGAAGTCAGACGCATAGTTCAGGTGCGTATACGGCACCCTCTGGCCTCGGGCATCAGCATCCTTCTCAATCGCCTCCAGGGCGCCCCTGAGCACGCCCAAGATCTGCTCGTCGTCCTCTTTTCTCCTCCAGCACGTCAGCGGCAGTATCGTCACCAGCGTCTCGCGCGGATCCAGGCCGAGCACGTTCCCGCCCCGCTCGGCGGTCTTGCGCAGGAGGGACCGGGGGTAGGCCTGCAGCGTCAGGCACAGCGTGATGCCGTCGAGGGGCTTGAGGGGCTCGATGGCCCTGGAGTAGATGTCGGCGGCGGCGACAAGTGCTTCTTTATCGGCCCGCGGGGTGCAGTTCATGTAGGCGCAGCGCTGGCGCTCGGTGGCCATGACCGCGTGCTCGGTGGCGCCCTGCACGAGCGTCATGATGCGCAGCGAGTTGAGCTGCTCGAGCTGCGGCTGCACGCCCGTGAAGGGCTGGAGCATGGGCGGGACGCGGATCTTGCCCGTGGCCGCGTCCGTGGAGCCGTAGGCCGAGGCGGCGTCGGGCCCGGTGTGGTAGACTTGGTTCAGACCCATCATGTGGTCTCCGAACTGTGCCGAGTAGCCCAGGTTCACCATGATGTGGGTCTCGTCAGAGGGCTCGGGCTTGCGCACCTCGTTGACGAGAGCCTCGACTTGGCCTGGGTAGTTGGCGTCCGAGGCCGGCTAGAACACAACGCCGCCCCAGAAGGGTTGCTGCGGGTAGGTGCGCAGGTCGAAGCGGGTGACGATGCCAAAATTGTTGCCGCCGCCCTTGAGGGCCCTCCAGAGATCGGGGTGCTCCGCGGCGTTCGCCTGGACGACGTCTCCTGAGGCGAGGACAATCTCAAAGCTGACTACATTGTCGCAAATGGAACCCTCCCGCGAGGAGAAGAAGGAGAGGCCGCCTGACAGCGAGAGACCGCCAATGCCGCCCTTGGCGGACCGGCTGCCCCCAACTCCCAGCCCGGCGGCCTGGACCTTCTCATAGACGGGTCCCCATCGCTCGCCGGCGCCGACAGGTACCAAGCCATCCTTCAGCTCGATGCCCGTGAGGAGACTCAGGTCGACCGTGATGCCGCCTTGGATGTTGGAACAAGCCTCAAGCGGCTGCTGGCCTCCGCCTTGCATGGCGAACTTGATGTCTTTCTCGTTGGCGAGGCGGAGAAACGCAGCAACATCCCGCGTGTTCTTGGGCTGAAAGATGGCCGCAGGAGTGTAGTCACTCTGGTGAGCAGACAGATAGACATCATTTGAAGTCTGAAAAGCCTCGGTCCCAGGCAGCGCGATTTGATCGCTTGGAAACGCCTGGCTCAGGGCATCGACAATTTGCTCCACGGCCATGTTGTCAGATTTCGGGGCAAAAGAGACACTAGGAGAGGGGTCAGAAGTTCGGATAGTTCAATAAAGCAGGGGAAACGGCAGAACTTCCTTGCAAAGAAAACATGATAGAAGTTAGGCAGTATATGGTGCTTCTCAAAAGGGTAGTTGTGACAATCTTTTGGACAGATTCCTTCGAATGACCAGCAGCCCGTTGGTCTTGAACCAACACGCATGCATACACAAGTGTGACTGTTGGTCTTGAACCAATATGCGTGCATGCACCTGTTGGTCCGATAGATCGGGTTGGTAACATCGCCACTCATACTAGTGTAGTGCACACAACTTTGGGTTGATACAGAGATGGAAAATAAAAGGCCTCGACAATGCAAGGAGAATCATCTACTTATTTATAAAGATAGCAGTAAATGTTCTCAAGTACACGTGTGGCTTTCTACTACTTGTATCTTACTCTGGGCCCTTCTCAATGTCTTTTTCTTTTCAATATAAGAAATCAAAGTTCAAATCATAGAGTTACGATTCTACACACACTCACGCCTTCCGTCGCTGCTACTGGTTGAGTTTAGATAAGGAGAATGTTTCCTTTTCCAATCTGTATCCAATCCATAGTTTGAGCATGACGTAAGACTCGAGTTTAATAATTTGACAGCCACTGGGCCCTCATGATCTCTGGGGCTTGTCCACCGGCTTGACGGGACCCGTCAGGCTTATTTCACATAGTCAGCCTTCACAAAACTACCCTCGGGCGGCTAACATGCCAGTCCCCTCATGACAACCAATATACTCAAACAGTTGCTGTTCAGGCTCGAGCACCAGCACCTCATGAAACAAGCGCAAGGTCATATCCTTCCCCAGCCTCTTCGCGTACTTCCCGAGGCCACCGAAGATGGCCCGGTGCGTGGGGTGCTCCTTGCTCCAGCGCTCCAGCGAGGCCAGATCGTCAAAGTAGGCCAGGCCGAACGTGCGGTCCGCCCCGCCGGCACCCTTCCCATCGACGATTTCCATGAAGCGACAGCTATAACACCCGACCTCGTCGCCGTGGTCCCGCAGGAAATCCATCCCCTTGATGAGGACGGGGTGCATCGTCTCCAGGTAAAGGGCGCGCTCCTCGGGCAGGGCGGCGGACCAGTCCTGGCCGGAGCGGATGACGGCGAGGTTTCTTTTCCCGGGGACGCGCACCCTCCCAGGCGGCCCCGTGCCGTCCTTCCGGGCGCCTGAGCTGCCGTTTGACAGGCTGCTCTTCTCCAGCGCAGCGGCTTCGCCCACCATGTGGTCAGTCTGCGAGAGCGGCAGCCTGTCCCGCATGCTGCCCCAGTATCCGTGCTCCTGCATCGGCCCGCTGAGGTCGTCGCGCATGTTGGCCGCGCCCTCGGGGTCCGACGTGTTGTGGAGCGTCTCGAAGCGGTCCACGGTCGGGAGGAAGACCTCGAGGAACCACCCGTTCCCGGCTTGCTCGGCATCTGCTTCTAGCCCGCCCCACCAACTCTCAAACCCGCTCGCCGCGGACCACTCCGCGTGCGCAGATTTGCTAGGCCAGTACGCGAGGACGGCGATGTTGTAGAATCCGCGGTTGTCGGTCACCGCGGCGAACTCGTGGAAGCCGGGCCGCGATCGGTAGGGTACTGCTTCCGCGGTGAGGTACGAGGATATCTTCGCGAGGGCGCGGCCGTCGTTCATGTTGGCCTTGCCGTACTGGACTCCTATGATGGCCATGACGATATCCTTGGTCGATTTCGGGAAACGCGAAGTGTACGCATCCGCCGGGGGCTTGAACCCTGAGGACTTCCTGGGGGCGACTGTCCGGTCCCGGAGGAGCCAGGAGGGGATGGCCGATTCGAGCTCCATCTCGTCAGAACGTTGGGCTTGACTGTGGAAAGTTGGAAATCCCCAGCTATGCTATAGGTTCCGAAGAGTAAAAGGCCTTCTTGGAGAGACAGTACTCGGATAATACAGACTCAGCAGGTTCCGGAAATGTCGAGCATCTAGTCTCGCAAGCACTTATATGTGCCCCACTTCATCTGTGCAGCATCACTGCGAGCCTATCACTGAAGATTATTTTACGTTGTGATTTCAAATTTGAAGGTCATCAGTGGACGACCAAGTCTTGATCGAGCAGTATTGTGTGGGGCCAAATGAGGGAGTTTCAGAGATAGGGTAATGCTCGCCCGGGAGTCTGGGCAGCAGCGGTGTACGGGCTAAGAGTCATACTACCTAATCTAATGACTCGCTGTGTAACAACAGGTCCCCAAGTGGCGAGAATGACAACTACCGAGGAGTTGTTGGTTTGGTAAGAAGGAGGGGTCTATTATTGAGATCATACTAGTATTGCAAGAAATACTCTGCTCTTCCAGGCACCAGACCTGAAGGCTTCAAGTGAAATAAGTGCGTAAGTAATGAGGCATACTTTAGGGCCCAAACAGAGTCTTGAACTTCGACATGAACCCAACACAGACAGAAATAGTATCGTCAGAGGAGTCCGGACTCCTACACTAGTCTCTGTGCTGGAGCCTCTGGTCAGTGTTGCGTCGACCACTTTGTGAATTATGGCTTGGGGAGGACTAATTTTCAACGGGTTGAAGAGCATTCGCCGTGGGGGTTGCCTTGTTAGAGCCAAAACATTCTGAAGCATAACATCACAGACGTATTTGGAAATATCACTCTAGAGTTTTTTATATCTTGAAGAATCTATTTGCTTTGAACGTGATGTTGTTTTTATTAAAAATGAAAAGGTAGATGATGCGAAAAACTCAAGTTCTCGGATACGGGGAATCGAACCCCGAGCTGGTGAGTGAGAGTCACCGATGTTAACCATTACACCATATCCGACTACGGTGTGAGAACTGAAACGGCAAGAAACGGCGGCCTTATGATGTTTTGCTAAATTAGGAACTGAAAGTACGTGGAAATTTTGTTCTTAAAAAAGAAATCTCAAAATCCAGTGTATAAAATGCGAGAATAAGTGAATTTTATTATTCTTGATCCCTTATTTATTTAAAGGATTTTAAAGGTAATTTATATATAAACTCATGGTAATTTACATTTATTCTTTGCGCCTTTAATATAGTTTATATTCTCCCTTTCCCTATTTTCTTTACACCTTCTTAACTTATAAGTTTTTTCCTAATATATACATTACTTGTTTCTCTTTTTATATCCAATCCTTATATACTTAAAATACTATCTTATAATGCATATAAATAAATAAAGTAAAATTCTGGTATATATTTCTCTCGGGGACCCGTTAGCCTAATCAGAATCATCATCCTTATCACGAGAAGGAATATAGAGGTAAGACAGCTACCCTTAATACATCAATTCAAAGAAAGACGGCGCTACCTTTTATGTAAGGAAGAGGTTTAATAGAAGTTGTAGGCGAGGGGTTTTATGCCTGAGGGGTGTGGGGGCCCAGAGCCTTAGTGAATGCCAGCAGTCAATGGGGCCAGTCACACACACACTCACAACCCTCGAATGCCAAAATCCTTACAAGAGGCGAGCTGCAAAACAAAAACCGAAATCGTGTACTCTAACGAAGTGCTGGTACAGGTCATGGCTCAACTGAACCCGAAGTCGTTGTATCTTTAATGGGAAACAATCTCACTACACATCGGGCGAAGCTCTTCATATCCGCATCTTGGAAGATGAGATATCCCAATCGCATCCACACCTGTCTGCTATGCCCGGACTCTCGGGTGTACAATCACGTGCGTAACACCGCCTCATCTGCCTTGTGCATCCAACAGAAGGACACCATAATCTCATGAAGCCAGTGAATGCTGTGTGGGTTAAATTTTCACGCCTAGCAGATTAGAATGAAACTCGACAAGTTGACTTTGCTTTCCTGCGAATCTCAGTGCACATTACCTGTACGGGGTAATCTCGTACGGGAATCCTTCTCATGGCATGTGCTCCCAGGGAATGCCTCCTGCTGGAGAACATTCAAGATAGCCTCCAGTGGGATAACCTCTAGTGGGATAACCTCCAGTGGGATAACCTCCAGTGGGACAGCCTCCTACAGGAGACCTTCCCCTAGGATAGCCTCATTAGAACACCTACTTGTGTCTAGTATCTCACAGAATGGTCTTTTATAGAGCAACCTCCGCTATCTTCGAGAATAAGTTGTGAGTTGCCACCAAGACAGATGATGTCCGTTCCCTCCTACTTGTACATCCTACCTAGGTATTAATTCCTCGGTAGATTTGTGGCATCCTTGTAGGCCGTGTCAGAGCCGGGATCCATGAGGTCAACCGCACTGCCGTGTGTTTGATAAACAACAACGGTCTGTGCGATCCCTTGGAGCAAATTTGTGACTCCGTGGTGTGATTATGCGTGACTTGCGGGTGCAGCGTAGAGCCCTCTATATCAGAGAAGCATGGGCCTATTGATGAAACAGACGTGAGATTGGCGAGACTGCAACCCTTGGGCATAATTAAAGAGGACCTGTCCAAAGAATTATTCCAAGTTTGTCCTCAGGCTCTCACATCCCGTCAGTGTTGGTGGTGATGCTAGGCCTTCGGATTTAAGGCACGAAGACGGAGGGATTCCGAGGACGGATCTGCGGGTGGCGAGACTAGTGCGTGGCCATGACACTCTACTCCATCATGACATGTGCGACTTTGTTCCTCGTCATCACTCCTTATGTGACAAGTGACTACCATGGTCCATACCAAGGGCCCGGTGGTCCACAATGCTTAATCAATCCAAAAGGCGATAGCACTGACGGTGATGAAATGTCTAGAGGGCAAGGAACTGCTGTCACTCCGCAGAATCTTTCAATCACCACACCGAGAAGTTAAGGACGGTTGCTAACCTTGCTTCGAGATTAACAGCTTGCTGTGTGTGGCCGCCAGCTTGGGCTTCGTCTCTCCGATTGTCCGACAAGTGGTTGAAGATGCCGTCATGGAGCGATATTTTGGGCGAACAAACGAGTAGTGTATTGCCACATAGACCGAAATCATGGCCCTCTCTAAGTGCCAGAGGCTGCGAGTAAAACTAGCGCTTGAGCACAAGTGAGTGCCTTGTCTTCGTAACCCGATGAAGCACGCACGCCTGAACGATGCCCACGTTCCTTTCACGAGAGCTTCATGGCACAATCCGCGAGTCGGTCTCTTGGCCTACTCTTACGACGTTCTAGTCAAAATGACAGCCGAGAGTACGTCCGTGTCTGATTTTTATTTCTGTCACTAAGTCGAGCCATCTAGCTCTGGTGGCTGCATCTTGGCCCGGCAGTCCGGGAGACGGACACGGCACAGCATCAGCTTAAACTGAATCTGGCTCAGTGTGATGACTTCGGCTGCACGCCGTTAAGTGTTTGTTTCAGATGCTAAGGAGAAGTGAAGCAAGACAAAGAAATGTAGGTTGCCATCTTAAGATACTCAAATTATTCCTCGGTCTCGCTAATCTCAAGCGCAGCATCAACGCCATCGTCTGCTTTCCAACCTTTCTTTCATTGAAGTAATCACGGTCATAATTCACCCGAGATTCTCTAGCAGATGCTGTCGTGCGGATGAAGGCCCTTTCCCCACATCAGGTTCGGATAGTGCTAGAGAGCGTCTAGTCGTCTTCAGGCCAGAGTCCTCCTTCCGCCGTAGGCACCCAGGATCGTCCAGACCAAAGCGACCAAGCCAGGGCCGGGCGAGCATGTCCCCTGAGGCCTCGGAGGCCGACGGGCAGTCCTGTGTACTTCCTGTGCCCGACTTTCACACTCAGAGTTTTGCTCTTGAAGCCCCAGTCCTAGATCGATGCCTGAAGCATGTCGGCGATGATCCGTCGGCGCCGAGTCGTGTGCAATATGCGATACCTCGTGTTGGTGTGATGAAGACGATCGCATCTGCACGTTGCATGCGGTTGAGGCTGGATCTGCCCGCTGGTCTTCGGCCAGCATACCCGCATAGATAGCGCGCGCCCTTGATTAGTTCGGCACTCAGGCGACTTCTATATCCACAGGCATACGGGACTACTCCATGCGCCGGAGGCTACGTGACAGGCGCATGTGGCTCGATGCGACCCTAGACAGACACCCTTTGCGTTTTTAAAACGCGACACAAACAAGCGATCAGTGGGTGTTGTTTGCTTCTGAGGAAAGCTTGATATCCGTCCGATCCGAGGTGTTCCAATTCGCAAACCGACGAGCCGGGCGAGGTTCGGCTACAATCACACGAATTGAGCATGTCACTCACGGCCCGCTTGGACACAAGAAGGATGCGAGGTTCTCTGAGAGGAGGGATATCGGCAAATGTTGCCCCCTGGAAATGGTTTCGTCCAGGAGGGGCCGTGTCAGATCTGTGCCAAGTCCTAGGCCCGGTGGAGATCAACGGGCGTGCGTTGCGGGTGGGCCGCAGGGAACGAAACACGGGCGAGCCTAAATCAACCCCGACGACGTTGAGCACGCCAGGCACGCTGAGGCGGGCGGCAGACGTGCTGGCACGCAGCCTGACGCAGGGTAGGGGAATGCATGGGCTCAAACTTTAAGCTTCCCGTGTCTTGTTCGGATCTTCAGAGTCGGGTGTTTAAGATTGAGAGGGGCGGATGGTCAATGACGGCTCCAAAGAGGCTAGAAATCCAAAGTCAGGTTTCGACACGCGATCGGCGTGCAGGGACGACCTTGATTCTGCTTCTGCAAGCTCTGGGGACGAGTGGGAGAGAGCACACACGAGCTGCCAGCTTGGCTCCGGGGCTGGTGGCAACCAATTACGACACATCGGGGCAGAAGAGGCCCAGAAGGAGAGGAGAAGAGGAGCGCGGAGTGGAGTGCGGTGGAGTTGGAGTTGGAGTTGAGCGAGACCCAGACTCAGCAGGGACTCGAGGACAGAGACACGCAGATTTGCTGCAGAGCTGCCACCGAAAGGCCATCTGCGGACCGATCCAGCCCACCGAGACACGTTTCACAGCAGTCGTCGCCGAAGCAAGCGAGCGAGGGCGACGAGAGCGACGAGTCACTGCATCGGACTGCAGCGAATGCAAGTCCTCAATGGACCGAGGCCGGACGAATGAATGCAAGACATGCATCACATCACACCATGCCGATTCGTCAAGCTGAATGGCCGCAGCCGCCGACGATCCCGGCCGCATTTGACGGCGGTCGCACCAGGAACAGGACAAAGCTCATCGCATAGAGCTGCGCTGCAGATCATGGCTGCTGGGCAAGCGGCCGCCCAGCTCCTAGGCCGTGTCGTGCTGCTCCCTGATTATTGAGGTCATCATTTTGACAACACAGCGTCGTGCCAATTTCTGTGGAGACACTGACACCGCCAGCTTGCGGGTTTTTTTCCTCCTCTGGCTCTGGCACTTGGCCTGTCTGGCCTATCTTTCTCCCTGCTTGCCCCTGGCCTTTGCGGTAGTGACGGCAGATCATCTCTGCCGACGGGCGTGTGTCCGGAGGTGAAGTCATTTATCGAGTTCTTATTCATGCGGCTGCAGATAGCCTTTCAGCACGTGCCAATGGACCTCCTTGTCATAGATTTGCGGGCCGACGGCGGTGACGGGGACGGTGACTGTGATCCGGTGAAGGCGCCATGCTGGATTCTGATGCATCCTTCGAGTGCGACGGCAACTGCTCCCGCATCCGCCACAAACACCACAATATCGCTCATTCAGCCTCACGATACTCATGCATATGCCCTCAGTCAGACGGAGCGTCAGCCCGAATGACTCCTGCGTCTGGCCATGGGTGCAGGACAGGCTGGACTAGTTGAAGTAGTACAGGATTAGACCAGGCTGGACTGAGCTGGATACGAACGAAGCTGTAGTCAGCAACAAGCGAATGGCGCCCGGGCAGGGCTCAGCGGGTATAAGTCCACTCACGAAACGTGTCTGGAGCATGCGAGGAATCTTGACGCCAGATCTGGGTTAGGATGGCTTACACCAATGGGCCGATGGAAGAGGAAATCAAATGCAGCAGCCTAGAGCCAGTGCTACCCTGCCTGCCTTTCTGCCCTTTCCATTTCTGTTGTGAGCTAGCCTGCACTTGCATTGGTAGGTACCTAGGTACGGTACTTCCCACGGTACTGTGGTACACACACGAACATTCACTCAGTCTCGGCGCGTTCGTCCCACGTCGAGCTACGAGAGCTTATTACCCACCACGTTTTGCATCCTGCCCAGCCTGCTCCCTTTTTGGTCCCCGGACCGCCGGCGGGCACACACACATTTGCTGCTTGTTTCCTGTCAGTATGAGCGTGCCCGCGTGCGTGACTGGTCCCATGCGCGACCCACCTCCTCCTCTGGTACTGGCATGGTCAAGGTTCTGATTCTGATTCCTCGTTCTGGCGTGCTCCCTTCAGCTCCGCCTTGACCATCCTGTGCTACTACAACATGACACCGTCTAGGCCAGACCGTACCGTGCCGTGAGTGACTGAGCACCACCCTCCTTCCACCCCACCCCCCTCCATCCACTGCTGTTGCACCCTTCTGCTCCGTCCCGTCCCGCCGTGGCCCTTAAAGACCATGATCGCCTCCCACCCTCAGGGTCTTGTTTTTCCTTGGCATCTCGTTTATGGGGACTTTGACGTTTTAATGAGACCTTACCTATCTACTTGCCATATACGTGCTATTCACACCCTCACTTCCTCCTGCATGTATTTCTTCTAATCACCTACACCTGTCACTCGGTCCAAGTCCCATCCACCTGGGAATCCCCTCGTCCTTTCACTTTCACAGAGGTGAAGGTGACCAACCTTCACTCGTGGACTCGTTCCAAATACAAAACCGCCGTTCACGATGACTTCAGGAATCATGGGCTCCCACGATGGAGCAACCGCTGGGCCACCGGACCACCAGCGCCAACACAAGCACGAGGTCCAGCACAACCAACGGCCGCTACCTGGGCCCTTGGACGACGGCGCTTCATCTAGCTCAGCATCGCGGAGCTCATACAGTCGGGATTTCAGCAAGCCCACAAATCCCTCCAGGGCGAACAAGACGTCATTATTGTCGAGCCTCAACCCACAAAACTGGTCCCGCAAAATGAGGGTTTTCGCAATCGTCGGCTTTGTGCTGACCATCGTGGCCCTTGTCCCAGGTAACTATTTCCCTCTCAAGACTCTCAAGACTTCCCAGAGGCTGATTCTTATCCTTTCCTTCCCCGCTCACCAGCTATCGCCGTGCCGCTCACATTGCGCCCAGGCCACAAGAGGAGGAGACAGACCTGTACTCATCAACCCACCATCCACACAGCCCATCGCCAACAACATGGACCTCAGGATCATGTCCCTTGGCGCATCAATCACCTTCGGCCTCCGCTCCACAGACGGCAATGGCTACAGGGACGAGCTCAGGGTGCTGCTCAACAAGAGCGGCACCAAGAACGTCGAGTACGTCGGCTCCCGCACCCACGGGAACATGGCCTCGAACGCGGTCGAGGGCTGGCCGGGCCTCCGGATCGACCAGGTGCTCCCCAAGGCGAAGGCCTCGGTGCCCAACGACCTGCCGAACGTGATCCTGCTCAACGTGGGCACCAACGACTGCGTGCAGAACTTCAACATGAACAACACGACGCAGAACTCGACCTCCGCGCCCGAGCTGACCTCCAACGCGAACTACACCGTCGGCACGCGCATGCGCATGATGGTCGAGGACCTGCTCGAGTGGAGCCCCAACGCGACGGTCGTCATGTCGACGCTGATTAACAACCGCTTCGACAAGACGCAGGCGCGCGTGCTGGTCGCCAACGAGCAGTTCCGCGCCGTCGCGGCGGAGCTGCAGGACGCCGGGAGCAAGGTCGTCCTCGCCGAGATGACTGCCGCCGCGGGCGGGCCCAACATGACCACCATGTTCGACCAGACCCACCCCAACGACGTGGGCTACGCCATGATGGCCGACCGGTTCTACGAGGCTATGGTGGAGGCCAGCACCAAGGGCATGATCTCTGCGCCGGCGCCGCGGTGATTCGATTCGATTTGATCGATGCGGATATGTCAGTCAGGGATCGACAGGTGGCTCATTTAACTTTGTTTGATTGAAAGCTCACCCCCGGTGGCTTGGGTCAATGACTAGCGTGGGGTGGGCAGTGCTTGTACTCGTTGCTTGGGAGTTGGGGAAGACCTGCTTGCATGGTGACAAGATGAGGGGGGAATGGGGAACGGGTTTGTGTGTTTCGGCGCACGTTGCATTCGTCTGGGTTGACCTTGAAACAAGCGAGGCGTTACTGGTCTGGTTGTGGTTTCTTCTACTCTATCATACCCCCTGGGATTGGTGGACTCATTTTCTGTAAGGGGAGACGGCGTTCTGGCACAAGGAGGGCGGGGGAAAATCAACAAGAGGACGGACCTGGTATCCTCGGCGTGGTCATGTGTATTCTCATGCTCTCATTTCTTTCCCCATTAGATGTTACGGATACCCTCGCTCGACAGAGGTAGAAGCGCCGGAGCGAATACTGAACAAGCGTCTCTTATTTTTTGATCCTTCAGTTTTTTTTTTTCTCTCTCTTTGTCGTTTTCCCTTCGGCTGTTTCTCTCACCTCTCGTGACTCGTCAATCTCAGAGGAGCATGGCGCAATAATAGAGTTATTTTGAGCAATGGAGCCCGGCGACCCTAATTTGACTCCTGGGACTAAATCACAGCTAGACCCCCAGGATCCCGGCCGTCGATCGGTTCCTCCAAGGCCGTGCCAAGCTTTTTGGGCCCCGGAGTGTCGGGCGGCCCTCTCTGTGTGTGCGTGTTCTCTCTTTTTGCGCTTGTTGGGGGCAGGGAGGGGACGAACTGGGCCACAGGCGGGTGTGGGCCACAGGCGGGTGGGGGGCACGGGGGAAATAGGAGGAACGTGCTTTTCTGGCACATCTCTGGGGGCCTGGCTGGCTGCCTGGGTTCTAGAACCGCGTGAATCGCCTGTGTTTTTTCGGGTTCGGGAGGATGCGCTGCGCCGCAGTTGATTGGTCCCGGCGTAACGTGACACGAGGGGGCGGGTGGGACCTGTTTGTAAAATGGCGCGTGTTGCCAGCTGAAAGAATGTTCTTCCTCCATACTTTTTTTTGGGGTTCTGACCACCACACCGCAGCTGGGGAAGGGGGAGGGCGGTAAAGAATAATCGTGGCTGAGGTCCCTGGATTTTAGTCTACAGTAGCTCGAGAGTAGCTTCGGCGCCCCTGGCGCGATCCTGGTGATGATGTGCAAGCAGGCAGCGACCGCGCCGTTCTTGGGGGTTGCAGGTCGGAATCTCGTTTTTGTCATTTCGTATGTGCTTCATGCTAAATACTGTACAACCCGGCAAGATGATCGAGTCAAGTATCAAGACTCGCGTTCACCGACTATCCTGGAGCAGCCTGTAACGCCAGTTGTTAAGTATCGCAACTCCGTCCGTCGTACATGAACACCTGGGCATTGTCCCACAGAAAAGGTATGCTCGCGTCTTTGCGTCTTTGCGCCGCCAAAAAAAGGAAGTCCCGCATTACGGCCCGAAGACCTTCTTATAATGTTCCGTGAGCCTCTCACACAGCCTCTCCCTGCCCTTCCACTCCTCCATGATATCCTGAAGCTCGCAACCCGACTGGACCATGATATCCCAGATGCTCTGTTCTACATCAAAACCGAATCTCTTCACCAGCTCCTCTTTCGAGCCAAGTAGTCGTAGCCTCGTTTCTCCGTCAACTGACACCAAGTCACCCTCGTCGACCAGGTGACCTGCATTCATTTTAGGCGTATTGGAATGCAGGAACATCGGCCGGATGGATTCGTGGCCCGTGGTCTCGTGTTTGAGATCGTCGGAGGGCAGATGTTGCACCATTGCCGTCCCCTTCTGCGTGGCACCGTCGTGCCGGCCGAGGGACGCGGCTGCTGTCTTTGTCCTGTAATATGTGGCGTTGAGGGCAACTGCAGCTGCGAGAAATGTCTCCTTGTCGCCTTGGCCGAGCGCGCCCTGAGACAGAAGGGGGTAGTAGTAATCTGGGCCAAATATGTTATAATATGTGGCCAGCAAAAGAGGCGCTAGGTGAGTCGCCTTGTTGACAGCAAGCTGGCCCGCCTCGCTCGCCGTAGCCGGCAGGTACGAGGGGAATTCTTTGCCAGCTATATTCCAGTACTTGGGGCTCTCGGTCGAGCGCCAGAAGTCGGGCCATATGATCAGGCCCTTTGATTTGTACGGCTCGGTTTCGAAAATGTTGAGAAGAGGGTCGAGGACTGGGATGCTGTCGCTGTCGAGAAGTAGCACGTCGGAGTAGGAGGAGAGCAGCAAAGCCAGAGACTTAAGCTGGTAGTGCGTGATCTTCAAGTCTGCGTCGTCCTTCTGGCTGACCTTGATCTTGCTCTTGTCGAGTATGTCCGAGAGCACCACGCACTTGGCACCTAATTTCTTGAGGTAGTTCTTGCAGACTATCTCCTCGTACTCGCTCTTGTCAGGCACGAAGACCTCGACTGGGAGGTTGCTGCCGGTGCGACGCAGCATCTGGATGCTGATGATGGCCGGGCCAAAGTACTCTCCTCCGCCGACCATGACGACTCCTTTCCCCTTGAAAATGCCTAGGCCCTTCCACTGACTCCCTTGTTGTTGCTCGCCGTCGGCTGTGTGATTCCCAAACTCCTTCTCCAGCCCGCTGACGAATTTCCTGTGCAGCAGACGCAAAACGTCGATGTCCTCTTCGGGGTTGCGAAGATGATCTCTGTATGGTTCCCGTGTCTCTTGCCCCTGCTTGGGCTTGTGTGCTTGCGCATGGCCGCCCAGGGCTATCTTTGGCACCTTCGGACGTGATTCATATATAGCCCTGCTCCATTTCTCCCAGAATGCCTCGATTTCTTTTGTATCTCCGACGGCCTGCTTCTGTATATCGTTTTCGCCCTTGCTCTCTTCAACGGGCGGTGATGCTGCCGCTGGCTTCTTGTCGCCTTGATTCGTATCTGGTTTCGAGTCCGGGGAGGGTTTGTCGACGCCATGTGCCTTCTCTTCGACGGCCTGTGCGATGGCGGCCTTCTTCTCCTCGTCGGACTTCTCGAAGGGCAAGATAACTTGGGGCAGCTCGCGGTTCTTCGCGTTTGCCTCTTCCTCTGCGGCCTTCCACTCGGCCGATACTTCCTGGATGGCCTCCTCGATTGTGTGCTCGACGTTCCGGCGATATCGGATCAAGACGACAATAAGGGCCAAGAAGGCAACAACGGCCAACAATCTCCTGGTCAGCCGCATCTTGGAGGCTTGACCGCTGCTATGTCTGCATTGTTGGTGGCGGGACAGATGGCGATCGGAGGCCAACGCGCACGGAGCAAAAAGCGAATGCAGGTGCAAGCACAGATACAAACACGGGTGCAAGTAAAGAGAGGCCTGCCGACGGCTGTTCGTGAGGTGGCAGGGAGCGATGTTTGATGGAGCGAACGTGCAAGCTGGAGCAGACAAATCTTTCAACGACGATCTGCTTGGCCTGGGCTTCTTGGGTGGTTAGCTTGGTGCTGGGTGGTGGTGGTGTTGATTCATTCCTCCTTATCGCGCAGCTGCAGCCAAAGTCGCCATCGAAAAAGTGGATAAGGGGCGCAGAGCACTGAGGTGTACGCAGTAACACAACCCTGCAGACCCCTGCTCGGACGAGCCCTCAGTGGCCCCCGACCCTGAACTCAGGGGCTGGCCAGCCGCAAGCAGGCATCTTGGCCGGACGAGAATAGCAGTCCTGGATGAGACGATGTTGGATGTGAGCTTTGATCAAAGTCATGAAGAGCAACGCAGATCTCTGCTCTGCATCTTCAGAATATGACGAGATGCGGGGACGTCGAGACGAGGAGATGGTGGGATCAATACCGAAAGGGGATTGAATATTGATCAATGGTTTCGGCTCGGCTGAATTGGGCTGAGGACGGTGATTCTGCCGTTCCTCTGCCGTGCGGTTGCACACGAGGCCTGACAGCCCAATACGCATGACGCAGTCTCACCATTTACCCGATCGGTGCACAACATGGGCCAATACTGAACCTGGCGATGTGCAGCGATGCTCACCGCAACCCAACATTGGCCAAGGGAAGTGGATTGGGCGATGCCGTTTGCCGATGCGGCTTACGGGGGCCACGTTGACGTCACCCGCTTCCTCTGTTACAGCTCACAAAACATGTGAGAGTGTCTGTGTGCACGCTTCAAAGTTTATCGCCGACAAGCAAACTTCGAGGGAAAGGCTGCTCAATCGAGTGGAATTGAATTCATCTCATCTCATGATCAGCACAAGGGGCGGGACGGACTGCGGCGGCCTCAGAAGCCCGCAAGAAATAAGCTTTCGGGAGCCAGCCCTGGGTCCTCGACTCGTGCAGGTAGACGGGCTTGTGTGCTGCATGGTTGCAGTAGTGCAGCACGGACAGACTAGACTACCAAGCTTCAAAGCAAGAGCTCAAAAAGTCAAGACCACTGTCAACTGCTGCTGGTTAACCGTACCGTAATCAGGCTTGGCAGGGGTGTGTGAGCCGTCTGGACTGCCCGATGCAGATGCAGCTTCCAGGGCAACGTTGACATCACCAGCTCCCTCGGCCACAGCTCTCAGCACATATGGCTGCGTCTGTGTGCGCCCTGCAAGCTTGCTGTTCATCGAGTCAAATCGGACTCGCCCCATCTCATGGATTGTATTTATCAACAGTAGCTGACGTCCACTACGGGAGGGCTACATTCTTGTCTCTCTCGCTGTCATCAACGGGATGATTGATGATGCTATCAGAGTCGCTGACCATCTCATCCATGTCGCTCACGCCACCTTTCTTCCTGTCCTGGCGCCTGAAGTAAGCCCTTTTCAGCCATTTCCAGCCTTCACACCCGGCAAAGAACAGGATGCTCTCGACCACGACTATAGCCCATTCCCAGGTGATGCCCTCGTGCTTGAAAACGACGTGATTTATAACGGGGATATAGAGTGTGGGGAAAATAGTGACGAAGCCAGCTATGATGGCCCAAAACAGGAAAGGGTTCTGCCGGCTATCGCTCCACCACTGGTACAAGACGTGGTACCACCGATAGTTGCCGCTTGGGTGCATGGTTTTGGGCACTTGGCGGAAGAAGGATCGCCTGAAGTTTACCATCTCCCACGCCAGGAACAATGCAAACCAAGTCAGGCAGACAAACGTTGTGGCTCGGGCACGGAAAACAAGAGTGCACGAATCAGAATACTCGTTGTTGCAGTTGACGCCTGCTTCCAGTCAGCCATCAAACTCTGCCCATGTCCTCGTCCAAGATATGACAGCGTCACCTACCGAGGTTGCCATCTCCGAAACCGAAGACGACTAGGACGAAGGATGCGAGGCAGAGGATCGACATCCAGATGCCGTACACAACCATGTCGACTATGAGCTCAGTCGTAAAGACACCGGTCTTGAGATCATGCGGCGGACGGCTCATGATGTCTGGAACAGCCACCTCCATACCAAGTCCCATATCAGGCATGCCTGAGGTTGCCTACGCCAATGACCCGAATTAGCTGGGGCTCTCATATATTTCCACAAGTAAGACGGCCTCGTACCATAATGACCCAAAGAATCTGCACGGGTGCCAGAGGGAACACTGAGTTACCACTGGCATCTTTGAAGGCTAAACCAACAAGTAGAGTTGTAGCCTGTGCAATGTTTTCAGCAAGAACATGGAGCACAAATCTCTTGATGTTGTCAAAGAGCCTCCGTCCCTCCTCAACGGCGTTCAGGATTGAGGCAAAGTTATCATCTGTGAGGATAATGTCCGAGGCGTCCTTGGCAACGTCACTCCCCGCCTGGCCCTGTACTCGTTTGTTAGTGGTGACACTGACGTGCTATTATGAGAAGGCATATCAAGGACGGTTCAACGGTCCTGGAGAGCACAGGGGGTTTCATACCATGGCAATACCAATGTCCGCCCGCACAAGCGACGGCGAATCATTGACTCCGTCACCGGTCATGGCAGCAAACCTCTGCCTGCGGTGCAGGGCGTCGATCATCCTGACTTTGGTCTGGGGCGTACAGCGTGCAATGACGCGAGGGAGCGTCGCCAGGGCATCCACCTGGTCGTCCGAAAGCTTGTCGAACTGCGAGGCCGTCATGACCATGGACGTCTCGGGGCGTGCCGGGATGATGCCGACCTGCTTCGCGATGGCTGCAGCCGTCCCGGGGTGGTCGCCCGTGAGCATGTGCACCGTGATGTGCGCCCTCCTGCAGGCGGCCACCGCCCCCGCCGACTCCGGACGCGGGGGGTCGTAGATGCCTATGAGACCACGGAAAGTCAGGTTCCTCTCAACTTCGTCGCGTTTGAGACTCGCCAGGTCACCACCACCACCACCACCACCACCACCGGCCTGCCCGCCATTCCAATTCGTGCTGGCAAGACACAAGACGCGGAGACCTTGATTGGCGAGGTAGTCGACGTTCCTCATGATTTTATCGGTCCATTCTGAACCCTCTTGCGTGACGGGCTCGCCGTCGGGGCCTTGGAAACTGGTGCAGAGGGGAAGCAAGCGCTCGACGGCACCCTTCGAAAAGACCCAAGAGTCTTGTCCTCCAGATTTGGTCTTCCTGCCGTAGATGACGGACATGCGCTTGACGTCCGAGTCAAAGGGGAACTCGGCTACTAAGCTCCACTCCTTGGCCTCATCCACGAGCCTCGTCCTGTTCCAGTTGAAGCGCGAGGCGAAGACCTGCATAGCGATTTCTGTGGGGTCGCCCTTGGCCGCCCAGTTACCGTCTTTCGATCGCTCAACCAGTGCTGTGTTTGCCATGGATGCCACGTTCATGAAGGTCTCTATGTTGATGTGCTCCGCTGTCACCTGACCAGAATACAACCGAGCCGCATCGAGAACCCTCTGAGCATTTTTCGAGACAGCTTGGTTCGACTCAGGCTCACCATCGTGGTGGACGATAGTACCCATGGAAGGGTCATACGGATCCTTTGGGTTGTCAAGAGTAAAGGTCCCCTTGCCGGCAATCCACGCTGCTTTTGCAATCATGCGACCTTGTGTGAGAGTTCCTAGAGCACACAGGATTAGCATTGATCGCGCGAAGGTGAGATGTGTGTACATGTAGCATAGTGAAGAATAAAGAGATGGAAATGAGATGCCCCCCATACCAGTCTTGTCCGAGCAGATGTTGGTAACAGCCCCCAGGGCTTCCAAACTATCCAGCTTGCGGACAATCACATTTCTCTTGCTCATATACTTTGTACCGACGGCCATTGTAATTGTCAAGACGACGATCAAACTCGCCGGTATCATACTCAGGCCGGTCGCCACACCATAAATAACCACCTCGTTTGCAGGGCTAAAGTTGTTTGCTGCCTCTACAATAAATGCGCATAGGCAAGCGATCCCGAACAGGAGAATGGCCAGCCTGGACAACTTCCGTTGTAGTGGCGTGCCAACATTGGTACCAAGGAAATTGCCAAACACCGTCCATGCCGTAAGAGACCATGCTTGCAGGTATTGAAGCGGCCCGGCCGAGCCGTCTGCTCGACGCTTCACCGGCTGTACGACGGAGTCCTTGTGACGGAGTGCGCTGGCTATCTTGCCAATCTCTGTTTCCATTCCCTAGTGATGTGCGGTCAGTAAGCGTGGGTGAGGCGAGGCGGAAGGGAAGATTCAGGCCCACAATAGCGAAGACCACGGCTTTGGCTCGGCCTTTGGTTACTGTGGTCGAGCTGAAGGTCAAGTTTAAGCGGTCGCCTGCACCAGTCTCTACGTCGAAGGTAGAGTCGGCGTTCTTGGCAACTGGCAGAGACTCGCCGGTCAACAGCGCCTCATCCGTTTCCAGATTGACAGATTCGATCAGACTATCATTCCCATTTAGTGAACAAACGGCATGATATCACTTCGTCAAAGCATTGCAGGGCTTGACAAAATTGTATCCAAATCAGGGCGAGCAGACATACCGTAGATCGGCAGGGACTGTGTTGCCAGTCACGAGCTCAACGATGTCACCAGGGACGAGCTGTGAGGTTGGAATGACTCTGCTCGAGCCCATGCGGATGACTTGGGCGGTGGGTGAGCCCAGAGTTCGGATACTCTCCAGAGTCTTCTCGGCCGAATACTCTTGTAGGAACCCAACCACGACGTTGAGGAGGACGACAAAGGCGATTACGCCGCCTTCGATCCATGACTTGATGGCGAAGCTCGCAACCATAGCCATGATCAAGACCTATGTATCATTAGCCCGGAACTTACAGACGATTGACTGGGCTCATGGGACTGCCAACAACAAACCATTGTGAGTGCATTGAGAACCTGGTTCATCAGAATGCGGATGGGACCCGCCCCACCGCTTCCTTCGAGTGCATTGGCGCCATAGTTCTCTTGCCGTTTAGAGACTTCACTTTCGGAAAGTCCGCTTTGTGCATCGGACCGAAGCTGTTCCAAGACATCTCCCGCGGATATGCAATGAGCTGGTTGACTCGTCACCTGCACGGTGACATCGCCAAGCGGGCCGGGCTTTTCGGCCGAATGCTTGCCAACCATGACTGCCGGCAGACGGAACTGAGTGAAAACAGCTCGAGGTCGTAAAGCATATATGTCTGTATGTATCAAGGCCGCCTCGCCGTCTGTCACAATGAATTATGGAGAAACCCCGGGAAACACGACAAGAACGCATTCAGCTCCTGGCAAAACCACTGATTGCGTCTCAGCGGCGCCCGAAGGCACAAGGGGCGAGCTGCTCGTGCTCTAAATAATCCCACAGCATTCTGTCCTCCACCTCACCGCTCCGTGGCGACACCTTCGCGCCTCGGCGGTGGTTCGGCAGTTCGTGCTTGGGCGTTGCAACACTGTGCTCAGGTGTCTCTCGGCAACACATGGCTCGGACCCCCGTGAAACAAGACTCGATTCACAGCCGGATTGAAATCAAAATAAGTTTTCTTTCTTTATAAGACATCTTGTTTAATACGTCTAAATTGCATTAAACATCCTTGCCTCAATTTAAGTTGATCCAGGAGAATAAGTTATAACGAAGCCTGAAAGACAGCATAAAACATTTGAGTACAAAACTATTTGATATATAAAAAAATACATCACAATTCTAAGTATACCACAACCCACTCCTCATTTCACATATATGAGGAGCTCCTCTGCATTGCCCGATCTGTAGCCTTGGCCTTACAGACTAGCGAGGCGCCAATGCTTGGGCCGTCACAATGTGGTTGGCTCTCAGCATTGGCAGAGATTCATACAGTTTTGTTTACTTGATGGGTCATTTCTCGGCCTTGGCAAATCCACCTGGCTATGTAGTGTTGGATGAATGCAAGCCCCCTGCAGTTACTACAGTAGTGTACAAATAAATCACTTGAACCACACATGTACAGGACAGGACTGTAGTAGATGACAACACTCAGGAAGGCTGATCATATTTGGTACCGCAATGAGTAAACTGCATTCCTACCAAGCTAATGTGATCCATTTTGCAACTCCTCTGCTGCTTTGGCCGAGAAGGTACTGCTGTGCCTCACTGGGTCGGCTCCATAAAAACCTGGCCAACATGCTGTTCTTTCCCCACACCCTCTCACCACCATGCATGTACAGTTTTCGACCCCGGCATCCAGAGAATTGGCATCTCTTGGAATGACGATCCTCACAGACAGGAGGCGCCGCGCCGGTACCCACCCTAACCGAACCATCTGCTTCCAACACGGCGTCAGTGGCAAGTGCTGACAAGGTGGCCAAGAGTTATGTGACACGCCGCAAGTAAGGGCCCTCGGTACCCATTCAAGCTTTAATTGACCGAGGGCTCCTGTGCGCGAGGTTCGTTAATTCTATCTTTGGAAGACCAAGGCAGAGGGCCAAGGAAGCATGTTCAGGTTGTTTCACTCGCCGCCACGCCCCGCCACTCCGGGTCGTCCGCGAACCATCGGTCTGGTGGAGATGGAGGGTGTGGATCCTGATCAGAGAAGCGCTGGTGTGTACCGGCGCTCGACTTCTTATTAGATTACGCCGTAACAACATGTGCAAACAGGGCTAGTCCGATGCTCCTCCACCCTCAGCACGTTTCCCTTCTCTCCTGACCATTTCTGCTTTCTGGCTCCCTCGCAGATGTTATCTCATAGCTTATTCTGTGCTTTCCCAACATAGACTCTTTCATCTTCGCTGTCCGGCTTTTTGGAATGTGTTAATTTCGGCTGGCCGATTTACATTTCTTTCCCCTTGTCCCTTGGTCACACTGTCAAGAGGCGTCGTGTTTTCTGAAGTTGCAGTCTTCCTTTTGAACTGGGCCTCCTTACATTTCTTCCTACCTTCTTAGATTTCGTTGTATTCTTTCGGAATGCCTTCCCTGGATGTTAGCGAGCTCAACACGGTCATCGCCGTGTTAGGTAGGTCCCGTATACCATGTTCAGCTAGCCTATTAGTACTAAGTATTGCCCAAGGCGCTTTTATTGTCATCTATGGTGTTGTGTCTGTGAAGATCAAGCAGGTCTGGTACTTGGGCGAAGCGTGTAAGTTCTCCTGGGATTATCACCAGCAATAATTGAGAGGAGTCCTCCACTAACCCATTCTTCGAAGTACCCGCCGTCCTTATCGGGGTCATATTGGGACCCATATCTGCGAAATTCCTAGATTCGGAAAGATGGGGCTCCGCTGTTGAGGGTCAACAAGAAAGTATCACTCTGGTATGCCTTGGCATCACGTCCTGTCAGTAGGCAAGGAGGCCAATACTGATCGATGGCTGACGCGTCCGATGATGCTAGGGCATAACCCGTGTCGTAATAGGCGTGCAGCTCGTGATTGCAGGCTTTCAGCTGCCAGCCAAATATCAAATGCGTCGCTGGGTTGAGATGGCGATATGCCTTCTGCCAGTAATGACTCTGATGTGGCTTTTCACCACCGTGTGTATCCTCGTCACCATTCCGAACTTGTCTCTGGTGAGTGCAACATACGTCTTCGCTGCCTAAGGGCCCCCTCCTGACATCTGATGTGTCTCCATGATTGTAGCTCGCTGCTCTTGTGATCGGTTCGTGTGTCACATGCACGGATCCCATTCTTTCTCAAGCCGTCGCCAAGGGGCCTTTCTCCGACAAATACGTGCGGCGAGACTTGCGTGAGATTATCTCATCCGAAGCAGGAGCCAACGATGGTTTTGGATTCCCGTTCCTGTTGTGCGTATATCAGATTGATAGACACGATCCTGCACTGACATAGGCCTTCGCATAACCTAGACTCGCGGTGTATCTCATCCGCCATGCAGACCTCGCAAATGTCGTCTTCAAAGAGGGCATCACTGTTTCGGAAGCTGGAGCCGCCGTCTCCCATTTCGTTGAAAGAGCTACCGAAGCGGCCGCAGGAGCAGCTCATGATCCCTCAGTCGGCAGACTCGGCGGCGGCTTGGGACGGGCTATGCAGGAATGGTTTGTGGAGGGTTGGCTATACATCGTCCTGATGAGCGTGGCAATAGGTGTTATCCTAGGCTACGGCAGCATGTACGCCATCAAGTTCTCTCTAAGGAAGTAAGTGAGGCGAGCATGCCGGATCAAAAGGAAAGGAAAAGTAGCGAGCGCTAAATAATCCATCACAGAAAGTGGATCGACAATGAGAGTCTTCTCTTATGGCCAACGGCACTTGGAGTAAGTAGAACTTCCCAGGAGGACTGGCTATCTGGAGGTGGGTGATACTGACCGTAGAACAGCTTTTCACCATCGGGGTGTGCGGAATGCTCGGAACTGACGATTTGCTCGCGTGTTTCGTCGCCGGGAACGCCCTGAACTGGAATGGGCAATTCCTCGAGGAAACCGAGAAGCGACATGACGAGGTCAGCAGCTGCGTGGATGTGATCTTGAACTTCGGTGGCTTCATGTATATCGGCACGATCATGCCGTGGGAAGCCTTCAACCAACCAGATGTCACCGGCATCACGCTTGGTCGACTCTTCGCGCTCGGCTTCTTGGTCCTGCTGTTCCGACGGATTCCTGCCATCTTCATGGTGTACAAGTTTATGCCCAGGGTCGTCAAGGACTGGAAAGACGCCTTGTTCATGGGATACTTCGGCCCTATCGGTAATCGAAGACTCCATGTGCCCCCGAACCCACTCAGTGACGTCGCTTGCTGACACGAGATGTTACGAACAGGCATTGGGGCCGTGTTCTATGTTGAGCACACCCGACATCTGTTCCCAAAACCTGGCGAGGCTCTTACCGAAGAAGAGGACAAGTTGACTCGGGCTATGATACCAGTCGTGTACTGGCTCGTGCTCTTCTCTATTGTTTTCCACGGGCTCTCGATTCCTGCGCTTGACCTCTTCTACCGATGGAAGGGCGTACCACCGATCGTTGAAGACAGCCCCACTGAAGTGCAGGTGCTGTCTACCACCGAGGCCCTGCCAAACAATGCCTACAAAGACCCGACCAAGCGAGGCAGCATCATGGTCATGAACCGGTTCTCACGCGGCTCCACTATTCGTTTCCATTTCGACGAAAACGATGAGAACAAGCACAAATCCTGGGATTATGTCAAGAACAAGGGTATGTATGTGACCGCGTCTTCCTCCATGACCGTGGAAACTGACGCGCGGGAAAGATGTCGACGATATTCGCCTTGCCAATAACGTGCAAGGTGTACCCTACTACAAGGCAAGAAAACCAGGGGACCCCAACGACATTGAACTTGAGGATCGCAATGATTCCGTTGGGGTCGAAGGGCGGCCTAGAGAATGGGTTTGACAATCCCAAGCAGTCTTTTTAGAGTGTGTAGAGGATGAGAAGAGTGTAAAAGGTCGATGTTGAGAGGATGGCGTGGAGTTGGAGTGGGGGACAAAAAAAAAGATACGTAGTTTTCTTAGCAATCCACCAAGAACAGGGTGGGTGTACAGGGTGCGCGGACGGTCAGAGCTGCAGTGGTTGGGCCGGGCCCTGGCTGGTTTCCAGAACGGCAGGCAATGACCTCATCAGTCGCATCATCAGTCATCAGCTTGCTCGCGTGCATTCACCTTGTTTTCCTTGATCTGCACTCGCCCAGGGAGGGGCCACTTGTTAATTCCAGGTGACAGTTACAGTATATCAGCCAGACTCCAGTCCTGCCACGCTCGAGCTACGCTACTTGGACCACAGGGCTTGGCTTGCACCCATCGCCAAGACGTATCATCCTGCGCACACGATCTTCCCCGTCGCACCCTGCTAGACCCAACCCAAACCCAGTCGGTGCCGAAATGGTCGGAAGACATGGTCTGAATGCCTTCGGAAGCGGCAAGCCCAGCACAAGCTCTGGGGTCAGCACCAAACCCAGCACCGGCACCTTCCGACACGGTGGAAATCCGTACAAGCCCAAACCAGCCATCTTCCGTTTCCAGGACGGGGCAAACCACGCACTGGAGGATGAGAGGAGGAACCAGCTCAAGCACAAGCTCATAGACTCGGTCAAGGGCGACGAGCTCGAGAAGTTCCGCAAGACAGATGACCAGCTCAAGGCCATCAAGGACAAGAAGATCAGGCATTTCTACGAAGACCAGAACGAGACCCTGGACGACTGGCTCGAAATCGACTCGGTCGTCCGCAGCATCGCAGACGATATCCTCGAGTCTTTCGACCCCGACAGAGACCATGACGGGCACCGGGAACACGCCGGCAATCTGCAGCTGCAGAACGAAGACGTCGAGGCATTCCTCCCGCAGCAGGAAATCGACCACCGCAGGAAGGCCGAGAGAAACGCCCGAAGGGCCATCAACGTGAGTGCTCCCATTCTTGACCCCCGACCGTGCTCCACTAATAACTATTCCAGGTTAACGTGGTCGCCAACATCCTGCTGCTGGCCGCCAAAGTAACGGCCTGCTTCTTCTCCTCATCGCTGTCCCTCATCGCCTCGACCGTTGACTCGGCCCTGGATTTACTTTGTACCATCATCGTCTGGACCACCAACCGGCTGGTGCAGTGGCGTCTCACTGCTCTCCAGCGACGGTTCCCTGTCGGCCGCAGAAGGCTCGAGCCGCTCGGAATCTTGGTCTTCTCTATCTTCATGATCCTGTCCTTTGCACAGATCCTGCAGGAGTCGGTCGAGAAGCTCATGCCTTCAGGTGACCACACAACCGTTAACCTCGGAGTGCTCGCAATGGCAGCCATGATAGCAACCATCGTGATCAAGGGCATAATCTGGTTTGGGTGCATCAAGGTGAAAACAACGCAGGTCCAGGCCTTGGCACAAGACTGCAAGACAGACGTCTATTTCAACGTCCTGTCGCTCTTGTTCCCCCTGATAGGAAAGCAGGTCGACGTCTGGTGGCTCGACCCCACTGGCGCCGCCATCCTGTCTCTCTTCATCATCTGGGACTGGGCCGGTACCGCCTTCGAAAACGTCACGCGGCTGAGTGGCTCCGCGGTCGACGACAGGCTGTTCCGGAAGCTCATATTCCTCGCGTGGCGGTTCGCACCAATCGTTGAAGGCTTCAAGAATGTGCAGGCTTACCATGCCGGTGATGGCGTCTGGGTTGAGGTGGACATTCTCTTGGATCACCGCACACCTCTCATGAGATCCCACGATATCGCCGAAACACTACAGTACTGCCTTGAGGGCCTACCCGAGGTCGATCGCGTGAGTCTTCAACCTTTTAAGATTTCTTGACGCGTTAAATGTGTCGACTTTACTAACGAAGACCAGGCATTTGTGACGACCGATTACGCCGAGTCAGGCCCGACTGGACACAGTTCCAACCAATGCTGAGATAATAATGTTGGGGCGGGGAGTACAATTCAGCCGATAGGAAGAACAATGTCATTGCAGGATTTGGCTAGACCTAGGAAGGACCAACTAACACTAATTTATACATGAAAGAGATACGCTGCTGCAGACAGTGAAGATTTGGATTCGCACGTTTGACATGTCGTCGATCCGTGATAAAGGCATAAGATACAATGAAGTTGAAGTGCGACGCTGCTGGCAAGCTGACGAAACAAAAGAACAGCAAACTAAAGAACGTTATACACGCACGGCACACGAGCGACTCGTATCGAACAAACTCACCCACCCTGAGAGATCCTTAGATTCCCGAATCATCCTGCTTGGCGATCTGATTGAACGAGCTCCAAGACGAGCAGGTGTTCTGCACAGCGGTCTCGTCCGTAGCCGGCATGGCCGCGACGATCTCGCTCTGCCGCTCCACGAATTCCAACGCAAACCCCCCGGATGCGTGCCACGCAATGTGGCAGTGTGTAAGCCAGGTGCCGGGGTTGTCCAGCTTGAAGGCTATGGCGAGGTACTGTCATTCCATTCGTCAGCGAATGCGCTCGATGGAGATGGAGAAAACCCGAGCCGGCCTGTGGCAATGCCATGGGCCAAAGAAGCTCGAAATTCGACCGGGCACCCAAGAACTCAGAAGGATGAGGGTGAAAAAAAAATGGAAAACTACTTACGCCGTTTCCGGGCAGGGTCGCCACGTCCCGACGAGGCGGGTTGGTGAGGGTGATGTTGGTTTGGGCCGGGTCGAACGTCCCGGCATCCTGGGCGACGACCCAGAAGTCGTGCCCGTGGAGGTGGATAGGATGGAACGCGCCGAAGCCAGTAGCATCCTGGATGACAACTAAAACTGTGTCAGCCAGCCTGCAGTGGAGAATCTGAAGTTATGTGACGTGGGAGCTTCTCAAGAACGCAATAAGAAGGGCGGGGTGGGGGGGGGGGTGGCTGTAATTTAATAGGAGAAGGACTCGTGCTTACGCATTGTCCAGTCAGACGAGGTCCCGTTGACGGAGACGACGTTGTACTCGGTGGGGAAGGTGAGGCTCCCGTTCACGACCCGGGTGATGGTCGGGTTCGCCCAGTCCAGCAGCAGGCTGCTGCCGTTGAGGGTCCACTTGAAGTAGGAGTCGAACTTGAAGTTCAAAGTCTCCGAAGCCGTCGTGGTGACGGTGCCGACGTCCATGGCCACGTGGGGGACGAGGCTCTTGTACGGCTCGTCGTTGCAGCTCGAGGCGGTTGTCACCGTGGAGTTGCTGGTCGGGGTCGCGGTACTACTATTATCGTACCGCACGATGCCCGTTATGCCGTTCGAGTTGCCGTTGGTCATGCACGCGTCGACCCACGCGCCGCGCAGCCAGTAGTCGCCGGGGGCCGCGTTCGCCTCGACGATCACGTCGTACCGCTGGCCCATGGTCAGGAGCACCGAGTCGGCCGTGTACGGCTTGATGGGCACGAGGTCGTTGGCGATCACGGTGAGCGAGTGGCCGTCGATGCTGAACTGGAAGTGGCCGTCGATGGCGACGTTGACGAGCCGGATGCGATACTTCTTGCCCGCCTGGAACCTCGTCTCGAACTTCTTGCCAACGATGCCCGTGCAGGTGTCGGTGGAAGTGCAGTTGTACGTGTTGGTCCCGTTGATGAGGCCATTTTCCATGGTCGGCGGGGCTCCCTGCTTTGCGGTGTTCCAGAGCGAGAAGGCGGTATTGTGGGCCCAGTCCTGGAGATGAATCACCCCGAGGTCCTCGTCGTAGTCTGCCGTTGCTGGTCCGTTGATGATCATAGGCCCGAAGACGCCCATGCCATACTGTAGACTCAGGTGGCTGTGGTACCAAGTGGTGCCGTATTGCGTCAAGTGGAAGCTATATGTGAGCGAAGACCCAGGAGCGATTGGGCATTGGGTGACCCCGGGGACACCATCCGCGGCTACAGAGTTGAGCTGACGGATGCCGTGCCAGTGGATAGCGGTTCCATTAACCGCCAGATTGTTGGTGACGTGAATGTTTAGACGGTCTCCCCAGTCAGCCTGCAATATGGTTAGCGAAGTCCCATTCATTGGGTTGGTGATCTTGACATCTTACCATGATGAGGGGACCAGGCATAGTGCCATTGACGGTCTGACACGTCGTGTTGACTCCATCCGGGGCGCAAGGCCCTTCTTGGACGGAAAGATACACATCACGAGTGACACCGGTATCAGGGAAAACATCGTAGTAGTTGGTGTCGATGCTGAAGTTTCCCCAACAGCCGCGTGATGTAGGAGAGTTTTGGCAATTGGACTGCCTGGGCATCAAGTTGGATGGCAAGTCATGAAGCGAAAGCAGACTCATGGCTGCTGTGCGCGAGGCAACAGCCAGGAGTGATACGAATGACAGCTTCATGTTGGTGAAGGAAAAACGAAAGTTGAGTATAGAGAGTGTGTTGTCTGGAGTCTCCAGGAGAAGTGAAGGATCGGACGAATATCAACAGCTTCACACAAGTCCCTTCGGTGGGAGTGGTATCTTTTATAACATTAGTCTTGATACTCCTGGACTCGACCTCACCGCCACGAGGTAGCTCGTAAGTGCCGGCGCTGGATACTCTGGGACTGTGAGCCTGGCAGCTGAGGAAGCCCACCCTACCCTTTCGTGAGAACGACGCTCGTGACAACCATGCCATACCCCTTTTCTCGGAATGAGCATCACCACATCCTCGCCGGCGCCCGATGCCAAGCGCGTATACACCATCTTTGCGCCCTGCCCACTCCACGTTCGGCTGGCGATCGGAGACGCGAGGCGTTCTATATCCGAGATACTAAATGTGAAGAGGGCGCATGCCCATGCATGAAGACCCTGATATGCACCTCGGTGTGCTCCATAATCAGGTCGAGGAGAAGAGGTGGTCAAAGTGTTTCCTCGTGTTCGCCCCGGCGGCCAAGGCCGTTTGAACCAGAAACACGGATCGGACGGGGGCTGAGGTCAGGAGGCACAGGTCCAGAGGACGGCGATGTGCGGCGATGTGAGGCAGGTCGGTGTTGACGCGGGTGGATCAACCCTGCATATGCGGCTCGCAAACTTAGAGCGTCGCTCCAAGCCCTGATCCTGTGCCCGCCGCGGGCGAGAGCCCCTTATTCACGAGTAAGAGTCATACCGTAGAATGCGACACTGCATGACCGCGTACAGACGACCGGACTTTGGCATAAGATGAAGTCTGTGGGCACACTGGGCCGGTGTAGCACGAGTCTGAGCTCTGTGTCAGGAATAGACTTTCGATAGTATCTATCGTGGTCCCAGCCGGGGGTTGCGGCTCTGCCACATGTGACATCTCGGTTTGGTATACCGAACTTCTCAGAACCTTGACCCGGATTGATCGGCCCCAGGGAGCCTTGGAGACATCGTCTTGTATAGTTGCATCGACCTCCTCGCCGACCTCGCTTGATCGGTCGCGGTCGTCCGATCTTGGGCGCGAGGGCGCCCGCCCGACTTAGGCTCCTCAGCCGCAGTACGGTGAGGCAACCTTCATAGCACAAATCATCAGACCAGACGTCAGGCGGCTGTCATCGGAAGTGTACTATTACCGTACAAGTTGCCCTAGAGGTGAGAAGCTTGCAGAAGAATGCATATGCACGACCTAAGTTATGCGAGGGACAGTGAAAACGCAAGGCTCCCTCCGCCACTTTGGATTATTCGTCTCATTGCCTGTACCTTGAAGTGATACAAATATATGCCAACTGCTATGCAGGTTCATACGTCGATCCAAATACTGACCCATGTAAGAACCAGTAGAGCTCCAACAATCAATGTCTGCCCGCAACCCTGGAAATAATAGTCGAGGCACGCTTGCAGCAGCAGGCAGATGGCCCCCACCCTCAACTACATGCATCACTAGGCTAACTAATAATAATGTCACCAAGCCCCGATCTTGGGTTGCTAATGCTTTGAGTTGAAGCTATCAATGTAGGTTTAGTTTCTGCGGTTACTTCCGCACCGGCCAACCAGGACAGCCGAAGTCCGGACGGACATTTGTGCAGGAAGATCGGGGTTTTCGTCCCTTAGTGGATATGTCGGCATATTCAACGGTCGTTATGCGCAAGGAACATGGGCCAGGAAGAGCCATATCCAGGGACCAGTCAACCTCGGACGTGTTATTTTTTGAAACACGCGTATTTTATGACGAAGGTTTTTAATGTGAGGCACAGTCACCTCTTGGTGCCTTATTAGGTGACCAGCTGTGGCTGTGAGGCCCCTTCCTGTGGCACTGTAGGCTACCGTGACGAGCCAGCGGGATGCCGGCACAGTTGGATCTGCCTTGGATCGGGCCCGAGGAGGAAGACACAGAAAGCTTGGAATAGGGGAAGTTTTACGTCTGGGCCAATTGAGAAAGTCCAACAGGAGCTGCTGAGCCCTTCGACGCATTGCCAAGCCGCGTAGAAAAACTATGCGCGTGTTAGGGTTGCATTGGCCAATATGGTCCCCTTCATTCCCACGACCTACTTCATCGTGGATCTCTGGAGTGACCCAACGGTGGCAGGTCACGGGCCAAAATACCACAGTACGTACAGTGTTAATCCTCGTCTGCGTGCGGATGTAGACCAACGGTTCGCGGGCTTACGCGTCGGCCTGCAAGGAAACACACACCGCAAGGAGCCCGTGCCGTGTGATCGGGTAGGAGTTGAAGGTGCGACGTAATGGAAAACCTTGCACAGCACGCAGAAGCTTGTGCGTCGCATATGCCTGGCTTCCGCGGATACCTCCCTACTCCACCCTTGACTTAGGTTCTGACAACCAACCTTTTCGGGACTCATTCAACTTGATTGTTGGCCCCAGGAATCTGGCACGCTACAACGGTCACTTCGGCTTACCAAAGTTGTCCGAAAGACGCGAAGGCAACCCGTTGCATCGCCAGTGGCACCACAAGTCGGGGCTCCAACGCAGGAGGACCTCTCGGCCGGCCGCACTACCGTAATGAGAGGACTGTATGCGTATGATTGCCTATTTTGTATCCAATGAGATAAGCTGTGGTCTGAGCAACCAATATCGTGACCCGGCAATCTATAAGAGCCAAGTAGACTTCACTTCATTGAATCACGAAACCGAACAGATTCGGCGATTGACTCGCTCCAGTCACCGTGCTCAAGTATTAGTAAATCATTCCATGTGCTTACAAAACCGCAAGTTTGAGAGACCACATGAACACAAGGTTGCAGCACATGGTGGAGGGCATCCTCACGGACCTGGCACACAAGCGAGATAACCTTGGAAGGCCTCGTTTATGGCAGTATTGCCCGACCCCTGAGGCGAGGTAGCCATCTGAGCAATGAAGACGAGCCACGACTATGCACTCGAGGTCGTTACCTTGATATATGGGTACGTAAAGTGGGACGTCCGAGTCCGATACTGAGCGTCAAAGGGTTGCAATACTATCACTTTGGGTCCCACCCACCTCAAGAGATCTGATAAACCCGTGCAACAAGCTTTCCAGAACATGTCATCTGATATGTTTGTGCTCTCCCGGTGGGGGTTGTCTCTGCAGCAGCACGGTCCCTATCAGCACAAGACTGATTCGCGTGGGCAGATGAGCCAGGACGCCGCCCTGATACATGTCTTGGTCAAATGCCACTTCGATGGAATAGGGGTGCATTGATGTTGGTGTTCCACAGCGACCGGAGGTCGTAACGGAGTCTCGGGGGGATGGAGGGCACCGTAAATATACTACGCGGGTGCGCGGTCGGACAGGTAATTCGATCGTTGTTATGACTCGAGGCTGTGCATCTCCTGATTTAAAGACCCTAGTGACAGCGACGTCAACCTGTGTTCGAGTCTCATTCGAGATGAAGTCGTAGAATGCGAAAACTCTAACCACTGAGGGGACACAGACCCTGAAGGATCGAAGAATGTCTGATGTTCGACGGCAGGGTCATGGGACCCAGCTTATGAAGATCGCCCGAGTTTAGATTTGCGCAAAGTTCATGATCTCCTGTCCCCAGGTTAAGCTTGTTTTTTGACATACTTGACCGATGAAGTTTCTGGTCATGATCTTCCCTTGATTGGGACAGGCGCTGACAATGGACGTCAAGAACGAGGTGGACACGGAACACCACATCTGCAACCCCTGCCTTTTGGAGCTCCAGCACTCTGTCGGTACTTTCAAGCTGGAAGCAGGGAACGTGGTTCATGGGCACGTTAAAGGGGAGACACTTATGTCCAAGGGCAGTTTCACACGCGGAGGTACACTGGGGGCGAGACGTCCTAATCCAATCACGATGTAATGAACGTAATGGGAATGCTCTCCACACGTGTTCGTCCATCTCATTCTTCAAAGAATATCGGAAACTTGAGCAAACTCATGTCATTGGCTAGTGGAAGGTGCTACCAGACCAGCGACGTGAGAAGCCTACTGAAACCTCAGTCTGATATGCAGACTGTAGTGGTGCCATAACAGCTGCACGTGTTGCGATACAGAGCCAATACTAACCTCTTCTCAGCGGCGGAAAACTGAGCTGACCGGCTAATATGGATTATTAGTCAGAAAGTATTATTATCGCAATATTGTTTAAGAGTTCCGTGATGCGACCTCCACTGGATCCTACTGATGAATTGGTATTTTGGCAATCTAATGAACTTGCGAGTGATCTGGGGCAAATGAGCAAAAGAACCACAGGTGTGGCTCGCTTTCACGGGATTGAAACGCCACACTTGGTCCACACGCGTTTCCTCTGTTATTCTTCCGGCTCGCCAAGGCTGATATGAAGCATCTGATGGCGAGGGAGGTGAAACAGCTTTCTGACATAACACCCCACGAAGAGAACAAACATTGCTTGCAATCTCCCGGTGTCTGAGTAAGCGATAGCGAGGATTGCTCCCTCAATCCAAGATGCTGAGGCACATACTCCCATGAAGAGGCAACTTGACAAATTTGTTTCGAGGATTAACCCTTTTAATGCGTTTGACTCTATCGTAACTTTGCAGCCAAATTAAGGCGGGTCTAAAATAACAACGGGAATTCCATGTCGCGATTAACAACAAAGCTGCCGCTTATGCTTTACACCACGAAAACCCAAAGCGAGGTTAATATCGTGAAGACCAAGTCCAACCTCCTCCACCACCAGCCCAGCCCGCCAACCACTCCGCGCATGATTCCCGTCTTTGTTTGTAGTGAAGAAGAAAGAAGCACTCCGCGCATTTGATCCGTAGATCCGTCCATCCAAATTCCATCGTTGCACATGAGAGTAAATTAGGGTATTTCGTTTTTTTTTGTGAATAAAGTCTTGTGTGTGTGTGTCATAGAAGACAACTCCCTTTACTCGGCGGGCGTGACAGCCCCGGCGGCCTGCTGGTTGTTGTCGACGATGATACCAACACCGGCGGCGGGGGTTCCGAGCTGGATCTTGGGGCCCTTCTGGAGGGCGGCCTCGGCGTACGTCAGGGCGCGGTCGAAACCGTTCTGGCGCTTCATCAGGTTGCCGCCCTCCACTTCTTGCCTGGCCTCGATCTCGGCAACCTCCTCCTCGTCCTCCTCGTCCTCAGCCTCCTGGCGGGGGTCGAGCTCCTTAGTTACGCCTGGAATGGGGAGAGACGCCTGTTAGTTTGAAGAAAACAAAACATTAGTTTACCGGCTTAAAGGGACGTAACATACCAAGCGATCGGGACCTTACCGGCTCGTTGATGACCGAGGCCTGCTGGCCGGCGGGCGCGGCGGGGGCGACGGCCTGACCCTGGGCAACGGCTCCATTGCTGGCGGCAGCGGCGCCCTGGAGGGTGTTGACGAGGCCCTCTGCCCCTGCGGCGCCGTTCCCGGCGAATGAGATCTCACCATCACCGACCACCAGGGCGGGAGAGTAAGCGCCCAGGTTGATGTTAAGCGGGGCCGCGCTGGCCGAGGCGGCGAGGAAGGCGACGAAGCTGTACTTCATTTTGGCTTTTTTTGGTTTTTTTCTTTGGATGGAGCTGAGTGAGAGCGGGTATCACGACGGAGCAGTGCGGTCTGGAGAAGGAGGCGTGTGGATCAACTGTCTTGGGTGGGACCGAAGAGTTGTGATGGAGCAAACGGGGATGGGCGGATAGATATTAAAAAGAAAGTTTCTTGGGTGTAAGAAAGTAGGGAGATACCAGATCTAGGTCAAGAAGAGAATGACTGAATAATAGTAAGAGCGCTGCTCGTGTGGATGAGAGAGAAGTTCATTTGTGAGAACAAAGTTGGGACGACATAGAGTTTTATCCTACGAGGACCTAGAGAGAGGCCTTGACTCGGATCGGCCTTGTTGCACACCGTCCACGGGCTTCCAGGCCCGGGCGAGGGTGTCGAATGGGACCGCACGGCTTGCCTGCGCTCCGGCAGCCAAGTAAGCAGCGTGTATGAGACGTCTACATGGTGCCCCCTCAGGACCTATTCTTGATCTCTTGGCGGTGATCGACGCAGTCCTAGGGCAAGATGGGATGTGACAGGTCGGTGATGGTAGAACGACAGGTTGAAACGGCTCGAAACGAACCCAAGAGCAGGAGGGCGTACCCAGGCATGGGCAGGCAGGGCCGGGACGGGCATGGTGGCGACTCTGGCGAGAGTGACCGTCGAGGTTTGGGCCTGTGGTGTTGCATGGCTGGCTCACCACTTGGCGTCTGGTCTTTGACGGCCAAGTCGCCAAGAAAAGCTTCTGAGACGCGTTGCATGTTTGTACGGACTTGGCTCTCACTGCTTTGGGGGTGGATATGTGGGGAAGACTGTCTGGAGGTGTCCAGTGCGCTTCGCTTTCCCGCGACTTGCCTAGCCTAGTATTGGCTGGATTTGGCTCGCTGGTCGTCGTGGCTCTCCCCCGGCTGAGACGCCGCCAAGAGGCTCTGTGCGACTCTTCCTAAACATGCCCACGCTGCACGCTGCCCAGGCTTGCAGTGTCCGCTGCAATGCTCCTCTGCCGTCCCTTCTGCTGTAGGGTAGCGAGTGCCTGGGCCCATAATTCAAGGCTAACCAAGAGATCTGTCCAAAGGCTTGCGCATCCCGGGGTGTTGGGAGCCAGGTACCGCTTCATCTCTTCGCTTGAGACCTCACCGTGGCGGCTCCCAACCCGCTTCATAAACATTGGCTGGTTCCGGAGTGCACGTCTGCTTGGGGCCCCCAGGCCGAGTCACGCCTCCGCAAACCTGACGCACAACAAGTGACCTTGCCGGCACCCAAGGTATCCTGACGAAATAGCTGGCCATTCCACGCCTATCCGACCAAGCTGGCCCAAGTGTGCTTGGTCGAGCCACCTATTTTACTTCCCGCTATGTCCAGACCATTGAGTCAAGGGGCTTCAACCAGGCGTCTGAGAGGTTATTTTGAGATTTGTGCGGGCGCTGCTAGGCTGGTGAGTCTAGTTCAGATGTTCTAGTAGGCCGCCCAGGTGGTCGAGGCCGCGGGCCAGATTGCCGAGAGGCCTATACCCGAGGCCGCCTAGCGCTCGAATTCCGGGAGACCGGCCGCTAGAAGAGCCAAGTCGGTCCTCCAGACCCTCAAACAAGCCACAGGCCGAGGCTTGACTTGCAATGCGAAGCTTTTTCATTTTTATAGAGGCAACCCAGACAGGGCTGGAACTGCTCAGTACGTTTCGCCAAGTCACGCTTTCAGATTGTCTGGCCCGTTCTCGTCGCCGCTGCTAGCTGAGGGAGGCTGCAATAATAGTGGCCCCCCCAGGAAATGTGGCTGAAATCCTCCCACTGCCATTGGTGAATGCAAAAGTCCAAGAAGGCTTCTCACGTTGCCGATGCGGAATCGACCTTGGCTGGAAAGATCTGTGTCATGGCGATTCAGGCCCACGTTTCGAAGAGCCCCCCAGAGGCGAGCGTTATCGGGCCCTGGCTCATAATACCAGACAAAGTCTGGTCAATGCGTGCCAATTTTGTTCTCCACCATCCCAAGGTCGTAGTAGCGCAGCCTGGAGCTCCTGTATTGCGGGATCTGGAGCATGCTTCCACCATGACCTTCTTCTCACGTGCCCTATAGCGAGGTTTTGTCCAAGACATCAATCACACACTTCCTTCCTTCCTCGTCGCCGCCGGCGCCGGTTATGGCCTTGCGATGGTGTCAAACTGCCTCAAAAATAGGCATCGGTAGCGCCAATCATGTCTTCTGCGCTTGAGTCATCGGCGCTCTGACTTGAGCCAGACTTGTCCAAGTCCTCGACATCAAGCTCTCTTACTAGAGTTTGCGGCAGGAAGACAGACTCAGAGAAACCTTGGAATCTGGAAGCTGTCCAGGATGGAAGGCCTTGACAAAAATGCCGCACCAAGGCACGCGAGCAGTTAGAGGCGTCGACAGTAGTCGTCGCCAGAAACTGCAGCACACGGAGCAAGTATCTCGATGGTTTACAGATCTTCATTTTCTAGCTTGGACACAGCTAATTCCATGGTGTGAGCTGTGGTAGACAAGTGCCCCGACCAATAGCTAGCGCACAGAGAAAACAACCGTTCGGAGCCATGGTAAGGCTGCTCGAACACAGAGGGTGCCAACCAGATGACAATCAGACGAATACCACCCCAAGGAAACCAAGCTTCGTCCGCCCCCAAGGTGGAGTACCTCTTCGAAGTATCTGCTCAGAGATACTCCTTCCATGTTATGGGCGACAACGGCCCTACAAACAAATGTCCGTCCCCATGGTTGAAGACATCGGTTGGACACAACAACATATTAGAAAGTCCATACCTCATCGCCAGAGTTCCCAGCCATTCTGGCCTGAGGGAAAACACTCAACCAATCAATTTCCGACTCTCCAGACGCGATATCCTCTGCAGCAGTACCCTGGTGGGAACCTCGGTGGGGGGCTTCTCGGTCTTCAGGTGTCGAGTCGTCCACATGCGTGTTTTGAGAGCCATTCCGGCGTCCACCAATCTTCGACCGGCCGATAGCAACATTCTCGTCGTCGGCGGCGTCACGTTTGTTCTTGGGCCCCGTGTACCGAGGCAGGCTGCTTGGGACCTTGCCTCCCTTCTCGTGACCTCGAGGCTTGAGCACCCGCTCGCGCTTCGGGGGCGATTCTTCCTTCATGACCTTATCGGCCTCCCCGTCGTGCATATGTTCAAGGCTGCGCTTCTGCGAGGCTGCCTTTGTTGCACGGCGACTCGGTCCCGGACTCGGGCTCGGGCTGAAGTCGAGAGTGACGCTTCGCGACCTGCTCCGGGGATCATCAGACTCGGTCCTGTGGTCCGACGGCGCGATGCTCAACCGCTCCAGCAGTGGGGCAACCGCGGACACAGGTGAGTGCTGCTGGGGCTCGTCGTCCAAGATCTCAACAACGGAGGCAGATGGCTGGAGTTCACGCCTGCTCTCCTGCAAGGCCAACTCCAATGCTTCATCCTCGTCGAGATCGCCATTTACCCGTGGCTCCACTGGCAAGATGGGAGCCGGGATGCCTCGGTGGCGGCGATCAACTTCCGGTCCTGACTCGGTGCTCTGTGGGACCGGGACGCGAGCTCGGGCTGGGACAACCCTCTGGATGCCGTCCACGCGCTGCAGCCAGGCTCGAAGGTGGTCATAGAAAGCCTTGACAACACAAGGCGCAAATGCGTTGCCGATCTGTCTCTTGATCGCCGTCTTGTTGCCCTCGAACTGATGCGACACGGGGAATCCCTGTAGACATGCGATCTCACGCAGCGTGTAGTCTCGGCGGCCACTGAAATGCGAGGTGCTCTGGGTGCCTCCGCACGTAATAGTCCTTGGAAAGGGTACGTTGCCGTTCCTTGGCGGCAGGTCACGGACAAGAGTGCCCGCCACATCGTGTAGAGAGACCGTTCGGCCGTCGAGGTTTCGAATGGCCTCGGCTTCGGTGACGAAAGGCTTCAGGCCCTGGGTTGGCAGAGCGCTGTGCGTGGCGGGAGGCCATGGGGGCAGCTGCTCTCCGGGACAGGAACCGATCATGACGAGCCGCTTGCGAGTCTGTGGTAGACCGTATTCGACGAGAGGAACGATCTTCCTGTGAGTGCGTGGTTTGTCAGCCTAGATTAGAATGCGAACCTGGTGATGGACTTACCACTGGACGGAATACCCGTGAGATGTGAAGCCTCGAACCAGGGCATTCAGGAAATCTGCGTGCGCATCGTGTGTGAGTCCAAATGTCTGCTCGAGGGTGAACAGCCGTGGGCGAATCTTGTTGATAAGCTCAGGGCAAGCAAAAAGAATCGCCATGTTCTCCTCGTTATTTTTTCCGGCATGGGGGTATGCAAGAGGCGACCAGAATTGACAGGGTGGGGATAGATGAAGAATGTCGATAGGATGAGACCGATAGTCGACCTCGGGGTTGTGGATGAAGCTAGTCGCATCCTGCTCGTACAGACGAGCGCCCGGGAAGTTGCGTCGCCAAGTTGCGCAAGACACAGGGCAGCGGTCAACACCGAATACAACCTGCCAGCGAGTTAGGTGAGCTCAAGACAACTTTCGTGTTTCGGCTCAGCGCGCGTAGGCGAGGGGCTTACTTTGAAACGGGCCATGGCAGCACCACGAGTTGCACCTCCCCCACCACAAAACATGTCGGCAAAGGTGTATTGCCGGTCTTTCCTCGTCGTGGGGACTCGAGATCCATCAAGATTGATGACCTGGGGCTTGTAAGAGCCTCCACGATGAGTTCTGCCCCGAAAATTTGCCTTAAGCTCTTTATCAGGGATGCGGAATCGTCCATCAGCCTCAGCCTCGGTCAGCCTGACGAGGGCCCAGGTGTCGGGTTTGTCGTAGTTGCGAAAGCGAGCATCCCGATACTGGATGCGAGACTTCCAACGGCACGTCAAGGGTGCTTGTTTCTCTAGTTCCAACTCTGTCTTTCCACGCCACTGTCGGTCGTCGCCAAAGCGATGTTGCGGGTAGATCGCATTTGTCTTGTTAAAGGTCCGGACTTGCAAGATCTGTTGGGGGTTGATTTGGACCAGTGCTTGAGCGTCATCGGGACGCTGGTCGTCAGCATCAATCTCGAGGATCTGGCAGACTTCGTTTCTCTTATTGTCCAGTGAGCCGGGCAGGTTTCGGTTTCGCGTGTATGGAAGGCCGCGAATGATCACACCTCCATCAGACTTGGAGACCCAGATCGACTTGATCTCGACAAAGTTAATCTGATCGAGAACAGTTAGTAACAGTTGTGATCGCCGATTCTGCAGGAACCCTATGTACCTCCCACTTGCCGAAGGGCTCACAGAGCTCAACACAAGTACCAAGTTTCAGGTCAATGACGCCAAATTTGTAGGATGATCTCGCTTGATGGCTGGATTCCAGAGAAGCATTCCTCCCGACCTGCTTGTACCGGTAGCGGCCGTGGATGTCTGTCTGGGTCCGCTGAGGAAGGATATCTTCGGTGAGATCGATGATATCATACTCCTGGAGAACGGCAGCCTCAGCTTCCTCGACATTTTGCTCGTTGTCGCTTTCCACGGCCGGATCCTCACTGGGGCGAACTGTGGCATGGCCTCGAGCTTGGGTTGCTGCCTGCCGCCGGAGGCTCTGGACTCGAGTATAGGCGTTTCTGCCTGTGTCTCCAGCGCCTGGAAGTCGGAGCCCGTCTCGGGAAAAAGTGCTCCGTAACATGGCCACCGATGTTGACCAGTTGGAGTAGAAACGGTGGGTTAAGGGGAAGCAGAAAGTTGTTACATTGGCGAGTCAGAGGGTAGAGACAGTTAGGTTGCTGGACCTGATTGCTTCAGAGCTGTAAAAGAGCGGCAAGCTCGCGGGCCGAGTTTGCAGGTTTAAGGCTTTCCGAGTAACAGAAACGCAGGTGGGAAGGTCGTCAAAGGCTGCTCAGAAATAGCTGAGCTTAGACGGATAAGTTTTGGGAAAGGAAGGCTTGAAGTGCTGCTGGTATTAATGAGGCTGGCCCCGTCAATCGGTCAGCATAAGTCAATTAAGGTTGAGACCAGGCAGAAAGAAGTTGCGATGTGGTTCGAGTAAAAGCTTAGAAGAAGCAGGAGGCATTCGAGGGTAGGCTGCCAGATTATGATGACGATTCGGCCAAGGAACAAAGGCAGGGCTAGAACACCTTTAAAGGGACTGCTGTCGCTGGTCGACGGTCGACGAAGGACGGTGTTGAAAGGGCGGAGGCAAATTAGGCAACGAGAAAGTGGAAAGGGGAAAGGGAGAAAGGGGAGAAAAGTGAACATACCTCGGTACACAGGTGGACGTCCCAGCCTAGAACTTAGGCAGAGCTTTAGAAGGTGAATTGAGCAGGACAAGATGCAAGTAACGATCGTCTGCGATGTGAAAACAAAAGAAAGCAGAGGTGAACCAGATTTGGTAGGTGATCTTTGAGGGAGAAGTGGCCGGCACCGGCAAAGACGTTGAAGCTGAGGTCAGGAGGAGGATCGGGGCGTAGGTGATCAAGTTCCAAGTCTCTGAGGGTATTAGGCGACTTGAAAAGGAAAGGAGGGCAGGTAGGCTGAGGCTGTTTTTTCCCATGCAAGATGGTGTCTTTGGGAACCAGCTTTGACTGGCACCACACACTGAGAATTTGGAAAGCAAACGGAGTTGCACCTTGGCGAACCCCTGTTGCCTTCGCCTTCGCTCTGCACTGCGAGTAGCTGATGCCACACGGCTGACAAGATTTGACATTATTATTTAAAGATCTGCCTGCCATCTGTAAATGCTAATGAGACACACACAGGCAAGATCTTGTATGCAAGACCAAACGACCACCACATTTTCCTCGGGTATCACTAATGCCAGAATACAAGCCACCCCTCACGCACGACGTTCTTCATCCACCACCACAAGCTCTTCCACCGCTTCATCGTCGATGTCGACAGCGCCCTCGCCGCCCTCCTCGGCCTGCAGCATTCCTCTCAGCCTCTTCATTACCAGCGGGCCCTTCTCCATCTCTTGCCACAGGCCGAGGTCCCAGTCCTCCAAGTTGCTCTCTATCCAGTCTTCCTTGCGGACTTTCTTCCAACTCCTGAGCCTCTTCCACCAGCCTCGTCCCCACCTCCACAAGCCCATGATGGTCAGTGTGCGTTTCGCCATTTTGAAGCCCAGTTCCAGGACGAAAAGAACCATCAATACGAGGATAAGCGTGATCCACCAGCCAGGGTCCTTCCCAAATGTGCCGAAAAAGCCACCGCGGACGTTGTAAGGTGACGGCTGAAGTGCGTAAACCCCCGCGAGGAAGGCCTGCCAGAGCCACCAACCAGCGACGGTAATGAAGAAGGAGCCGAGGACAAGGAATGATTTGAAATGCGTCTCGACGATTCTGCCAAATGTCAGTCAGTCACTTCTTTGATTTCAAGTACATACGCTTTTTTTGGGGGGGGGGGAGGCACAGCTCAAAGCGACTCACAGTAACTTCCAGTTCGTCCACACGATGCAAACCGTGAACACCAGATCGCCCAACGCAAACAGCCCCTGATCTCTGAGCCCTCCGGCCTGGCCAAAGTAGCCGTAGCCCGCCCAGCAACCATAAAATGTAAGGATGCCCTCGACCGCGGCACCGACCATCCACCCGAGATACCGCGATAAGTTGAGTGCCTCCCCACGCTGGCCATAGACGTAAAGTTCTGGCACAGCAAGCAAGGTCTCCTGGCTCAAGTCCTGCTCCCAGACCCCAGGGGCGATTGTGGCCAGACTCGTAAAGAGGACATTGAGCACAGTCAAACTCCAACTCTCATAAAGAGACGTCCCGGTGAACCCAGTATATCGCGTAAAGATCTCCTGGGGCATGTAGAAGAACATCTCTTTCCAAAACGTCCAAAGGACAAACTTCGCCGTCCTTGTGTAGTTCCATCTTCCGTGAACGAGAAGGAGGCGTTGGAGGAAACGGAACTGAGCGATGGAATAGTCTGCTACTCGTGCAGCCTGGAGCCCTTCGTGACCTGAGACACCGATACCCACGTGGGCCTCAGATATCATAGCAAGATCGTTTGCACCATCGCCGATGGCGAGGGTCAGAGTCGGCGATGTGACAGGGCGTTTGGAAGAGATCGTCTTCCGGGTGGCCCGCACGATGAATGCCTTTTGAGCCGGAGAGGCTCGACAGCAAATAACACTGTCGATATGTGGAATCAAGGCGAATAGTAGGTCTTTCAGCCGTGTGTTGCTAGGGTCTGCGGGTGTTTCGATGCAGCCAAGAGTGTGGCCGTCAATCACCACGACGGTGTGATGGCGGCTTGTGGTCGCAGGGATGTCGTCGGCAATGCCCAGGTCCTCCACGATCTCCATCATCTGTGCCTCGAGATCACCTTGCGTCGCATCCAGTATGTACACCTCAGACTCTGGAAGACATATTCGTGCCGAATGTGCTATGTTAATGGCAGTCTCTCGTTTGTCGCCAGTCAACATCCAGATCTTGATATTGGCCCGCCGCAGCTTGTCAATCGTCTCAGGAACGCCCTTCTGCAGCTTGTCTTCGATAGCAGATGCGCCGACGAGGTCCAGACTCTGCTCAATGAGGTCACCAGCTTCTTCAATACGGGTCTGCCTGTCGATCAAACTTGTCTCCGCCGCATGAAATACCTCTTTCCAAGCTTTGTAATCCGCTTCAGTGATGTACTTGTGAGCGTAGAGGAGGGTACGCAAGCCTTCGGCCGCAAAATCGTCAAGTAGCTTGAAAGACCGCGTGAAGACAGTCGCCTCGTCGCTGATGGATGGATCGTCCAGAAAGGCGAACTTGTCTTGTTGACGACTAGCGGCGGATCGCGAGCGAAGTGCCAAGGAAGACGAGACGTCCAAAGACACGCCCCTGTTGAGCGATGGACGAGAGCGGTCAACTGAGCTTCTGTATACATTGCTAATCTCGAAAGACTTGCTCCTACCATACAGTGGCGGACGCAGGCTAGATGAGCCTGCGTTGGCCTGTCGATTGACCCCGATACTCCGGCGAATGGTCAGGCTCGGGCGACCTCCGAAAGAGTTCCGGGGCTCTTGTTGTAGGCTCTTCCTCTGCAGCGCACGCTCCATTTCTGCGCTTTGTCGGACCTCGTGCGCTTTCTGTAAGGCAACTTGGGCCGTCTTCAAACGTGGCAAAATCACCGAATCAGCGCCTTTGGATATTAGCCATATCCTGCCGTCAGGGCATCGGAGAACAATAGACATTCTCTTCCTCTTGCTGCTGAACTCGATAACATCGAGTATTTCGTATATCCGCGTAGTTTCTGAGCCGCTGCTGGATATCCTCAGCGTGATTTGTTGTGAGGAGCGTTGCACAACCGTATAGCCTAGTTGCTGAGCCGCTTGGATAAGCGCCAGCTCATCTGGTGAGGAGGATTGGTATTCGATTTCGCCATCCCTGTACTCGGGAAGACAGGTGTGGCAAAGAGCCATGGCAAGGATGTACTGGGTAGCTTTTCTCGCAAACGGAGAGTTCGGCCTGGCGCGAATAAAGTCGAGTAGCTCATCCGTTGTGACATCAGGCTGCGTAAGGTTTTGGCGCGCAGACGACTGCCATTGTGATGATGAGCGGGGACTGGCCGTCGGAGACGAGGCAACCTCGATTTTGTCTGGCTCCACAACAACCTGAGAAACATCGCGGCCGATGTCGACGGATCGAGCTTGCATGGACTTCCTTCCCCTGGTATCACTCGTACTGGGGTCGGCAGATTGCTCTTGGCGCAGGTCCATCTCATGCAGCCAAGCCGTCCCAGCGATTGTCATTTTTCTGAACTTCATGACGTTCTCGGTCAATGTACCGGTCTTGTCGCTGAAAATGTAACCGACCTGACCCAAATTCTCCAATATTGTGTTCGTGTTGCACCTCGCCGGTGTATCCGATACAGCATCGTACATGCCCATGTCGCCGTTGAGCATCAGCATCTGTCCAATCTTGACAATTTCCAAGCTCACGTATAGGGCCAGTGGAATGACATTATTAAACATTATAGCATATCCAATGATGATCTCTTCGGCAGCCACTCGTTGCCCGTTGACGTACCAGGCAGATGTCTCACTGCTCCGCTGCCAAAGCAGGTAGCCAATAGAGCAGCCCATGGTGAGGCAGATGACGTAGAAGACCAAGCTGAGGACGACACGGTTGTAGACGGCTTCGAGCGCAGGCTTCTTGGCCTTCGGGTGCCGGTTGGCGTTCATCCTTATCTTAGTTTCTTCGCCTGTGTTGATGACTAGGCCAACGGCGCATGGTGTGTTCCGAAGAACGGTCCCACGGTAGACAACCTCATTCAAGGTGAGAGGTACCGTCTTCCCGTTGATCTCCACTCTCCCGTTAAAGTTGTAAAGGTCGGCATTGGGGTCCTCGACGATGAGCTCGGCTTGACATTTCAGGATGCCTCGAATCGTGTCGCAGCTCTCGAACTCGGGCAAGACCTGCTTACTCTTGAGGTTCGTTTCACCGTCCAATGCCATCGTCTCGATGTATGCCAGTCCATTCTCGCCGTCAGCGTGGAGAAGCACGAGGTCTGCGGGGACCTCTTCATCCCGGGAGAGCTTGACGACGTCACCCACCCTCAGCTGGCTCCATGCGGTGGTCGTCCACTGAAACCCATCGACGACTTCTGAAGTGCTGGAAGCAGGAACTGGCTGCTTGGTCCGTAGCCGCCTGAACCAAGTCGCCGGCCAGCCGTCACGCGTGCCGGCTACAGAGTGCTCAGCTACACGTCGCAGGGCTGTAGCGGGCTGGGCATTCTCAACATTGTCCAGTCGGTGCCTTTTGTAGTCATCGTATCCTTCTTTGATGATGGTGAGCAGGACGAAAAAGAGAAGCGGTAAGATGGTAGTAACGTTTCCGGTGGTGCTTATTCCTGGGATGGTCTGAGGTATTCCCACGCAGAGGAAGTAGAAGTTGCCCAGACGGCTGAACTGGAAGAAAAGCTGCTTGGGGAAGAAGTTGAAGACGTTATAGCGGGACGTGCGGATGACATTCGAAATGAAAGCATGGCCGCGGCGCTCATCGATGAGCTGTGTCGACCGGGCCGGGTCGAGCGGGATCAAACGACCGTTGGCGGACGGGGCCAGGGGCTTCTGGCGGAGAAGAGTCTCAACGATGAGGCTGTGGTAGTATCGGCGGATGAAGTGCTTCGCTTGCTGCGCGGGCGAGGGCCGCGCCTGAGGGCGTTGTGCAGCAGATCGCGGTGGGTGCGCGGAGCGGTGTAAGAGCTGGGGCCGTTGGCTTGGGTCCTTTTCGCTGGTGCTGTGAGCGTCGGATGCACCAGCGCCGTCGAGGACTACCATGGCGCGTTGGAGATGCCGGCGCGTGTCGAACTCATGTCTTCAATCAGGAGACAAGATAGGGCGGGGTCTCTGGACGTGACAGACGGGCAGGATCAGGCAGTGCCTTGAATCGGTGTCCGGAACATCGGGGCGTCACGTCAGACCTGGCCAGTGCTGGGTGTGTAATGTCCGATGCGAGGTTTCCCACTCCAGGGCCGAGCAGTCCGAGTCTGACCCGTGGCAATTTCCGCTCCCAAGGCGGCTGGCTCCTATTCAAACTCGGCGAGAGGAGGGAACAAAACGAGTGACAAGCAATGTACTTGCTAGGAACGGGAAGGGGTTGTTTGTGGGGGGGGGAGAAAGACAGAGAGGTGAGATGATCAGGTCCTGGACTCGACTCGAGACTTGCCGCCACCAGGTTCGCCAAGCCCAATCGTCATCTTGGAAGGGCCCACATGCCCGATCCCTTCCTGCCCTTCGCTCGCTCGGCACCGCGTCCCCTAACCCTGACGACGTCACCCCAACACCTATGTACCGCTGTCTCGCAATAGTACAGCTGGTATCCTGGCATCTGATTCCCGGTGAGAAAATGTGGCCCTCTAGCTGGAGATCATGTGTCAAAATTCGGCTGCAGCTCGAAAAGCTCGGCGACCTCTACTAGTATTTTTTTGGTGCTGTTGATTTACCCTCCTGGAACTTGGCACGGCTAAGTTGAGGCATGATTTCTGCAGGTTCAGCACCATAAGAGTTGGATTCAGCCTGGTGTGGGTATCGTCGACTAATGTCAGGATGCCGACAAAGACTCCGGAGCCAACATATGGCTCACGTTTTGATATCGTCTTATTCTACCTCTCACTTGCCGATTGAGGAAGGAATCTACGGTATCAAAGATGCCCGAGTGCGTTGGTGACCGCAACCACATTCAATCCGCACAGAAGAGTTGACCGATCGGTACACCCACGCTGATAAGACGCAGACTCAATCAACGAAAGAGAGTTGAGTTGAAGAACTCTCATGCCCAAAATACAGCTGAAGTCTTGCGATAACACCCAGATCCACGAGCCAAATTCGATTGTCAAAGACCATGGATTGTGCCCTTGATGCACGAGAGAGAATATATAACACTCTGTTAACGGCCGGAGAAATCATATGTTAAAAGCTGTTGATTTATGGATTTGTTTGTTGTGTTTCTCTTATCACGCTGCTTTCGGCTCTCAAGGCAACTAAAAGCAAAAGGTGAAATTCAATAAGGTCGTTTCATAATGTAGCAGGCCACTGGACTGAGCAAACCGAAGACTTGATCTGAAACAGGCGCGGGCAACGCCGACGTTCACAACGCAATTGCGCGACTCATCAGATGAAGGGACTAACTCCCTTCATCGAGGAGCTCCACCTAGGCTCCATTTGTGCTCCACTGAGCAGGATAGATAAACAGATAGTGTGTAAATTAAAGTAATGGAGCCCCCCATGAAGCGCGCGAGTAATCAGCTTCCCAATACATCCCGGTCCTTCCGCAGAACTGTATCACATTCGAATGATGGTGACAGTGCCGGGTAAACTAAGCGCGGGAGATTCATCTCAACAGACACACTATATATTCTGAGCGGCTAGAGGTAACCAATATCCAGCTTGTAGTTTGGGTGGACCCAGTATTGCCGTGGCTTTTTTGATCACGCACTCAACCACAAGGCCCTTGGTTCACGCCCCAAGACTGGATTCGTTTCCTTTAAGCTTTTTTATCATTTGATGATCACCATCGCGTTGGTCTAGAGTGGCTTTTGAGTCAGTCAACCACTCACAGGCTTCGTGCCGATTGGGAGGGCTAGGATCGGGTGGATACCTTTGCGCATGGAGAGTGAAGATGCATCCCACGGGGACGGATGGCCAAGATATCCCATCCCATAGCATCGGAAACCCATGGCAAATCACTTACCCCGGGCCATGCTATACTTGTAGCTTGCGAATGAATCAGTACTTAAAGCCCTTGATCGGCACTACCTTTTGAAACGAAGCCCATTGACCTCATCCGTCTTTCGTTAAACTAATAAGCATAATACACTTACGCAACGATCACCAGCAAAATGCGCCCTTTCATCACCCTCTCTCTCCTCGCTCTCGCAGCCACTGCTGTCGCAAAGAGAGGATGCGCCCACGACCCCAACAACGAAGGCAGTGGCTGGTACCAAGTCGTGTCCGGTGATACTCTGGACGACAGTGAGTGATACAGACCTCCAGCACTTAATTCTGCCCTCGGAGAAGCTATCCTACTGACATAATTCCCGTAGTCGCTGCAGACTTTGGCAGCGACGCCGACACCCTGGCAGCTGCTAGTGGCATCGCGAACAAGGATATCATCTTCCCGGGTGATATCATTACTGTTCCTTGCCCATAAGTGCAACAGCTTAGGGCCATTTGATTTGGGTCAGAGCTCTGTACAAACTGCTTGGAAGACTCTTTGGGGCACAGCATAATATTACGAATCAGTAATTTCTAGCACAAATATACCCTTGCGATGCATTTGAGCACATTTACAACATCCGGTCGGTTGTGGCCTTATAGCAGAAAGTTTGTGATCAACAAGAATCGTCTTTACAATTAGCCATATTGAGTGCAATGAAATTAGTGACAATCTAAGGAATGAAGCGGTGACCGATTCTAACATGCCCCGTTGGCTCCGACAACCCTCAGCCGTCGGTGATCATGGACTAAGCTGCCTCTGTTACTTGGATCCACATGTTGTCCTCGACGAAGACATTGTAGCACCTTGAATTCCAAGGCTTGGCTGGATAAGCAATGGTAAAGTCGAAATGGCGGAATAACTGTTGGAAGTCGCAAGAATCAGCAAAATGACCGCCATCAAAGATGGGTCAGAGACAATGGGTGCAAGACCTAAAGACTCACCTCGAAGAAAGTTTTGAATAGTTCCATGAAAGCGACAGGCTTGCCCACGCACATCCATCGCCCGTGACCAAACATCATTTCAACCTGGCGCTCCATCTCCCCCCGTTTGGCCTCTGGGGCCTCGAGCCATCGCTCGGGCCGGAAGATGTGTGCGTCAGAGCCAAAAATCTCTGCTGAGCGGAGCATGGCAGGGACGTTCATGCCCACGACCGTGCCGCCAGGGATGAACTTTCCTTGAACCACCTCACCCTGGGGCGGAACGATCTTTGGGAACGTGCCTACGGTGCCTGGTCGCATGCGCATGCCCTCGTACACCACGGCCTGTTGTTGCGACTCGGTCAGGGACTTCCAGTGTTCGTGTTCAAAAATTAGCAACAACGAGAGGAGACTCACTCTCAGGTAGGGAATTTCCTTGGCCACTTCGTAAGAAATTGGCTCGGTAACTGCACCACTGCTGACGGCTTCCTTCACGACGGCCTTCAATTTGTAATAGATTGGGGGACTTGACACGAGACACAGGAAAGTGATCCTCATGACTGAGGCAATTTTCTCGGAGCCGGCGACAAGAGACAACATGCCCTCCGCCGCGCTCTCTTGCTGGGTGAGGCCATTGTGTATCCACGATCCCTGTCGGCAATGATCAGTTCATGCTCGTACACATCGGGACTGGTCCGCCGCGACTCACAAGCATGTCATTTCGCAACTGAGTCTCTGGCTTGGCATACCGCTGATGCACAATTCTCACCACACCCCTGCGGCAGAGCATCAGTGATGATCGGCGCCATGGTCAGGGGCATACTTACGACATGAGCTTTCCGAGCCCATTCGGGTCTGTGATGTTAGGCCCAAGAAACCTGAGGTACGTCTTGGAGTAGAAGAAGCTGCGGAGGAACGGAGTCTCGTTCACCAGGGAGACCATGGGCCACTGCTCTCGCAGGTGAGTAAGGAAGCCGGTGACGTCCGAATCGCTCCTCAGGTGCCCAAACTCTTCTCCAAAGGCCGCCCGAGTGATGACATCCATGGTCAGGAAGGACGAGAAGTCGGAGAAGTCGAGCAGTGGCGGGCTGGGTTTCTCGTGCTTGGCGACGTATTTCGTGCGCAGTGCGTCCAGCATCACCAGGATTTGCTCGTCGATGCCTGGCTCAATGAGGTCGACCTCCCGTCCGGTGATGTTGTAGGCGGTGGAGATCTGCTCCTTTCGCTTGTCATGGATAACATGATCTTGAAGGTTGAAAACGCTGTCCATGTACGGTTGCCCTGAAGTAAAAGATAGTGTCAATAAGTCTGCAAAAAGCCCATTTGGAACACGACATGGCTTCCGAGTCGAGCTGGCTTCTATGGCTTTCCTACTGGCTTGTTTTCGCTTCTGGGGCAGCTGGTCCACTCCGTAGTAGATTGTGCTATGAGTGAGGATGGTCTCAAGACGCTGCGTGTGGGGATCATCATGCAACAAAAAATCGAGTAATGAGATATCCCATACATCTGAAGGCAATATACCAAGGGCTTCTGTTGTAGGTTCCTCGCACAGCCCCAGTCTTCCTCAAAAAGTCGACATCAGACGTCAGGATCTGGTTCGGTCCGATCCTCACCAGCGGCCCATAGCGCCTACCAACTTCTTCGAAGGTTTCTGATAGTCTCGTGCTAGTTGTAGCTCTGATTATCCATAAGTTGGAGATGGATGCAAGCCATGGCCCTGGGATATGGCGTAGCCGGTACCAAGAGATGACTGTTGAGCCCACAAGCCACAAGAGGATGGAAGTGCCGAAAATCAAGAGCGAACGGAATGCAATTTGTTCAATACCAATTTGATCCATTTTTGACAAGCTGTCTTGTCCGGCGAATACAAAGGACCGTTAGGTAAGAAATCTGGACGGGAACAATGTCGTTGTTTATGTGTAAGAATTCTTGACTTCTATACAGTGCATGTTCGATTCATTTACCAGAAGAATGAAGGAGTCAATGAGCTTCTATACTATATACTAGCTACGAGACACATTGCTGTGTCGGCGAGTGAAGGACGTACCTGCCATCCGTTTTGGTGGCTGAATGATCGCACGATGCATACGCGACGTGCTGGTGTGTTGTCCTGGATGCAATGTCACCCCTACTCTACTTAAATGTGTAAATCAGGACCTACCAAATGGATATTCAGTGAGGTGATCAATTTGTAGTATACGAGCTTGCGTCCAAAGAGCAGGCGAACACCCCGCTTTAATCTGTCAGGATATGCGGTCCTTGGTCATTTGATGTACCGAAGGTAGGACAGACAGCTTGGCACTAGCAGCGATACCTGTCAGTCAGGGAAGTGCCGGTTGCAGTGGCCAAGTAATTAAATGTCATCTAGAGGCGCAGTCATTTTATCCCCGGCGGCAAATGAGAACATGTCAATTATGCCGTGCAGGAAGAATTGCGGTTACACTCCACATCAACCCATAATTAAAAATGAACGGTTTGTCATTGGCAGTTTGATTCCAGGTAAGTCCGGTCGCGTGGTAACAGACCAAGATGATTGATCCAGTTTCATCGGCACTTCCTGCCTCATTCCTGAACACGTGCTGTTGGGTGCTTGATTGCATTTTGAAATCAACCTGCTTTTCTCTCTTTCTCTCTCTCTCTTTCTCCCAATTCAGCGACTCGTCCGCCAGGGGCATGTTCTCATTCCAGGCGATTCCGATTCGAGCGTAAAAGGACAAAATTCAAGATACAAGGACATGTAACAGAAGCGTCTCTTTTGAAATAATCCACCGTGAACTTGGACAGCTGTTGTGATCCTTCAGATGGAAGAACGCCTTCAAAGTAGCACCTGCCGAAGCTGTATTGTCCACCCTGCCCGCCCTTCCTGACGTTCACGGTCGGAGTAAGATCTTCGAAGATGGTAAAAGAATCGTGTTGACCACCCTACTTGTTACTGCAGCTGATGGCCTGGAGAAACACAGCACCGGGAATGGTTGATGGTGGCGCCTTGGCTTCTCGGGGGAGATTGCGAATGGCATGGTGGATGGGCAATACCAGGTTCTTGTAGATTTCGTACTCGGTCAGGAGGTGGTCGACTCCATTGAGGTACTACAGGATCACGTATTAGCTCTCAAATCACAAAGGGAGAAAATGAATAGGAAAGTGAGAATCAAAAGTAGATTCTCTGGCCATACCATGACTCTGGAATTGTCTCTGTGCGTTAAGCGGCGATATGGGCAGCAGTAATGTTGGACGACGTTGGAGCACATCCTTGAGGTCAGATGCAATGCTTTGGGAGTACTTACCGAAATCACCTTGTCGACACGCAGGGCAACCTTGCATGCGTTCTTTCGCAAGCTGCGTGGGCAGTCCAGGCGGGCTCGAATCAGGGTGAAGAAAAGCTGCATGATGAGGTCGACAGAGCAGTTGGCAGCCCACTTGACTCTTCCCTTGATGAGGCGAAAAACGTCGAACAAGTTGTCGCCACCGGAGTTCCAGTCCTTCAGATTGCGGCATTGGAAGAGAAGCTCCAGAAGAGCCTTCTCCACATCCTTCCTGGTCAGAATGCCACGTCTGAGAAACTTGCGGCGTAGCTGGTAGTCGTTGTGAATGGTGCGGAGAATGCTTCGGCGGCCGTATGCCATTCCTCCGCGGTTGAAACACTTGGCCAGAGGCGTGACCCGCGAGGCTCTGGCTCCCTTGGAGGGGAAAGACATCTTTGTCTGCTGCTTGTTGATGAACCGAGACTTGTTGGTATGTGGCTTGATGCGAGATCTGTTGTGGAGGCTGTAGCGCTTGCTTGGGTCTTTGAGCACGACCTTCGGTCGAGGGCCCTTCTTTATGCCCATTATGAAGCCTTTCTTTCGAATGGTTTGGAGGGAATGAAGGTATCGCCAGGTAGGTGAGCGCGTGCCAAGCTCTGGAGAATTGTGGATGAGGTTCAGCTGAGCTGGGGGCTTGTCTCGGTGACCCGAAGAAGAAATCAATGAGTTATGATACTGTACCGACGAGGCGGAGGATGAGGAAGGTGCTCTAGAGACCTCGTTCAGGTAGATGTGTTAAAGGCTTTGAGTGAAGTCGAGTTGGGTAGCGGCTGTGATACCCGTGTGGTGTTGACTCGGCGGGCGAGGCGCGCTGGACGAGACGCATGAGCGGTGAACTGGTCTCGTGACAGATTCAGCAGCAGGACGAACCATTCCCGGGAAGTTCTCGTGGAAACTCAATCTTCACTGCACAGAACAAAATGGCGTTGTGATGCTTGGATGTGATTGACACTGGAGACAAGGGCTTGTCCTCGGCGAAATGCAGAGGGCGCCATCTTGAGTCGCGCCGAAAGGTGAACAAAGCCCAAAGAAAATTGCAGATATCCTTCAGCTGGCCACTGGCCACTGGTAAGAGAGGAAATTTCGGCCAAGCTGGTGCTCGTTCTCGCTGGTTGTCTTGTGCCCCTCGTACCTATGTGGGTCTTGAACAAAACAGCTTTGCAAATATCACCATTGCATTTGCATGGCCAATCGGCTGATCTTAAAACCTTCTTTCTAGAACTTCCATGGTATAATCTGAAGGCCCTCACAAGCAGTTTGTCTGTTGCCTAATTCATCTTGGTCTGAAAGGCACTGTTGATGCCATCTCGCTTGGATCACCATGTATTCAGAAGCTATAACGTGGTTTACCACCAAGTGGCGGATATCACCAAGTGGCGGATTTTTGTAGCTTTTTGCGGGGAATGCAGGGAAAAGGTACTTAAAGAGCTATTAAGAAATGCTAATAAATCTAAGCTATTTACTATCAGATTTTAAGTATAATTATCTTTATAAAAGATTTAATTTTAACCTAAAATATAATATATATTTTAAAATATATAATAAGGTATATATAATAAAATTTGCATTTTTTTTAAGTTATTATTAAGTAAGGTGCACGGGCTAATTTCGCTTATTTTTTTTGCTTTACTATGGCTATACCTTAAATCCCAGTTTTTAATTTAATTTAAAATAGCTGCAACCCTATAACCCTAACCTTAAAACTATATAAAAACCTTATTTAAAAGAGGTGCTATTTAATGATATAATTTTTATTTTAATATTTCAATTTAATTAAAATATAATTAATATTTAAACTTAGCTAAGTTGTAAAAAATCCGCCACTTGGTGATATCCGCCACTTGGTGGTAAACCATGTTAATCTCGTTACATGCACAAATCATCCCTCTTTACAAAATAACTTTTAAAGAGAGGAGGAAAATGAATTATACTTTGAGACTTTCACTTTAAGTCACTCTCAGGGTTGTATTGTTCCCTTAAAATTCCTCATGATATTATCAGATCAGCTAAAATTACTGGACTAAATTCAAGTTGAAATGAGAATCAAGCAACCATAAAATGTTTATCTACAATATTCACTACTTCATTGAGGCAGTGAGCTGGTGATTGTTTCTTTTCAATTTCAATTGGAAAGTCATTAAAATGCATAGGAGGGCAATTTTTACACATCTGTGGGAATAGTGGCATCGTTGGCATTCGGCAAGCTGGCAGCCCCCGTAGCTAGCCCATAGCCCCTGGGCGAAGGCCCCCTAGCTGGAACCTTCCCCTCTACAACCAACGCGAGAAACAACCACAACACAACAACCCCTTCGTATTCAAATACGTGACCCAGCCAACAACATCCCTGAATCTGTTCTCTATTAATATCAGATCACTAGAAAGCCACGAGCAGCGTGGCAAGGATCGAAATTGCGCTAGTGCAATGCTTGTGCGGCTTATTTAATCATGAACTCCTTAGGAATATTATGTCAGAGCAGCTAATGGCATGGCTTAGCGTGCTGACTACCAAGTTGAGTGGCCGCAATACGCCTTGGAGATCCCGTGGACAGCTGTTGATCGAGACCAAGGATTTCAGCTCTGATCCCTAATGACACAGTACAACCAATGAGGACCATGCTTCTGGGCAAGCTGTGTTACACAGAACAGAGCACGTTGCGGTTTTCATTTCACCGCCGCACTTCACCTGTGGCGAGTGCGTTGACCTTTGACGTGAGTGTTGATCAATTCCAGAAGAGGACAATGCAACAGTTGACCAAAGTCAATATCGCGGCTATCAGTTTGATATTTAAGCAGCCGGAACTCAAGGTCAGTCTCTTCGAACAATTGAGAGTCAACTTTGATTTTCACGCTCCTATTTCCATCAAACTGCACGAAATTTTCACACCGTACTCTTGACCAGTCAGAACCTCGCGGTTATTTCAAAATGATACTACTTTACCTCACAGTTCTCCTGGCCTTTACGCTTAGAATACATGCTCAGGCCAACATCACAATCCAACCATTAACGGATGTCGACGTAAACCGCCATATAGGCTACTTCTCAGATCCTTATCATGTTCCATATCAGAATGAGACCCGCATCTACATCTCAGGCACTACCCACAAATATCTCGAATGCGATGGAGGATTGACCCCCAAATGTGCTACACTTAAGCACAACGAGGACATCCAGTGGAATGTTACGGAAGAGCTGCAGCAACAGCTAGACAAGGCCAAGGTTCAGGTGTGCGGCGTCGCTGGCATTCATCCTTTCCAGACTGTCTCAGGTCACAACAAATCGTGGGACGCAGCAGTAACGCTTCACGTCCAGGAAAATAACACGGTGTGCGATGGTCTCAAGGGCTGGAGTGTCATCGTCCACGCGAGCCCAGTGGACTTGACGACTGTTGATACACCACCGCTTGCATGGATAGGGGATAAGGTTCTTGTTGGAAACTTTACCGACAAAGCTGATGCCAACTACGACGGAAAATACTTTCGAACACCAGAAGGGAAGTTGTTCTTAATTTACGAGAAGAACCTGCACAAGAAACCAATGAAGCGTGACGGCGTGGTCGCCTGGCCCATGAAGGATTTTATGACGCCAGCCGACCCCAACCTGGATCCTACAGTCTTGATCGCTCCCGACGAAGGATTGAACTCGGAAAACTACCACAACCACAGCGACGAAAACTTCAAACTCATTGAGAATGGAAATATCAGGGCTATCAATGGAAAGTTTGTGATGGCTTACTCAGTTGCAGCTTATAATCGCCCAACATATAAGATTGCCATAGCCTACTCTGACACGTTCCTGCCAGCCGAAGGGTACCGCAAAGTCATGAAGGAAAACCCAGATCAACTCTGGGGGTCCACCAAGGAGAAGGAAGTCTACTACCTCCTGCAGGCAGACGCGCAGCATGACGGCTGGCACTACGTTGGCAATCAAATCCGTGCTCCCGGCGTGGCGACCGTCGCCAAAATCGGCGCCGGCGATAGCTGGGTGCTGACTTTTCATGGGTATCAAGTTGGTGACACCGGGGGCAATGGCACATTGGATTATGTGGGCAACCACCGGCGACCATTCTTCATCGACCTGGATGTGAACGTGCCAACCGATACTTCCGTCAAAGATGCAAGCGACCAAGACTTGCAGGGTTGGATCACCCCTAAGCACGGATAGGTATCTCAGAGGTACATATCGACTGGAACAATAGGGGAGTACAATTGAACTTGGACGGAGGAATGCTTACCGCAGAGTGAGCTTGCTGTTTTCAGGGAGCTGTCGTTGTTAGACTATTATAGCTTCTAAATTTGCGTGCCCTACGTCCTTCCACCTGGCACACTCAGCTAAGCCCGTTTGCCATTCTCCTTCGTCTCCCCCGTGCCTTCCATCAAGGGCTCGACAGACGTCTCACTAACATCAATCCACTCTTCGTCCGAGACATCTGCCATGGTCGCAATGTCAAGACGGTGCATATGCCATTTTCCAGACCCCTGGTGCCCGAGCCATCCCCTGTTCACACTGTGAGGACAGCCACGACCTCTCCGAGACTGTAGGCGTAGTCTGACTCGGTGATGATGCCGTTGTTTAACGTACTGTCTGGCAGTGAGGTTTTGAAGAACCGGGGCGTTTCTGGACTGATCGGCGTTTGGCTGTGTCCTCTTCACGATGGCGGCGAGTTGGTTGAATAGCTGCAAGTCCTCATTCTTACGCTCTGCACCATATTGAACTTGAGGTCTAGTAGCCCAGAGCCGCAGATATTCTTTAGGTACCTAGTCTTTGAAGCCTGTAGCATTTACATTCCCTTTCGGACCACAGCAGATCCAAATTCAACTGTAGTAATAGACCATCACAAGACAGTCAAAGGCCTAAAGTGTCAAGGCAGAACTTCAAGTTCGGCTATTCCCGGAGGCACCCGACAATCGCCATGCACCCGTCTACCCCGGAAAGACCTATGCGTGGTAAATTTGACAGCTGGCACAGCGTGACTCCAGGTTTCTCGAAACATGAACAAAAGGGTTTCGTCATCTCATCACGAGACCGGATTGCTTGGTAAAGCTTGACAGCTTGCCTGGGGACGAAGACACCTAAGATGGTGATCGGATGCAAAATGGGGGACGTCCGCCGCAGATGCTCGAACCTTGACACGAAACAGAATAAATCAGACGATTCAGTCCCGCGACGCGACAGCCACACCCGTTGGGCTTTCTCTCGGTTGTCCGACGGTGTAAATTTTCCATTTTGAGTAATAAAATGTCGTATCTCATGGAGGCCACGGATCGATACCTCGATCCGTGACCTGGTGATCGCTTCGATGCTCACAGTCACTTTCGGGCTCGGTGCGTTGCGAGAACGTATACGGCCAAAAGAAACTCTATTCCGTTAGTTCCGAAGATTTTATCTGCTGGCATTTGGGTTGGATGCAGGTTCGCCCGAGGCGTGCATTTCTAATAATCTTTGACACAGGCTGAGCCCGTGTGGTGGGAAGCAGATCTCCCGCCGCCCGGCTCGGGGGGAATTGGACTGACAACAACTGCCCACCCTGTACGTCACCACACGATCTGGGTGCCTGCTCATGAAACATCAATCAGCATGTTTGAAGAATGGTGGTATAAGTGTACGGACTGCTCCCTGACTGCTCCCTCGGTGACCCGCCTTCACGCGTGAAGTGTCTTGGTACCAACTAATTCGACGAAGTCCTCATTAATTTGGCAGCAGCAAGCCTTCAGCAGCAGCCATGTTGGCCTTCGCCCTCTTCAGCCTTGCGATTCTCGCCGCACGGTCGGCAGCATTCATAATTCCAAGGCGTAATTAATGTTTCCATAACGGTGTTGAACCAGATCGCAGCAGGTTGATTGCTAACCTCCCACGCAGAAGCACCCGCGCCGCAAAAGCTCATCCCCATTGCCGTCGGTTCCATGAGCGTCAACACCTCCCTGATATTCACCCCGAACGACGTGAAAGCAAATCCCGGCGACGTGCTGCAATTCCAGTTCTTCCTCACGAACCACACCGTCACGCAGTCGGCCGGGCCATCGGACCCTTGTTCGCCCTTGCAGGCTAAGGTCCCCGGGGCGATCCACTCGGGCTTCATTCCAGGGGCGATGGTCAACGGTTCAGATACGGTCGGCGCCTTCGACGTCATGGTACAGAACACGGAGCCCATGTTTATCTACTGTGCGCAGGGACCACATTGTCAACTTGGACAGGTCATGGTCGTCAACGGGTGAGTGAGACGGGACACACTTGAACGTTTACATGAAGAGAGAACTGTTTTCTGACATTACTTGCCTTCCCAGAAAGCCTGGCGATCTCAATGCCTACAAGACAGCCGCACAAGCAGCAAAGGCCAACACACCAGGCACCACGGTCGCCGGGGGTACTGTTGGGCGGATACCAATGGCCAACGCTATTATTCCGCCTGCCTAGACGGCGGTTCAAGGATCATGGAAAAGGGCAGGTCCCAGAAATTGTGGGCAGTGTAAATTTGTCAGTGTAAATAACGTCTAAAGAAGGCATCGAGTGCCATGATTCCATAGTGCGACACCTTTACTTGGCGGCTGTATAGAGACTTCAGATCCGGCCTCCTTCATTTGCCACCATACCCAACGTCATTCTTAACGCCGCCATACCCATACTGCCTGTCAGCCTTCCTCTTCCTCGAAGCCTCCAGCAAAGCCAGCACCGTCTGCGCAAGCTGCACAACAAAGAACGGGATCAGGTTGTACTGCCAGCCCCTAGCGATCCTAGAGACCCGATGTATGTCGCTCCTGTCCGTCTGGCTGGCAAGGTCCAGCTTCAGCAACGCGTCGAACCAGTTCTGCGGCGTCCACGTCTCCGCGGGGTACGCGTCGCCATTCAAGGCCCTGGCCACCGAGAGGTCGATCCTCTGCCCGTCGTGGGCGTTATCCACGGCAAAGGTGAAAGCCAGGGCGCCCAGCGTCAACAGGAGCGCGGGGATGTTGAGACCGAGCCACAGCCTGTACCACCCGCGGCTCAAGAGCCCGGCGGAGGACTTGGCGTGGTAGCCGGGGCGGCTTCGCAGCCAGAGGGCGAGGATCCCGCAGCAGCCGATGACGATGAACGCCGTCCCTGAGGCGCCGTTGCTGGTGTGGCCCTGGTCGACGATGAGGTTTGCGGGCTCGCCCGAGATGGGGAAGGTTGAGTCGCCGGAGACGATGTCGAAGGTCCCCTTTGCACGTTGTGTGAGGAAGCCGACGGTGGCGGAGACCAGGGAGAGCTCGATGATGGATACAACCATGAGAAGGCCTATGGAGACCTTGAGGAGTAGGGATGTCAGGGCCATGGCGACGATCTATTTGGTGTACCGGGATATTTACTGGCACTAGGGTCGCAGAGTGAAGTGTGTTAGACTTTTTCTCCTCAGGTCCTCGAAGCACAAAAACAGAGCGCTTTTCAAGGGAGATACGTGAATGTTAAACCCATGGCGAGAACAAACAAGCTTCACCGGAGAGATGGCTAACACCTTTATAAGCCTAGCGGACCATGGCTCACATCAGAAGTGGAAGAGTCTGATCCAGAAATAACCAACAGTCAGAAAGGCGACCAAACACAGCTCAGAGGGCCCAACGCTATGTTGGTAGCGCTTACGAAAAGTGGTGCAGCACCGCGCATGCGGTAGCGGCTGCGCCGCAGCATGTTGGGTGCCGGTTCAGCCCACGCTCAGCTCGCGATGTCACTAAGCATTTCGGCTGCCGGGATTCGTCATGGTGGAGGGTAGGAATGGCTGCAGAGGTCAGGTTGGTGGGGAGCAAACAGGGTGTGGAGATTTCTATCATCCCTCGGCCTTGACATTTGTCCAATAGATGATGCCGGGCAAATGCGTTGGTGAGATGTGGGCCGCACGTTGGAGTCGGCGGGACGGCGCAGCAACGGTGTCAATTGCAGATGTGGTGTTCTACTCTCTGGGCCTGGCAGCTGAACGGCGGGCGGGCCGAGCACAGCTAACAAGCGAGGTCCGGAGGATTGAGAATAGTGGATGCGCAGCTGTGAGCAAGCAGACGGCATCACAGGCTGCAACATTTCACGTTGGGGCGAGGTTCATCGAGGCACCAAGGGTGAAGTTTCGAGGCTGCTTCCACTCTTTTCGGAAGAGAATGTGTTCAAGCAAACCAGACCAACTTTGGGCGGTGAGACATTCCCAAGATCGCGAAGACCGCGGATCGGAGTCCATGAGACAACGTGACCCTTGACTTAAACCACAAGCAACATAGCGACGTAGTCTAAGCCGGAATTGAGGCTTTGCTGGTCGGCGGGCTACCGCCTTAGGGGCAATCAGCCCTCTTCAGCATCCATGTCGTCGCGACGCCTCTTGCCGCCACCCTTTCCGCTTGCCGTTGGTCTGTGTCGTCCCTTCAACGTGGCGCCCTTCCTGCCACTGTCTCTGTCTGCATGGAGGTTCTTCATCTCGTTTCTGGCATGCCTTTGCGCTTCCTCGACACGGGCCCTGAAGACCATCACCTCTTCCCTTTCAGTAGGATACTCGCTCTGTTTATCACCGAGAGCGAATTCGATCCTCTGGAACACTTCGACGTCATACTGCAACTGTGTCAATGATTACTGAGCATGCAGGGGGTCAGATGCAGCCGAATAAAACTCACCTGTGTCACAATATTGAGAGCGCGGCCGCTCTTGCCCGCACGCGCCGTCCGTCCGACCCTGTGAACGTACGTCTTGCTGTCACCAGGCAGGTCGTAGTTTACCACAATATCCACATTTGGAATATCCAGGCCACGTGCAGCAACATCTGTCGCCACGAGTATGTTCCTGTTGCCTGTCTTGAACTTGTTCAAGGCACCCAGTCGATTTGACTGACTTAGCTGACCGTGGAGCGGGATGGCCCCGAGTCCTAGCGTCCGAAGGAGAATGGCAACTCGTTGCGTCTCGTTGACAGTCCGTGTGAAGATGACGGCCGATCGGCCCGTGAACTCGTTCGCCAGAAGGTAGATAAGGTAGGTGTCCTTGTGCTTGTGGGGAATGAAGATGTAGTTCGTAATCAAAGTCTTGACCGTCTGGTACTTGGTATCTTTGACACTGATTCGAACGGGCTCGCGAAGAGACGCACGCTGTAGGCTCTCGACTTTTGAGCTCATCGTCGCACTGAAGAGGAAGGTATTGCGCTCGCGGGGCAGGAATTTGAGGATTTTCTGCCATAGAGCTTAGTAAATCGCATAGCACTGAGTTAATGGCGCTGCACCAACCTCGATGACCGGACCGAACTCGAGCTCCAGCAGCCTGTCGGCTTCGTCTAATACCAGGTACTTCAGGTTACGCAGGTTGAAGCCTTTGGTCCGCTCCATGTGGTCCAGGATTCGGCCAGGAGTGGCGACTATGATGTGTGGCTTCTTCCCTAGGGCAATCTGCTGCGGCGTGAAGTCCATGCCTCCTACAATAGTGCATACTTTCAAAGCTATCACTGCGCCCAAAGCCTCGAAAGTCTTGCCGATCTGGAAGGCCAGCTCACGCGTAGGAGCGAGAACAAGGGAATAGAAAGGTTGCGGCTTGTCGAGAAGCGATTGCAGGATGGGCAATGCGAACGCAGCGGTCTTGCCGGAGCCTGTTTCTGCGAGACCGACTATATCTCTGCCCTGAAGGGCGACGGGGATCGATTCGGCCTGGATTTGGGTGGGATGCTCGTATTTCAGCGTTGCGCATGCTTCGGCGAGGGTGTCGACGACTCCCAGGTCCTTGAAGGTCTTGGTGGCCTGGACATCTCCAACAGTGGTCGTTTCCTCTTGTTCAACATCCGAGCCACTCGAGGACGAGGTTGCGCCTGACGGAGAGGCTGGGCCAGGAGATGGATGGGATATCTTCTGCCGCTTGGCCACCTGATCGCCCGCCATGATTGCTGACTTGAAACCAGGATGGATAGGTGGGAGGTTGGGAAGGTATCGACTGGTAGAGATCGACTCGAAGGATGTCGACTGGATGGCTGGGAGGGTGTCGATTAGTCGATTAGGAAGAGAAGGTTAGGAGGTTAGGATGGCGCTGTCTGGTAAAGATTGACTGGGCAGGTCGGAGGTAACAGGATGGCAGACAATAGAAATCCAAGAGATCCAGAGTGATTGATCTTTTTTGTGGGGCACTAGGGTATCTTAGCTCGAGAGCTTGTAGATGAACCAGGCCGGCTGGTCGGGAGGGTTGGATGTGCAGGCTGAAGTGGACTAGGGGCCTGTTCTTTTTGAAAGGACCCGCCATGACAGGGATGCTTATCCAGCTTATCAAATGGCCCCACTTGAAATTTTTCTGGGAGAGAGCTACTGCAAGTTTCCTTCTTGGGGCGTAGTGAGGAGTCTGTCTCATCAACACCAGGCCGCAAAGCATACGTGCTTTTGTATTTACAAGCGCTCAGCAATCACCACATAACACAACACCATGGCGAAGAAGCGGACCAAGAAGAGAACTCATGCTGCGGCAAACCCCAATGCCAAAAATGGCGCCCCCGTCTCAGCAGGGAAGATCGACAAGAACGACCCGAAGAGCATGGTCATCCGGATCGGTGCAGGCGAGGTCGGCTCGAGCATCAGCCAATTGGCCACGGACGTGCGAAAGGTGATGGAGCCTGGCACGGCAAGTCGCCTGAAGGAGAGGAAGGCCAACAAGCTGCGAGACTACGTTACAATGTGCGGCCCCCTGGGCGTCACGCACCTGCTGCTCTTCTCGAGGTCGTCGTCTGGAAATACGAATCTGCGTGTGTCCACCACGCCCCAAGGTCCAACACTGAACTTCCGAGTTGAGAAATACTCGCTGGCAAGAGACGTCAAGCGGGCGCAAAAACACCCTTTGGGTGGTGGCAAGGAGTACATCACTCCCCCATTGGTACGCTCTACTTTGTCGAGTCAATGATGTCGTACCACGCTGACCCTCTCATAGCTCGTCATGAACTCGTTGACTAGTGAGCCTGGTAAAGGCTCTGACAAGATACCCCGACACCTCGAAACACTTGTCACAAGTGTGTTCCATGGCCTCTTTCCACCAATCAATCCCCAGGTTGCGCCCTTGAAGTCGATCCGCCGAGTGCTTCTCCTCAACCGCGAGCGATCCCCAGAAGATGACGGCTCCTACATATTAAACTTCCGACACTATGCGATCACGACGAAGGTCACGGGTGTCTCCAAAGCAGTCAAGAGGCTGAATGCAGCAGAGAGGTTGATGAACAGCAAGAGCCGGAAGGGCAAACTCCCCAATTTGAGCAAGCTCCAGGATATCGCAGATTACATGATTGGGGGCGAGAACGGCGATGGCTACACAACCGATGCCACCAGCGGTAGCGAGGTCGACACAGATGCTGAGGTGGAGGTTCTTGAGGCCGACAAGCGGAAGAAGGTCGCGGCCAGACGTGCTGCTGCTGCCGCCGCCGCCGCAGCCGAGGAGGAGGAGGAAGAGGAGGAGGCAGCCGAGACCAACGACAGGGTGGAACGGCGAGCAGTCAAGCTTGTCGAACTGGGACCGCGCATGAAGTTGCGATTGACCAAAGTCGAGGAGGGGCTCTGCGGGGGAAAGGTCATGTGGCACGAGTATATCAATAAATCAAAAGAGGAGATCCAAGAGCTTGAAAAGGTATGGCAGAAGCGCAGACAAGAAAAAGAGGCTCGCAGGAAAGAGCAGCGGGAGAATGTCGAGAAGAAGCGCAAGGCGAAGCGTGGACAGAAGGGTGGGAAGGATGGAGAGGAAGAAGGTGACGACGATGAGATGGATCTCGATGATCTTGGAAGCGATGCGTACGACTACATGGACGACGAGGATGGCTTTGACAGCGAGGGACTGGAGGGCGATGCGGAGGCCCAGACGAACGAGCAGGCCGAGGAGAACGGGGACTGGGAGGATGAAGAAGAGGAAATAGCAAATGCCCACCGATAGGCAAGTTTGCTGCAGACGAAAGCTATTTCTGGGCAATGTCAAATCATGACAGACGAATCTAATTATACCCTTCTTGCCCAACCCTCATGGCGAGACGTCAAGCCTCTTGCCCGGACCCCCTTCGCGCTCTGCGTTGACTCCCATCTTCTTTAGACTCGCTGTCACCGTGAAGAGCATCTCTATCCTCAATCCGCCCCTGCACGACATGACCAGATCCTGCTGAACCACCCAGGCTCGAACGGAATTCGACCAGCAGTGCGACCGCCGCACAAAGGAGAGATATCGATGACGAAGCGAACACGAAGCACCGGAAACCCTTGCCTGTTATTTTGTCAGCAAATACGTAATTACCTTGTCAAAATTGACAACTCACCTTCTGCTGTGATTCCCAGGGCGAGGATAACGAAGATGAACAAAGGGATCTTCATCAGACCGTAGATCCCGGCTCGACTCTTACTGTCTACGACCAGCCCACGCATGTAGGCCATACTGGGCACGTATATGCCATTCGCGACCTCGAACGCCAAGAACGCGAAGTAGAGGGGAATCTCGACCTGGAGAACCGACAACAGCAAGAGGCTGAAGCAGGCCAGGGAGATGGCGCTCACAAGGAGCCGGACTGGGGCCGCCGGAGTCTTCATTGACTTTGACGAGGTACTGAAGAAGAGTGCCCCGATGATCATCGCGGCCATGAATGACCCAAAGATCACACCGTAAGGTATCTCGACTGGGTTAGCATCGGCAGATGCTGCTTCGTGTGCACCCTGCAAGACGCTTGGCCAGAGGAAGATCACAAGGAATGCCGTGCCTTCGAAGCAGCACGTCACAAAGGTCAAAGCCCATATACGGCCATCTGTGCCTGTTGTTAGCCAAGGCAAAGAGATCTTGGAACTGTTGGGAACTTACCACCAAGACGTCCGGTGCCACTGGTCTCGGGCACAAGAAACTCTTGATTGTTTTCGCTGAGCTGTTGCTCCACGCCGAAATTCTCGTTCTGATCGGGTCGTCAGTAAATATTCGTCTCACTCGCCAAGATCATGGATTCCTACCCATCTTTTCAGCATCAAGATCGCTGCGACACCTTCCAGGACCTAGAGTAGCCAGTCAGTCCACTGATACACTCGGCACCCCTTTGCAATTCAGGGCCGCTGCACGAAGTAACTCACTATTCCGGCACAGAATGGCCAAGTCTTCGATCCGAACACCGAGACCACGCAATGCCCAAAGAGCCCACCGACAATGGCAGCCATGCAATTCGTCGTCGTCATCACGCCAAACATCTCACTGAGCCCGCCATGCCCTCCCTCCGCACCGCCCCGGTCCAGCCCTCTCGCATTCCACTCAGTCACCATCCAGCTCTCAAACACGGTCCACAGCAGCGTCAGCCCCGTGCCCGCCAAGACCCTGCCGAGAAACAGCACGGGGAGGCAATCACCCCCGAACACGACCGTCAGGCAGGCGCAGGAGTGGATCAGGCACTGGGCCAAGCACGCCTTGCGCCGCCCATACCGGTCCGCGAGGAAACCCACGCCGAGCGCGGAGACCGCGGCTGATGTGTATGCGGTTGCGTAGAGCCCGACCACGACGGGCTCGGGAAGACCCCTGTCGTCGCGGAGGAGGGCGTACAGGTACGGCCCCGACAGCCACTCGGAGGACATGACGAGGAGGTAGATGCTCAGGAAGCCGCGGCGGAACTTCCTCAGGTCGTCATCTGTGGATCTTGGCTCCGTCTCATCAGCAGGTTTCGGAGGGTCGTCCTCGAGCCTCTCCTCGGTGTTGACCTTTTGCCATCTCGACTGGATCCGCGCCAGGGGCCGAATTATGATGTTGCGGCCTGTGAGGATGATGACGGTGGGTAGGAGGACCAGCAGCGTCGTCCAGTAGATGTCGAGCTGCATCCTGGATGGATTTAGCTGTGCCGGTCAGGATTTTCACGTCGGAGCAAGCAAAGTGAATGGGAGACCAGCGAAGACCGGGAAAGACGAGGCAGCTTGATTAAACACTAGTCTACTGATTTGTTGTTTCCGTGCCCGGGACATTCTTGCTTGGTTGGTATGGTGGAGCTTCATTCCTGTCGCGACCCGAATGTCTCAGGTCGCGGCGGTAGCCATGGACACGACCCGTGGCCTACAGCCCTTTGCGGAAACATTTCCTGCAGATTTCTGTAGAAATGCTAGCTCGTACTAATTTGCTCATTGTGGGAAACCCTAACGTAGCTATTAGAGCATGTTCACATGTATCTGCGTATCTTGGAGCTCAATACTGCAGAAAAGCACGAATTGTGTCCAGAGAAGACCATATTGGTCAAGAATAATTCCGCGACTAGTCCGGAATGATGGGTATCTACAAATTGCAACACCTTGTCTAATTAGTCGCATGTTCGTTCAATCCGTCGCAAGAATGGGGGACAGCCACCCACAGGCACCCGAACATTGCGCGCTCAGGAGCATGTCGGATCCGTCCGAAAGTGGCGCCCCCGGACTACTTCTGATGCCTAGAAAGTTTTGTGCCTTGATGAACGCTGCAATTTTGAGGATTCACCTTCATGAGCTGATTCTTTTGTAAGATTCCCACAGCTCAAAGTTGATCACAAGGAAATGTATATGTACTTGACTGTTGAGAAACGTAATCGCTAACTATACTGCGCAATAAAAGGATGATGACCCCCGATTGCTATACCTACCAGGGGGAGGGGGGGTCTTTGTATGGGTCACGCAATGCAATCATGTTTTGAGATCTAAACAAAATTTTGAAATTACAATGCAATACTAGCAAAATACTATCAAAATACTATTAGAAATAAATTATGTCAAGGCTTTAAATCATGTTAATATTGACTTTATGTTAAAATTAAGCTTATGTCATCCAATATCAGTATAAATCTATGTTAAGAGCTTTGGTTTAAATCTTATTAATTCCAAACTTATTTCTATTTTTAGAAATCTTCGTAGTTATATAGATCCTTTTATAGTAAATAAATAAGCTAGTAAAAAATAGATAAATAGTTGGGTTGGGGATGAGGAAAAAAAAGCTCTTTTTTTAATCTCCCATATCAAGGATTAACATTATATCACAGCATGTTAAGAATAACTACATGTTAAGAATGACTACATGTTAAGAATGACTATATGTTAGTGACGTGTAAATAATGCAAGGCACATAAAAAAACATACTGTCAGAACCTTGACAGTATGTCACTATTATGTCACTATTCTATTGACTTGGTCGCAGCACCTAAACAAAACCCCCCCTCCCCCCTGGTAGGTAGGCACACTGGGCTTATATTTTTCCACATTGATAGATTAGATTTACGAACTGGTTGATATGGCAAATGGGGGCATCAAACGAACATAAACCTCGTTTTCGCATCAATGAATAGTCATGGACAAATTTACGGAAGCTCCACATGGCACCGACGAGGGGTGTGGCAGGAAAGACTGGGTCTGGCAAATCTGCGATTGTTTGTATTCGAAGTGGGCGTGATGGCTAGAATCTGACTGCAGAAGGGGCAGAGGGCACCCTATTTAAAGACGTACGGACCCCCTAGTCACATGACCCCCCATTCACTGCCATAAGGGGGAGGACTGAATTGGCATAAGAACATGTTATAACCGCTCTTGGAAGTTCTCTTTGACAAGTCCTTTGATCCAATCGAGACAGCAAAGAGACAGTCTGGTTCTGATTCCACCTGGAAAACAATTCGCTTCTGCATTGTGAAGGTCTTCTTCCAGAAGCCGTGGCCCTTGAAAACAGCGCTGCTCTTGTGAGTTTCTGTGTCCGTAGAGCAGACCTTCTGCCCCCAAATTGTCCAGTAAAACCTGAAATGAAAAAGCTGGGGCCTGGGGCCAGTCCATCAGACATGGGGATATGCCTCGCTAATGCTAGGCAAATCGAGTTCTTGACTGAGAAAAAGGTTCATGTGCCTTGCAGGGAGAAGGGAGACCATGAGCCCCTTCTCTTGCGTTTGAGTCATGAAAACTCTAGTCCATGGTCTATCTAAATCAAGCACATACGGCCATAGATATAGGAAAATACGGGATCCCATCCGCTCTCTCGTAGTCAAGCCTATAATTAATGGACTTCTCATCGTCGCCGTCTAGGCCTCCCGCTAGATATTTACAGAGAACAGCCGGCCGTGCTAAACCCAGCATTCAGGGCAGATTAAGAGAGCATCGATCTACTAGTAACTCAATCAGGCAGCTGTGTAACGTTTTAACCTGGAGACTTTTATTTTAACCTTCCGCTTTTCAACCGTTAAACACACCTGCAGGTTAAGAAAAGCCTGTAATTTACCATGAGGGCATTCTAAGTTTTAAAGAAGAGTTTGAGAATCTTCTCATTAATTTTGACTAGAACATTATCGTGTAACAGAATAAGAGCAACATGTAGTTTTCTTGATCTCAACTTAAGTATGTTTCAACATTTGCAAAGCACGTAGGGGGCGTTAAGTTGATGTAATACATCTAATTAACCACGATTCATCTACTCCAGCGACTATTTCATGAGGCGGCGCCCTTCTCTGCCCATGGCTGCGGGCTCTCTGCTCCCAAAGATAATTGCGCAAAGTGCAAGTTCACTTTGCTCCCTCACAAAGTCATCCGCCCATTTACGCCTGTCGCCCGATGGCTCTTCTGACAAGATTCGTTGAAGTCTATTGCACTTGCAACATCGACTTCCATCCTGACAAGCGTGGAAGTCAAATGGTCGTATGTCACCCCAAGTCCACCAGTGGTTTGGAGAGATTTTGCCCTTGTCGCCCGGGTAATTGTTCGTAAGACGTTCGAGGCACTGAACAGTTGTAACCATGTAGTTGAATCCTTCTGGGATAGTGTCCCAGCTTCGACATCGCAACTGATCTGGCATAGGTCGGATAGGCCTAGAGCCCCGAAGGTCGGCAAACAGCAGGCTCACGACTTTCATGCTAGGCCCTTCGCCTCTGTCAGTACCTTGTTTGATACGCCTCACTGATTCGTTCCAATTCGCCTCAAGCACTTCAATCCACGGTCCGCCATTATGGCGGTCAATTTGCACGTTCAACGGCGAGACTCTTTCGGGAAGGCTTGCCAAGTGTTCGAAGTCCACACCGGCAAGCCGGCCACCTTGTCGAAAGAAATTATCGAGTCTCAATCGTCGCCCCTGGGATTTGAATATGATGTCCTCTTTCAACATTCGAAAAACTCGAAAGAGTTCTTCCAGTTCTTTCCGAGGCCCATCAGTTAGGTGTGTGGCGAAGTCTACACAGCGTCGTTGCCGCTTCTCCAAATCTTGGCGAATTTCATCATTTGTAGGGAACGTGGGAGGAGTATTTGTGTCAGTTCCCCAATCTATGATCGAGGCTTGCAGGAGGTGGAAGATTGCACAGATCTCTGGAACCAGCCAATCAGTCTTTGTGCGGACGTCGTACAGCAAGGTCAGGTTCTTGCATGCCAAACGCACCGAACGTTCAAGGCTGCGCTCCACTGGCAAGGTCAATGTGACTCTCCGCGTGAGGTTGAAGGTAGTAGAGGCTCCAATGCTGAAACCGGGGAGAGATATGCTAGATGAGAGGGAAAACGTTCTTTGCCAACCAATCGACCACTCGGAAGGGGTCGTTACTCCATCCTGTCCAACGACGACGGAATCCGCTCCCTTAGTGCTGCAATCACCAGATCCAACATGGAGCGATGCTTGCTGATAGAGGCCCACAAAATGACGGATATTCTCAGATTTAAGGATTCGATTGTAATCAGCATCGGGCCCGAAGCAGCCAAGATTCGATGGGTCGAGTCCATCGACCGTATCCATCGACAGGAGCTGGCCATCAGATGATTCGATCAGATGCCACTGTATCTCGCTGACTTTATCAGAGGCATCGCTGTTGTATTTCAGCGGTATTAAAGCGGTTCGTTGGCCTTTGAGAACGAAGGCGTCAAGGAACGGTAGGGAATACTCAATTTGAGCTAGCTTTGACACTACCCCAAGAGGCGCTTCCAGTCCAACGAATCCGGCTGGGCGGGGTGGAATAGGAAAGGACCTGGCGACATTGAAATGGCGGAAAGTTCTGTTCCAGCAAGTTCCCTCCTGTTGTGCGGTGCTTTCGAATGTCCTGGCAGACCTTGCTTGCCAATTGACCTTAAAAAGACGGCTAGAACTCTGATAGTAAAGTATTTCTGGCTGGTGTTGTTTCCAAGGGACAACTCGGAAAGTCCACGATGCCCACATCAAGAGCCGCAAGGTAGTCGCGATGTCCTGGCAAGATTTACCAGAAATATCGAAATGGCTCCATTCTCGGTCTTCGCGGTCCCTGAAAGGTTCCCATGCCGTGGAGCCTGAGGATTCCATACGACGGAACGAGGGTTCCGTATGACGAAACGAGTCTTGTTTGGAAAGTTGATGGCATAAGCCTTGAAATATTTCAATGCCGTGAGAGCCCCAATGCCACTCCACATATTGCGATGCTGTACAGCAGAAAGCGTCTTGATAATCGCCCGTAACAGTAATGACATCTCGCAAAGCATGTGATATTTTTTCCTCATGGTCGAAAGGGCGAATGTGAAGTTCGGAGTGAAGGTACGTGATCATGGGAGAAAGATCTAGACCGATTTCGATGTGTCGGGAACCGGGGTCCATTTCCACTTCCTGGTCCCATTCGTCGCCCAACCTATCTCTAACCCATGAGTAAAGCTTGTGAGGATACACCTCGGAGGTGCTATAGGGTTTCTTTTCAAGTACACCCTGTGCAGTCTGTCGGACCCTCGGGTGTTGATCTTCGAGCCGAGCTTCTACGGCTTGGATGATCTCATCGCGCAGCGGTGATTGCTGTCTTCCAATTGCTTCCAGCACAGCCTGTCGAGTTTCCCAGTTCTGATCTTCAAGGAGGGCTGTTATGGATTTCAGGGTCCCTCCGGACAGTGAGCCATTTCTTCCAAGTGTCCTCACTGCAGCCCGTTGGACCGCCGGGTGTTGATCTTTAAGCCGAGCTTCCACGGCCTGTAAAGCCTCACCGTGCGACTTTAAGTCCTGTCTACCAAGTGCTTCCAGAACAATCAATCGGTTGGCAGAGCTCTGATCTTCAAGAAGCGCTGCTATGGATTGCAGAATCTCTCTAGGCAGTGAGTGTTGTCTTCCAAGTGTCTCCACGGCTGACCATCGAACAGCGGAGTTTTCGTCTTCCAGCCGCGCTGCTACCGCTTTGACGATGTCCTCGGATAGTGAATACTCTGATTCAAGTGTATTCACTACAGCCTGTCGGACTCCAGAATCCTGATCGCCGAGCAGCGCTGCTACTCCACGAATGGCCACCTCGGACATTGAGGTCAGACGGCCAAGCCTCCTTACTACATCCCTGCGGATTTCAGGATCCTGATCATTAAGCCGTGCTACCAGCGCAAGTTGTTCATGCCATGAGGACGGTGGAGACTCCTCCCTTTCCTCAGCTTGGTGGTGGAGATCTTTATTAGCATTTGAGTCCGTCCCGGCTCAGAGGATTCCCTACTATGATTGCTGTCTGTGGATTCTTGTGGATTCGACATGGCGTTGTTACAATTGAACTGACCTGTCCTATGGTATAGGTAGCCAAAGTAGACTGTAATTCAACGTATAACAATTAGCCGCAAATGGTGAGTAAGGAGTTCAGCTATGATGTGAAATCGCCCACCTTTCGTAACTATGGGGAAATGTTCTATGTTGTCTTGGTAGCACTTGCAATACTCTCCTGATTTCTGCTAGAAATGATAGGTAATCCTGGAACTCGCACAACGCTCGTGAATGGTGTCATAATGTGCTGAATGAGTTCGGAAAAGGTTTGAGGAAGGCTCGTTGGGGTCACCACTACCAGTAATATATGTGCTTACCCCCTGCTGTTATGTCACCACACTACTGCAGTATGTCTACCAGCAACGTGCTGATCAGGAGAATCTGACCGAGTACAAAGAAATGAAGTGTTGATTGGTGATTATCCAAGGGCAGCTGTGGCCTGTTATCTCACACTATGCTATACTAGGTCTAATACATGACCTGTGAGGCAGGCCAAGCCTATATGTGGCGCTATGTGCCTCAGCTGTAAATCAAAACACCAATGACCATTTAGCTAAGGGATTTACCACTAGCTTCATCCGGCTCTTTGCAGGTTGTGGCTTCTCCCAGCACTCTCCATAGTCCTTCCGAGCCTTGCTCGGGTGTCCACTACACAGCCATCGCATTCACAAGAGACCATCCGGGCAGTGCTCACTGCCCAACCAAGAAACCTCGTGCATATCCCCCATTGAGCACGCTCCTGTAGAACAACCTCCTATGGGACAACACTCTTGTAGGATACCCTCTTATACCCTCATAGGATCACCTGGTATGGGGTAATCCCTCTAGTAGGACTTCTGGACCTCCTGTGGGATAAGCTCCAGTAGGAGAAGACAGGCAAGCCACAGAGGTTTCACAATGACTTTTTCGAATTTCTTTTTTTTTAATGTGGCTACAGTAATAATGTATGTGGTGTTGCGCGAAACTTGGTCTGCGAAATTCCGGTTAACCCATATGGGGAAGTGATGTGAACCTGGTGTGATGTCTCTCCGGAGTGAAGGCAGGCGCTGGGGCTGGTGGGCTTGGCGCCTATGCAGCCGCCTGTGCATATACCAAAATGGTGAGACTGTGTCGGTGGAAGAGATCGTGTTCAAAGGCCTGACAGCCTGTCCGGAGATAAGACACACACACAACCAATGTTTCGAGGCACGCATATAGTAAGCACTGGAGTCTTTGCCAGCAAATATCACTGGTCGGTGAGATTCTTGTCAAGTACATGGACGCTGTGAGCTGAGCGGGGACATTATGGTTTCATGGTAGACTAAGTGAAGGGTGCAGGTCGATGTTTGTAGGGTTAGGGTCTGGGCCGACGGCGCGTAACTTTGAAATTTTGGTGGCATCCGACCATCGTTCTGAACGCTGAGTCCACTCTACCGTCAACCTACATGCATCCCTCCGCCTCGAAGCGCAACAGCACTGCGAGACAGCAGGCCGTCGAAGGGGAAGGGGAGTGAACCGGAAAAGACACCAGCCATGCCTCGAAAACTGGACAGCGACACGAGGATCCACTTCCGGACTTACGAGGTGAGTGTCTGTCTACACGCTGCACCCATGTCTCGGTTGCATCCATCGGTGTATCTCGTTCGTTTCCCTGCGGGACGAAAGCTACAGCGCGTTCTGAACGCCGCGTCTATCTCGTCCCATCCCACCCCTGACACACTCTCCCACTACCGCAGCTGCAAGCATCCCGTACGGTAACCACGGTCGGCTAATGTCGCCTTCAGGATGAGGCACACGCCCAGAAGCGGGCCTTCTGCCTCCACTGCAACAAGGACGCCTGCGCCGACAACATCCAGCGCATGAAGAATCACCTCACCAAGTGCGAGGCCTACCTGAACAGCAGCGGCAGCGAGCCCTCCTTCGCATTCGACCTGGATGGCCCCATCGCGCCCGACACGCCCATGGCCGGCATGCCGGGACCCTCTGCCATTCCCGAGCCCGCCAACGGGGGCGACACCGCCGCACATGACCCCAGCCTTACTGCCACACCGGGCATGGCGCCCCCTCCGAGCAGCGGCCCCTCGTCGGCTGTCATCGGGACGCCCTCGGCTGCGTCCTCTGCCACGCCCTCCGCGGCGATGATGAAGGCCAGCCAGGACAGCCTCAACAAGGTGCGCACGGCCATGGCCAGGTCGACCAAGCGCCTCGAGAGCCTGGAGGCAGTGCTTAAGACGCAGATCCAGGACGGCATGCACAATGCTGCGACGCATGTCAGGGCTGCCATCAGAGATGAGAGGGACCGTCTTTTCAAGCTGTCGCAGACGCTGGTAAAGCAGGAGACAAAAATCAGGGATGCCCAGACCGCCATGGGTGTTCCGATGTGAGCGAGCGGCAGACGGCGTTGACTGTTGGTGTCGAGAGCGGCCACACTTTTCGCTCTGGAGTCTTGGCTTGGGCAGCGTTCGGTAGTAAGGTATGATCTCTAATTGGCTGGTTTCTCGATAAAATCACTTTGTCTTCATCGGCATCTGAGTGATGACTAGGCTCGCAATTCCCTGCTTTTAGTGTCCAGCTGGAGTAAGGAAAACGCCCTGTAATTCGGAGCCTGATGAGCCCATAGCGAAACTGAAACACACAGATAGTCAATCTGACATTTTCAGATCCCTGCTTCTGCCTGAAAGTAGCCTGCACAATGAGTTGCTTCTGCCCTAACGCATGAGGCGATCCACCTTAGCTGGACTCCATGAGCGTTTGAGAGCGCTTAGATAACGTTGCGGCCTTATCCAATCTATTTCTGTTTTGAAACAAGCAGCAGTGCATGCTTCCGTGGTCAAGGACGACCAGGCTGGTGACGCGTGTTATGGGGACAATTGCAGTAGTGCGTCAGTAGTAAGAAGGAAGGAGGGACCAAGCCGTGGCTGAGTGGACGATCTCAATGCTCCAGTAAGCACCGCTAACAAGGTGCGTGACACAACGATATGGGTGGTCGACCAGGCCCACCGGTAAGTCACACAACATTCGTTCTCTTTGCCCTGCTTCTAAGGAATTTGGATTAAGTGGTGCAGTGGTCTTGGTGGTCAATGGTTGGATGGCTAGCTACCGAGACATAGCCTCTGGAAATGGCTTTTTAGACTGGGTTGGTGGAGGAAGAACCTTCGAATGGCCAGTATATGATGATTGCGATTCTCCTTGGTGAATTCTTACATCTCGTCTCCTCACGAAGAGCATCCATGTTTTCAACCTGATTCCAGTTCCACCCACAAACCCCTCAGTAGTGACCAACACATCCATTTGATTAGTCATGACTTTCCAGTTGGGCTCCCCTGCAGGATCTTCTACTGCCTCTAAGTTCAGTGGCTCCTCGTGGGGTCTTCAAGGGATCACATTTGGAGTGAACGAACTATCCTCTTCGTTGACTGTAGCGAACTCTTGTGGCTCCATCTTCACCCGTCCCGAACTCACAAAGCTTCTGAGTGCTATACAGGAGTTGTATGACATTCGAGTCGATATTCACCCCTTGTGGCTTCAGCATGTCAAATTCAGCCGCTTGAGCCGGGTTCTCGGTGAAGGGATGCGACGACTCGCCGTGCGCGGGATGATGGACGATGTCGAAATCCACTCACTCTCCGGTGTTGCTACTTTCGTGGTTCTCTGTTGCCGATACACAGACAACGAGAGAATGATTCAAGAGATGTTGAAGCTGCTCCTGTCAGGCGATCTCGGTACAGTTCTCAAGTTTGATGGCAGTGTTGGTCCCAATCTGCCCCATACTATGACGGTACAATTACAAAAGTTTGTTGGGTCCTGTCTGCAGACTGACATGGATTCTACCGTGTCTACTCAAGCCAAAGCTTGGATGGCAGAGCTAGCACATTACGGACAAGTCGGGAGATATGGCAGTGACTTCGAGATCTCACGACCCCAAGCATCTCAGCAGCTCATGGCGGAGCTTCTTGGTGGTCGGAGTATGGAGGAGCATATGAAAGAATACTCTCGCGGGCTAGACATCTCTACAGAAGCCGGAGAGGCGATGGCTGTTGCATCAAGTACTGAGATTAGAGAGCCCTGGGCGCGGGTTTACAACACTCTTCACCTGTCCTCTGCCTACATTGCTCTGGCGGCCAGGGCCAACGGCGCTGATGTGGTAGTGCAATGCTTCACCCAAGACGGTTCGAAATTCTTCCCTTCAGAGCCTACCATTCACCACCAGGGTACCATATTCCTGGTCCGCGCCTTTGGCTCGTTCAGCCCCCTGAGCATGTGCGAGGTATTCTTCGCTATTCTGACCACTTCAGATCCAGCACACAGTATGATGGGCAGAGAACACCATCCCGGGGACTTGATGGCAGGCGAATCACTATTTTTGGTGGCACTCAGGAGCTGTTAGCGTGGACCGCACGAGCTCTTGGCTTCAGCTGCAACATGTCCATCATAGAGGAGCCAGTGGATGCCCTGTCACAACTGTGGAGAATGGGAGCAGCCTTCGCCCAACGTTTGCGTTGGGTGGTACGTCCCCAGCCGAACAAGCTTTTTCCTTTGCGCCTGACCATCGAAGGTTATGACAAAAACGCGACTCTGCCTCAACAAGCAATCGCCTTGGCCAAGTCTTACGGAAGTCGTGAGCAGAAGCTCAAACCGTTGTCCCGGAACATCGCAAGCATTGTTCATGAGTTCTACGCAGTGGATGATTATGGACCAGACCTCGCTCAGGACGAACCCGAAGTGCTTCTGGCGATGCAATTCATTGCGATCTCAATATCGGTCACCACAATACGACAGTTGACACACACAACAGATGACAGTCTTGAGCAATATGCACTCAACCTTCAGACACTGGAAAAGGGCCAACAGGGTCTACGAGATTTTCTCCCGTCCGCGTGCTCGGAGGGTATCTCCCTCCAACAGATTCTTTGGGCTGCCGCAACTCTCTGGGGCGGCGCTAGCCAGCTTTCTCAAGGATCTCAGCGGGTGACAGAGGATGTTCACGGCGTTGTGGCACCAAACTGCACTATCATCATGGACTTCATTCGGGACCCTCGCTTGTTCGTTGGAAACGGTATAGAGAAGATGCTACTATCTGTTTGGCGTGGGGCTGTTCCAATGTTGCCACGTGACCCTCGAACAAATTTTGTGCGAGGAAACAACAGAGTCAGCAGCAACCCAACTGATATTGGTCGAAACTTTGACCGAATCGACAGCGCGCACGCTATGAGAGTCATGAAAGGCCAGATGCTTCTCACCTTCGAGCCATGCACCGAAAATCCAACTCTTTCTGTGTTCTGCTGCTGGTACAGTGGCTGCCTGGTCTTTGAGTTCAGCCCCGCATGTATCTTGATAAATCTCCTGCGCCGTCCGATGAGTTCCCTTGCGGCGGCAGATAGTAAACTCTACACTTACAAAAAGCCGAAACATGTACTCAAGCTCCAACCTGGGGATCTTCTGCGAAGCAAGAACTTGGTCGTGAGAGATGAAGCCTTCGTTATTGTTCATGGACTCCACGACCCTGCTTGGATATTATTCGCGGCTGGTTGTTGCCCTCCTACTCACACTATCATACATCGCGGGCCGACGGACCACTTGGAGGATGACGTTCAAAGCCTCATTAACGACTCGAAGATTTCAGGCGGGGAGGTGTTGTTATTGGTACCGTGAACTTGTTGGAGGGAATTATTTGATCTTGTCTCGAATAATGTTATACGTAGCCAGAACTCACATGTGCTATAAAGTCCTCAGTTATAAATTCATTTGTCATTTTTCTCCTTCACGACTGAAACGTCTCTCCCGGGGGCATCATTTCAATGCCTCGGGAGGGCAAGCCCAGTGACCCATAATCATATTGAAACCTTGACTGGTTACTTCAGCGATATGGCATATTGAATATTAAGTTGGAGCACAAATCTCTTCTACGAAGGTACAGCTTGGCTCCCCTTCTCCGTGTGCCAACCGCAAAGTCAGTCTTTCCAAGCCGTGGCTGGGTGGCCACGTATTTAGAGCCTAAATGTCATTCTCTAGCGAGAGCAGTGGCCAAGTTAGTCTCTCACTCGGTCGGCGAGAAGCGTTTGAGTTTTTCAAGGACTCCAGCAAGCAAATCTATCTTTATGGAATCTAGGTTCAGTTGCATTTCAATAGTTTGAAGAAAACTTTCTGTATCACAGCGCAATATATATATATTGGGTGATTCAGTTTAATATTTTGAGACATATCATGGCTCGTTGCGGTCCCACGGGGTAGCATGCTGGGTCTGATTGTGTTAGATCTTCGTGTGCCTCTGAGAATGGAGAGTGGGATTCAAAGAGGAGCCTGCAGGTCTGACGATGAGGCAATGAGCAGCTACTACCTCCGATGGGCCAAAGACTGCGCCTGCGAAAGCTCCACTCACTTTACCGCGCTCGGCGCGACGCTCAAAGCTACGCCTCCCCTTTGCAGCTCGAGATGGTGGGCCTATTAGTCGGGCGCCTGATGCAACTGCATAAGCGACCTCCAAAGCGGTCTCTGGACCGAGATTACAACGTATGTACGGTGATCATTCCACTTCGACCTGCATCATGACTGACACTTACCCTTGCGCCTGCATTTTCCGAGAGGCTGGATATTACCAGCTTCGAACGAGTGCACATTGTGGTTGGCTCTAATAGGAATCTGTTGGTGCAAGGATGGCAATGAGGTGTGGTGATCCACCCATTGCTGACCAATTTCTGATTAACTTGTCCCGGTGTCATTGCTCCCATGACTTTTATTTGATCATTCCCCTTCCTAAGAGTACATATCTTCTGCACATGGAAGTCCAGAGACACCGACTCGCGACTCGCCCGGACCTTTAACACTGCACTTGAGCTGCTGTTATCAGCTTTCGTGTTGAGGACTTCAACGAACTACGTGGGTGAAAACAAAGTCACTTCTGCAGCCAGTCAGGATTATTCCCTCAGTACACTGTTGAAGGGCTTGTCTGCGGTCTCGAGGCTCTTCACCCAACGAGCTGCGTCTCCGCCTGTACGAATGCGATCATGGCTGTCCCCAACACTAGACAAAGAGCGAAAGAGCTCGTCCAGCAGATTGCCAAAAATCATGGCTACCTTGGCGAGGAGAAATTGCGGGCAATAGAGCCTGAGCTGCGTCGTGAGATTGAAGAGGCGTTTCTAAAGAAAGACGAGATGATTGGGTCCAGTGTCATTACGTGAGATAAAGCTCTATGCACCAAGCTTCAGATCATTCATTGACTTTCTGTGTACAAAGATTGGCCAAGAATTTGTATACCAGCAAAGCCCGATTCGTATTCGAGCTGCTACAGAACGCCGATGACAATAACTACGCTAAGGCGGCAGCCCTCGGCGCTGCACCTTGTGTCTCGTTCCGCGTCTTTCCTCGCCAGATCATTATGGAATGCAACGAAGACGGATTCACCAATGAGAACCTCGAGGCGATTTGCTCTGTTGGCAAAAGCTCAAAGACTGGATCTCAGGGATACATCGGGGAGAAAGGAATTGGATTCAAGTCTGTTTTCATGGCAGCTTGGAAAGCCCATATTCAATCCGGATCCTTCTCTTTCTCGTTCAGTCACCGCAATGGTGAATCTGGAATGGGAATGATTTCCCCTATCTGGGAAGAGACCCAGGAAGAGCGAGATTCATCATTGACGAGACTCACACTTCATCTTCACGACACTGGAGACTCTGATGCGCTGGAAAAGACGCACCAAATCATCAAGGAACAGTTTCAGGAGCTTCAAGAGACCATTCTCCTGTTTATGAAAAATCTAAGAATCATTCGAGTTGCTTTCCACGGCATTGATGGAGCGGAAACATCTTCGGCGGAGTACTCAATCCAACGCCCAGAAGTCAATCACGCGGTCCTGAAGCGAGCTGTCATTGGAAATGGAAACAAGCAAGAGTATGTCAAGCATTACGATGTGACGGTCCACCAAGCAACGGATATTCCGAGACACGAAAATCGGACCTATTCCGGCCAGGCCGACCACACGTCGCAGGTTGTGCTCGCTTTTCCACTTTCAGAGACATCAGTTCCTGTCATCGAGCCACAGGACATATTTGTGTACCTTCCTGTCCGGCCCGCCGGCTTCAAGTTTATCATCCAGGCCGACTTCGTCACTGATGCTAGTCGGCAAGATATCGTCAAAGACTCGCTGCGCAACATTGCGCTACTTGATGGAGTAGCTGATGCGTTTGCCAGAGCTGTGTTGCAGTTCTGTGGGCATGACGGCTTGCGCCTTCAGTGGATGAGGTACTTACCAGACAGGAACGACAAGAACTGGGGACCCTTATGGCAGTCCCTGGTAAACAAAATCGCCGATCGCTTGAGCCGGATCCCTGTGCTGTACTGCCACAAGAAATTCGATCGACACGTAATCGGAGATCTTGTCAGCCTGACGAATGATCTCTATGCTGATGGAGAACCTCTGTTAGAGGACGGGGATCAAGAGGAAATCGTTTCTCAGCAATACAACAGGAGTGACTTGGAAATTCTAACTGATTACAACCTCGGCTACGCCGATTGGGGGCATATCAAAAGGTGGCTCGCCTCAGACCTCAATCGAGGCGCACATTCACGCATGAGATCCACCACAACGACGACCAGTTGGCACACACAAGCAGCGATCTTGTTACATCGACCTTTCGCCGAGAAATGGGCCAATACTATTGCCAAGCTGAAAGAAATGGCCTTATTGCCGCTGCAAGGGGGCACTTGGGTTTCGGCAACCAGTTGTTCAGTTTATTTCGCCAAGGTCGATGGGATAGATATACCTCCAGACATCGGGCTCCGCATCATTGACGAAAGCATTACGAATGCCCACAGAAGGACTCTTTTCCGGGACTTGGGTGTCCAGAAAGCGCCCATATCCCTGGTTCGGAGGAAGATTTTGGAGATGTACAAGCAGCCTTGGCTCTTGCCCGACCTATCGGTGCAAACTTCGAAACAGCATCTCGAATTTCTCTATCTGAGTCAACACTTGGAATCCGAGAACGAGCCCTCTTACTCACTTATCTTTATTTTCGACCAAGATGAGTGCATCCGCAAGCCTCCAGAAACATTCATACACCTGGCCACCGACAAGAACCCCTACAGTCCTTGGGAGCTGCTGAAAGAAGGAGGCTCGACATCCAGCCCTGGTTGTGAGGCGCCAGGGTTCATGGCTCATTATATGAATGAGGCATATTTCCTGGATCCGCCACAGACTCCTCAGAATCAAACGCTCACTTGGGTTGAATGGTTTCATAGCCACCTCAAGATCCCAAAGTATGTGTATTTTGGGGACACACATCTATCTGACGCTGCCAAATATCTGCAAAAATACCGGCCAGAGAGGTTCCTCGGAGCCCTGCGTATGTGTTACCTCCACAATGGGCACTTCTCGTCTGAATTCATTGCAAGTGTTCAAAACACAAAGATCTTGTGCCGAGGGGATCAGCAGGTCTGTCTGAAGGACGCCTATGTCCCAATTGAAAGGCTCGAGACTCTCGTCACACGATTCGTGGAGGACGGCGCGTCCTTCCCATGGCTTTGGCTTGACACGAAAAATTTCCCCGACACCATACCAGAAGACTGGGATAGACTTATACGGGTTCTCAACGGTGGAAAAGTCGTGGACGATCTCGAGTTTGCTTTGGATATGCTGAGATACTCCGTGCGCGTTTTGAAAAGAGGATGGACTCCTGCGAACGAAAACAAGTTGTTTGAATTGTACTGTCATATCCAGTATCAATACTTGGCAGGTTCACGGGACAATGAAGCGAAAAGTCGGATATGGTAAGCGCAAAGCTTTCCTCATGTGTCGTGGTCATCTGCATTGTTCTGACACAAACGCACACACAGTGAGGTGTTTGAAGATGCCAACGCCATCTATATACCACCCGCCGATTCGAGCACCTGGGTGTCTCCAGAAGACTGTGTTTGGTATGTAAATTTTGCATTTTATCCAAGTTGGTCACCTTATCAGGCAAGCCGGACCATGACCTCACTGACCTCAATATAAAGGAGTGCAGCTCAAGAACTGCAGACGAAGTTTGTCCTCGAGATCGTCTATGAGCCCTGGCTTTCTACGAGCCCTGAAAAGAGAGAAGACGTCAAGCGACTTTTCTGCGATACCTTGGGCATATTTGACTGTACAGTGGAGATCTACGTTGAGGAGCTCAAAAGCATCCGGAATTCTGGCTCAGAGGACAGTGACATCATTACCACTGTGTACGAAGCACTCGACAGCCTGTGGCAATCCAGCATTGCCAAAGAACTTACGCGAAACTGGCTTAGGGGTCAGTTCGAGGATCACGCTCTGATTTATGTGGTATCAAACGAGGGCCCGTCGTGGCGCAAGACATCTCAGTGCGTCTGGTCCACTGCTGCTCAGCTCAGAGACATGGTGTCCCTCAACAACGATTACGAAGAATTGCACGACTTTTTCGTTGATGCTCTCGGTGTTCGGCCAGTGACGCTAAACATGGCGATCAAAGAGTTGAAACAGGCGGGAAGTCGACGATCAGTTGCTGTCGAGGAGGTGAAGGCGACAATATTGACAGTCAACTCGCTTCTTTGCTCGGAACCGAATCCGGACCAAAAACAGCGGGCGGAACTTGAGAAACAGCGAGAAGAACTTGCGAAGAGTAAGATTTTCCCTGTGAGGCACCCTGGAGGTGTAGTTCAGTGTGTCGCAGAAGACACTGAGTTCTTCGTTGTGGATCTTGAGCCTCGGCGATCACCATTCGAGAATCGTGTAAAGCTCCTTGACTTCAGCCTGGAAGAGGCTGTGCGGCTTCGTCATTTCTTCAAATGGGCCCGAATTGAAGACAGGTATATCTCTCTACGTGTGAGGCAATTTACCTCTGTCGAAGAAGCCGGTGCACAGCAGATGACCCAACTCGATAGACAATTTCGGTATAGAGCTCATGCGCTCCTGAGGTATGCTTTTCACCTTTACATGAACACGGAAGAAGCTTATTGAACCCCTTATAGGATTGCTGAGCATTTTGAGAGTCCCCGTGTGACAAACGCAAAGCATTCAGAGGCTCTCTATGGGCTCTTGCGGAACGCAAAGATCTTCGCGACTGATAAGATCTTCCTGGAACTTAGTCTCTCACAGGATGGATCTTCCCACAATGCACAGGGAGGATCATTGAACGTGCATCTTCACGAGCACGGCTCAGACCTCAAGGTATATTTGCCGCGCCGGAAGTCTTCTCAACAGTTCGCTTTCAGCAAGCACCTGCCAGAGAGAATTCTCCAGTGGCTCATGACTGACGCAGGCTCTCAAATTCGACATGAGACAAGCTTCAAGGCAGTCAGCGCGATTAAAGATGTTTGGAACGCGCCTCTTGAAATGTTATCGACCACTTTGGATGAAAGTGGCATAATGCAAATTAGCACCCTCAATGTCGATGAGCATATTGAAGAGCTTTCATCTGACACAGACTCTGATGGCGACGACTCAGAGGTTGTGGACACTCCTGCGTCAGTCTCGGACACAATGCCTGTTGATTCCCCAGGCACCTCCTCTGGAAGCGACTCTAGCGAGTCTGTCACATCCGATGGAACAGCGAACGAGTCGAGGACCCTCCCAGTGAGGTTGGCCGCACGGTCCAGGCCAGACACACCGTTGGAGGAACTCTCGATACGTGACACTCACTATTTGAACGTCTTAGGAAGGGTCATCGCCTCCGCAAGAACGAGTATAATTCCTGATCGAAACGCAAACCAACCCAACAGAGCTGTGAGAGGGAGCTCTAATATCTATGGTCTGGATCAGTTCGAGAGGGACTGCAAGGTTGGCGCCGCGGGAGAATTATTCGTAGGCTATTCCTTCTCACTTGTTGGCTCCTGAAGCCCAATCTGACATGACTGAACAGGTTTTTGAGCTCTTGTCTCATTTGGATCCCGCGCTTCCCAACTTCTCGAGGGCTAATTGGCAGAGTAACATGCGCCGCTATGTTACTGTACATCCGGACTACGCCAACATGAGCCCATGGACAGGAAGAGAGACCTCGGATATCACGTACATGGATACTCAGGGAGTGTTAACGGATCTGCTTATACGCAACCACTATCTGGACGGAGACAGGTGGACTGGAAGAACTCCGAAATACTTCATTGAGGTCAAGACAACAACATCAACCTGTGACGCCCCATTCTACATGAGCAATGCCCAGTATCAGAGAGTAAGTGCAGGCACTCCAAGTTCAAATGCGCAGACCTATTGATAAATCTCGGGCAGATGAGAAGTGTTACCCTTTCAGAAGGAAATAACAGTGAGATCTACGTCATTTTTCGAGTGTATCAGCTAGATTCGGGTGATCAAGGACCCGGTCTGAGAGTGTACGTGGACCCAGAATCTTTGAGATTGTCAAGGACGTTAGACTTCACAGCACCGACATGGTCGGTTACCCCTGGGGAAAACGCGTTCTAAGGGGTAGCTTGTTCCCCGGAATGTTTTAGTCTGCCTAGGTTCACGTGCGGCGAGAGATGGAATGCTTTCATATCACAACTGCCTACAGCTGGTGGGTCCACGCAATCGGACCTTGGCTGAAGTCGTGCATTTCGAGACATGATAGATCATCCAAAACATGTAGACAGGAGAAGGAGCAATATCGGAGATGTTCATTGACAGTGAATTCATGTCCAGCAAATTTCGGAACGAAAGCAGTGGTACATAGGATACACTTCGATATCAACACTTTCTAGGAATATGCCTCAGCGTTGGACTCAATGCCCTCGGTTGTCTCAAGCAGTGGCCTTCACAATCGGTGCTACTTCAGCTGATGAAATCTTGTCGGCCTGTCCATCCTGATTTTCCACCTTCTTCTTCAAAGCTGCGAAATGCGCGTTTATAGCATTCGCAATGAACTGCGTCCCCGTTATCTCCGAATACTTCTTCTTTGGCCCCTGGATGAGCGTGTCCTTGCTTGGCTGAGTGAAGTATGCGATAGAGTACCGCTCCCCGAAATAGTCACCCGGCTCCGTGGGCGCTTTCACGCGGTGGAACGTCGACTTGAACCGGTCGTCGGACCAGCGCATCAACATGTCTCCAATGTTGCAGATTATCGCCCCCGGTTCGAAGTTGACCTTGGTCCAGGTGTCGCCGAGCCCGAACTCGGTCACGGCCTCACGCCCGGGGCAAATCTCCAGACCGCTCTCGCCCTCACGCTGGAAGAGGAGCGTGATAAGGCCCCAGTCGGCGTGGGCTCCGGCCCTGTGCCAGACTTTCCCGTCGTTGGATTCAGGCGTGGGGAAGTAGTGTAGCAGTCGGAGGACGGTCTGGCACTTTGGGTCGGAAGGATCGTGAGACTGAAGGAAGTATGAATCTGGAAATCCAAGGCTTCTGGCAAGGCAGATCATGAGTTTGTTTGACACTCCCTGAATCTGGTGCATAAATTCTAGGCAATCGTCTTTAAATCCAGGAAGGTGAGTGTCACTCATCCACATGCTAGTATAGTCATTGTCGCCTTTCCCGCCGGAGAGCATGTTCTCTCCAAACTGAAGCTGATATGACTCCTTGTGGTCTGGTGCACCCGTAGACGGTCGGATCTGAGAATTCTTCTCCCAGCCGACGTTTTTGGGGCTCCACGGTACGGTAGCCTTGACATCATCCGGGAGGGAAAAGAAGGCCTGTGAGGTGGCAAAGGCCTTGTCAACCTCCGTCTGGGTGATGCCATGGTCAACAATCGAGAAGAAGCCGACGTTCTCGGCCGCATCTGACAGCTCTGAGGTGATCTCGTCAATTCTGTTCTCGAAGTCTCGCAGCGAGATCTTGATGTGTCAGTCAAATGCAGCGCTGATGCAAAGCTTCCAGGGCCTGGCTTCTTCCCGCGGAGAGTACACAAATACAGGACCAATAACAGGGAGGACACTCACTTTGGGGATCTGCCTTTCAACGTACTTCGTCGCCATGGTGACGTCGGATCAAGTTATCGTTGAAGCGATGGGAGGGCTGATTGACAGGCACGAGAGGATGTCGTACAGGATCTTGTTTGGCCTCGATGATGCTCTACATGGAGAGTCGAAGGTAAGACGGGCCTGCGGAGAGGCGGTCTTTATAAACGTGGGGAAGGTGTTTGTGTTACGCCAGGTGACGGCTGATTAGTTCAATTGTTGATAAGCACCAAGTCTTCGGCGCTCTCCGATGATACGCCCGGATATGTCGAATACATGGCCAGCCCACGAAATATCAGTATAAACTTGACAGATGCGAATTGATAGCAAGACGAATGGTCGTGTTGACCTTGTCGGATTCATTACATTGGATTCCATCCCGGGTGCTCTGAAAATTGTACTGCACCTTGCGAATCCACGCCTTTGGTCCACCAGCGCATATATGGGTAGAACCACCGTACTGCTGCACCATGTATCAAACGAATGTACAATCAAAGAACAGTGTGCAAAATATTGCAGGGGCTTGGAGCGCAGAATGCGCCAAAGTGCTGTTTCGGCGACATAAATAATTACCCGTCCGGCAGCATACCTTCACTGCCACAACAATGGCAGACACATTAGGCAATACAAATATCTCCATTTTTTTTTACCAGGACCAAGACGTATCTTATATTTCTTTAGAACTATTCTTTCGACGCGTGGTATACATGATTCCAAGTCAGCCAACAAGGGCTTCGTATTTGGGGTTAACACGCCAGTGGAGTGGACATAAGATGGGAAGCATAGCTCTATACTGGAAACAGAATGATCATCGACCTGGGTAGGAATAGACATGCTTGAAACTTGTTACTAAGCAAGAAACGATGATCTGAGAAACAAAAGTATCCTGGTTGAAACCAAAGGCCTTTGGTGCGCCGAGTGAGGCATTACTATTTGCGATCTTTTCATATCAGGACTGTCTCCACAGCTTGGGGAACACTTATTAATAGACAATACTGCGGCAATTTTGATCCTAGCAAAGTGATGGCTGCTGCAAGTACCCCATGGGACATGACTTAGAATACATTTGTATATGAGTAAAGCACTTGTGGTATATCAGGGGTGGCATCATGTCACTGTAGAGGCTAAATCTCAAGCAGATGTAGCAAGTGACTAGGCGGGGTTAGTTCTTTAGACGCTTTGACCCGTCACAGGTACCACCGATTGAAGCACGGTCCAGTGAAACAATGTCTATCAAATATGTCGATTGACGAAAGTTCCTACTATGGTATGAATATTGATGCAACAAACTCAATCAAGGCTAAAGCGCAAATCCTGGGAATCGTGACCGTGAACGCCTCGCCTCAATATGTGATTTATACAACGTCAGTCAGTTTCTTTCAGTTGGTCGCCACGTCGGATGTGTGAATCCAATTGAGCGGGTTGCTGTCGTCGAAGCGGTACTCGTAGATGCCCCCCTCCGACAGCCCGTATATCATGCGGTTCTGCGCCGTGGCTATCGCCGTGAAGTTGGTCGACCCGGGCGGCCCGCCGCTGAGGGTGGGCGGGCCGCTCGCCCAGGCGCTCTCGTTCCAGAAGCTGGACGTCAGCGTGCCGTCCGAGGCGAGGTACGCCACGATCATGTTGGTCCACCCGTGGTCGCCGTATGAGACGGATGCCAGGCCCGGGCTGGGGTTGATCATTGCTGCGGCACTGTCGGCTGTGATGTCTGGGAGAAAATGTCAGTTCTCGGCTCAATTCCGTCTGGTCTTGCGGGGTGAACCTACCGGAGCTGCCGTCCACCCAGGTGAAGTTTGTCTCCGGGCCTTGCATGATCTCCAACAGCTTCCCCGAGGTGCCAAAGTGATAGACCCTCAGCGCGTTGTCGGTCGTACCGTATTTACCAGTGCCATCGTTGTCGGTGAATGGGCGCAGTGCCAACCCTGTTCCATTGGTAGACAACTCGGTACCAATTGGACCCGAGAACGACCAGGTGTTGTTGGTAAGATTGCAAAGCTGAATACTGCCGGCTGGCTCCTGGTATGCCAGGAACAACGAGTTCGTGCAGTTCTCGCAGATCTGCCAATAGGCGGAAAGCTTAGACCCTTCCATGGCCTGCGGCGCCAGGCGTGTGCCTAGTTCTCCCGCGAACCACACTTCGCCGATGATATCGGAGGCCCAGATCTCTGACACGAAGTTGTCGTTCGTCAGATAGTACAAGCTGACTTGGTAGGAGTTTGTCACGGCCGCCAAGGGCGTGCCGGCGAGAACGTCCAGGTTGTCCGCCCCAGTCATGTTCAAGACTGCTTGCGTGACGTTGCTGTAATACCACTCGTTGCTGACCGAGTCGCGGAGGGAGACTAATATGCTGCTATCGGATTCCTGGTAGAACAAAGCCGATCGAGCGACACCGGTGGTGTCCGTCCAGTTCACCGCAGCTAATTGCGTTGTGTTGAGGATTGTTAATATGTCGGTGGATGCAGAGCTACTACTTGATTTCTGCCCTTTCATGGTCAGGGTTACGCCGAGTACGGTGGCGAGCAGTACGAGGACGAAGACCAGCAGACCGATAGCCACGCACATGAATACCCGGCTTCCCATGCCGCACACTTTCACCTCGCGCGACTCTTCGTCCTGAATCTGCATCTGGCCGTAGTACGGTGAGCTCGGCACGCTGCGGTCACTGGTCAGAGGCACCGTGCTCAGATTTGACGACCGGAACCTGAGACTGTGGGGATAAGCTGGGACCGGGTCGGCCAGCGACGGCGAGACCATTGACGCCGATATTTGCCCGTCCATCGCGGCGATCTTCTCGCTTGCCTCGTCGACGATGACGGGCATTTTGTCGTCGTTGAGGTCCCATGACGGCGGTATGGCCTCCACCACCTCGGGCAGGTCGCTGTAGTTGTTGTCCGTGACGAGTGCGGGTCTCGGGGGGTCGATATCCATTGTTGACGACCGTGTTGACTTATCGCCCTCGATTACTGTGGTTCCCTCCACCCGCCTCGTCTCCATTTCCAAATTTGTTCCGTCAGTGTGCCCGTGCAGCGCTCTGGTCTCCGTCGGTGTCGTATTCAGGTCCCAGTGCGTGGTTCCAGCGACCTCGTCCACTACAGAAATCTCCGGGTTCTTGGCTTGGTTCCTTGAGTCGGGACCGTACCTGGCAGTGTCCTCGTCCATTGTGTCGATGATCGCGGTGGAATCTCGTCAACAGACGGCTCGGTCGAAGGAGACAGGTTGGGAGAATGACAGTTCGTCCTGGTCCTTGTTCAAACCAAGCTGCTGCAGTTTTTCATAGTTCGTAGGTGAAAGGCTTATACCTCAAGCCATCGGCGACTCCAAGTTGAGGCCGAGTAAGAAAAGGAGTGACTGAGGTTGGGTTTGATACTAGAGCGCACCCAGCGCGCGCCGCTGGACAGTAGTGAAAGTCGCGAATGCAATGATCGTGGATTGGCCAGCGGAGAAGAGGAAGAATCGAAAGGTGATAGCGATTTGGACCAGCCTGGGAAAGAGATCGACACAGCGAGAGACAAGGTTCTGGACCGGGAAGAAGAGAAGAGAGTTTCGAAGGCAGGGGATGAGGTTGTGTAGGAGATGTCGAGTCAGCCGTGTGTCGCTGTGACAGGGTAGCATCCAGAACAGGGAGTTCATCTCCAAGCGAGGACGGACACCGATCACCAGACTGGCGGAACAGGCCGGCACGACGTTGAGCCTAAAAAGTCTAGATAGATTGCCGAATAGGGCCTGGAGGCGGCGAGGCCGCCCTTGGCAACAGCTGGTAATAATTGAGCCTCCCGCAATCCAGTACTTCATCTAAGGGTCGAGACGGGTGGTGACGTTTCTGCTTTCCACGTTGATGGGCCTCCCGTTGCAACGTTGGCAAGCGTGAACCTCTGCCGAACTACAACTTTAGAATGTACATACTAGTGCTTCACTTTTCAGATCAGGCGCGCGGTGATCTGGCCCTACTGGGGGTCCCGCTTGCCGACGCTGCGAAGGGCCTCAGCCTCCAGGCCGTTGTGAGTGGGGTGATGCAGGGACAGGTAGGATGCAGGGGCTTTAAATTGAGCCTTGCTAGCAAGGTTCATGACTCTTACAATACATGGCATGAAGGCTGTCGCGTGGAAGAGCCTTAGCCGCTTGCGGCTCTCTCAGCCCCATCGGGTGGAGGCATAGCCCATGCCAAGATGCTTGTGTGTCCTGGACCAATGGAAGCAACATCCCCAAGCTTTGGATGAAGTTTCCTCTTTATTGACGGTGAATATATAGCACACTAGGGTAGACCGGTCGATCGATGGTCGATCAACTGTTGAGGGGCTGAGATAGTCGTCTGCAAACGTTTGCCGATAGAAACTCTAGATCCAAAGATCAGATGGGGTTCCAAGTTGATTGCCGAGTTTCGTCTTGCCAAGAATTTTGGAGGTCGGTTCAGCTGGTTTCAGCGTTGCAAGTATTCAATTACGCTTGAGAGTCATGACTATGGCCAGGTGATGAGCGTGTGATTCTTGGGCCACGGTGGTAATTGACCCGAGTGATCAAGTGGCAACAGCGGGACCACAACAGCCGGATAGAGTTTAAGTATTTCCGAGACTATGAAGTCGATCTGAAAGATGCTTAAACTCGTAGACACAGCAATCTGGGGTTTGTCGATGTTCTTGCGGCACACACAGCCTCAGATACAGAAGTCAAGAGAGCATACTGGACGTTTTTCAATGGCCATCCGCGGAAGATCTCATGAATCATCAACTAAGACCGGGACATCGGACCTGTTTTTTGCATGCAGTCCAGCTTTCTTGTTCCCAACGTCTGGTGCTCAACAATTCGTCCGGATGGATCTGGGCCCACTTTAGAACTCCAAACATGGTCTGATGCAGGAGTGTTCAGTTAGTGAGATAATAATGACTATGCCCTGATTGAATGAAAGGATGCTGGGCTCTCATACCCTCTGACTAATATCAAGGGCTCATCTGCAGTGCTAGTGACCCTTTGCGAAGCCTACATAGTATATCAGCCAACGAAATCCAGGATGAGAAACACGAAGACTGAATTATAGAGGATGAGAACGAGTTATGCCAGGGATGGAGGATCATATCAGTTATACTACTTGCTCTTATGGACCCAGAGGTCATTCTAGCCTTCATGAACACAAACTTTAATTCAGAATTTCAATATGGAATCTTAAGCGGTATCGTCAATTTTCCTTCTGTCCGGCCCCTTCATCCCGTGGATGCTGCTGGGGATGTTGACGGACTCGATTTCCTAAGTCCCTGCGAGCACTGCGATGAGAATGGCGCAACGATTTTGAGGAAGGATGTCTGGGCGCTGCTTCCCCATGGCCAATCGGGAGGACGAGACAGAGTATTATACTTTACCCCTGCTTTGGCGTCTGTGACCTCGGCATAAGTTGCTGACCCACCACTGGTACATATGGATAGGAGGCTGAGAAGAATGAATCAACACACAATATCGGGCACGTTCTCCCCTCTGCTCGCCTCATGCTTGGAAGTGCTACTCGCCGGCTCAATTTTGCCGTATCAACCGTGGAGATGCTCGCATCAACGTGACATCGTTCGGGCGGTATCACCACCTGTTGAGAAGTGAGGTTTCAAGGAGAATTGGACACGACCTTTTGCTTCGCAGAAAATTAACTAGGCCGTCCCGCAGATTACATGTGCAGGCGTTGAAAGTGTTTTAGGAACTGAAATTAACGGGCATTGGGCAGAGCTGTTATGGAGCGTGTTTTTTGATGCTAGCGGCGAAGCACAAGAGGTAGGTGTCAGCCATACAGAACTAAAGTCGTAATTCGAAGGATTCACTCCAGAGTCGACATGTAACTAGAGCCTCACCTCAGAACCCACGACTGCTCCACGAAATATTTGGGCTTCTGGATAATAGCCTGGTGTAGTCCCGCTCTATCAATTGGTTAAGTGTAGTGTCACGTCAGGCCTTATTTCAAGCGGATAGTACAAGTTGGAGAGCAAATCAAGGGGTTCGTGAAATGAGACCGCCAGGAATTCAATGAGAGTCACCACATGTACTCATCTGCTATCACGTTTGCTCTCTGCACCTTTGGATGAACTGAATGAGCGTTTTCAACCTTTTCCCCTCCACAGCTCAGCATAGGATCAGGACCGCAAGAACGAACAACATACCTCTTGAGGAGAATTTTAAGCTGTGAGATATCTACAGTACAGACCTTAGTGAAGCCGGACCCTGATGAGATACACTACGCATTCTCGGACCTAGTGCGTTGTGCTTCATTTTCTCTACAGCGCGACTGTCTGCATTCTCTGCTACGGAATTGAAGAGTCATGCCAGGTGAAATGGCGAGAGCGTCAACTGGGTTCTTCTTGGGAAGTAAACCATGCAGGAAACAAAAGAGGATTCCGGCCTAGATGTCTAGTTGCTACTAAAATTTGGCCAGCCTGGGATGCCGATCGCAGTCGCCGCCGTTGTTGATGAGGGTACCCCGTCCCCAGCGGCCCATCCACTTTGGATCACACATACGGAAGACAGGCAGCAAAGGCTTAGAAACTTAGCGCCAATAGCCTTGGCAGGGGTCATTCTCATCATCCCAGAAAACACATGACAGTCAAATAGATTGCATTGCTTGAGCGTTGAATACTTTCTATAGGACTGCTGGACTGGCAGCGGTTGCTGGTGTCTTGTTAGTGCCATGAGTCGCATGACTGGCGCCAAATTTTTGTTGCCGGGTGCATGCTATATGGCCCGTAACTTTGTTATTATTCCATTTGTAGATCTACCCAGGTGTTTCTGCTTGTGGGTTCCGCCGGTCAAATGAGTGGGCTGAACGACGAGATGAGGACTGCCTGCTCAATGTAGACAACTTATCGAATCCGGTAGCTTCGCAATCGGCTTCGGAGTGATCGGGGCCATGCTCAGCCCTCCTGGGCTGTCGCTGCCCTGCATTTTTGATGCGCTGAAGGCTGCTTTTTTAGACAGAAGGCAAGGGACTGGTATACGTGCCAGGGGTGTGATAACAACAGGCGGACTGCCAGGTCAAGCCGGCTGCGGCGTTGGCTTCCAAGCTCCCGCCACATGCCGACGTTAGTCATCCCCGTCCGTGCGTACCTGCACCGCACGCCTGCTGCTCGAGCTAGGCCCTGGGGCGACCCTGGGGCGACCCTGGAGCTACTCGGGCAGGTCGGGCTACCGTTACTCGAGCTGCCATGTGGGTCGGAGCTCCCGCGCGGCGGGCAGTGCCTTCCCCGGGATCGCACCTGCCCCATCGAGGATAGGCGCGAGCACGATATCGCCGTGGAGCCGCGACTCATCGTCAGCAAACCCCTCCAGAAGCGGCCAACACCGGCCTATCTTACCGCTTACCTGCACATCCTGCCCTCTTGTGACGCGACGGTGCTGTGATAAGCTTCCTTGGTTGCCGTGAATGCGATCGCGACGCAGCACCCACCGCTACTGAGCTCGGCCGGCTGTCGCGTTTGGACGTGCCGACGATTGCACTGCCCTGCAGCTCACCACCACCACCCACCCACAGCTGCACGCCTGCCCGTATGTGTGCAACAACGTCAGAGACTCGGTAAGTGTTCCTGTCCCCCTTCTTGGCTCCCCTCATTATTGAGGTATGTCAATACCTGGTGCGTCTTTCGACTTGACACAAGTGCGGGACGATTGAGTTGGGTGTGTTCGTCTGTCTCTTTGCCTCCCTGTCTTCGAACTTGTCAAGATGGCGTGCAAGACCAATATCAAGACCGTCCTCTGCGGGGCCTTGGCTCTTGCAACCGGTGCCGACTGTCTCCGGACCTCCTTCTCTGTCAGTGAGCTTGCAAGCATCGCAGCTGGTGAGGCTTCGCTGCAGGAAGAGTACAGCCGCGTCCAGAGAGACGTCGCTGCCGCAGCCGACACAAACCCCAGCCTGCTATATCCAGCTCACAACCTGTCTGTGCCTGTCGACCACTTTCACAATGACAGTTTGTATGACCCACGCGTAAGTCTCAGAGCCTGCGTCAGCACAGCCGCCTTCCAAGCCGCTAACTGGGGCTACCATAGACAAACGACACTTTCAACTTGAGATATTGGTTCGATGCGAGCCACTATGAGCAGGGCGGGCCTGTCATCGTCCTGCAGAGTGGAGAGACTTCCGGTGTTGGCCGCCTGCCTTTTCTCCAGAAGGGCATCGTGTCCATCCTTGCGCAAGCCACGGGTGGCCTGGGAGTCATCCTGGAGCATCGTTACTATGGCACGAGCTTTCCCGTCTCCGACCTCAGCATCGAGAGTCTACGCTTCCTCACCACGGACCAGGCCCTGGCAGATATGGCCTACTTTGCCCAGAACATAAAGTTTCCAGGGCTTGAGGACATTGACCTCACATCGGCCAGCGCCCCATATATCGCGTACGGGGGGTCCTACGCTGGGGCATTTGTGGCTTTTCTCCGCAAGCTCTACCCTGACGTCTACTGGGGCGCTATCTCAAGCTCCGGGGTCACAGAGGCTATCTATGACTACTGGGCGTATTATGAAGCGGCGAGGCTATTTGCACCAGGTGACTGTGCGACCACGACCCAGAAGTTGACCAATGTTGTCGACAACATCCTCATCGGCAAGAATGGCACTGAGTGGGTGCAGCGTGTGAAGGATGTGTTCGGCCTGGGCAATGTCACCCGAGACGACGACTTCGCGAGCTCAATCTCCGGCGGGGTTGCTGGCCTGCAAGGTACAAACTGGGACCCGGCTTTGAACAGCACGAGCTTCGGTGTGTATTGCGATACCGTATCCAGTGATGCGATCATCTACAACGCCACTGTGTCGAGGAAGGCCGAGGCGATCGAGATACTGAAAGCCGGTGGCTACGAGGGCGATGTGGACACGCTTACGAACCGGTTCCTCAACTACATTGGATACATCAACCGTACTGTCGTTGCTAGCTGTGCGTCCCGGGGGTCAAGCCAGGACGAGTGCGTGACCAACTACGACCCCAGCTTCTACAAGCAAGATGATATCACACAGACATGGCGTGCATGGCCCTGGCAATACTGCTTTGAGTGGGGGTACCTCCAGACTGGCTCAGGCGTCCCGGAAGACCAGCTCCCTCTGATCTCCCGACTGATCGATCTTGACTACTCTTCGGTCATCTGCAAAGAGGCGTTTAACATTACCACACCCTCCAAGGTCGAGCGGATCAACCAGTGGGGCGGTTTCAATATCTCATACCCACGGCTGGCCATTGTTGACGGCGAGAAGGACCCCTGGCGGCAGGCGACACCTCATGCCATCGGCCTACCGGACAGGGTGTCCACGACGAGCGAGCCATTCATCTTGATCGAAGACGGAGTGCACCACTGGGATGAAAACGGGCTGTTCCCGAATCAGACGACAGCTGAACTGCCTCCAGCTCCTGTCAAGGAGGCTCAGGCACAGGAGGTTGAATTTGTAAAGGCCTGGGTGGAGGAGTGGAAGCAGGCCAAGAGTACGGCTGGTTAGAGAGCCTGGGATATCGAGATGTGTTACTAACCAAGCTGCAGGTAAACTCGAACAAGCTGTGCCACAGGCTGAGATGGAGCTGTAGTGTCGTGAGGTGTGTGGAGCGTTGAGGAGCCGAGGGCTGCGTGAGCGAGGCTCAAGTGAATCTTGAGAAACCTGGAGTCAGGATATACATATACAATATATACGTCCATCTGACCAGATCATGTGAAAAATAATTACAAACTGATATGGCGCCAGCTTTGGTCCTTATTGAGGTGTCCATCAATTGAGTGAAGGGGACCACTGCTCGGGTGCGGCTTAGGAGGTACCCAGGTACAGGGCGAGTGGCCCAAGCGTCCTCAAGTCCCCGCCGTCGGGGAGGCTCTTGCAGGAGCTGCTGGCTTGAGCGCGATTCAGCTGGTCGAGAACGCGATAGCAAAAAAACTGCAGCAAACAATCCATCATTTGCGCATCCATTCCACCCTCGTCGTCATTGTCGCCCACCACCACCTCGGCTGCCAACTCCCTGTTTTCCTGAATTGACCTTTTGATCCCCACACCTGGTGCCAGTCCATTGCTCTGCGGCGTGCTGCAGCCCCTCCGCCGGGCCCAGCCTGACCCTGAAGCCCACCAGTTCTTGGCCCTCGTCCTCGCCCTCGACCTCCCTTTGTGGCGCCAGTGCTTGCAATAGCCCCATGCGATAGCAACCTACTACAACAAGCAGCTGCAATGTCCTCGACTTCGGTGAGAGAGGAGCCTCAGGCTTTCTTCTCCACTTATGCGCCCCGACTGCGTGCCTACAGAAATTCACTCCTCACGCCCGTTCTGCCTTCCTCGCAACCAACAGGTCCCCTGTCCCGGACGACGAAGCGCGGTACCACAATCATCAACTATGCAGAAGACGGCTACGACTATGATGTCTCCGATGATGACAACTCGAGACGGCGACCGACAGGACTGCGCAGCCTGCGACGCGAGGACAGCGGTGCACAGCTCGACCCCGGCGACAAGTTCGATAAGGAGATCTTCGAGCCCGTTGACGTGCAAGGCGTATACCGAGACTGGATGAACAAGTCAAAGCAAGGCCTCTCCGACATGCAGAACTACGCGCAATCCTGCCTACCACTCACCCTCATACCCATCCGCATCGACCTCGACATCCCAGCCTTTACACCTCTGCCGGCGCATCCTCCACCAGCCCCCAACATGCCGGGCATCGACTACACTGCGCCTCAGTACAAGTCGGGCGAGATGACTATCCCATATAAGCTTCGAGATACGTTCTTGTGGAACTTGCACGAGACGCTGATGACCACGGACCAGTTTGCGGCGACCCTTGTCCAAGACCTCGACCTCCCCAACAGGAATCTGGCCATCGCAGAGATCAGCAAGCAGATCAGGACTCAGCTCGAGGAGTACGCAGGCGTTGCGCTGCACCCTCTCTTCCACTCACATGCCAACGGTAGCGAATCAGGCCCCCGGCAGAATGGCACCAGCATACCACCAACTCCCCTACTCAAGGCGTCTGGGTCCACGGGACCCGATACGCCCGCTAGAAGCGGCCTGTCCCACCTGCCCGCGACGCCGTCGGCCCTCGGAACATCGACACCAGTCCTTGGGGCTACGGCAGTACCGACACAGGAGACCACCGGCGAGGTCACCGCGACCGCGGAGCACATCACAGCCGACTCCGACGACCTCAACCCTGAGGACACCTACCGGTGCATCATCAACCTGAGCATCAACCTCGGGCACCAGCTTTACACGGACAAGTTCGAGTGGTCGCTCCTCCACCCCGCAGGCACAGCCGAAGCATTCTCCAAGCAGACATGCGCCGATCTTGGCCTGACCGGCGAATGGGTCCCAGCGATGACGCACGCGATCTACGAGGCTGTCCTACGTCTCAAGAAGGAAGCCTGCGAATCTGGCGGTGTGATATCAGGCTGGGTAGGCGCGAGCGCCATGAACGGCGGCGACTTCCCGAACGACGCAGCCATCACGGCACAAGGGGAGCGGGCCGGGTGGCGGTACGACCCGGAGCATCTGGCGGACGAGTGGGAGCCCAAGATAGAGACGCTGTCAAAGGAGGAGATCGAGAAGCGCGAAGGCGACCGCGAGAGGCAAATAAGGCGACTCCGGCGCGAAACGGCACGGTTCTCGAGCAACACGGGTATGATGGGCGGCGTGCCTGCCGGCTTCGGCTTCACGGGCCTGATCGAGCAGGAGGAAGAGCGGATGGGCCGGGGCGAGCGGAGCAAGAAGAAGCGGCGGTTCAGGAGCTTGTCGCCGCTGGGGAGGGCCAGCACGCCAGGAGGCAGGTTCACGCCTGACGTTGGCGCTGGTCCCGGCGGTGGCTACGGCGGTGGCGGCACGTTGACGGAACAGGAGCGGTTCACATGGAGGTGCTACCACTGTAGGGTATGGGGCAGCAGTGTTTGGGCCGTCCGCGATGGGCCCCATGGACCAAGGGTGAGCTTCCAAATTTCCCCATTCCAAAATGGCACATGCGCATTACTACTTGGAAGATTTGCTAACGCTGGCCTGCAGACTCTGTGCAACAACTGCGGCTTCATGTACGAACGTGACAGGAAGCTACCCCGGTGGACGAAGAACCTGCACATTAAGGACTCAAGGCCCCAGTAGAGGGTCGGTGGTCCATGCTTTTATCTGTTCTTTTTCTGCGACTGGCTGGACTTCCAAGGAGTTCCGAGGGGGTTTTTGCACACGTCTATTGTACGAAATGATGGTCCATTGAGGTTCTTTCGGGTGAGGACGGGGTCGGGAGTGGATGTCTCCCGCTCCTGTATGAGTACCTAGATAGATAGATGATGGTGATGTTAATAGCCCTTACTACAGCTTGCCACCTGGATGACAGGGTACGCTGGTGCTGGCGAAGGAGAAATGAATGAATTCGGAACAGAAGTTCGTCTAAAGGAGAATGCTTTGTTGATTGCATAGGTGCGTGCTTGAGGGACCGAGTACCCGTAGCTCCGTACCTGACGATCTCTACCCCAGAAACTTTCGCTGTTTTACAGTGTATGACGGGGCGCGTGGCTCAACCGCTCTGAGTCATGACGTTGCTTTCGAATAAATAAGCAGAATTTCGAAGGTAGTAGGTTCGAACCCTGCCGTGCCCTTTTCTGAGCGATCTGCTTTGTGGAACAGCCGACCACGTCAAAATACTACGGCGCGTACCCTGGGTGTCAGCCAGTGGTACTTGAATTTGTGGGAACGATTGCCGGGGCTGCTAGGGAGCCCCCCTGGTATTATCCAACCACGTCTTCCCAGGTTTTTCCCCTCGCGGTTTTTCTGGGAAGCCGCCCCACCGCTTACGACTAAGACAGTAATATGGGGCTTGAAATCTTCGGACACGCTATCAAGCTTACAATTTAGGTACCTAGGAATGGGAAGGAAATACGGAGGATTGGTGGAAAGGGATGACTTCGGTTTGTAACTGTATACTGCTTCTGTTAGCCTACCGCCTAGCCGTACTCACGCCTGAATACGCCCAAGTGCAGCGTCGGCCAGCCCAGGAGTAGCAGTGTTAGACACTAGATAGAACCTACCCCTGGGCCTTCGGCCCCAGGTGTCAATCAACACACACACACACATACAGTGTATGACGAGTCACCGCTAGCGTGACCACCTGCAGCTGTATCAAGGGGTTCTGCAATAAGAGGGTTGTATTCAATTTCTAATTATGGTTTTATCTAAATTTATGCCGAAGGGTTGAGGGGCCAAGGACTACCTATCAATGCCCATAAGAGGTTTATGCAATGCTCCTTCCTTACAATCTACCCCCTCTAAAAAATAGCAGCGCCCTCGCAGCTAATAAATAATTCTAAAAAATGCATTTAATAAATTAATCATCTTATATTCCGTCTTTTAAGCAAAGTATTAAGCCTAAATTATTTCTATCTTCCTCATAGTCTCTATTTCCATCCTTCAAAGCGTTAGGGTCATTTTAAGGTTTATCCCGTAATCTATTATATTCCTTATAATTAGCTGCTTTCACATTTCCACCTAATTTAAAGTTATCCATAAAAAGTTCCAACTTAAAAGTACATCCATTATTAAGTAATTTAATAATAATATCCATAACATCTTAAATAACAAGGAAGGCATTAAATTCATTCACAATCATTTTAATAAATAAAATATAATGGCTGCCTTTTAAGGTATTAATTTATTTATCCTTCTTAATTAACTAATCTTTTAAGCTAGTAATATATATAATGCTAAGGTTAAATTATGTCTAAAGTAAGTTCCGCTAAGTATTCAATTTAGTATTTTCCAACTATAATTTTGCGATTTAGGCTTGCTATTTATTAACTTTAGCGGCGAACTTAGCATTTTCCATTTTATATCGCTTATACTTTTACTATTTTATTAAAGGCAAGGACATTATTAATAGGAAATATAAATAAATATCGGTATATTCCATTGCAGGCAAGAAAGGTAACATAAACTAACGAATCATCACGTTATTAATGGGAAATATAATGAGTTGCAAGAACATATCAAACTTTATCTTCTTTAAGTTGCATTGCAAACTCGCCATAAGCATTATATTAAATTTTTTTTAATTAATTTTCTTTAATAAACTATATTCTCCAATTTAAAATGATATAATAAAGACATTAAAATCGCTATTAAAGGAGCAATCATTAAAGGGAGGTAGTTTTTTAAGCAGATTTTCTTTAATTTCATCACGCACGGATTTAACGGCTTTAGCATTTTCATTAAAATTGCTTTCACCTAAGGATCCTTTAAATTTAAATTAAGATTCAGCCTAAGAAGAAAAAATATTATAATCCACTATATTAAATAAGTATTATAAAGAATATAGCAAAATTAAAGCTTTTTTAATTAATTAATTTATCTTTGCGTTTACATAAAAAAGATATTAATTAAATTTTCCATTAATAATATTCTACAATTTATTATAAATATATATTCACCATTTATATTCCTTCTTCTTATGCCTTTTAACGAATTACAGGAGCTTTTTATCATATTCCCACTTTTATATTAAGTAGATAAAAATAAAGAGATCCATAGCTTTATTAAGTTTATTAATTTTAACCCTATTAAAATTAAAAATTATTTATAATATAATATGCAAGTTTCTTATAATAATCATTAAGCCGACTTAATTATTTCAATGCATAATGTCGTTAATGTTTTTAATTTAGGGCTTTAAATTTTAAAAAAGATCTGCAGCTTAGCGCTTTGCTTTAAATTTATGCCGTTTAAGTTCGTTTTTAAATAGCTTTTTACTCTTATCTCCTTCCGTTATTACTATTAGCGATAAGCTTAAATTGCAAGGCTATCTTAAGTATATCTTCCGTTAAATAAAAATAAATAGAAAAATAAAAGGAAAGAAGAAGTTTATAATTCCTAAGAAAAAACTAAAATTATACTTTAAGTAATGCTATATTTATCCCATTTTTTCATCCAAAGTTTTTAAGTAAATATTATTATAAGTCACTATAACAATTATTAATAATAGTTATTAATAATAGTTATTATATTAAGTTTATAATAAATAATTATTTATAAATGAATTTATTAAGCAGTAATTATGCATTAAGTTTTAATTACAGCAAGGTTATCCATTCTCAGAATTTAGGTCCCAATTCAATATATTTAATAAGATATTTTATATCCTTTAATCCTAAATATTGTTAATTAATTATGCACTTTACATAATCTTTAATTTAAATGGATTTAATCCAAGGTATATCTTAATTAAATAAATCTAAAGGGTATGGCTTAAGGTAATTAATAAAAACAATATTATACTTTAACTTTTATGCGCGCGGAAAGTTAAGTTAATATGCAAAACGGCCAATCCTTTCCATAACTTTAAAAGAGTTTACATATTATAATTTATATTTATAATTAACATCTTATGAAATTCCATATCCTTTATATAGTTAAAGTAATACCTATGCTCTAACTTTAAAGAATTATATAAGATATTATTTATTAAAATATGCTTTTATCATTATCACCGTAAATGCTAAGGCATTATATATATAAATATGGCTTTAAGAAAGGTTTAGCAGTTAATAAGGTACTTAATCCATAATAATATTTAAAACATCATTTAAAATAAAGCCTTTAATAATTTCATTTAAGGAAATCCCGATTGCTTAAAATTTGCTATTACAGTATTTAAATTATATCCATGGTAAAGTATTTAATTATTTTCATGAATTATTAAGGCCGTGGATAAAGTAGCAAAGCGCGGATTTAATAATTTATACCATCCTTTTTAACTAGCTATTAATTTATAAATAATATATAGTTATATAAAGTAGCTTTATTCTAAATAATTTCCATATTAATAATTAAATGCTTAATAGGAATTTAAGGTCTTGGTTTAAGAGGATAACTTTTAAATAGCCCTAATTACTTTAAAGCAAGTATCATAGCAAAGAGAAGGCTTATTCCATAGCTTTCTATATTAATTTTCCAAATACCAGCAATAAATCCTTTAAGAATTTATAAATTACTAAGAGAATATAGTTATAGCCTTTTATTAAGGGAAGTTTAAGAATAAAGTTCATTATAATCCAATAATATAAATATAATAAGCTAAGCAGCGATTATAAGCTCCTATAAGCTTTATATTTTTTAATATTAAAAACTTAGTAATTAAGGCAGTAATAAGTAAATTTACATAGCTTAAAATGCAATCTTTTAATGCAAAAGGGCTAAAGAAATTTACTAAGTTAAGCATAACTATAGTAGCTACCTATATAAGCAAGTTCCAAGATTTTAATTATACACAATTAAGGAATGCAAAGATAAGGAGTTCCGTCTTTATTTAATATTTTTTAAATAAGATTAAAGCGAATTTTAAATAAAAGGATGGCTTTATTCTTATGAAAAGCATTATTTCGCTATATTATATCCAAAATTCTTATCCATTAGGGGTTTATTTAATAGCTATCTTAAAGGCGCTTGTAAAAGTCAGGAGATATTTTAATATATACATTTCCATTTTATAAATTTAATTTCAAAGGTATCGTAAAGGCTATTAAGCGCATTTTTAAGAAAAACAATTAATATTTATCTTAATTATTTAAGAAAACATTTAGTTTACTATCTTTAGTTAGCGATGACACGTTTAATAACGGTATATATAATAATGCATTTAGCATAATATTCTCTCTTCTCAATTTATATAGTAAATTAATTTTAAAGGCGCTAATATATTTAAGAGCATAGATTAATTTCTTATTATTTATTAAAGCTATAATAAAGTTAATAATATTAAGTTATTTAAAAAGGGCAAGGATTGCTAAGTGGTTTATGCAAATTGTAAAATAATGCTTAGTAACGTTAATTTAATATCAACATTTTTTAAGTACCTATACATAGCTAAAAAGTTCCATTTTCATAGCCTAGTATTAACATTCCGCGAAGAATAAAGTACGGCTAAAGTACATAATTATTTTAATTAAAGTTTACAATAAGTATATAATAATATGGCTATCTTTTATAAGTTTCCTTATAATTAAATCCGCTATATAATAAACTTATACTTTAATTCCAAACGCAAATATATTAAAATCAATAAATAAACGCCTTTTTAAATTAAAGTATATAATGAATATAAACTTAGTTAGGTTTTATTTTATAGTATTAAAGGCAGCTTTCTTTGCATCGCTAGGCAAGGCAAATATAATTCATTTTATTTAATTCTCTTAAGCTATTTTATCCTTTAGCTTTATTAAGGCATTTAGTTAATGGAAATTTATTTTTTATTATTTAAAAGGCTTAATCTTTATTATAAAACGCGAAACGTTATATCTTATATAGCCTATAAGGCTAATAAAATATTTTAAATCCTTTAATAAGCAGGGAAATTCTAAGGCTTTAATAGCCTTTAAACGTTCTTTAATTATAAAAAGGTTAAAAGAGTTAATATAATAGCTAAGCATAATAGCTATTAATGCTGCAAAATAGGATTTTTTTAAGCCTATTAAAATATTCTTTTATTATAGTTAATTGAAAACTAAATGAATATTATTAATATAGTCTTGCAAGGAGCTGTTTATAATAATAATTATATTATTAATATATACTTTAGCAAATATATCTTTAAGGAGCCAATCCATTTATTATTATATATAGGTTAGGCTATTATAATATCCTATAATAGCGTAGTTAAATGTAAATTATCCATAAGCTATTATAATAATAAACATTCATTAAGATTTAAGATAAATTCACCATTAGTAAAAGAAAGCAATAGCGTTGAAAACCGTAATATATTTTGCATTTATAATCTTTAAGAGAATTTGGTTTTGGCTTTTTATAGGGTATACATTAAGGACCAATATACGGTTTAATCCTTAAATATTAATCACCATGCAACCTTTCTAAGTATCGTTTAGCATAGTTTATTAAATAATAAATACAGAAAAAGAAAAGGGAATGAATTAAGTTATCCATTTAATTTTTTTAATAGCTTGCAATTTATTTAAAGTTTTATTAATAATTTTAGCGTCCTTTAAGATTATAAAATAAACTTTGCACTTTTTTAGAATTATATCTTATTAGTTTTACCTAAGGCAAATCTTAAGCCATTTATTTTATAAAGCTTTAGCTTAACCTTTATTTTTAAAGATATTTATATTTTCATTAAGGAAACTTAAAAGCTTATCTTAATTAATAAGGTTTAGGTTGAAAAATACATTAATGCCTATTAAGATATGCGTTTAAAAGTTATTTAACGGCATTATTTTTAAACATTAAGAATTTAAGAATTCATAAAAGGCTGTAAATATAATCTTATTATCTTTATTAATAACATAAATTTAACATTATAAGTTTAAAGAATATAGGTATCTTATAAATATTTTATTAAATATAATAATAGGCTTATTCATTTCATTTTTAATAACTATATAAGCTAAATAAATATTCATAAGGAAAGTATAAACGCTAAATTAAGTTAATATAAGGGTAAACACTAAGTCTTAAATATCATTAATATATAGGCAATGTTTAATAAGAAAATAAATAGCTAATTTAGGTAATATAATAATATATTGCACAGCAAATACCCTAGCCTTTATTAAGCGGCTATAATTTCTCATTTCCATAGGAATTTAAATATAGCAAAAGTTAATATTAATATATCCTTTTAAATTAATAATATTAAAGCCCTTTAATCCCATGGCGTTTATGCCAATAAGCATATTAGCCTTTAAGTCTTTAACTATAAAAACTTTACAAGTAAATAAAGCAATTACTACGATCCCGCAATTAATATGTTTTTCCAGGAATTGCAATGGCATAAGTATATAATTATATAACTTATAAATTTTCATTTTAAGTCCGCGTAATTATAGCGAAGATATACGTTTATAAATTAGCAAAAGGGGATAATTTTATTATAACCATTATTTATCTACCATCATTTAATTACAGCCAATATCGCTATAAATATTTAATAATAATTTAAATAGCAGTTAAATAAAAAGATGCAAATAAGTCTAAAAGCAAAAACCAAATCCTATCCTAAATTCTAAATTAACCCTTACCGGCAACTAAATTATCTCCACGCCCCTTATAATATTTAATAGGACACTAAAGCCTTTTAGTTTTTTACCAGCTGCTTTAAGGCATCTTTTAATGCGCCATCTAAGCCTTAATCATTTAATGAGCTAGCAATCTCCGCCTTAGCTGCAAAAGCCATTAATATTTATCTTCATCAGGGCTAAGGCTTTTTAAAATAAATAAAGTAAACATAATTTATTAGCAAATTATTACTATAAAAATGCTTAATGCAATAGCAATAAACAGATAATAACGACATTAATATACCAAAAAAGGCAATATTTAAATAGTTATCATAATTATTAACAGGAAACGCTTCCTTAAAGGGATAATTAAAAGCCTTAGCGGCTATATTTATAAAGAACTCTTTATCCAAGACTTCCTTAACTAAAGGTAATTAATATGCAAGCATATTAAGTTGCTCCACAAAGTCCGCAGACTTACCATAATAGGCCTAATAAAGCTAATTTCATTAATATAATTTAACAGCGAATAGGGCTTATAGGGCGGGTAGGCAACGATTCTTTAAAATAAGCTATTATTAGCAATCTCCTAGCTATAGCTATTATTAAGCAGGTTATTACTACTCATCCTATTATTAATGCCATGCGGCGTACTAATTTAATAGCAGCTAAGGTTAACTATATCCAGCATTTTAAATCTAGCCTTAACCAGCCAATCAAACCAGCAGTTAAAACTAATTCTAAGTTTAATTAGCCGTATACAGTTAATTATACTACGAAAGAGCTTAAGGTAGCTACGCTTAAAAGCATTACTATAATTACCATTACTAGGGCTGCAAAGGCAAATACCATAAAGCATAGGGGACATTTAACCTATCTTTATAAACAAGTATAAGCTAACAAGGACAAATAACATTCTAAGCAGATAAATATCATTATCAAGCTAGGTTAAGAATTACACTTTCATGGTTTTAAATATCATCCAAAAAGCTTTTCAATATCATTGCTTTATTAAGTTTTTAAAGTTTAAACTTAATTTTAAAAGCAAGCGATTTAAACATAGCAATTAACTATACAGAAAGCTCCATATTGCAAGTCTTCGCATTCGCAATAATGGTTTAAAAAAACAAAGTAATATCCCATTCCTTTGCAACCTAATAAAGAGATAAATAATCCATCTTAAGATCAGCTATAATATCCAAGAAGAACTTAACAAAATACAATTTCAACTTATCATAAATTACTTAAATTATCGCCATCTTAAGCAACTAGCGATTATTATTAATCAAGATATAAAAGTGCCATTTAAGTACATCCTTTAAGAAATATTAAAACCAAACTTAATAAATATTATCCATAAAATAAACTTATTTAATATACTTTAAACGCTTAATAAAATAAAAAACATTAAAATACTTTATAATCTTCCCATTAAACTAAACGCCTAAACCAATATACTTGCAAGGATAAAAATAGCCAATATCTATTAGCTAAATATCAAAACATTTATTAACGCCATTTTACGCAAGCCCAGCTTAAACATAAACTTAAGGAATTAATGCATTTACAAACACTATAATAATTAAATATGCAAAATCTTAATTCTGCTAATTATAAAGCTATACCATTGCTTATATAATAAGGTTAGCAGCATCTTTAGCCATAAATAGTGCTATATCATCATCATTAAATTTAAAGCCTTTTAATTCCATTTTATTATTCCTCTTTAAATGCAAGGAAAAGCCAAGATCTTAATTATATATTAATATAAGCAGCGTATTTCCAAGGAAAACTCTTAAGGATAATGGCAAACTTAATAAACTCACTATTTAGCAATGCTTAAGTATTTAAGGAAATTGCATTTTAGTTAATGCATATAATAAATTACTAAAAAGCGGCATTTAGCTAACTAAAAAAGTGGCTTAAGAATTAAACGCTAAAGGGGATCTAAGCGATAAGAGTGCCCGCTAACGAGCAAGAAATGCAAAAAAGCTCTTTCGCTTTATTAACCAATTCTACGGCCAACAAGTCTCACCTTAAGGAATTAAATCATTTTCATTAAAAATAGGCTGCAAAAAATAGGCATATTTAAGCTTATCGTTTTAAATCTTTATAATATACAAAGACCTAAATAAGCAATAAAACCATAAAAGCTATTAAGCATGCAATCATTTAAATTTAATCATAAAGTCTCGCGAAGCCATACAACTAAATAGTTTAGATAAATAAGTATTAAGATGGTTATGCGAAAGCGAAGCAAGCAGTTGGAAATTAATGGTAAATTTACAATAATGCTCTCATTATCTTATTAAATAAGGCTATATCTATAGTAGTTACCGGCTGGCGTTTAATTCCCGTAATCCAAGCCAAGTTATCAAGGGGTTCTGCAATAAGAGGGTTATATTTGGTTTCTGGTTGTGATTCTGTCTAAGTTTATGCTGAAGGGCCGAGGGGCCGAGGACTACCTATCAATGCCCATAAGGGGTCTGTGCGGTGCTCCTTCCTCACAAGCTGGGATCAGCTCTGAAGTCCGGTGCGTGTCTAGCGAAGGTGGGGCGCCAGCTTCACAAAGCCGGCTCGGAAATCTTCGAGGTCCCTCGAAAAGAAATGCCATCGAAGCCGCAGATGCTTGACTGCATCTCATCCCTCGCTGACCTCTAGCCTCCCCCGGCCATGATTTACTGAAGCTTTGATAAGACTGAGCCCGCTTATAGGATGCAGAGCCAGGCTGGCGGAGACGCGTCTGTCGCGTCGAACGGCGACGGGCCAAAATCCCTGTAAGACCAAGTCCGAGTCCGAGTCCAGCACCCACACAATGCCCTTTTAACGTTCTCTCATGTTGACCCGGGCATTGTATAGGTCTATTGAGGATGCTGTCGGCAACGCCTTCTTGCAATTGCTGGCCGAGACGGACAGCCAGGCCCAGGACCAGCGGTTCGTGCTCCAGTCTCCCTTCTTTGCGGGGCCTCCAGGCCCCTTCTTCTATCCCTGCCCGGGCTCGGCCCTGTACCGATAATATGGATGCTAATAAGCAGCAGCAACGCTTCTCCTAATAATGAGATAATTCAAGCATTCGCTAGAGACGTGAGACGCCGGAAGGAGGAGCCTCCAGGGACCTACGATGGCTTCGTCGACCTTGCTGCCTCGGCGGCTGTTCGTGTGCTCGTGTACGGCCCGAACAGTCCTGACGAGTACGTCTTGTCATGCTCACTGAGTCTCATTGCGAGATATCCCTAACACTTATTCCTGAGCTAGGAGTCGCAACGATCCTACGCCGCTCACACTGTATCGGAGAATGCTCTCGCTCGTGAAGCGTGCATCATCAGGGGCAGTACCAAAGTCCGTCGTACATTTATCCGTGGAGAGTTCACTAGCTTACGATATGCAGCTCAGACCCGCGCCGGCAATCTGCGGACGAGAACATTACTCATGGACTCAATGGCCACCGCGATATTGAGACCATCACGCGCCAGGAACTCCTGGACAAAGCCTACGACTCGGGGCACGCGGCCGGTTATGAGGCGGGCGTCCAAGCAGAGGCTGCTAAGCGCCAGACGGCTTCTGAAGATACAGAGGAAGCTTACACCCAAGGTTTTGCCGCTGGCCAGCGTCGCTTGATGAACTCCGAGATCGCGTTTGCTTTCGCTAGGGGCCAGCAAGCCGAGCAGCAGCGGATTCGCACGCGCCTGGAGGAGGAAGGGAAGCAAAGATATCAAGCCACAGAGATATTGGAAGAGCTCCTGGGATCGACAACAGAGTCTCCAGATCCCGTGCGACACACCAGACCCGCGAGTGCGTCGATACCCGACGCATCAACACAACAGTCTCGCCAATATTCTAGCAGAGGCTCAGAAATCAGCCACGCAAGCCCGCCCGCCAGATTGCCAGAGGCTGCCATTGCTTCCGAAGTTCAAGATTCGTCTCTCTCGTACTCTCCTCAGACTGAGCCTCAGACGCGGACCCCAGCACCAACCTCTGAATGGGCCACCATGCCCAGACGACGACGTGTTGGCCGGCCCAGGTTGCTCCCTGACGATGGAGACGGCCGGAATACGGTCGCCACGTGTGTATTCTGTGGTGTCCAACTCTCACAAAATTCAGTTCTAAGACACAAGAGGAGGCACCATCCCGCCGAGCTGGCAGCTGTCGGTGTCCCACTCCACAGCTGCGCTTGCTGGTGGCCCGGTTGCGGCCAGCTACAAGACAATTTCGTCCACAACCAACTGACAACACACCTCCAGAGAAAACACAACTTCTCGCCGCCCGGTGATCCGAATGCATTCACCGAGAACATCAAATATATTAAGAGGATGCCCATCGACCTGCAGATCAGCATCATCGCGGAAGCTGCGCAACAGCTGAACGCGGTCAAGCTACGCATTCAGGACCTGGAGGCCCAGCATCGCCGGCGGGAGCCGTCGTATGTCAGCCGGCACGGGTTGCCTGACTTGCGTCAGCTCCACGAGTCACGGCCGCCGGTCCTCTCAGCCATATTCAGAAACCGCGGGCGGCTGCCCTATATAGTCCAGGAGCTGCGGCAGTTGACAAGGGCCCGCGGCATGAGGAGTCAGATGCGCGACGACGAAGGCACCTGGTGGGAGGTCGCCGATGACCTGGAGGCGGGACTCACCCCCTCGAGCAAGCTGTCCCGGTCTGTCATTGCGCTCCCACCGCCCGGCAATGGGCCAACCGTGCCTCTTCACCTGAATACTTTTTCTGAAGCGCCGAACATGAACGACCCTTCTTGGAGGCCCCAGCACGCTCTTCCTTTCCAAACTGGTTGGGATGTTACCGGCCCCGACGACAACCCTGTTTGGACACGAGTAGCCACTGGCGCACAACAGAGCGAGTCTGGACCTGCTGAGCCTGCGGTCAAGCTCGAAGCAGAGGATGACGAAGAGGATGGGGGATACCAGGAGCTAATGGCGGAGATCTCTCGCAGGGTGCAGGATGACAAGGCACAGTCGGAGTGGGACCAGAGCAGCAGTGACGGGGGCGGATCTGAGTCGGCCGACGCTGAAGATAATGCCGCCCAGGGCACGCCTGATCAGACCCGAAGGGGAAATCCACAACTACTGAAGAGGTCTACGACTACGGCTTCTCCGCCGAGGAATATCAAACGTCACAGGGCTGCCTAGCGGAGCGGACGCCCAGGGCCACTCTAGTTGCCCTTCTACAGCTACCACGAAGCGGTCCTATGTCTGCGTGCACTCTGTAATTGTCACCACAAATTACCTTCACCATCTTCATCATCTCTTCGGACGTGGTCTCTTCAATTGAGTGCAGCTGTAGGTGGTGAGGGGTGTGCTATGAATGCAAGCACACGGGGTATGGAGAAGCGTACAGCAGCACCTCAGTCAAAGGTTCGATCGTTACATGTGATCCGGCATCTTCATTTATGGACAATCTGCCTGAACAGTCTACCTTGAGGGTATGCACAATTTATTGTTCTTTTCTCCACTGGTTGCCTCGATTGTTGTGGTCAGCTCCAAGGGTCCGTCGACACCAGATACTGTAAGCACGTCTCTGCCATCGGCCTCAAATCTAGCCTAAACTTCTTCTCATGATCAGAGCCTCAGGGTCACCTGCTACCCAAGCTCAGCTGGCAGAAAACGGAATAAGCCAAATAAACGAGCAGCCGCGTCGGAGGTTCGAGCCTTCCCGGACCCATGCATGCCTTTGCTCACCAAGAGAAATATGGCTACGTAGCTTCTGTGGCCTTCAAGTACATGTTCTCGTCGACCCAGACAGACCAGCTCAAAGAGTGCCACGGCTTCATCGGGTGAGCTAGCTGCAAGTCAAAGTTGCGAAAGAGCTGCCGAAAACGTTAGCATTGCGCCCTGGGAGTTTGCAGGAAGGGGTCTTCCCGTCGCAAGTCGTTGTGCCTACCTCAAAGAATATCTTGTTCAGCTCCATGTGAGCGACGGGCTTGCCCGCACACATCCAGCGGCCAGTTCCGAATATCAACTCGACGTTGCGCTGCATCTCGGCCCTCTTGACCTCGTCGACCTCGAGGAATCTTTCGGGCCGGAACAGATTGGCGTCTTCCCCAAAAAGTTTCGTGCTGGCCAGCATTGCCGAAGTGTTCATTCCGATCGCTGTTCCCTCGGGTACGAATTTTCCGCAGAGGGTGTCGCCTCCCGCTGGTACGGCCTTGGGGTATAGTCCTGGCGCGGGCGACCGCATGCGCATTCCCTCGTATATGACAGCCTGGAGGTAAGGAAGCCGCTTCGCTTCTTCTATCCTGATCGGCTGGTGGGCGACCCTGCCATCGTTGAGTGCTTTCTTGATCTCCTGCTTGAGACGGTTGTACACCAGTGGTGCAGACATGATGTGCAGGACGGTCACGCGAATGACGGAGGCTGTGGTCTCGGAGCCGGCTACGATCATGAAGAGGGCCTCATTCTCGCATTGTTCCTGGGTCAGGCCGTGGGACATGAAGGAACCCTAATAATAGCGGTCAGTTGGCTGAGTTCCCGTCTTGGGCAGAGTGAATCCGGTTCCCTAGGGTGCCAATCGGCATCTTTGCGTACCAGCATGTCGTCTATTTGCGCGCTCTTCGGCTTTGCCATCCGCTTCTCTATCACGTCGTGGCCTACTCTGCACTCAAGTATCAATATCTTTAAATCACGGAGATAATAGGCGAGCACACTCACTTCATAAGCCTGCCGAGCCCTTTTTTGTCCGTCATCCTTGGGCCGATCAGCTTGAGGAAAAACGGAGAATAAAACAAATCCCGTAGCCAGGGCACATCTAATGTTATGCCCATAAAATGCCAGTTATCCCGTACGCCGCCGAGGAAATCGAACAGATCTTCCTCTTTCTCGAGGTACCCGAACGCCTCACCGAACCCGGCCTTCGTGATGACGTCCATGGTGAAATACGACGTCAGCGTCCCAAAGTCGAGCAGCTTCGTGCCGGTCAGGTACTTTTCACGGATCAGTCGTACGAGTGAGACGACCTGGGCGTCGACGCCCGGCTCCAGCGCCGAGTTCTTGTCGCCGTAGCCGATGGCCGTCTTGGATTTGATGTCGTCGTGGGCCCTGGTGTCCAGCGTCGTGAACATGGTGTGCGCGTACGGGTTCCAGCGGCCGCCCGTGTACCAGGCGTCCCGGGTGTACTGGGACCTCGCCGAGGTCAGCCGGCGCAGGACCTCCGGGTCGCTCGTCGAGAGCTCGTTGGGGCCCACGCGGACGAGGGGCCCGTACTTGGTCAGCTCGTCGCGGTCGATGTAGTACTGGCGGCCGCTCTGCTGGAGCCATGCCAGCCAGAGGTAGGAGAACCGCGCGAGGAAGGGGCCTGGGATGTGTCGGAGGCGGTACCATGAGAGCACGGCGGTTGTCAGATACCAGAGTATTGACAAGACTGCCAGAGCGAGACCTGATTGGAGGAGATTCATGGTGTAGACGTATTATTCCCCCTGGCTAGTACCTGGGCATCTACTTCACTCTCGAAAGTTTGGTAGACTCGTAAAGACGAAGGAACCACAGCCTTCTGAAGAGGTTGCTTCCACTGAGACCACCGAGAGAGAGCCGGATGGTCAGCAACGGTCACACCGATTCTCTTTGTACTGAACGCTTGGATGGTGCTCGCATTGTATAACCCACTCTTACATTTAAACGAGGTTACTACAGCGAGTCGATCGCTCAGTTCATGGTCCACGGCAGTTCTGGCTGCGACCTCTCATAGCGTTGCGAATTATCATCGTGCCTGCATGCGCCAGGATGCCCCTCACTCCAGTGTCACATACAACGGCTGGCGCGTGGGTCTCTGTAAGCACTTGAGTGCACCCGTTGTAGATCTTTCCAAATCCGAGCCCAACAGCCGGACGACCTCTTGTAAGCAATTGGTTTGTCCGGCCGGCTGGCAGACTAACAACCAATTCATAGGCTTGAGTCCAAGAGACTAGGGGGCTTGTTGCATATTCTTATATTCCGTAGCTTGTTAACGTGCAAATCTCATCCAGTCCTGCGCCCACATACCGACGACTAGTATGCAGGACTGTCCAGCTAGCCAGCAAAGACATTAGGTCCCTCGGACTCAACATCCGTGAGTGGGCTTGACGTGCAGAGAATCCGCATGAGAAAAGCGGAGATGGAAAGATGCCACTGCAGCAGGTGCAGGTGTCAACACACCATTTGGCCCTGGGGAGGAGGACGTTTCACTTTGGTAAGCACTCGGGAATGCCGAGAGAAGACGTCATTGCTTAGCGAGTTTGTTCAATCCATGTTATTTCCGGGACTCAGAGCATCTGTCTCGGCGGACTAGTGGGTGAATAAAATGACCCTCCCTGCTTGAATCACTGATTTGACTGCTATCATCCATTTCTCGCTGCTTATTGATGAAGTACTCAAGCTCGTCACTCAGTCAAAATGACCGCTAATCCTCAAAATACGGTCGAAATGCTTGACTCCATCTCGGTGCAGTCTTTCAAGACAGACGCTGATCGGTACGACGCCAAAGAGGCGGCAAAACGACTTTTGGCTCGTCTGGAGACTCCATTCGAAAGGTCATGGGCCCTTTCGTTTGAAAATCCGGTTCTTATAGCCGGACTGCAACTTTGTCAAGACCTGGGAGTATGGTCTAAATGGGTCACCAAGCAGGGCAACGAGGGAGGCACACAGAGTTTGGACGAGATCTTGGAGATGTGTGACGTTCCGGTGCAGCCCAACCTCCTCCGTCAGCTCGATGATTCCTTTCATCATGCCGACCGATCTTGTCTGACCCATTGTCCCAGGTCGTTTCTTGAGACATCTTGCCGCTTTGCACGTGCTCGAAGAGACTGGAGTTGATTCATGGAAGCTAACTCCCTTTGCAAAAGCCATGGGTGACGAGACCACACACATCCATCTTTCTGTACAAGCCGGGTGAGTCTTAGATTTGGGCCCCTGAATGCCTTCCGACCATGGAGTATCAGGATTCTGTACATGTCTCTGTGACAAGATTTATTAGGACACGGATCCAGGCCAAACACAGTCGATTTGGGACTCATAGTGGGAAGTTGTGTGATGGCTCACACATTACATCTCGCCAGTCTGACAGCAACACCTCACAAGGCTAACTCGTGTTTAATAGTCTGGATCATACCATTCCTGGCGGGGTCAACCTTGCACGCTTCCTCGCTAAAAATCACTACCAAGAGCCTCTCGATAAGACGAAGTTTGATAATTACGCCGATCTTTTCGGGACTGGCTTTTTCGATCTTTGCCAACGTGACCCTTCCGCAGGCGGGAGCTTTATCGGACTGATGACAGCCCTCGCGACCCACAAGATGAATTGGACCGATGTTTATGACACACATGGTCTTGTTCAAGACGCCGATCTATCGGACTCAGGGCCAGCCTTGTTTGTGGACATCGGGGGAGGACACGGTCTTGACAGTGCACGTTTCCTAGCGAAGCACCCAGAACTGTCAAAGTCGGCCAAAATTGTTGTACAAGATCTGCCAGAGGTGGTGTCGACACACGCCAAGGAGAAATTGGGCCCTAGGATCGAGAGGATGGCTTACGATTTCTTCCAGCCGCAACCGCTGCTCGGTGCCAGGGCCTATTTCCTACACGCCGTGCCGCACGACTGGCCGGACGGGGACTGCAAGCGGATCTTCCACAACGTGAAGGCGGCGATGCAGAAGGGCTACTCGAAGCTACTGATCTATGAGATAGTGATGCCCAGGGAAGGGGCGACAAGCCTGATGACGACACTTGATCTGCAGCTGATGAACTGCACATCTGGTTTCGAGAGGACGGAAGAGGATTGGAGCAATCTCCTGGGCGAGTCTGGTTTCAGGATCGTTGGTATTTCTCGGCACCCTCGGGCTGTTGAGTGTGTGATTGAGGCTGAATTGCTGTAACAAGAATCAGCGAGCACGACATCTTTCTCTCTCCCTTTTGAGACACAGCAAACTGCTATCTTTGGTGCTGTGTACTTAGTTTCAGACAATCATGACCCAGAGAACATCTCAAGGCTAAGCACATAAGTCATAGTACAGAATTGTCTTCATGTTTCATAGTATTTGAACTTCAGTATACTATAGAGCTAGGCAAGCACTTGCCTTATCGCTGATTCTGTCGATCTGACCGATTGGTTCAGTCCCAATCCATACATGTCCACGTCTGCAAGAGGGAACGTATCAGACTGAGTCCCCTTTGGTCTGAGGAAGGTAGCCGGGACTACAGAGTCATTGAGCTGATCCCACGCCAATTTTCAGATGCACTGGATAGGCACGTATCGCCACTAAATCCACTCCACTGCCAGCACACTACTCGGACGGACCGTTGTCGTGCTTCACTAGAGCGGACCTGACCTCCTCAACCTGGACACTCAGCTCCTTCAACAAGCGCATCATCTCACCCACATCAGCCGTGCCCAGGGCCTGTGCGGGCTGCGCTGCCCCGGCCTCAGGAACAGCGTTTGGCGCCTCCGGTGCCGGTCCCGGTGGTGCAGGTGGTGGTGGTGCGGCGACCGCAGCCCCGTTGGTTCCCGTCAAGGTGGCAGTCGGCGGGACCCTCCCGTTTGTGTCTTGCCTAGCTCCAACCTTCTTGGATGGCCTCCTGGATGCCTGGGCAAGCAGCGCCGCGGGAATCTTGACCTTGCCGGTCTTGGTGAGGCTGTGCTTCTTGCTTGATGACGAGGTGTTTGTCTTGCTCTTGAGAGCCTGAGGTTGGGAGCTGGCGGTGGTTGAAGTCGTGTTGTCGGTAACGTCAAGGTCAAGACCCATTACAGCACGCTCCTCCTCCTCGCGCCTCAACGCAAGGACTTCCCAGTGCTCGAACAACCAGATAGCGCCGAGGAAAGGGGCGTGAGTTGCTTTAAGCAGCATGATGCGAATCTGGCTCGCTGTGGTATCGGGAACAATAAAGAGGAGCGGCCTCAGCAAGACCACTGGGATCAGGTTCTGCGGAATATTAGCATCGACACAGGCATGAGCTTGTCCCAGGGAATAAAACTCACAAATGGGGCTTGGAAATAAGTCATCTTGTCTGAAGTGACCGCCTCGAGGACGTAGACTGAGTACACAAAAAGGTACTCCTCGCGGGATGAGTCGAGGACCTGGCGCAGACTGTTGCTGATGTGTGCCATCATAGAGGTGATCAAAAGCTGGTTGGTCAGGCAGACGAAGATGACCATGACGGGCAGTCCAAGATATGGTGAGACCTTTTGGGCGATGTCGAAACCCTGCACACCGGCGCCGAAGAAGCACTTGAGGATTGTGATGGACAGTGAGTCCAGCGGGTAGTGGCCCAGAGCAAGCATGATGAAGGTGGTGAAGAATCCGAGGTAAATGATCAGAGTGAAGCCCAGGAATCGGATGAACTGCTTGCCCATCTCCTTCAAGCACGGCAAGAGACTGCCGTAGTAAGGGCTCAGGCTGACCAAGGAGAAGATACGCGGCGTCAGGAGCAGCGAGTGGAGCGCCAAGATGTTGAACGCCCACTCCAGCGTCGTGTCGCTGCCAGTGCTCAGGCCGATCATACGCAACACAAAGAAGGCGACGCCAATCAGTGCGATGCCGATATCCCACATTGACCAAATATCCGTGGAGTAGAAGTAGATGCCAGACTCGATGAAGTCATCAAGCTCGTCGAAGACGAATCCGAGAGTAAAGACGTAGAAGAGGCATTCCCAGAAGGTGACGTACTCCTTGACTCGCTCCAGGCACACGATGTAGAACAGTCCCAGGAAGCAGAGGAAGAAGCCGATCTCGAAGATCTTCATATACCGGGGTACTCGCAGCCGGCACCAGTAGTCCTCGGTCCTCTTGTGGTGGAACCGCGGCTTCTTGGCCGCATTGATCTTGAGCCTGTTCCAGAAGACAATCTTACCGTACCAGATACCATCCACGATGTCCTGGATGGCCCGCTGGCTGAGGAACTTCTTTGCCCCGGAGACAGCTGCGATCTCAAGGGTGTTGAGGTTCATGAACGGCTCGGAGAAGCCCTCGCCGTTGTTGGGCTTGTTGGCGTCGCCGTTCGCGTCGCCATTGCTGTCGCGGTGCCCGTTGATGAGGTGGGCAACGCGGCCGTTGGTATGCGCGGGGCGGTTCCTGCGAGTCAGAAGAGCATTCTCCTCATCGTCGTCGTCGTCATCTTCGTCGTCGTCGTCGCGCAGCTCGAACAGTAGATACTCTAGGGCATCTTGCTTCGACAGGGTCAGAACGAACTGCCATGCTACCAGCTCGCTGGCAAAGCCACGCGACTCGTTGACACCACAGTCGTCGTCGGACTCGAGAGCCTTGAAGTGGCCCTTCAGGGCCACCAGAGCGGCGACGATGGCATTGTGGTGGCACTCAGTGGACAGGTAGTCAATGAGAGGCTGGAGAGGCTGGAGGTGCTTGCTGCTACGCAAGTCCTCCCAACTCAAAGGCGAGTCGACAGCCTCAATGATGTAGCTAGAGAAATTTCGTCAGCTCGATCTTCACCGCATCTCACCGCAAGAAAGACGTCAGGATATACAGTACTCACAGCGCTAGCTTCTTAGAGATCTCGGCGAAGGAATCATCATCCTTGATGGTGGGCACATCCGGCAGATTGGTCTCACTTCGCACGAGGGTTAAGGGATTTGACGCCATGGTTGCCGACGGTGAGTTCGGACAATGTCGAGAGAACCGAATCTTCCCTTCACGCGACTTGGGAGTTTATTTACGTGTCGAGAAGATCACCGCAACGGAATTTTAGGGGTCCGTCCTGGGACTCCACCTGCAGGTCCACATCCACAGCTGAGGTTCGTTGGCGAGCAAGGTGAGCACGGTTCATCAGGCGGAACCAATTTCGACTGCGGCTTGCTTCAGCCATTCTGACGTGTCAGTAGGTGAATATATGGGCCCCCTTGACTGGTCGTGTATGCGGCTAAAAAGGGGAGATTCTCTGAGTCTGAAACTCTGTAGCCACTGTTGGCCCTCTCACCGCAGGATTTTGACGTGTAAGTGCAGCGGATCCCCCAGACTATCCTTGTGGCTATAGGTTGACAGCGAATCGGCCGTGGGCCCACCGCCGCCAGAGTTTTCAAAGCCCTCGCCTATGTCTCTCACGGATCCGGTCGCGCCCAATGCGAGAAGGCTTGAGACCACATTCGATCGTTGATGGAGTTACGTACAAATCTAAAGCCGGCCCCATACGTGTCGAGCTTCCTGACGCAGGAAATCTCCACAAAGAGCCCGATACTATACTGAATCAGCCCGTGCGTGCTTAGTCTCCGTATACAGCAACCAGTTAGTTGGAAGCCTGCGAGCCTGTGTCCGCGTTCTCTTCTGTCCGTTGTGGGTTTGATCCGAATCCTCGTTTTCAAAATCATCACTGTCGGTATCTTCTCTGAGCCATTCGTGATTTCGAATGTCCCTTTCAGCCACAGGATACCCGTCAGTCCCTCGCAGCCAACTGAAATTGTTCATTGTTGTGTTCTCCGACGCGGATTCCTCTTCAGGGTCAAATGCGTGGTAAGACACAGGTATCGTGGCGTCAATGACTCTCTGTGCAGAGTGTAACCTGGGTATGCTGGGACTTGGGCGATGAGAGACGGGGTTGTTCTTGTCGCGGCAGCTCCAAGTCCAGCTGTCATAAAATAAGCAATGCGATCCGCATCTGATGTGTTCCTCGACCTCAAGGTTGACGTCCTTCAATTCTGTGGTTCCGAAAAGAGGCCATGCTGACAGGGGCGGGTTTGTGTGCCATTTTGCCTGAGTCAGGAAAAGAAGTTTGCACTCATCTGCGCGCGCGACTCGTCCATTTTGGATGCCCAAGACTGGCTGTTGGATGAAAGACTGCAGCGTCTGAGTCCAAGCAGCAGAGTGCAGTTCGGGGTCAGCAGTACGGTCGCGAAATAGTCTCAGCAGCCCGTCTTGCAAACCCGCTATACCAGCACCAAGCCAAAGAAATCCCATGTGGCCAAGTCCCCGCATCAGTAGCGAGGTGCGATCTTGTATGTCATGAGTCGCATCAATGACTGCGAATATGCCCTGCAAGTAGTCACTGCAAACGTTCCCGGGAACATCTGGATTGAGAAAGCAGCTACTCAAGATAGCTTCGATGCCCTCGCAATTGCAGCTCAGCGTGAGCAGCTTGTCAAGCTGCTCTTGACTGAGAACAGAGGGTTTTGAACTGAGACCCCACGATGATCGCCTTGCGGAAGATTGAGGGACTGGGAGTCGAACGGATCGCCTGCTACTCCTCGCCAGAGGCAACACCAGTGCAGCTGACAACGCGGCCGCACACTGGTTTTGTATGCTGTGATACTCGCAGTATTCCGTCAAAAATTGCATGGCTTGATCCGATGATGGTGCGGAGAGACTCTGTTCCGCTGTGACATCCTCATCTGACCCTTCAATGCCGGTGACACGTACATCCAAATCTTCTGGCATGGAGATCAGTGTACTCCATGGCGAAATAGATGTCTGACCGCTTTTCGAAATGGTTGCAGACCACCGGCGACCTGGGCCGACAAGTGCCTTCCACCAATGAAGTGCGCCTACATTGTTTGTGCCAGTAGTCAGGGTGAACACTTTTTTGAACTTTGGATCCTCGGAAATGCCCTGAACTCTCTCGTATGGTGCAGTGTAGCAAATCCCTGCTCCAGGCATGATCTCAGCCCAGCGTGCAGATAGGATGTAAGCCCAAGCCAGGACCAAGACTCCAAGATGACCGCCGTCGTTGCCAAACCACTTAGGAAAGGTACATGCGCTGCTTTCGAACTGAATGGACGTAGGTCTTTGCACTGATATCGCCAGTCGAAATTTCTTGGTGAATTCCGGAATGTCCTGAGAATTGCATCCCGTGCGCCATTTCGAGCAACCGACAGCGTAGAGTGTTTTGCCCCAGAGCTCGAGCTCGAGACCCAGCGGGAAATAAGGATGCAAGGGCAGCGGACCGAGGTTCTCAACATCGAAAGCGTCAATCGACGAGCCCAAATCTTCATCTTGTTGCCGTAGTAACATCCATTCGCGGAAACCTTGCGCGTAACGTGCCTTGCGACCAGCGAGGGTTTCTCGCATGACGTCCATCGTATAATGGCTGCAAAAGAACACCGTCGGACCAGCCAGTGCTTCGAGTCCCTGTCGTGTGATGGGCTGCAAGCTGGCGGGACTGGTTGGTTGAGAACATGCGTTAAAGCGGGAATAATTCGGCCGGTTTGGACTTCAAGTTTGGCAGTGTCGGGGAGAGGATCGGGACCTGGAGGCTGATGAAGGTCACGTGATGGAGCGAGATCAATATTTCGTGTTTCGCAGTAATCTCTCAAGATCGCGCCAACACTCGAAATATTGAAGGGCTGAGCTTGGTCAATTTTCGGTAAAATTTATCAGGTTGTGCAGTCTTGGAATCAAGTCCAATCGGGTCCAGCAGCTTAACTCTCCGCGCAAATGTCATGCGTGTGATCTCGGCATGTTCTTGAATATCTCGCCACAATGATTGATCCAGGTAATCCGTATCAGTCAAAGCGTCTTCAAAGGTTGCATCTATTTTTTAGAAAGATTTAGCTGAGCGGATTGGTGTCAAAACACTGTTGGTGGTCTAGTTCCTGATGGCCGGAGTTGGTTGTTGGTTGTCTACGCCGCACAAGTGTTCATGCGCATCTTGCTGAAGCTTACCGTTTAAGCATGTTTAGCCCCCACAAAGTGGAGTTTTCTTCACCTCCTGAGCTGATTTTATCCACAACAATAGAACCAAATGAAGTCATGCCATGACCTCAAAGTCAAAGTTGCTTGTGGCAGGGTGGCAGCCGTCAGCCCAACAACGGTTGCTTCTCTTCGAGCCACCTTGAGACAGGCTATTTCGGCCTCAACGCGAATCTGGCTTGGCCAACACGATTTGAGAACTTACACGTTTATGGACCAACTCAAGACCACATGGTGACCGGAAAATGACACTGCCATCAATTTCCGGTCGGACCAACGTGCCGCCCTGATTTGCGAACCGACCACATGGCCGTGGCTAAAAGTAGAAACTCGACAGCTTGCGAGGCACTTCTACATCCAGCCACAAGAAGAATATGGGAATTTAAATCATGTTTTCTATTTCTGAGTTGGCAAGAAGACTGGCCGCAGTGGCCTACAGCTCAGGCTCTTGACCATGAAACTTGAATAACCATCCACCTCTCCAAGGCACTCCACTCTGGCCAGTCCATGACATGATGCAGAAAATGTGGCTGACGATGCCGGCCGACTGGTCAGTTGGCAAAGCATTGTCGAGGGTCTACCAAGCATACCGTGCTTCGGAGAGGTTATCGGCAAAGCTGCCCTGTTGAAGCATGCCGAAGATGTATATAAACCCAGCGTTTGTTCCGGTCAACTATTTCCCATCCAGAAAAACTCCAACCTTCATTCATATTTCAGACTGGATCTGACTGTTGTTCCTCTTTTCGCGAGATATTTCAAATTGTACCGGTAAGACAAATCATCAACACATACATCTACTGCGCTAATAACCGTTCTTTAACGTTAGTCCCATTTGATCATCACCACCAACATGTTCTCTTCTGGTGACAAGGGATAATTGCCGTGTCTGCGGTCACCCGAACAACGTCCACAGAAAGGAACCATGCGCAGCAAGGGGCTGCAGGAAGAAGATCAAGATTTGTTCTGCTCACGACCACACCGAGTTCGGAACGTCGGCAAACCGAGTCATTTGCAGCGAATGCCCGGACCATGGACGAAACACTAAATACGAATCCTTTAATAACTACCCGGTTATCGGAAAACAAGGAAAACACAAGTCTGTTGTCAGAGAGGAACGAGAGCCTTCCTATGAAAGAAGCTCCCCGGCGCGTCCTGGATCATCTGGCGAAGGCCAGAGCTCTCAACAAATGTACGCGGGTCAGACAGGCCAGCAGTACCGGCCCGCGACCAGCCGTCACGCTCCTGCTGGCAGTCACGCTCCTGCTGGCAGCCACGTAAGAGCTGGGAAAGGGGCTCACACCTCTACTACGAAGAAGAGGTGATATGATGAGGTTTGACGACCTCGGTACTTGATTTTGTCTTAGCGGCTTCTCAGATGGTGCAGGCACATCTATACACAAGCCAGATCACTTGGGGGAAAACGACTCACTTATACGTTCTTTAGGATAGCATTCAATGAAATGTGAAGTAGCTGCTTCGATGTGCTGAATATCATACGACTGAATCACGTGGGGTGTCTTTGAGCTCACAAGCTGTCATCGGCGGCATAGAGCACACTTCGCCTGTCAGCTGCAGGTTTTTGTGTGTTTTTATTCAAAAAGTTTGAAACGAACTTGGGCATGATCCATTTAATCTCCACAAGTTATTTATCGTATGGATTTTGCGAGGCAGTGATCCGGGCTTCCTTGGTCATTGAGTAGATAATGTTCCATTTTCCAAATCTATCCTACCAGTTTCAAGTATTCACGTTGTCTTACGCGGCATCTATCCATGACCAAACCGGCTTGTCCTGGAGACTTCTCCGGCTGGCCGACGTGTTTGTAAGATCGATGGTCACTGTCTCCGTGGTACAGCCCGACGCAGGATAGTCATCAGCGTATGTGCCTCCCAAAACACTACTGAGCCAGGCCAATGCCGCGGGTCGGCCGTTGACGGCTTCTGAGGAGTGAGCGCCGACGGTGTTGCGCTGATATAGGATGTTGGCTCCAACTGTCCACACACATATCAGCAGAGCTCCTTTCCTCAAACACTGAGATGCATAGCACAGGGTAGGTTTGGCCTTACTGTTGCAGTACTTATCCACTAATTCATCCGTATCTTCAATGACACTGATCTCGTCTCCGATAGCCTTATAAGCGAATATGGGCATCTCAGGCACACCGTGGTAGCCCATGATACCGTCGCGATTGATGATTTCCAATACTATAGGGCTTGTGATATCGGCGATGCCTCCAGTGAAGTATTCACCCATGTCCTGATAGGCATATGCAATGGCTGCCTGATTCAACGTGTCTACTCATGTCAGTTGTAAGTTAGCCATGCTAAATTGAGAATACTGGACCAGGTTCTCTTGGGGCCCATGGAGCACCGCCGTTTGAGTGAGATCGTACGTACAGTTGAGCGCGGCCAGAAATCTTGTTGCGTTGTAAGGGCCCTCAGTTTTCAGCCTTGAGAGTAAGAACTCTCTTTCCTCAGGGTATTGACTGGACAACCCGAGTATTGAAGACTATTTGTATCAAAATGTCAGCCTTTCTTTGGTCTGGCCGGTCAAACAATCCACTTTTTAGCGAGACTCACCGGAGCCAGTCCAACGGCATAGCCCTTGTTGATAGTATACAAAACGCTCGTCACGTTAGGTGTCAAGCCTCCGACGGCAGCACCGCTGAAGTTCATCTGTTTGCAAGCACACAATCAGCTATCAAAACTCGTCCCATAGCCCAAAAATCCATTGAAAGCGAGGAGGGTCACAGGTGAGGAAGTTTAGAGCTGAATTGAAAAGCTCATTCGAAATTGTGCTCTTGGACAAGTAGGGATCGAGAACGGGGAGGCTTACCTCTGGAGCATACTGGACCGCCAATTCAGCCGCCCACTCGCTCGCCAAAGCTCCTCCAGAATACCCCCACATTGCATACCGAGCATCAACATCCAAACCGAGCGTTTCGTTGGCGTTGAAAGCTGCGCGTATGGAATCGATGGTCGCATGCCCGGACTGGACCCCCGCGGTGAAGCTGGCCAGCGGCCCCTCATAATCCGGAACGTTCACAAACCAGCCTGATGACAGCCCTGTGCTGATGTCACGGAGCGATCTGACACCATCGCTGGTATAGAAAGCGTAGCTGGGACTTGCATCAAGCCAGGCCGAGTCGTACGGGATTTGATAGGAGAGGAGAGCGGGAGACTCGGTTACCGGGACAAATACAGTGGTGACCGCCCAGTCGGGCTTGTATTGACTGTTTGTCGTCCGGTAGAGAATGTTGTATGCAGCGGAACAGTTACTAGCGAGCGACGTAAGATTTCCTGGGGCTTCGCGGATTCGTAAAACGTCCCCTGGTTTCGCGGACTCGAACCCGTCAGGGGCAGTATACCAGGGGTCTTGAAGGGGAGGAATCGGCGCTGCCGGGGTCCCGCTGCCCTGTCTCTTGGATAGTTGTCTACCGGAGGTCGGAGAGGCCAGAGTTTGCAAAACCAAGCATGCTGTTGTCAGCACTGCCGAGAAAGAAGTCAACATCCTGAGAGAAGAAGCAGAAAATCCACGCGTCTCGGACGACTTGGGTGACGTGAAGGAATCAGAGATGGTGTGAAGTGCATCTGGCCGGCGTGGACAAAGACGCGCTACAGAGGGCTAGATATATCTCCATACCATCGCTGTCATCGCGGCATGCACATATTCGGTCAGATGCGCCGCGTAAGTCTCGGCGAAATGTCATGTTGACTCAACGGATCGGCCACTATGGTGCAACGGTTCCTGGGCGTACCCCCGGCTTACCGTGAACGTTCATACCGTTGCATTGCAGCGGGTAGTGCCAATACCTGTTCATCCTGACTTTGAATGCTACTTCCCCACCTGCAGCTCGCGCGATCGCTCAGCAATGGCGCCTCTTTAGGTTTCGATAGCACGCAGCAGCCCAGACTATCCCGGATACCTCATCCCCGATCAATGCTATGGTAGACTGAGGACGGTCTGCTTTAGGCAGGTGCTCAACTGCGGGGAACTCTACTTCGAGCCGCGGCACGTTATGGAATACGTAGACGATCGGTCTGCGCGTATTTGCTTCTCTGTGCACTGATGGACTGATTTAGCATCGTTAGGCAGCATCGCTCACTACAGACACTGCACCTGGTGGTGCGCCTCTTCGGATGTGCTCAATCATGGACCGGTGCATCCGCAAACATTCCAGCCCTTGGTTGTCCGGAGACAACACCCATGAACAGCGGCACGTGGACCTTCCTCAGGTCTCGGATTCCAACAGGCAGCAGACCGTCGAATGTTGCCTAAGAGGAGATCTTGTGAGGCATATTTAGAGAAGAATGCTGCACCGGCACCTCCATGAAACGACCACGGCTTGACCTGGTCGACCACGTAGCTGCAAGCGATCTACAGGTTTCATCTCCCTCGAGCATCATGTCCTCCTCGCGTCAGCAGCAGCAGCAGCAGCAGCAGCAGCAACAACAACAAAAACAACAACAACAAGCCCAGCAGCAGCGGCGGCGGCGGCAGCAGCAGCAGCAGCAGCAAGCCGCCCAGCAGCAGGTCCGGTGCACTAGCAAACAAAGGACACAAGCCGCCCATGCAGCCCCTCAGCCGAGTCGTCGGTGACGATCTATGTAACCTCCAAACCAAGGCCAACAAACTCGTGGATCACACGTGCCCTGGCGATTCAATAACACTCTCCAGCTTGCCGTGGGCTCCGGGGCTCCATGCAAGCATATTACGAGTAGAGGCTACGTGTGCTCCATCCAGGATAGCACCTAGTTCAATGCCGAGCTATTTTAGAGTCCTTTGTATGTAGAGGGCAGCACAATACATGGAGATGGAATTTGGCAGAGTACCTTTCTCTACGTAGCACAGTGTTTTGATTCTGAATGCGTGTAAGCAGCCTGGTAAGGCCGAAGGAGTCACTGAAGGGGGTTCATTCGCAAGTCCCGAATGTAATATCGAAAAACAGATACATTGAGTTGCATGTCTCATTACGCAGTAGAGCAATTTATAGAAAGGGGTCGATATGACGGACAGGAACAAAGAGACTACTTAGATACCTGCCTATTCCATGATCAAGCAGTTCCTTTGTCGCGAATAAGGCCGCATGTATGTGATTTCTCTACCGCGTTGAGACCGCACCGTATAAAGGACATAAAAAGGCTGTCAAATGACATATCCACAATCAGAGGCTCATCTCGCTTAACTACTGTATGAGCATCACAACACTGCAGATTGCAATTCGAGTAACTGGACCTTAATCATTGACTCTTCTCGTTCTCTCCTTTAGTCTACGTTTCCAAGATGGAACTTGTTACACGGTTTTCTCGGTCATGACGATGGATGGGTCTCGCTCGATGACAGATTATCTACATTTTGGTGTCAGATGCACACTCGCCGCAGTTGTTGCATTCTCCAGTACTGAAGTACTACCAATTCCCATTTCAACAATAATTGAGCAAAAGAAATTTTGCAGAATGACAAAGGGTGCAATCCGGAAAGTCAAATCAAAGTTCAACCAGAAGGAAGCATCACCAAAGAAGATTGATGAGGCCTTGAGATCCGTAATGAATCCACAGCAATACAGCGACTTTCTCGAGATAAGCAAAGCCCTGAAAGAGGAGAAAAGCGCTGGATCTCGAATTCAGCTGCACACCGATGGAAAATATGATCCGGGCTGGGATAGTTCTCCTGACGCGATACGACTACGCCTAATCGCACGAGCCATCGCCGGAAGATCAGGCTGATGACGCTCAGAGCCAAAAAGATCCAGCACCTTTACGCTCAAATAGAAGAGTATGCCACAATGAAAAGGAGTATTCTGTACATGTCATGTTTTGACGTGTTTGCTAGTCAGAATCGTTTGGCTTGCCTATTTTCAGAAAGAATGTTGGCAACTCGGAATAATAACTCAGTCTGACTGCGGTCTCAAGACTCGCACCACAACTCATCGTTTCGCAAGGTTCGAACTCATCCAAAAACACTACATGTGGTGGGACGAGATTGACACACTGAGGATCAGGGTTTCGGTTGAGGGGTTAAACAAGAGGGATGCAAAGCAATGGAAACAGATGATTTAATTTATCTTTTTTGCTTTGAGAGACCCGTATGATGGTCGACGATGGGGTTAAAATATTCGCCGCTGCTTAACCCTTACTCCACGATCTCATGAATTGTCCCATAGGCAATTAACAAGTCACAAATACCCTGAGCTCCTGCATCACTTATGTGCCGGCTTCGGTGGCTACATGGATCTCGCAACAAGGGATGGAACTGGGCTACCTGTCGCTTCGCAAGCAACAACGTTCCCGCTCATGTCTTATTCCAACAAACCTTCGGTCACTTCGGAAGAAGCTGCAGTAAAGCGCTTTGGGTTGAAAACAGTGAGATCCGGGGAGCTAACACACTGTGTCATCTACAAACTCAACGTTGAATAGTTCCCCTTGCATGATGACCTTTTTTATGGCCTATATGACCAGCGCTAAGCCCTTGACACCGGTTTTGATGATCACGTGTGTCCGGAGACCTTCTTAGGCTCGTAGAGTTCTTCCAGGTATTTGACCTCCTCCTCGGTCAGCACCTTCCCCTTTGCCGTGATAGCCTGGTCGATTCTCTCGGCGTTGCTGAAGCCTATGATCGGCGAGGCGACCTTCCCGTTGATCCAGGCCAAGGCTACATGCGCCATCGGCCAGTCTTTCTTTTCCGCTGTCTCTATGACCCGCTTGATGATCTTCAGATCCGTCTCAGGAATTTCCGAGTTGGCCTTCTCCCCTTTGCTTCGTTCCGTTGAGCCGAACTCATCAGGTCGACGCGCGAGGTGGCCACGGCACAAGGGAGCCCATGGAATAAGACCGACGCCGGTGTCATCGCAGAACTTGTTCATTTCGCGCTCCTCTTCTCTGTATAAGAGGTTGTAGTGGTTCTAAAGTAGCTCACATTAACCAATCAACAAGAGACGAAGAGAAGTAAGCGGGCTGCATCGACTAGGACAACTCACCTGCATGCTTACGAACTTCGTCCAGCCGTTCTTCTCGGCGCAAAACTGCAGCTGCGCGAACTGATACGCCCACATGCTTGAAGCACCGATATAACGGACCTTGCCACTCTGCACGAGGTCATGGAGGGCCTTCATAGTCTCCTCAATCGGCACAGTGTTGTCGAAGCGGTGGATCTGGAGCAGGTCGAGGTACGGCGTGTCGAGGCGCTTCAGCGAGGCCTCGACCTGGTTGAAGATGGCCGCCCTCCCCAGCCCGTACAGGTTCTGGTAGTCTTTGGACGCTTGGAAGAGGTCTCGCTGAAAGACGTAGCGGCCCTCGGGATCCTCAGCGACGGCGCCGTAGCACTTGCTGAGAATGACGATTTTCTGCCGCGGAATGCTGTACTTCTTCAATGCCTTCCCGATGATCTCTTCGCTCACCCCGTTGGAGTAAACGTTGGCGGTGTCCCATGTGTTGAGGCCCTCGTCGTAGGCCTTCTTCAGGAGCGGCAGTGCCTGGAGAGAATCAGTGGATGATATCATCTGGGGTGGCCTTGTGCTCGCAAACTCACCTCTTCCTCACCAATTGCCCACGGAAGAGTCCTCGGGTCACCGAAGCTCATACAGCCAAAGATCGGCACTGAGACGCGAAGGCCACTCTTTCCGAGTTGGCGGTACTCGCATTTTGAGTTGGCTAGACTCTCCTTGAGCTTGGGAGGCAACGGTGACTGCGACATGGTTCGGAATTGTCTGTTTATGGCGAGATTTCAAGAGTGATTGATGATGATTGTGGAAATTTCAGGCCGACAGTGAGCCACTCGCACGTTTTGAAAACAATAGCGCTACAGCTATTTAACCGGTCAAGGAGCATCGAAGCGGGGTTGCATGGTCGCAACGATGTCTACAGGTCTGAGGGTCTCGGTGTTTGTCACCGGCTGCATCGGACTTAATCTAAACCCCGGCATCTGCTTGCTTCATTCCCCAGACAATGTCGCTAATGTGACAGAATGTTGAAAAACTGGATTAGAGGCTCGCAGAAAACGATTGCGGCTCAACTGTTTCTCAGAACGAACCGGCCCCACTCATTTAAGGTGTTCACATCTTAGGTATTGCATAGTGTCGCCGCATCTGAATGGTGTCACTTGACTTGAACTATCTTAAACGGGGCTTCTTCCCGTCGACCGTTTCTCCGCACAGAGGAATAAATTTAGCTAGTGGAAGAACCAGGAATGGCCTCGTGCCGGCTTCCGAGGGGTACAAGCTTCCTTGGCTGGCGGGAGCCACAAACTCTGATAGCCTTAGCTGTTCTGGATGGTGTGGCTGGAACCTGTAGACGCCCACCTCAATTAGTGCAGAGTAGTTTCGCTGTCCTTTGTTGCAGGTGCGTACTTTTAATTACAGGCCTCCTTGCCGAGGGATGGATCGCGAAACGAGGGAAGAACCAGAAGATCATGCTCAGACTGAGGCCAGCCTGGCCAGCACGCGGTGTCGACTATCAATCCCGTATCCTTACGAATATTGCTTCTATTATGGTCTAGTTCGGGGTGGTTCGACCCATCCTCGGTCCTTTTAGTCGGTAGCATCGAATCCCCAGATTCTGGCCCCTTTCCGCCTCCTTCCCCACGAAATTCCCCAGGTTTGGTGCCCTTGCCTCCTGCGTCACGACCAATGGGATGTAGCGGTAGCGTCGAAGGGAACCTCGGCATTGAGACGCGTCTGCAAGTGTGTTCCCAACTACCACTAGTTCGGCACACTGTTCGCGGGCTGAACCATACAGCCAGGGAATACCGGATCTTAGTGCCCGCGCTGTGATTATTCCCAGTGTGCGATCCTTTGGTGGCACCGAGGTATGGGCCTGTCCCTGCTCAAGATCAATGACGCCGGACTTGCGGGTGTTCGAGGACGGCATGTTCACCCTTGGGGCTGTCCCTCTGCCGCCGCCGCCTACAATACTTGGTTCACCCCATCTTCGTCCCTTAGAATGACCCGCCTCACTGCTCCAGGCAGTGATCACTTCAACTTGAACTGTTGTATAAAAATATTTTCACTTCCCACCGGGACTCTATCAGCCCTCGAGCTTGGATTCTGACCCCAGATCTTCACAATGGCAGACATCAACCGCCTTCAAACCAACGATCTTGAAATCGGTGTCACCGACGCTGTCGTCGGCCATGTCAGTCGCCAAGTCGTACAGAGAAAACCCGTCTCGCAGCGCACCCTCGACCTGGAACATGCTCGGCCGCGCTGGCTTCGGGAGTGCATGGCAGAAGCCACAGGCACGTTCTTCTACGTCTTCCCCGGCATAGCCTCGATTGCCTCCTTCACGCTGAACCTCGAGAACCCCCTCGGAGTCACGGCCTTTGGCAGTATCTTCCAGATCGGCTGGGCTTTTGCGGTTGGCATCGCTTTTGCTATCATCACTTGCGCACCGACGAGCGGTGGACACTTCAATCCGGCTATCACCATTGCTCTGGCCCTTTGGCAAGGATTTCCATGGAAGAAGGTGCCATACTACATTTTCAGCCAGATATTTGGTGCCTTTGTGGCAGGTTGTGTCCTGATGGGCATGTATTGGCCTGAAATCCAAGCCGCCAACGAGCAGTTCCTGGCAGCTGGAAAACCACTCGTCGCTAATGGAGCACCGGCATCCATCCTGTGCTCTTTTCCAAACCCAAACCAAACCAACTTAGGTTGGGTCTTCATGACTGAGTTCTTTGTTGACTCCTTCATTGGCATCATAATCTGGAGCTGCTTAGATCCAGCAAATGTTGGTCATTTTCTCGAAGAGTCCTTCCTGCCCCTGTTGCCTGCACGTGGCACCACTTTCCGTCTCCTGGCCCTGTCTCAACCCACGCTTTGCACAATAGCTGACCCACTCATAGCCTTTCGTGTCACCATACGCGGCACCCTTCATCATTGGTCTCGCCTACGGAAACATGGTGTGGGGCTTCGCGGATATCACCATCTCCACCAACCTCGCAAGAGACCTGGGGACGAGGATCGTCGCTTTGATCTTCTACGGCCCGGAAGCGTTCACATACATGGGATACGCCCCAATCGCTATTCTTGTCAATATCCCCGCGACCCTGTTTGCCACCGCCTACTGTAAGCAAAGGTCCTTTGACAGCTTTTGTTCCCCTGCCCCTGTTTCTTTGCGCAAAACCTGAAGATCCATGCTTGACCAGCCATACCCATTTCCTTTTCCCAAGCCCCTTGGCGGTCAAAGGCTAACATGGTGTACGAACCAGACGAGCTTCTGTTGAGGGACTCGTTCCTTACTATCGGCAAAGGGCATGCTCAACACCGTGAGGGCGACGAGGGCCTGTGGAGGCACATATCGAAGACTGGTGTACTCAAGGAGGATGATCTGCGTCAGGTGACCAGCAATGGTGATGCTAAAACGACCAGATTTGAGCACATGGAGAAGTAATTTGACTTCTTAGACTCTGTACAGTCGACCGCAACGGAGGATACGGTGTATCTGGGCTTGGCGTTTGGATGCATCTTTGTATGCATTTGGCTGGGCAGGTCCGGAGCTTCAACACCTCCCTTGGGGCTGCTAGGCGCGTCTGAAAATCTTGCGAATGTTTGTCCATGCTCACATAATGTTTTGCGACTAGACTGCAAAGCTTCAAGTTTGTTTGCACAAAGATGACTGTCCATGCTTACTTTCCAAGAAACAAAAATTCGTTTTATCCATAAGCATTTTATCAATATTCTATTTTGAGGTCTGCCTGAGTATCCGTTGGAAGATAACTGATTGTCTATCAAGGAGTCTCAACAGGGATGTACGTTGTAGCCTGCTGCAAGCAGTCTCATTCCTGCCATCTAGACTTCATCTGGAATTTCCTGCACAATCTGGAATTCCCTTGCCGGATAGAGCTTCATACGTAGCAATGTCTCCACCATGGCAGTGATGAACAAATCCTCTGGAATAGCCTCGCATGGGTACTCGTCAAAATCCAACTGGGGTGAGGTGACACTGAACTGGACAGTCGCATCGGGCCACTGTTTCTTGAAAGTTGCGTATGTCCTCCTCTCCATGTACGGCGACTGTACGAGGATCAAAGCCCTCGGCCTCAGCCCCATTGTCTGGAGCAGCTCGTATGTAAAGCGGACATTCTCGCCCGTGTTTGTCGACTCCCTCTCGAGGATGATCCTTTCTCCTGGGACGCCCCGCTCCAGTGCAACGTCTGCGAAGACTTCCGCTTCTGGCTTGGCGAAGAGTTTTGACGTATGCTTGCCGTGCCCGCCTGAGAAAATCAGATACTGCCCTCTTCCGCAGTTGAAAAGGTCCACAGCGCGGTGCGCAACTCGTAGGTCGAAGCTGCAGAGGGTGAAGATGGCGTCTGCAGGTTGCTGAATAGGCATGCTCATGCGATGGTAATTGTATAGAAGTCTTGCATCGATTTCAACGTCAGGTCTCATAGGAGGGATAGCGAGAGACATTTTGAGGGATTGCGAATAGGCACACTGGATCGACCGAGCGAAGAGGGTGACTGTTGTTGGGAATGGATAAGGTGAGTGAAAGTGGCAATACGCTTTGCAGGCAAGTCTCCAGTATGTCGTCATTCAAGATTCCATAACCCTCTTGGGCTGATCGTCTACAACGTGCTCTACTCGTAGGGAAGATGTACCTGGGCCGTTAGCCTGGCGGTGGCCACAGCTCCTGCCACCTTGGGTAGCCTGCTTCGTCAAGTCATGAAGCCACAAAGGGCAGTCTCGAGGGACAGGAGTCAGCCTTTGGGAACTTCCTGAAAAGCATTTTAGAGACGTGACACGTGCACGCCATTTGGAAGCAAGAACCCCCGATTCGGGAAGGACAGCTGGGTGGGCATGGAAAGCGCCTGTGCCTTTCTCTTGTCCGCTAACCACACACAATGTCCCCGTATGGCTTCATTTCTCAAGACTTCAGAATCCGAGTGCTCACCAACCTTTCACCTGCAGCCCAATATCATTGATCCTCGCTCACAACAGCATCATATAATCAGCATCCCATCCAAAACACATTCCACGAAAGCCTCAGATCTCATCGGAACCTTCCATCGCAACAATGCAGTTCCGTGCCGCCTCCCTTCTTTCGGGCCTCTGCCTCGCTCAGTTGCTTCTTGCGCGACACCACCCTCACTCTACTCACCACGCCGATAAATCGCCTGAGCAGGCCATCGACAAACACATCGCTAATGGGAGCGATCCCTGCGAGCCGCTAATAATCGGACATGGTCCTCGACCGGATATTGATACTCCTGCAGAGTTTCAGAACTTCACCACGCTCTTCGCCAATGCGCGTATCGCGAGCACGCCGCTCGGATACAAGCTGGTTGGGCAAGCCTTGAACGGCAGCGTCTACGGCAAGGTTCTTCGTGGGATTAACTATCTGGAAGACTATGACCCTGCGCTGTGCGCCGAACAATGCAACGCGATTGGAGATTGCAGTTCATTCAATATTTGTACGTGACGCTTGCGTTATGTCTCTTCGAGGGCATCCATTGACAGCTAGCGTTGGTTTCTAGACTACGAGCGAGACCCAGTCGTCGACCCCAGTTACGACAAAGGGTGCCCGAATCCTCCGTCTACCACCACCATCAAGTGTGTTCTATGGGGCCAATCAATTAACACGCAAGTCTCGCTGAACCGGGGAGAAGAGAGATGCGACTTCAAGGTCCTCATCGCCGGTTCCAATTATTATCTCAAGGAGGCCGCGCGCCAGAACCTCAGCGACTTTGGCTTCTTCGGCCCCCGTGGCGAGTACGTGCTCTATCATTCGCGTGCATCTTCTCAGAAGCCAAGATGCTCGTGAAACACGCTTCTGAGGTAATTCAGTCGCCACATTTGCTGATGATAGGCCGAACAGTGCCAAAGCAGGGTCTACTTTCCCTTACACAGAGATGCTTGAGCCTGCAGACGGCTACCTGACCTTTCTCGAACCGGTCTACCGCGAGATCTATAACCCAAATGGGACCGGCCCCAGCTACGACCCTGCCGTCTGCGCCGAGCAATGCAATGCTGTCACCGAGTACAACAGCATAAACAGGGTCAACGAGCCTCCCTACATCAACGGCGCTTACCCGAAATGCAACATGTTTACCATCTTTGAGACTTCCCTGATCACTGACAACGACCCGTTGTATTTTCTGTGCTTCTTCTACAGCGCGAGTTGGGACAGCCTGTACTCGACTAAGATGAGTGGAGTAGACCCAGAAGGCAGACACCTGCACGCGGCAATGGTCAGAGTGTACCAACGACTGGATTACACAGACCCGCCGTTGTGTGCTCTGAAGGAATGCGAGGGTGCCCAGTATTATCGAGGCGGAAATTGTTCGGGATGGGGTCCAGACTACTGCACACACCGAAGTGGCCACATGCTGGAATAATGGATGGGCACACAAGCTCACTGCGTCAGCTCAATTCCAGGATCCGTATCTCTCTGTACCTAAGCAGTGAATCACCTAGTATCAAAACTCTAATGAAACTTGCTCTTTCTGGCCCTTCGCTTGTGTGGGCAGGTGATTTTGCAGGTATAGGTTCGCATCACCCAGTTAGTGTCTGCACGTCCTCAAGCGAGGCATTCAGCCGACAGCGTTCACCATTGACTGCCACAGAACTACTACCAGTGCTCTCCCCTTCAGGTGAGTACTGTAATCTACCCCAAAGTCCTGTCATGGTAAGTCGTTCGTAACAATACCATGCATTGTGTACGATGTGAAAGCTCGTATTACAATTTTAACGGGCCACAAGGCCGAGTGTAGCATCACTACGTGGGACTAAAACAGGCGGAATTATCATTCACCCTCTACTGACCGTCGAGGTTTTCAGGGAACAGCCAGATGGTCATCTTAATACTACTGGCTGATTCCTCATGCGGTCTACGTCCTACAAAACATAACAATTCATGAGTCCCAAACACCAAACGCATTAGTCTTATACAATCAGAGCGTGGTCAGGGGCTCCCTTCAACTCCTGTAGCCAATTTATTCCCGCTTCTCCGCCACCACTCTTGAGCTTTGCATCCTTGGTCTCCCATACACGCTGCATCATGGTCATGGCAGTCTCGATATACCCCCAGGGGCAAATGAAGGGGCTGGCCACCCATATCTTTTCCATCCTTCCATAGCACCACTGCCGCTCCTCGGGATCGTCCGTCTGGGCGCCGACCATGAAGGTGGGCCATATCAACCCCTTGGCCAATGCGTGCTCGATCGGCACAGACGCCAGCTGGTCCAGGACCGTGCGGGTCTGGGCCTCCGCCGTGATGCACTCTCCGCAGAGCGTGTGGCACTCCAGTGCCGGCACGGCGAGAAGGATGTACAAGCATGTTGCGGCCCGATGTGCATCTGCTATGGCCACCCTCACTTCGAGGTCGTCCTTCGGCGACAGGCCCGGGATACTATATACCCAGGCCCTAAAGTCAAGCACACAGAGCTGATTCATGAGGTCCCTGGCCTTTGAGATATCCTTTTGAGACAAGTGGCTGGCCTGAGACAGGATCTCGAGCATGATCGGCGGGTAGCACCCGTAGCTGAACGGCGCTGCCCTCTGCAGGACGGACTTGATGTCGATGGACTCGAACGCCGACATGGCGGTGTCCCCGGAGCTGGCAAAGGCCGAGCCGAGCACGTGGTACGTGATGCAGTCCGCGACGACGATGTCGGCGAGCTTGGCGATGCTGGGCGGGACCTGGTTCTTGATCTCCATGGCGTGGATCGACCTGAGAAGATTCCCCGCGGCCTCGATGTGCGTCTTCCACGAGCCGCGCCCGGACTCGATGAGGTCGAAGTTGATGAAGAATACCACGGCCACCACGGCGATCGGCTTGTCGACCGCGGCCAGGTTTTCGAGGGCGCGGCGGAGGAGGCGGTATGCCTGGCCCTTGGCGGCGAGGGCGTCGACGAGTTCCTTTTGGTAGGTGAGCCCGTGGTTCCGGCGGATGGTCACCATGTGGACCGCGGCGGTGGCGAGGGTTATCTCGCGGATGTAATCGAAGCTGTCTACTAGGGAGAGCATGGAGCGGAACGGGTTGTAGGCGTCTTGGTGGTCCCACGAGACTAGGTCTTTACAGACGGATCGCTCGACTTTGCATGAGAGAGTCAGATGCGTGCGTTGTCAAGCTGTCTGTTGAATAGGTGTCTGATGCGACTCACAGTGGCCGATATAGACACGGTGTTGAGGTTTGAGGCTGACCAGCAAAGGGTCGATCAGGGGAAGCTGAAGACATTGAAGCACCGTGTCCGGCTTTTGGCACCTTTTTGGCAGAACGTTATGTGAAATGATGACATCTTTGGGCCGGCTATGGCTTTGGTGTTGTGATATTTGGCTTGCGAGATTGCCCCTGACGGCCACGGCGTTGGTCCACCGGAGCAGGTTGCCATAACCCAGACACTTCTCACCTTTGCTGACACATTTATGACAGTCTGGAATAGAACGATCGCACCTTAGCCGCCTCCTCCGACAATTATGGCACGGTTTCGTGGGCGGGGATGCGTTCAGCCGAATCGGGTCCGCGTCTATCATGCCGTAGTAGTACTGTGAGTCACACGCAGGCTGGGTATGTTCGGCTAGATGTAAGGCAAGGTACAGACATAGTATGCCGAGAAAGTTCTATCCCCAACGGAACAGATCAAGCTTCACAAAGTTCTAGAACGAGGCATGTGGTGGGGGATAACTGTGGAGTCCACATGTGATTGTATGGTAGAAAGTCGAGGCTGAGATGTTGGACTAGACAAAGAAGCTCTTGTTTTGAGCACGACTTGTCATTGCCAACGCCGCCCTTCTCTTTGTCAGCAATCCCCGTACGTAATAAGCTTCTCTTCATTCCTAATTAGGTAGCCAAGACACAAATCGTGCATTAGCCCCGACGGACGACCCACCATCCCGGACGAGGGACTAGGCCCAGACGTCCGTGACGACCCTGACTACGGGAACGTCGCCCCTGTCCGTCGACCTTTGCCGCATTTGGTAGCAGAATGGCAACTCGTGCATCGAGGGTCGTCATTACCAAGGCCGTGACACATTTTTCTACACCATGTATTTCAAAGACAATTAGAAATTGCAGACAGAAACTGAAGACAGCAGGAGGAGTATGTCTTCCTGTCATTTGTCATGTTTTTCCAACGCACAAGTGGAGTCGAAAAACGTCTTGACCCACCTTGACGTATAAGAAAGATGCTGTTGCCATCGGGAGAAACAGTGGGATGGATTTAGGTGACCACTTCAAGTTCGAACAACCGCAGTGAGACGTGCAACGGATCATCTATCCATACTCTATTCTTGAGTCGACAGTATGACCCTTCACGATATGTCCACTTCGCCGGAGTCGGACACAGAGCGCAATGTCTCTCCTACGGCACAAGACCCAGCCACGTTCCAAAAGGCCGACTTGGAGCGTCTGGGACGTCAACGGCCGGAGACTTTCAAGACTGCGATCTCTGAGATAGCCTTCTGCACGTCGATGTTAGTGTCGATGTTGATGTCGGTTAGTCTGATACATCTAGATAACCACACATCAACTACCTAATTCCCTCCCGTCATCACTCTAACATATTATCTACAACGCCAGGAATACTTCGTCTCCGGCTTCAACATCCTCCTCCCAACCGTCTCAAAAGAACTCGACATCCCAATCGCCGCCCAGATATGGCCCTCAAGCGTCTTCGCCCTGATCGTGGGCGCCATCCTCCTCCCGCTGGGCAGGATAGGCGACATCTACGGCGGCTTCATCGTCTTCACCTCGGGCCTGGCCTGGTTCGTGGTCTGGACCGTCATCGCCGGGTTCAGCGTAAACTACCACATGCTCATCGCGGCCCGGGCTCTCCAGGGGCTGGGCCCCGCCGCCTTCCTGCCCACGGGGATCATGATCCTCGGCAAGATCTACAGGCCCGGACCCCGGAAGAACCTCATCTTCAGCCTGTACGGGGCCTTCGCGCCCCTGGGCTTCTTCTTCGGCGTCATCATGGGCGGCATCGCGGGCGAGTACCTGAGCTGGAGGTGGTACTTCTGGCTCGGCGCCATCGTCATCGGTCTCTGCACCGTCAGCGCCTACCTCAGCGTCCCGCGGGGCGCCCTGCAGACCCCGGGAGTCAAAATGGACTACTGGGGCGTCTTCACCACGGTCCCCGCCCTCGTCCTGATCGTGTTTGCCGTCACGGATGGCGCTCATGCGCCAAAGGGCTGGGCGACGGACTACATCGTAGTCACAGTCGTGCTGGGTTTCGTGATGCTGGGGATAGCTTTCTTCGTTGAGCGCAACGTCGCCGAGCAGCCCCTTCTGCCAGGGAGCCTGTTCAGGCCAAAGTATGTCAAGACGATCCTGGCCGCCCTCGTGTTTTCATACGGCAACTTCGGTATCTTTATGTACTACGCCAGTTTCTAGTAAGTACACAAGCATCCATCAATCCCTTTAAACACTCGGAGCAGCACGCTAACATCGAACGAACCAAAGTCTCTACACAGTCATGGAGTACAGCGTCCTCTCAACAGCACTGGCCTTCATCCCCATGGCAGCAGGAGGCGTCGTCCTGGCCACACTAGGGGGCTTCACCCTCCACCTCCTCCCGGGCCGCATCCTCCTGATCATCGCGGGCGCAGGCAGCGTCATCAGCGTGCTCCTCTTCGCGCTGATCCCGGAGGGCGGGTCCTACTGGGCGTGGGTGCTCCCCTCCATGATCGGCGCGACCCTCGGGGTCGACATCGCCTTCAACGTCACCAACGTCTTCATCACAACCAACATCCCGCAGAAGGACCAGGGCGCCGCCGGCGCGCTCATCTACAGCATCCTGTTCCTGCCCATCAGCCTGTTCCTGGGCATCTCGGACGTCGTGGCGGCCAGCTACGAGCACCGCGGCACCATGGTCAGCTACAAGGCGGCCTTGTGGTTCAGCACGGGCTGCGCCGCCGCGTCGCTGGTGCTGTTTTGTTTTGTTGACACGGGGAAGGCGGAGAGCCAGCTGAGGGTCGAGGAGAAGGAGGCGCTGGAGGAGTCGGGGCAGGAGGACGCTGGCGTTGTCTCTGGGTCTAACTGACACGTGAGGCACCTGGGTTGGTAATAATTCGCATTAGAGACATGGATAGATTTACGGTGCTAGATATTGCGATGATGGTATCATTCCAAAAAGCCACAACGCCCCTTTTTCCCCAAGCTAGAGTTTCCAAGAACGCATGTGCCCATGACTTCCCGTACGCCTCGCACCCTGTAGACATGCCCCTCACCCCTCTTACCGATGGAACAAACTCCCTTCCCGGTGCCTCTGGTCCACGTCGCCCTTCAGTCCGAACCCGCACCTCATCTCGGTCGAATAGGCCCTCCTCCTGCCGAAGTACCCCGAGCTCGCTCGTCCCTCAGGGACAACACGCTGGCTGTAGTCCTCGACGCCAATAAGGTTAGGATCCGGCCCGATCTCCGGCGGCGGCGGCGACCCCGGGCCCAGCCCCCCAACCTTGCTGTCATTCATGATGCCATAGCCCAGCCTGAGCTTCTTGACGTCCTTGGGGACGTCCCCCCTGTCCTGGAGCGGCCCCATCCACGCGACCTTCTCGAGCGCGGGGCCCCTCGTGGCCGCGACGACGGACGAGAAGTGCGTGTTCCGGGTGACGCCGCCGTTCTCGCGGACCGCCAGGGCGCCGACGGTCACGCAGGTGAGCGTGAGGACCACGGCGATGCCGTACACGATCCAGAGGTCGCGCTTGTGGTAGGCGTAGGCGTTGCCGGTGCGGCTCCGCGTGCAGTCGTAGTAGTAGTCCGACTCGTCGCCCGTGCCTGTCTTGGCGCCGGACGACGCGGGGACCCCGCCCTTGATCAGGGTGCCTGACTGCTCCGAGGGCCTCGCGGCCCAGACGACCTCGACGAATTGCGGGTTGCTGAACATGGAGAGGATGAGGTCTTCGTAGAGCCCCTGTACCATGGTCATCAGTTCGGGGTAGGGGAAGTAGTTGTTGCGCGGGTCGAGCAGTTTTGTCTGGATGGCTTCAGTATTCTGTATGGGGTTGATGAGTGTGTCCTCGACGGCGACGGTGCCGTTTAGGAATTTCCTCAGCATATAACCGATCGAATGGTACGCAGCGACCCGTCGATAGCGGGCCGTGTCAGTAGGGTAGACGTAGTTCTCCTCAGGGATGGCGGTAATATTATCGTCGGTGCCGTCGTTTGCCTCTATACTTGGAATGAAAGTCGTGTTGATGATCGGTGAGCCGAACTTGCGACTGCTCATGCTGGCGGACTGCGTTCCATCGGTGTATGTGAAATTTGCGACGTAACTTGTCTCCCGGTGCTCGCAGGCGAATATCCTGGGCGTAAACGCGTCTTGCCATCCCGGGTCAGATCGGTTGGGCTGTACCTCTCCTGGTTTGTTCAGCACAACATAACCGACCCAGATGACAGGTTCTGTTCTTAGAGCTCCGAAGTGTGCCGGTAACTCAGAGTTCGGGACGTTGGGGATGCCGCTCACGCCGACGTTCTTCAACTGAGTAGTCGAGTATTCCCCGCCGGTAGCATAGGCATAATAGCTGTATTGGCCCTGGGGGAGCAGGATGTCGGTGCCGAAAGGGGGCTCGGCCTCGCCCGTCTCCTGGGTGAGGTTGACCGGCGTCGAGCCTGTTCCGCTTGCCACCTCTGTACAGTTGTAGCCGGGCGCAGTGAATTCGACGTTAAAGGTGCAATTATATCCAGACTCGCATACCTCGTAGGATGCATTCTTCCGGGCGACAACCTCTTGCAGGAAGGCACCCAGTGTTGCTGTCTGCTGGAAGTTTGGACTTGGCCCAGTGTAGTAGTCGAACCAGTCGTCGTCGGTCTGGCCGTCCCGCTTGGTAGTGTTCCAGATTGACACGGGTATCTCAAACAAGCCATCTATCCGGGTCGGTTTTCTCCAGTCGTTGAGATCCTCATAGGTGAAGTTCAAGCTGCGTACCGAGGGACACGTCGTGTTGCTCACTATGGTTCGAGGCTCCACCAACAGCGTGTTCGCCGTCAGAATGACCACCAGGGGCGTCGTCCAGGCGAAGAAGACCAGAGCGAAAGCGGCCTTCGCGTCCTTGATGAACTCCCAGTTGAGCAGGGCCGTCACGTCCTCGGCAGCGGCAAACATGGAGTCGAGGGCCGAGATGCTCATGAATCTCGATCGAACGGTGACCCATATGCGCTGTTTGAAGGCTGAGATAGCAGCAGCACTGAAGCCGGCCTTGGCTGCATATGCGAGGAAGGTACCGTACCGCAGCATCTCGGTCTGGCTCTCAGCAGGCTCACCATCGAGCGAAGCGTAGAAGATGTGGTGGCCGACGGCACAGAGGAGCCCGAAGATGAAGCATATGTACATGCTGAATGAGGAGTGCCATCTCGGGCTGCATGATCGAGGGCGCCGGCTGCTGGCCCGGCTCGGAGGCGCCTTGTCCTGGCCGGGGTACATGAAGGTCGTCGACGGCCCGAACGAGACAGAGCGGGATGAGTGCCGGTTCCGCTGAGAGTCGAGGAGCAGCTCTGCCTGGGAGTCTCGCTGGGCACCCGCATATTGACTGTTGTACGGCTCGGGCGTGTACATCTGCGGCGTGCCGGGAAAGGACTCGTCGCCGTGGAAGGGCATGCGAGTTGTGGATGCATTCTGCTGGTGGTACAGTGGTTCCGGTCCTCGTCGCTGTATCGGTCCTGGCCCCGGGCGCCCCGCCTTGAGGGAGCTCAGGTCGACCCCATCGTCGTCCATGGTCCGTTCTGCACTGGTGTTTATGACAACATTCTCAGAGGGCTGCAGTGACAATCTGTCCAGGGGAGACAGCCACTTCTCGTTGCCGGATGAGGTTGTGGAGATGTTGGAGACGGACACATCAGAGGCGGCGCTGAGTCGGCGGCCTGCGGACGGTTTTGCAGTGGGCGTGGGAACGTCCAGGCGCTGCTGGCCCAGGTCCTGGTCCTGGTCGAGGTTCTTGTCCAGGTCCTGATCCTGCTGCTGGGTTGGCGCCTGATTGTGACCAGGGTTTGCCTCTGGCTCCGCCTGAACTGTCATGCTGTGCTGTGTTGCGCAGGGTTGCGCTGCCCTACACTATACTAGTGCTCTCGCCCTCACCCCCTCTGATCCCCCCTCTCAGCAACTCACAGGGCTGTCTGGCTGGCTGGCTGGCGGTGGAGGAACGCTGGGCTTGCCTTAGCGTGGGAGTAAGCTCGAGAGCTCAAAGAGCTGGGCGCCCAGCTCTGCGGTCCTGGCGATCGCTGCAACCCTCCCTGGACGCAAGTGTCGGCTTGATTCGCCGCCCATGCGGCTCGTTTATCTGCGAATGGGCCGAGGAGGGACTGGGCAGGGAGACGGTTGAACGGTCTGGACGCGTGGGTGAAGCCGTCAGCTCCAGGGAGAAGTTGCCGAGACCCCAAGGGCAGGCCGGGATGATAGTCTAGGTAAAGAAAAGGAAAAAAGCACATGCTGTTAATGTTATGCTTTTTTGGCATTTCATCATTTCCTCCTCAGCTCAGGTGCTGATTAGGATCAGCCAGGATCGTCAGTCGCATTGGCAAATTCCGACCGTCAAATGGTGGACGGTGCGACTTGTCAACACGCCAAAACAAAGTCGGGCGCCTGCACATGCTGTCAACGTTGCCACTGCCGCTGCCTGCAGCTGTGGAAGCGCCGCCCACACGACTCGAGAAGGTTTTTATCCACCTGCGCTGACGACCCGCAGCTGCTGCTGCATCCTCATGGATTCGCCGGCTGTGGCATTGCGGGCCTCTGCTGGCGAGCATGATGTGGCCTTGCAGAGTCGGAGCAGGCGTGGAACTGTTTCTGCCTGCCCAAGACATTTGAGACAACACCATCGCCTTAATGTTTAATGACTGAGCATACCTATGATGTAACAACGCCGTGCACAGGGTCGGCCGGGCCTCTCGTTCCACTGTATCGGAGCCCGGCACGACGGCACGCGGTGCACGCTCGCTCGCCTGGGCTCGGGGAGTATTTAGTTACCCACTTTACCGTACCCATCTCGAGCCACAGAGCTGGTACCGCAGCAGCACATGGTGGTCCTCATTTCGTCCCGCCGGGCGGGGCTCATCGAAGTGGCAGTTAATGAGTCCAACGGCCCGGACACGAGCAGTCAGGGGGGGAAGGATAGCACTGCTGGGCCGCTAGAACAATTTGTGCCTTCTGAGTGCTTCCCTTCTTTTTCTTCCTGGTGGCATTGGCCAAGTCAACCGAACTCGAAGCACCTCACCCAAGGTAGGGCCTCGGGATGTGGGCGAGCATCCGGAAGACTGCCGGCGATGCTCTTGTGGCGGCGTGGGCATGCGGAGGCGGAGACATGGGACGAAGGGGACGGTTGGTAATGCGACGTCCGACTAGGTGGGATAAAGTTGTTATTATTATTCTCTGATCTACATTGTGGGTTGAATTACACTAGAGTCCGAAGTGGGCATCAAGAATGGTGTGCTGGTAGATGGCGAGGGGCAGTTGTTCTGTTCTTCCTCCACGCCCGCATGCCTACACACGTAAGGTCCAATTCGGAAGCAGATTGCCCCGAGGGAAAACAACCATGAGTAACCATGCGATGTCCCAATACAGGACACTGGGAGCTCCTGTTATCGATCCCCAGCATTCGTCGTTGCTCAAATGGTAAATCGCGGGGTGGACGGGTTCGGTTGTCCTATGACGGGGTTCGGCCGGCCCCACCGGGAACCTGGATTTTGGGAGCTCGGCTTCAGCCCGGTCAGCATCATTTCCACGGGCTAGAGACTGACACACTCGGAAGTCTTGCGTGTTTCTAGCTCGGTATTCTCTCCTGACATTATCATGAAGACACTGTTGCCGGGTAGGTACCGACAGCTGTTTCGGGTTTCTCTGCGGCATCGGCTCCTCGAGAAGATGTGTTCCGGCTCTGGTTGTATAAGAACGGAGGGGAATGCCGTTGGAGAATGCCTCAAGAATTGGGCAACATTCACACGAAACATCATCCACCCTGGAATATCAGAGGCTAGATCCCCGTCATCGATTCAAATCGGAATAGCCAAGCAGCACGCCAACATGGTCGCTCGTCGTCTCAAGTCTCCCCTCGTTGGAGCAACAGCCAGCTTTGCTGCCTCTCAGAAAGTTACAGAGATCGTCAAGTCTGCCATTGACGACATCCGAGCCAATGGAGACAAAGCCGTCCGGACCTGCTCCGAGAAGTTCGACAAGTGGGCTCCCGAGTCGTTCAAGCTATCAGATAGCCAAATACAGGACATCATATCCAAGGTTCCCGAGCAGACCATCAAGGACATCAAAGAGGCGCAGAAGAATGTCCGCACCTTTGCTCAGGCACAGAGGGACTCCATCAAGGACGTCGAGATCGAGAGTCCAGCCGGGCGTCTTCCTCGGCCACAGGAATAATCCCATCAGCACGGCAGGGGCATACATCCCCGGCGGCCGCTATCCCCTCCTCGCCTCAGCACACATGGCCATCACAACCGCCAAGGTCGCCGGCGTCAAGCACGTGATAGCATGCACGCCGCCCATCAACGGCCGAGTTCCTCGCCGGGCCCGGCAACGCCTTCGTCGCCGAGGCGAAGCGCCAGCTCTTCGGCGAGATCGGCATCGACCTCCTCGCCGGGCCGACCGAGACGCTCGTCGTGGCCGACGGCCACGCGGACCCCTTCACCGTGGCGACGGACCTGCTCTCGCAGGCGGAGCACGGGCCCGACACGCCCGCCGTGCTGATCACGACGAGCGAGGAGGTCGCCAGGGAGTCCATCCGGCTCGTCGACGAGCAGCTCAAGACGCTGTCCACGGCCGAGCTCGCGGCGACGTCGTGGCGGGACTATGGGGGGGGGGGGTGGTGGTTGTGGACGACCTTGACGAGGCTTTTGCCCTCGCGGACGACTTTGCCAGCGAGCACGTCGAGATTCTCACGCAGAAACCGAGGGAAGCTCTGGAGGAGATGACGAATTATGGCGCATTGTTCTTGGGCGAGAAGACTTGCGTGAGCTACGGTGACAAGGTGAGTAAATTCTGAATTCTTTGTGTTGATCTCTAATGAGTCTGTGGTGCTGACATGTACGCAGTGCATCGGCACGAACCACGTGCTGCCAACCCGAAAGGCGGGCAGGTATACCGGCGGCCTTTGGGTGGGCAAGTACCTCAAGACGCAGACATACCAGGAGGTTGTCTCTGAAAAGGCGAGCGGCGAGCTCGGTAGACTTTGCGGGCGGTGCGCCAGGGCAGAGAACTTCGAGGGCCATGCGCGGTCGGGCGACCTCCGGAGTCAATTATATCTCAAGGATCAACACGACTGGATCGATCAAGCCCGAGCCTCGAAGCAGACCAATGGGCACTGAGCGTTGATGTCTCAAATTTGGGACCAGGGTAGCGTATGATATCCATTGTGAGCAACTACGAAGGAAGACTGTGGGAAAATATTGCTATTCGGCTTGAAGAAACAATCACCAAGAGACTGTCCAGTTATAAGCAGCGCCGCATCAAGGGCAGCAAATATATACATATTGCTTCAATCGGACGAAAAGTATTTACAAAGGAAGACATAATTAGGAACAGCTCCCTCGCCAACTCACAGGTAAGCAGAGTCAACCCACGCAGCATAATCACTGCCCAAGACCGTAGAAATGCTAAGGGCACTGCTCAACTTGGAAGAAAAGCTCGCCCGCGTGCCCTTGGCCCCGGCACCGGTGTTGCCATACTCCGCCAGGGAGACATGCTGCGTCCTGGTGTCGCTGGCGCTCCAGACCTCCCACCCGGCAGAGTTGATGATATTGCTCAGATCACACCGCTGGAACGCCACCCTGGCGTACTGGCCCCACGGCCGGCCGAGGTAGACGGTGCCCGCGGCGGGCGCCGACGAGCCCGAGATGGAGCCCGCCTCGATCGTGCTGTCCGTGATGACGTAGTAGGACGTGTCGGAGGAGGACGCCCGGCCGCTGGCGGTGATGGCGCCGGCGCCGACGGAGACGATCTTGGAGTTGGTGATCCAGGTCCGGGCATGCTGCCCGAAGATGAAGTCCACGGCGCCCTCGATGTAGCTGTTGGCGTAGATCTGGTTGCCGGTCTCGGCGAGGAGCGTGTCCTGGTACCCGTATCTGTGGTAACATAGCCACGTTAGTAAAACAATGGTGCCTTTATTCCCGAGCGAACGGGGAACTTACAGGCCGACACCGTAGTATCCCTGCTTAGTGTTATAGGCGGAGAGAGCTATTGCCTGCCCATTGCTGCCGGAAGGCTTGCCGTAGGTGTTCTTGATGTTGATGTTGTACACGGCCACGTTCGGCGAGGTGTTAATCAGCGCCGCGGTGTGCTCGTCGTCGGCTGCCCCAGTGGCCAGGGCCGACTTCCATTGGAGGTTGACCACATTGCCTGAGTAGTCGGTAGTGTCCTTGGTATATCCGTAGATGTTGAGCTTCCCACTCAGCACTGGGATGGTGACTTGCTCGGTGTAGGTCCCGGAGTAGATGAAAATGCTGTGCTCGTCTTTGGAAGACGTGGAGATGGAGCTGACTGCTTTTTGTATCTGTGGTGAAACGTTAGTCAAGAAGTGTGTGACAAGCCTGGGACGATCAAGAAACATACGGTGTTGTAGTTGCAGCCGGATGAGCACACTGTGATACTGCCACTTGGAGGGCTGGTTCTTGCAGCGGCGAGGACAGTCGCGACCAGTGCGGCCACGGCACCGAAAGACTGCTTCAAGGTCATATTGAAACGACGAAAAGGGAAATTTTAACCGCTTAGGACGATGAATAGTGGTCTTTAGGCTCGCCACATGTGTACAGATTTGTCGACTACATGCATCGATCGACGGCTTGGCATGGTGCTTATATACCTGAACGGACAGGAAAGGGGCATCGTGGGGTCTCAAAGAGGAAGCCGGCAGAACGGGACCAGCTCATCAATGGCGGAGAAATTAGAAGGGCTCGTTCGCACATTGTCACCGTCTTGTACATTAGCGGGTCACTTACGAGGACTCTAAACCTTGTGCGCGTGCCTCTTTTTACGGGCGAGCGAGGGGCCTGGGGAGCTTCCTCTTCTACATAGGGCACATCTCAGTGGGTCTACATCCTTGTGGGAAAGGCTTGGTCTCAACTTTTAATAGAGGCGACCCCTGGTGACCAGTGGTGATCTCCGGTCCCTGGCAGGGATGCAGAGCTGAACCCCCAATAATTCCACCAAGGACATCTCTTGGCGTGGGGAAGCCTGTGGATGTAGCCGCTCTACCCTGGAACCTGGGCCATCGTTAAGGTCTCGCGGCCGGTGGAAGTTGACGCAGGTTGGCAATGATTGGATACAGCTATGCACCGCTGTGGCTGCTCTTCATGTTGATTGAGAGTCTGGAAACATCCACAGCCTGATCAGTGGGATAGAATGTACCGATTTAGATAATTCGCCAGAGTGCCAGGGTAGAAAACTGGTCGGCTAGTTAGCTCAGTAAACCGCTAGAAATGGTGTCCAAAAGGCCGGAAGCCCCCAGCTAAACTACTAGCTCATGACCCCAGGCAGCTCTCGGGGAGTCCCGCCTATCGTTTGGTTACGACTGGCATCTGCGGTTTCAAAACGTATGTGCTGGGCTCATTTGCTCATCAGCCTGGGATTCGATTACTCGGCGGATTCCAATACGGTCGAGCACGCTGTGATTGATCATGTCTTTGAAGTCGTACTCTTGTTTCCATGGTGAACCGAACAACATGCTCATCTCGTGTCCCAAACGCCTTTAACAACCCGAAACCGCACCGCTATGCGGTTTAACACCCACCAGGGCTTCGCCTGTGCTGTTGACGAGGCGCAAACCGTTATCGCCTTTGCCCAAATGATCATGGGCTACATTCTGGGTCTTCAGAAGCGGAGGGTGAGTTACGCGGAAATGGGCAAGGAGCGGGAGCAGGGCAATTGGGGGAGTGTACTAAGTGGAAGCTGTTGAAGTAGACTCAAGAAAGCTTGTAGTTGCTAGAGTATTGAGACAAGAGAGATCTCAAGCTGGTCAATCAGTAAAAAGACTACGTGCCCTGGCATCTGTAGGAGGGTCGAAAATGTCAATGTTGCCCCTTCCAAGTTATGTGGTGGCATGGTCAATATTCTTAGAAGAGGTCCTCGTGTTTCTCGTTCGACGAGCCATGTTGAGAAGGACAATGGGGCGTGGCCAGCGGTGCTAGGTTGAGACCAACCTGAAACTAGACCCTTATTGCCTATACTTTCCAATTCGTGCTTGAAAAGGTATCCTGAACAAGCAAGATCGACTTCTGAGTGAAGAAAGACTACCTCTAGTGAGAAAGGTCCATCGAGATACTCAAGTGGGTTTCAAATCCATCCATTGAAGTGAGCAACTTGTGGTCAGTCTTTGGGTTTTGACAACTTCATGATGTCATGTATTCCAGCTCTAGATCGACTTGATTCACAAGCCAACAGCACATTTGGGAGTGATTGTGTGCCAGAACAGAACCATTAGTCAGTATCCGTGTAACTACTTATTCGGCTGAGAGGTCATTCAGCTTGGCGGTAATATAATCTTTAGTATGGTGTGTTATGTGCGAGTCATTAGGGCCAAATTGGAACGATTGATTGCGTATGAGAGTACCAACATTCCTGACGAGTGTCTCTGAGCCCCATCGAAACCCTGCAACACATTCCCACCTACAAAAAAGCATCGAGAAGCACATCTTTCAAGTCGAGAAACCACAACTCTCTTCCATCTCTCCTAAACTTCTTTCACCTTCTCCATCATGAGCTCCCAGAATTACCCTCTCCGACAATCGGGCATCTACCGGAACCTTCCGACGTTCGATCCGTCTATAAAAGACCTCACAGCCATCATTTGTGGCGCCACAGGCATTTCCGGCTTCCACGCATTGCGGGCCCTTCTTGAATCTCCTGATCGTTGGCGTACCATCTACACCGTCTCTCGGACGCCTCTTTCTGAGCAGCATCTGTCTCTCATACCGGCTTCACTCCACGAGAGAATCAAACATGTGGCAGTGGACTTTGAATCTTCGCCCGAGGACATTGTGCAGTCACTGAGGAACAACATCTCCCGCGTCGATTATGTCTTTTACTACACGTACATCCAGCCAAGGAGCGAAGGGTTGTCAGGCATGGACCCGCGCATGGCACAGAGGCTGTGCGACGCCAACGTACCCGTGTTCGACACATTCTTGCGCGCCATCGAGGCGGCTGGGCTTCAGCCCAAGCGCATCCTCCTCCAGACCGGCGGTAAGAACTACGGCATGCACCTCGGCCGCGTCCGGACGCCTCTGGTCGAGTCTGACCCCCAGCCCCGGCATCTCCAGCCCAACTTCTACTATCTTCTCGAGGACCTGCTCAAAGACTTTTGTGTGCGGAACCCTACCGAATGGAACGTCGTCAGACCGGCCGGCATCATCGGTGCTACGCTAAACTCCCCCCTCAACACGTTCTATTGCTTCGGCATCTACGCCGCAGTCCAGGCACATAAGAATGAAGCACTTGAATTTGGGGGCGACTTCGACTCATGGCAGTTCGCGGCCTGTCATTCCACGGCCCGACTCACGGGCTATCTCAGCGAATGGGCCGTACTTGAAAAGTCTTGTGCAAATCAGGCTTTCAACGCCCAAGACGGCGGTGGCCTGAGTTGGGACAGGTTCTTTCAGGAGTTGGCGCGGTGGTTCGGAGCGCCTGGCGTCACTGCTCCTTCCGCTGTCTGCCAGTATCGCAACACCCTGGATCTTGCAGGAGGAGAAGATGCGCCCCTTGGCTATGGACCCCCCTTGGTCTTGAGAAACAAGTTCACATTGGCGGAGTGGTCTCGCGACACAGATAATCAGGCTGTCTGGGAGGAGATCAAGGCTGCTTCGGGAAAGATTGTATCCGAAGCCAGCCTCAGCCCGGAGATTATGGGGGGCGACTTTGCTTACCTTAATTTCGGTACATTGGCCATGAACAAGGCACGTCGGTATGGCTTTTCAGGCTTCGTAGACTCTCTTGAGAGCATTTTTGAGTCTTTCAAGGAGATGGAAAGACTTGGTATTCTCCCGCCGATGAAGGTCAGGGCTGCGCGGCCCTTGGAGTAAATTCAGAGAGTGACTCACTTAGAGTCGCTGACGGCGGTGATGATAGCCGGCCTTGAGCTTGGAGTTCTCGAGAACTGGGGCTAGCGGCTCAGAATCCTCGTGGATGCCATGTGGGAATGATGGTCAGAGACCACAGTTGTGTGCGCTTGCGTGATTAGACATGCACTTTTGACAATGAGACAGTCTATGTGCCGTCCAATTTTTAAGTGTGAAGTGCAGCCAAAATTATTATTCGTCCACAGTAGCATTGCCCAAGAACGAACACCCTGCTGGAAACGATACATTTCAAACTAGTCAACCTGAACACCACCTCTCACATTGCCACCCGCAGATCCACCGTCCACATCATCGCCCGCCTCCCGCGCCTCCTTGAGCTCGTTGCGCGCGGCCGCCTGCTCCGCCTTCTTTCTATAAAGGCAAGAGGTGTGAGTCACCAGGTCCACACTGACATTCACATCGGTGTTGGGCACACTTACCGGTCCAGGTCACTCGCGTAGTCATCGTACTTGACCTCACCGTCCCCGGGCGCCTTCTGGATCCCGCTCTTGCGCTGCACCGCGTCGGCGACCTTGCCCTCGCCAAGCGTGGCCAGCTGCTCCGCGTCCACGTTTGGGTTCTGCGGCTGCGCGTCGGACCCGCTGGCGCCGGTGGTGCTCCTCGCCTCTGTGGCGTCGACCGGTCCGCTGCCGCCCTGGACTCCGCTGCCCAGGGAGCTGAATGTGCCTTGGTCTTGGCCTTGGGAGCGCTCGGACGGCACGCTGGCGTTTCCCTGGGTTGACGAGTGATTGTGGGCGCGGTGGTCGGCTACTTTGTTTTCAAGCGGTTCCTTCGTGATGGGGTTCCCCGGCTGGATGTAGGGCTCGATGTTGGATGGTTGTTGGTCGGCCATGATGGCTTGAGGTTTAGTTGGTGGCTTGTTTTTGGCTTTGAATAATCGACGTCTTGTAGTATCCTTTCAAGCTGGGTTAAATCCAAGATTGGCAAATATTCACGACAGAAGCTTTAAACGTGTCTCAAAGAGCGTCTGTTTTCCCGCAGCAAACCAGTGACGTTGATCAGCACCAGCGCCCCGGATGACAATCGATGACGTCGTGGTGCGCAGCCGGCCGCAGACGCAAACATGGCGATCCGGGGCCTTTACCGAGTTCTGATATCTTTGGCATCTCATTTGCACAAACGCTTTGTCACACGCCGATTTCATTGATCTACCCTGAAGTGTATCACATGTCCAATGTCAAGTGTGTCTGCACTTCAGCACCTCTTCTCTGGCTTAGACTCAAGCAGATCAACGTTGTTACTGACACCTTACAATCCCCGAAAATTTAACTTTGAGCCTCAGATCTAGTGTATCTTGTCTGATACATTTTGCTGCATTATCAGGACAAGTGTTTTTCTCCCACGTACTACTCCTCAACCTGACGTGCTGTGTGCTGTCCAATCAGATGTTGTTGCTCTCAGATACCCCGCCTGTCAGCTCCAAGGTGGGTCTAATTATACCTGTCCCGGTCCGTGGCAAGAGATGGCCCGCCTCGACGTTCCGGAGACTTATTTCTTCACAGTGGATGATCTGTCCATATTCATCGCCCTGTACAAGCTTCGATGTACAACATTGGAGTCTTGAGAGGTCCCACCTTGGAAGACATTCCATAGACAGCAGTGACCTCGGCCCTCAAGATGTCAAACACATCCCTTGATCTCCAGCTGAGGCCTGAAGCCGACGAAACAGGCAAAATAGTCAGCCTTGCATTTACTATCACCATCCACGGCCTGTCACTTCAGCCTGGGGACATCCTATGCAACTTCGGTCAAGAAGGCGTGACCAGAGAGCACCCGTCTTGGTATCCATACTACAGACCACACGATATCACAACACTGTTCTCAGACGATGACGGTCCTCTGGACATTCATGCATCCGACGAAGGCAACGATGAATGTATTGCTGAGAGACAGACCAAAGGCGGTGTTGTCTCTGCGTGGAAAGTCCCCGTCGTCGAAGGGAGCGACATCCCCAAAGAAGGCCCAGGCTCTGTCAGTGAGCTTCTTCTTGATCAAGGTGGCATCATAGGGGTGGGGAAGTACTTCATCCCACGGTTCAGCCTTGGTAACGAAGTCCTCATTGCAATCGAGTGGGACCTATGCCACTGCCCTCAGGGAACCAGAGCCGTGACCAGCTTCGGGGAAGGTCCACAACGAGTCGAGTTCACGGGTAATTCCGGCAGTCTTCTCGATTGTGTCTTTATGGCTGGGCCCGTAAAAAGCAATACTATTGGTTCACAATCACCGACTTCGCAAAATAAGGATACGTGCGGCACGTATTGGTTCGGCGAGCTGCCCGCGAACCTAGACGCTGTCACGAGTTACGCCGCCAACATCTTTCCGCCCGTGGCCGAGCACTTCAACGACCCATCCGGCTCATACCGTGCTTTCCTCCGGCGCATCCCAAAGGGGTTTCATGGCACAGCCTTCCAATCAAGCAGCGTCATCGAATACGACCCGTCGGTCAAGGACGAGGACGACTGGGACCTGGTCAGGCTGCTCAACCGCACCATGGTGTCCACCTGGGCCCGTCTCGACCCCGAGGACGACGGGACCGCAAACGAGTGGTTCACCGACGGCCTGTCGCTACTGTACACAGTATTCCTCCCCTTCCGCTTTGGCCAGCGCGGGCCGGACTACTTTCGCGCGACGGTCAATGCTTTCTTTTCGGCGTACTACACCAACCCGCTCGTCAGCAGGGCGCCGACGGCTCCCCAGTCTGAAGATCCGCGTGGCCTCAGTTGGTATGCGTCCTCGGCCAAGGCATACCGGGCTTTCGTTTACATGCTTAAGATGGATGCATTCATGCGGCGGGCGGCCGTGGCAAGGGGCTCAGACGTGTTGAGGCCGATGGATGAGCTCATGCGCGAGCTTTTGGGTCGACGACGAGGCGGGGAGAGGATCAAGAAGGAGCACTGGCTGAGAGGTGTTGCACACTGGCTTGGGGAAGACGAGGCCGAGAGGCGCTTCCGTGAGATGCTTGACGAGGGCGGGAAGGTCAACGAGCTGGACGACATGTTATCCAGCTTTGGGGCTAAATTTGGACCACAACCAACTGAGCAGGAGGGTCTGGATTTTGGATTCGCCAGGGAGAGTCTGGATACGGGGACTGTCGTGGGTGTGGAGGAGCATTCAAGGGCTTGGGAAGCAGGTCTGAGGGATGGGGACAAGATATTATGGTATTCGAGACCCGATGCTTGCGAGATCCATTTTGAGAAGAAGCTGAGGCTGAGTGCTGAGAGACAAGGCAAGAAGCTGGATCTCGAGTATTGGCCAAGATCGAGGGAGAAGGTAAGATGTTGGCAGGTCCTAGAGGGGAAGTACGAGCCGAAGCAAAACTGAGTGGGCTGGTCTCATTCGGCGTAGATATTTACAGAATAGTTCATGAAAATTCAGAACGTTTCAAGATAGACAGACAGTTCTTGAGGCTTCCTGAGTCTTTGTTTACATGGCCTCATTTACGGATCGTGTCCCTGACCTTGGACAAATGCAGCTCCCCTTTCCGGCCCCAGCCCTTCTGCCCCTTCGCAACGTCCGGCCGAAACTGCTCGTACATGTGGAACGCTTTTAAATCCAGCTCGTTCTCTTTACCCTTCCAATCTTGCAAGGCCTCAGTCATCGCGTTCTTTGCCTTGCCGTAACTCTCTTCCGAACCGTATTTCCTCACCAGACTGACCTCTCGCGTCGTCTTGGGCTTTCCCTTGACAATGACGCTGTCGTCCTTGATCTTCATGGGGAAACCCATGACCTTGACTGTTGGGAGATCATCTCCATTCTTCTTGTTCTGGTCCTTGGAGGCTGCGTCCTTTGACTCATCAGGCGGCGCGATCGTTCCAATCGACCGGCCCTTGGAGATGGCTGTGATGGTGGATATGCTGCTTCCTATGCTGAGGCACAGGTCCCAAGAGAAGTCTGGGTATTGGAATTGGGCAACGCACGCGCCCCAGAGCTCAAGTACCGGCGCGCGATTGATGATGATGGCTTTCTCGAGCTCGCTGGTGGACTTTGTCGAGATCTCGGTCTGTCTGAGATCATTGCCGGCCTGCGCTGAGCCTTTGGACGCGCGAGAGCGCTTGGCGGTCTTGACGCCACCGGCCTCATCATCGTTGGCGGCTTTGCGCTTCTTTGGTTCGCCGTTTGTCTTGGATGGCTGAGGCTTTGCTGTGCCCGCTGAAGTGGGTGAGTGATTCTTGCGAGGAGGCATCTTGGAAACAACGGATGGCTCGAGCAACAATATCAGCTCAGTGTAATGCCTCATGGATCAGAAAAAACGGCGAACTCCCGCTCCAGTCCAGAGAGGAGCTGTTGCAATTTTGGTGCCTTGGGAGGTCATCAGGCTGACGTCACGGCGTCGAGCTACAACAATCAAACACGGTGATGGCTGATCTTAACCTCTTGTTCATTCTTCGATAGTCGATTTCATTTACGAGATTATCTCGGCTAGAGCTCAGCATTATTGATGTACAGAGAGAGCCTCACTTGCTCACTCGAAGCAGACACAGCTTCATGGACGAATGTAGTATCTATCGGCCGCGGCACTCCGCGCCGTCAATTGGATTTAGACCGCTGGTGTTTGAGCCAAAAAAAGACCATACGATTAATATGAGGAGGTGTGTTCGCCGACTGAAATTACCCCTTCCAAGAAAGACAGCGTGCGGTCAAACTGCAAATATTTGTCGCGTGATAAAACGGTTTCGTGACAGAGCCCGGTTGTCACCTACACGAAATTTGGTACGATGTATGGCGGGCACTATGGGATTTACACTCGTGTTGGAGAAAAAACAAGACCGGTTCTGGTGGGCAGGTCCTTTGTCTGCGTGTCCATTCCGACTTGGATGGGGTTCAACGGGACGCCTGTACCTGTTCATACATATCCGATTGCATCATGAGCTATTTTGAAAGATGACACAGCTGGTGAATCGCGTCGTTGGTGGCATGTGAAGAGGCATCATGACCACTTAGCATTCGGCTATCACTCTGAACTGTGCGGGCATTAAAATCCTACACATACTTTGCGTGGATACGAGGAGCGTTCTTGGCCTCGAACTCGAAATGGCCGTGGCATCCGCGCCGACACGGTGAATTCAAGGTACGTGTTGTTATTTCCGAGGCAAGCACACGTAACCCCGTGTTGTGAGGACGACAGCAGGGCAGGCGAGCCTCCAATCGTTGAACAACTTACAGTGCTTGAGCACGTCATGGTGCAAGGTCTAGGGAGCGAACGTTGGAGAATATCAATCTGATAAGATCCGTGGGAGGCAGGATCATACGACATCTCGGAACCGAAACGTGCCTCCTCGGCCCCAAGATCTGGGGGTTGAGATCAAAGCGAAGGCCAGGTGGATGGAACCCCGATTTCCCCGCAAAATGGCGAACAGGGCTGGCCACGCTGGCTGGCAATGCTCGGTCCGCCGAGTCGGGCTCGGGAGCGGGCTTCGCGAACGCCGTTGAGCCGGGTCAGACGGACAGATCAGACAAGCCGGTCCCTGAGGCTAGCAGGAGGATCTGTGCCCGCCAGGCTGTGGCTGTCAGGCTCACTGGCAGACGGGTTACGTTATTGAGATCGGCGAGAAATTCTCGCTGCAGGTCCAGGTGACCGACGGTTGTACAGGTTTTTGGTGATCTACCTGTTGCAGGTTTGATGCTGGAATAGTTGATGCAGGATCCTTCCAGCGACAGATCCAAAAAAGCATTCCCCCCTGTCTGAGACACTGTCTCCTCTTGGCCGTCAAAAGTCGAAGTACCTTCCTGCTAATGTGGCTTGCTAGGTGGTGGATGATGTGTGACTGCGACTTTCACAGGACAGGTTCCCTCTAGCAGAGATGGAGCACACCCTCATTCCCAGGCGGCTGGGCTCGTGCCGCGCAGCGCTCCGGCTTCTTCCTGGGGGCAGACGCCGGGCTGCCAATGGGAAGCCAGCCGGTCGTCTGTCAGCCACCGGATTGCAGAACCGGTATGCTGGGAAACCCCACGCACGAAGGGCAGTTCTGACAGGCCTGACGGGAAGCCCCCTGTAGCGGGCTTGCTGTGGTGCCGGCTTCTTTTCTTCGCTAGAAGACGCAGGAAACGCGCTAGGGCGGGATTGAGAGTGGCAGCGGCGCAGCGCGTCCGAGAGTTCCGTCTGCCGCAGACTTCAGGCCAAGACGACTGGGCGATGATGGCCGTCATCATCGTAGAAATTGTGGCAGCCTGACACCCTGAATAGTCTGGGGTATGATGCCCTGGGGCCGGTGAGGACAGATTGACAGGTTCTACGCCCGCATGTGCACATGCAAACGTAGGCGTCGTTGGTCACGGTCGGACAGAAGGAGGGTGGTCTCTAGCCGATCGAGGGAGGTAGACCATGTACTGTACTGTGAAGTCCATCTCGTGCCCGTTCCCGTTCCCACCCCGTCATGTACGAAATACTGGTCGTGGGGCCGAGAGAATTTCAAATACTGAATCCACATTGGTGTCAATGGGAGCCAATCGAGGAGACGGCATTCTGTGCTCTATCTGGCAAGCGGGAAATTGGAGCATCTGTCTTCTTCCGTGTTCTTGATGCCTCTTGTTGGCAAAAAGAAGGAACATGCTTTGTGGACAAGCCCAGGTGCCCAGGTACTCAGGTACTGGGATGCCAGCAGGTTGCAGGCCTCAGGGCCAACATGTGCCAAAGTCCGTAAAGTCCAGGGCTCACTGTCTCATCCACAGGGCCTGCTTAGCCTGCCACACTGCCCCCAGGCTCCGAGTCCTCCCTGCAAGTGCTCCGGGACGTTTTCATGCGGCCAATCAGCAGCCTCATGGGCACGCTCCTTCCCCCTGTCGGTCCCACCCACTGCCAGACCCCACAACAAGGTTTGGGAAGGAGCACCTACTGTATGGGGTACCTAGGTACTCTGGTACTGCGCAGGCCTGCAGGCAAGAAAGAACTGCGAGTGTGTGACTCGTCGCCTCCGAATTCCCAGTCGCAGAGCCCGATGCGATTTTCATATCACCCCCCCCCCAAATTTATCTCCCTCCTACGCCTCCCCTCGATCTGATTCCCCCTTCACTCTCTCCTACATTTCACAAAAAACCCTTCCAAAAGGTCAATACACCCTACCTGAATAGCGCGTTTGTTTGATGTCTTCGTTGGCATCAAATGAACCTGCAGTTGCGCTTTCACTTTTTCCCCCGAGTAAGTCCAGTCCAAACCCACTCTTCGTTTGTCTCGGTTCCACCCGAGTCCATGACGTTCTCTGTACTGCGCGTACCTCGAGAATGTTTTTTGTCGCCCGGCCAAGACCCAAACTTTTGGGTGCAGATCTAAACCGCAGCATCGTCGAGGCGACGCAACCCAGCACACTTTCCCACATGCAATCCCTCACGACTGCATCCCAATATTTGTTTAATTCCTGGTCAATTCAAGGCAGAATCAAACAATATCTTGCCAAATGCACGCGTTGCTGACCGGAATTGCCGATATCTATAGTCCCCCCACTCTAAAGGCTTCACCTAAATGCCTGGATCTATCTACAACAATTTATACACGAACTTTATCCGTTCTGGGTTCACCAAATCTTTCACCCACGGCTACGCACAGTCTGTCGTAGCTGCTACCCACCCTCATGTTCTAAACTCCCAGAACCGGCCGTCCTTTGCGGCCCGGAAACGCCAGTCCACAAATCGCCTCAGTCGTCTGCAGCAGCTTCAGAGCGCCTTCCATACCAGCGCCCACCAGTCCTCCAGCCTCCCGACCGAGCATCGGCACGAGAAGCTCGCCAACAACCATGGAGGGCTAGACGCCTACTTCGAGAACCTCCAGAAGAAGCAGTCCGCCGAGGACGAGGAGGAGAATGAGTGGGTCCAGTACCGCTTCCAGGACAAGATCGAGTGGAAGCCCTCGCCGGCATCCATTCTACTTGGTTCTGAGGCGCGGACACTTGAGGCGAAGGAGGCTGATGAAGATGGCGTCAGCGAGTCTGCTTTCTCGGAAGAGGAGCAGGCCGCCCTCGCCCACATCGATGCTGCCCTTGCCAAGGAGATTGAGGCCAGGCAGCATCTAGCTGGCGAGGATGTCGGCGCATCGACGTCTGCCCCTGAAAAGGCCGCTGAGCCTCTCTCGCCGGCAAGCGTCGCCCGTTCCGTCACACCACCGGTTGATCCACAATCCCAGAGCTACGCGGACCACCTCACTAAGCTCTCCGAGACGGGACGATATGCCGAAATCCCAGCTGTCTTCGAGGCCATGTTGGTGGCCAGCATCCAGCCCTTGGCCACCTCCTACAATGCCCTTCTCATGGCCGCCATTCATCTTCCGGCCGAGAAGATTGAAATTGTCTCCAAGGCACTGGACGTTTACACCGACATGATGCGCCGAAAGGTTTCCCCGGACAGCGATACGTACAACATCCTGGTCGGTCTGCTGGCCGCCCGGTCACTCGAGGTCTCCTCCTTGAAGAAGAGGCTCGAGGACAAGCGCGCTCGGTATGGCGGCATGGACGAGCCTGGCAAGTTCATGTTCGCATCTTCCGAACTCGAGCACGCAATTCTCTCCGAGGATGACCGGCTGTATTTGGCCATTAAGCTGTTCAAGAACTCCGTTGCTTGCCAGCGGGATTTGTTCTCGCCAGAGACTTACCACCAGCTGATCTCGGCATGCGCTCAGTCTGGTCGCGTCTCCGACATGCTCCACCTCTACGAGCACATGGAGACTAACAAGGCTACGCCATTCGCTGCGACATTCCCGGCGATGATCACCGCCTTTGCTAACTGTGGAGACCTGGTCAGCGCTGTAGAGTGCTATAGCGAATACCGGACCCTTGCCATCGCCAACGACAACGGCGAGGCCACCCTCAACGACCGTCTCGATGCTCAGGTCTATGCAGCAGTCATCAACGCCTACATTGTCTCAGACAAGCTCGAAGGTGCCATGAAATTCTACAAGAAGATCGTGCACGAGTATGGCGTACGGGCCGCGAGCATCAAAGATGCTATCATTAGCCTTGGTTTCGTGAAGGGTTTGGTTCATCGCGGCATTTACCAAGAAGCTCTCCGATGGGCTCAGGCTATCGAGGACGAGTCACGGGCCCAGTCCATGGCCGAGCTTACGGTGTCTTCGGCGGACAATGGCGACAAGCTCACAGCCATCGCCGCGTTTGCGAACATTCCCATCACCTTCAACGACATCGCCACCCCAGCAACGGCCCTTTTGGCACTAAGCATTCGTGGTGGTGAGGTGATGGAAGCATGGCGATATTGGCAGATCCTCAGCAGCCCTGAGACTGCCGTTAATGCTTCCTTCATTGAGCCTACTGCCATGTTCGCCGTCGCATTGATCGGCTCTGGACAGGTTGTCGAAGGTCTGAACGAGGCCGAGGCGATGTTCCACCGGATCCGCTCGTCCAACCCGGACGATGCGCACCTGGCAGCCGAGGTCGAGGAGGGTATGGACTTTGTCTCGCGCTACATGACTTCTCGGGGCATCACCGATCCCCGAGAGTTGGCGGCTTCTCAGACTAGTGCTCCCTCACCATACCAGTCAACACCTTCCGTCTCAAGTTACGAAGACACGTTCGACCCATACGCCCATAACACCGATTTCAAAGGCTCGTCGCTCATATCCGACGAGCTAGAAGGTGCTCACGGCCGCAAGGGCCCTAAGCTGAACGATGCGCTTGCCCGATTCCGCAACATGCGTCGAGCTGGCCGCCACCCTCGGTACATCACCTACGCCAAGCTCATCTCTGCCGCCGCCCGTGACGGCAAGATGGAGACGTGCAACGATATCCTCAACATGGCTCGCACTGATGTTCCATTGCTACCTCAGTATGCCGTTGTTCGTTATGGATGGTCATCAATCCTGGACTCGATGGTGGGTGCTTGCCTCAGCCTCGGCTACAGAGGCCAGGCCGAGCAGTACCACCAGGAGCTATTGGACATGGGCGCCACTCCGTCGGCCAACACCTTCGGCTTGTACATTACCACGCTCAAGGAGTCTACCAAGACCTTTGATGAGGCCTCCGAGGCGGTGAAGATCTTCCACCGCGCCAAGGCTGAGGGCGTCGAGCCGAGTTCCTTCCTCTACAATGCTCTCATTGGCAAGCTGGGCAAGGCTCGCCGTATCGACGACTGTCTGTTCTTCTTCGCTGAGATGCGCGCCCTTGGTATCAAGCCAACCTCCGTCACATACGGCACCATTGTCAACGCCCTCTGCCGAGTGTCTGACGTGAAGTTCGCCGAGGAGCTCTTCGATGAGATGGAGGCCATGCCAAACTACAAAGCTCGGCCTGCACCTTACAACAGCATGATGCAGTTCTTCCTGACCACCAAGCGCGACAAGTCCAAGGTCCTGGCATACTACGCGCGCATGAAGGCAAGGGGAATTTCGCCAACCGCCCACACTTACAAGCTGCTCGTTGACACGCACGCGACTCTTGAGCCTGTGGATATGCAGGCTGCTGAATCTGTTCTGGACAGCATTCGCGCTAGCGGTGGCAAGCCTGAGCCGGTGCACTTTGCCTCGTTGATCCACGCCCGTGGTTGCGTTCTCCATGACATGGCCGCAGCCCGGAAAACCTTCGACCAAATTATCAACGACCGCAGTATCACCGCGACGGCATCCCTCTTCCAGGCATTGTTCGAGAGTATGGTGGCCAACCACTGTGTTGCTGACACTGAACCACTTCTCATGGAGATGCGCCGGCGGAAAGTCGAGCTGACTCCTTATATCGCGAACACTCTGATCCATGGATGGGCTTCTGAGGGCAACATCGCGCGTGCCGAGGATATCTATGGCGCCGTTGGACGTGACCGCCGCGAGCCGAGCACGTACGAAGCAATGACTCGCGCATATCTCGCTGTTGAAGACAGGGAGAAGGCGAGATATATCGTGTCAGAGATGATGGGACGGGGTTACCCCAGTGCCGTCGTCGGGAAGGTGGTGGAGCTCGTAGGTGGTGGCGAGCACGAGGCTGCAGCTGTTTAAACCACGTACCTGAGGATGCGAACTCACTCGATCGACTCTGTTCTCCATTTCCTTTGTGTCGCGCCTCTGATTTGCTGTCTTGTTTGATACCCCTTGATACGGTGCGTGAAACAACAACGGGGGAATGACGACGGACGAGAAACACTGTCCGGTGGACGTACAAGAGCAAAGGGGTGTCTATGACCGTGAGGCCGGCACGTGTTGGCTATATCTTTTCTATCCAATTTTCCTATGTCTTGTCATTACAGCGGGCGTCGGTGTGTTGAAAATTGGATCAAACGGCCGCGCCCACGAGGCATGCTGGCTGAGGGATGGCCTAGGATGGAATGGTCTATCTGGTTGGTTGGGTCTGGTTGCCCAACCTGGTGAGGTATCGTCGTGTACGGATGGAAGGAAATTCCGGCATGGGACGCTTTTGTTTTTGTTATTTGAAGCAGTCGAGGCACGATCTTCCTGCTCGCATCTGTCGCCATTGGCGGCGTATAGACAAATCTCTACTCTGCATATCAGCAAGAAAAAGACATGGACATATTAAACAAGCGATGGGCGAATGGAACGGAATATTTGGCATGGCGGCTGGTCTCGGGTCGGTTGGGTCGGTCATCATCTGGATGAGGGGAATGTGTACTCGGGTACGGCAGGCATCTAGAGATGATGGGCGGCGGCGACGTTGGGACGTTGCCTGTGTATATTACATAGAGCCATCGTTGGTAATGATAAATGTCCAACGGCAAGTTGGTGTCTTTATCCAAACAGATGACTTTCCGGAAACTGGCCTGGGACTTATGTGATTGTGATTGCTGATACGTCCAGTTCAGTCGGTTGGTCAATGTATAAAGCCAGACATGTGACGCGTGATGGAGAAGTGAGACGTTGAGCAATACAGTAGAGTCCTGAGATTTCACCAGACACAAGGAGAGAAGGACAATGATGACCGATCGGGCGCGGGGATAAAAGGGCCGCTATATTGGCAAAGGTTTATGTACATGAGAGAGACCAGAGAAGGAGAACAGAAAAATCATCGTCGCTAATTGTGCTATATCCACCCCATCTATGCAATATTGAACTCGCTGGCCGCGTTCATCTTCCTAAGCATCTCCTCCATCTTCCTCTTGGCAGCCGCCGCATCCACGTCACCACCGTCCGCATCGTCCATGAAGTCGGCCTTCCTCTTAGCACCGCCGCCAGAGCCAGCAGAAGCGTTGCCGCCAGCCTGCTGCTGCTGCGCGCCGGCTCCCTTCTTGTGCGTGCGCTTCTGCACGCCCCCTCCGATGCCGCCCGGCGCCTCCCTCAGCCCGTAGCTCTTGGCGATGTGGCCCAGGTGCAGCTGCTGGATGTCGAACACGTGCCGCTCCTCCTTGACGTGGGTGGCGTAGGCGCGCACGTGCGACCTGAACGCCTGCCGGGCCGAGTCGATGATCGCCGCCCCGGAGCCCTGCTGCGGTTTCGGCGCCGGCGTTGGCTTCCTGCCGCCCTTGGTCGGGGCTGGCTTGGGCGGCTCCGACGCCAGGATGCGCTGCTCGAGGTGCAGCTGTAGGGCCTCTGCCCTGGCGTGTGGGGATTGTTTCTGTGGTGGTTGCTGTTGCTGTTCCTGCTCCTCCTCGTCCTTGCCCGGGACGGGAGGAAGCGCCACTGAGGTGGAAAAGCCCTTTTGAAGGACAGTCTCGTAAGACTGGGCTACCGCCGGAGGCGTGGTAGGCAACATGCCGATGTAGCCTTCCTCGCAGCCGGGCAGCAGGAACAAGGCGGCCTTTCCGGGCCGCCCTGCACGAGCCGTACGCCCGATACGATGGACATGGTCCGCAATGGCAAAGGCCGGGTCATACTCGATGATTAATTCCACGGCAGGGACGTCGAGACCTCGAGAGGAAATGTCGGTTGTGATGAGCACAGCAGGGTCTTTGCAGGTTGAGAAGGAGCGGAGCGTCGAAGTGCGCATCTGCTGGTTGAGAGAGCCGTGGAGCTTGTGAAGCAGGACGGTCGGGTTGGCCGGGGACGTAATGTAGCCAGCAGGATGTACAGTTGTGGCCGTGTGATCTGGTTTGCCCTGTGAAGTCTGCGCTGGCAGTTGCGCTGACGTAGTGGACTTGAGTATGTCGAAGTGGAAATCAACCGAGTCGGCGCAGGATATGAAGACGATTGCCTTCATTACAGAGCCTTTCCGTGCGAAAGCGTCCTTCAGGAAGGCGATGAGTGTGACCAAGCGCAGTTTGGCTGGGACAACCAGATATGTCTGCTTCAGCTGAGCCGGTGCGGCGAAAATCGCTTCTGTCTTCGCATTTTCTTCGGCGTCGTCCTTGGAATTGGAGGCAGTTATGAGGACAGCGTCCTGCAGACTGATCTCGCCGAGCTTGTTGACATTTGACTTCATCGTTGCGGAACAGAGGACTGTTACCCTTCTCTTTGGCATGGCCTTTGTGAGCAACACGCCCTCCTTGTTCTTCTCCTTCAGTGGCTCCTCTCGGATCGCTGTCACGATCTGTTTGAGATCTTGTTCGAAACCCATCTCCATCATCCTATCACCCTCGTCAAGTATGAGCCACCGAACTGTTCCAACATCGAGAATCTTGGTGTTCTCCAGGTGATCTGTCAGACGGCCAGGCGTGGCGACGAGGATATTGCAGCCCTTGCGAATACGAGCCTTCTCCGAGTGCTTGCTCTCGCCTCCCATGACGGTGGTGCTAACGATCCATGGGCAGCAGCGCAGTAGCTTTTCCAACACGACAGATATCTGCTTGCACAGCTCTCGAGTCGGCGCAAGAATAATGGCAAATAAGCCCGAATTCCTGTGTACATTCGCACCCGTAGTACTCCCATCATCGTTGCGGCTCAGGGCTACGATCCGTTGCACTATTGGAAGTAGATATGCCAGAGTCTTTCCGGAACCTGTCTGCGCCTGCAGGAAAGCGTCGTCGTCCCCCTCGACGAGCTGCGGTATGGTGTTCTTCTGGATCGACGTGGGCGCCTTCATCTCGAGCTTCGACGACAGGTGCTGGGCTATCCTCCGCGACAAGCCTAGCGCATGGAAATTGGAGGCCTCCTCGGACAGAGGCGCATTCGAAGGAGCCGCCGGCTCGGGCTCGTTCGCCGGGGCGGCGTCATCGAAGACGGTCTTGGCCGTCGGGTTGTAGGTGAAGAGCTTGGAGGTGACTTGGAACGGCTTAGAGGGGTCGTGGTGGTTGCCGCCCGGGCGGCTGGTGGGCCCATGATCGGTCCTTTGTCGCTTCGGAGGTCGATCTGAGGAGAAACCAGCGGAATGTTGAGCAGAGGCACCGTCGGTGGGTGGGGGTTTCGATGTCGAGCCCGTCCTCTCGTTCTCGCGGGCAGTGTCCTTCTTCTGAGCACGGCGGCGATCTCTCCAAGAACCTCCGACATATTTGACCTTCTTGGCAGCGAATGAGCTGTCCCCAATAGGGGCCAGGTTGAGGACCAGATCATCAGCCATTGTCGTTGCGGTGTTGTATGGCCAGTCGTGAAGACGAGGGGACGGGAAACAGAAAGTCTCTGTTCCCATACGAGCGGCACCCGAGTCCTGGGGACGACGAAAATTTAGTGGGCCTTGGATCTATCCCCGCCTATCGGTTGGTCAGGGCCCACTCTGCGCCGCCTGGGCTGGACCTTGCAGCTATGCGACATGGGATTTATTTCTCTCGTCAAAGTGGGAACCACGGTCAAAACCGCGAAGACGATATGCCAATCACAAAATATCATATCCAAGTAGTCTGCACGCACATTATGTATGTGCAGCGTTGCGTCAACATCCGCTGTAATGGGAGGGCTCTGTTATGCGGTCTTCTTTTCTGGACTCGACGTGGACAACATGGCTCCAGATGCCAGGCAGTCTTTTGAACTTCAGCATTGAACCCAACTTAAACGCAAATGAAAGCGTGAATTAACACTTTAGGGTATCTTCACACCTCAATTACCAGACCCGTTCCTGATACAAAGCTCAAAACATCAGACCACCCACTCCCAGACCGACACCCAACCCCAGCAGCGGAGCCATGCCCAAGCCACCGCCGTAGCCGTACCCATATCCGCCGCGGCCGTACGGCCTGCTGTACGGGCCGACCGGCCTGGCGTACATGTTCCCAGGGCCCGCCATCATCCCGGGCGGACCACCAAAGTACCCTCCCCTGTTCCAAGGGTTGACGAGGCGAGCGTTGGGGTGCCCGCGCAGGCCCGGCGCGCCCTGCGGGGGCTCGATCCAGACCTCCCTGCCCTCGCCGTCCCTGCCCAGCAGCTGCGGCTCGCCCGTCTCGACGGCGCGCGCGATCTGGCGCCGGATGTGCTGGTGCTGGTAGTAGGCCTGCCTCTCGGCCTCGGCGCGCCTCTCGCGCTTGGCCGCGCGCTCCTGGTGGGTCGAGCTGGTGAGCTTGTCCTTGAGCTTGCGGCCGAACTTCTCGGGCCCGGAGAGCTTCTCCGGGCCCGTGTCCAGGAACCCCGGCTGCTGTTGTGTCGCTGTGGCTGCCGCTTGGCCGTGGGTGCGGGCGGTGTCGTCGTCGCTGCTCTCTGCCTCGATGTCGGCGAGGCTGTGGACGCGCTGCATGCTCTTTATTCGCTCTCGCTCTTGTTCAGGTAAGGAGGCTAGGTACTGCTCGTCGTCATGAGGATGGTGCCAGATTGAGCGGGGCGGGGTGGCTCGCGTGTCGACGAAGAATTGGTGATGCGTCTGTTGGTCGTATTGTCTCACCCAGCCTTCTGGAAGACCTCGGGCCGAGTCCTCCATGCTACGTCGCTCTTCAGGTGGGATTCCATTGCGAGTTCGCAAAGGTACGGTGAGGTTATTTGTGTCTTGGGGAGGAACGCCTGCAGTGTGGGCTGCCTGGGGCTGCGATGAGCTGGAGGAGCTTGCCTCGTAGGGTGGAGGAGGATCTTCGTATGATGGCATGATGGTTTTGAGAATTTCAATTCCTAGGTTGAATACGACGGTGATTTGATGCAGAAGTCAGAAATAACGGCAAATTCACAAAAAGTTGGTCCTATGTAATGGGTGTGCTGTTGCATGTGCTTCGCGCCTGCACTGTATGATGCCGTTGCGCATACATGACGTCAAAAAGGTACATGAGCTGTAGGTTTGAGCAGCACATAACGGCACTTGGACTCGACGGCCACTTTCAAAAGTGCCTCCAGCTGGAAGTTTGGAGTACATTAGAATTCGACACTAGGTCACTCCATCTACTGATGACTTTTGCATAAATTGAAAAGCAATCAATGGCTTTGTCAGAAGTAATTGGTGACCGTTTCCCCGAGCGTACCTGACCACTGTGAGCTTACCATAATCAAGCCATGTGGCTTGTTCGTTAGGTGTATCTAGGTTTGAGGACATTTGCCGTTGGATGAGAGGACAACTATCTGTCTTGTTGAACAAGTTCAGTCCAGCCTTTGAATTGCGCCGGGAGATCCACGAGAGAAAGAACCGCCCTGGCCATGTGGAATGCTTGACACTGCCCAGATGGGAGCCACCGAATACCGGTAACATTGGGAGATTGACGAAATGATAGGAAAGTGCACGCTGAACAAGACTAGTGTGTTTGCATCGCTCAGCTTGATACTGTAGCTGAACAGCTTAACAAGCTCCAGGATGTCATATTTACAGTAGATATCATAAATCCAAACTCGACGCAATGCCTGTACTACTAGGGTTAGGATTGGCCACGAACCCCCAGATCCAGCCCCCGGGCGGGCTTCACACTATGTGACCCAGACAGCCTCACTGCCTGTGCTTGAGCATAGACACAATCAGACCTGGCATAGAAGGTGTATGCCTGACTACCATATTAGAGTGCTCTTCCGTCATTGGCTATGGCGTGTTGCCATTTGAGGCGCCATAAAGCAGTCGCCCACGTCGTAGTCGCCGCGACGCCGACCTTCTTGAACGCACTACTTGGGGTAGCATTTGCACTCACTCTTATGCGTAACAAAAAAGTCCATGCCCGACACTAGGCCCGTCATCGTGACTTCACCTTCCTTTGGCCGGCTTGGGTGCATGTCAAAGCCGGCGGATTTGAGTTCATCGGCAGCGCTGAGCGGCTAGCCAGCCATGGCCACAGCACAGCAGAACACGGCACGGGACAGCACATCGTACAGCACCAGGCTGCCAAGGACGAGCTCGTCCGCACGCTCCGGACTAGCTGAGCTGAAAAAAGAGTCCCAACTCTGGCTCAATCAGGATCCTGCATGTTTCTGTCTGTGTAAGTACAGTAGAGTGAAAAAAGGGGCGCAAGCTTGACTGAAAAGGGGCCAGACTCATGCAGGCCTGCCCCGCAGTCCCACAGTCCCCGTAGCTTATTGCTGTGTGCATATCACAGTGCGTACCAAGACATGCCCATGCATGGACTGGGAGCTTCTTTCCCCAATCGAGCTCCCCTCCATCCATCGTTGCCCGAGATCACCGTTAACTCCCATCCGTGCCTGAAGATCCCACGCCGCTTGGGTGCACCCATACCTGGGATTAAACTTTGAGCATCGCCGCTGTCGTCATTGAGGGCATCGTGCTACTCACATAGGGCAAACCCAAGCACTGGATCTGGCGGGGCCTTGCCGATCCCGCTCGCTTATTTCATATCCTCCCGCAGTCCGTCTGCCCGACCAAGCTGACATTGACCGAGACTCTCCTGTCCTGTCCTGTCCTGTCCTGTCCTGTCTTGACCGTACTGTATCTATCCATTGTGCTGCTCCCGGGTGCCACCGTGACCTGCATCGGCATTGGTATCCCACCAGATTGTATCCGGGATCCTGCATAGCAATCAGTCAACCCCCGTCTCGATTTCAAGAAACAGAACCATGACCGTCCAGTCCGAAAACCCGACGACCGCCGTGTCCGCCCCGGGGAAGGTGCTGCTGGCCGGCGGCTACCTCGTCACCGACAGGGACTACACCGGCCTTGTCTTCGGCCTCGATGCCCGCATCAACGTCGTCGCCCGTGGCATCCCCACCTCAAAGGGCGTCCAGCTGACCGAGATTGTCGTCGAGAGCCCCCAATTCGTCGGCGGCATCTGGCGGTATGGCTATCATCTCGCCCCTGAAGACGGCGGCATCACCGTCACCCAGCTGCAGGTGTGAGTGACGTCTCATCTGGGAAGCACCTGCCCACATGCTTCAGCCTCAAAACCTTGTTCCATCCCTTACCCCCTCTTGCCTCACTGCTTGCAATGGGCCACACTCATGTGCATTCGCCGTCGTGTCCCGTGAGAGACATGTGCCCAGTCAGCTTCCAGCCGGCTATTCGACCACGCCAGCTCTATGTTCACTCATCTTCTCCTCCCCCTGGACTCTGATCGCAACTAACCACCACAAAAGCGGCTCATCGTACCAGCCCAACCCCTTCATCGAGACAACTCTCAGCTACGCGCTCACATACATCTCCCGCGTCGCCCACCAGCGGCCCTCACACAGCATCCGATCCGCCAGGCTCACCATCCTCGCCGACACTGACTACTACTCCGCCGCCTCATCATCACCATCAACAGAATCCACAGCCAGCCCATCCAGCAACAGATTCATCCCCTTCGGCACCACCCTGAAGGACGCCAAAAAGACGGGCCTCGGCTCCTCCGCGGCGCTCGTCACCAGCCTGACCGCCGCCCTGCTGTCCCACTACCTGGGCCCCATCCACTTCGACCTGTCCACCGACAAGGGCCGCACCGTGCTGCACAACCTCGCCCAGGCCGCCCACTGCCGCGCCCAGGGCAAGATCGGCTCCGGCTTCGACGTCGCCGCCGCCGTCCACGGCAGCTGCCTGTACCGGCGCTTCTCCCCCTCGGTCCTGGACGCCGTCCCGCAGCCGGGCCAGCCGCACTTCGGCACCAGGCTGGAGGAGGCCATCAGGGGCACCAAGTGGGACACCGAGATCCACAAGGACAAGGTCAGCCTCCCCCGGGGCGTCGCCATGCGCATGGTCGACGTCGAGTGCGGCTCCCAGACCGTCGGCATGGTCAAGGCCGTCAACGCGTGGCGCGCCGCCGACCCGGAGGGGTCCAGGGCCCTGTGGGACGAGCTGCAGGGCCGCAACGAGGCCCTCGCACGCGTCCTGGCCGACGGGAAGGTGGACGACCTGCCGGCCGCGCTCAAGGCCAGCAGGGAGCTCGTGCGCGCCATGGGCTCGCGGTCCGACGTGCCCATCGAGCCCGAGTCCCAGACGGAGCTCATCGACGCGCTGTCGGCCGTCGAGGGCGTCTACGGCGGCGTGGTCCCCGGGGCGGGCGGCTTCGACGCCGTGTCGCTCCTGGTCAGGGACGACGAGGAGACGGTCGCGCGGCTGGAGCGCTTCCTCGAGGAGTGGTCCGCCAAGAATAAGGACAGCAAGGTCAAGCTGCTCGGTGTCAAGGGCGAGCTGGAGGGCGTGAGGATCGAGAAGCTGAGGGAGTTTGACGGGTGGCTTTCCTGATGCGTGCTTGCTTTTCTGGGCACGCACAGTCTCGCGGGGTTCTTCTGCCGTTGGAAACCTCTTTTTTACTTTTTGCTGCTCGAAAGAAATGGGAGGCTGCGTGTAATTTGCCCGTATATACCACGAGACCCAGTCGGGCGGATAAGGGAAAAGCAAAGTGGATTTCAAGGCCGGTCTTTTGTGTCAGTCAGTCACTCAGCCATCGAATCGAAATTTTGTTTGATTCTTAAGCTTTGCGTGCTTTGCGTGCTTTGCATTATTGAGGTTGGCATCAGCCCCAACTGATATGTGAGTAATGCTACAGTAGTTCGTCTCAAAAAAGATCGTGTCTCATGGCCCGGACATCCCGCCCTTCTACCACCAAAAAAAGCTTTCTCTTCTATCTGACAGCCGGTATCAGGGTGTCGATTCCAAAAACGAGTGGAAGAACAGAATGATTGGTTTTCCTACTTTTCCTCCCTCTCTCCCCGGCGACCCCCAAGCTTCAAACCACCATTTTCTGTTCTGCCTGGGCTGGGTTCGGAAAGCCAGCTGCTGCCTGAACATCGTAATGAAAGTTTGTGGTTCCCCGAGCCGTGGGTCCAGATGTGTCGGTTTGCTAATTCTAATCTTCCTTCGTCGCTCTCCCGTTCGAGGCGAGGTCATAATCATTCCAAAAAAAAAAGGGCAAAACACAAGGTAATTATGCCGTTCACTCGTTGGCAGTTCATGATCGTACAACAGCCGTATGCGGGGCTGCCTGCGTTTGTCATTGTGAGAGGTTTTGCAAGTCCAGTAATCGCAACATTAATCAAGCAACACCAGGCTCTATCGTCTCGTTGCGGTGGTAATAGTGATGATAGTCCAGCTCCTGTCGTCCGGTCCACAAAGAAAGTGCGGTGGTCCGTGGGAAGGAAGAAGGAGAGGGGAGAGAAGGATCTCTAAGCTAGATGAGGGTCTCCTTGCCCAGGTCGCAGCCGTGGTCGCTCCCGCCGCTCGTCGACGACGCCGTCGTGTGGCTCAGCTGCGAGGCGCTGTCCTCGGCCGCAAACGACTGGGTGATGGAAGGTCGTGAGGCACTCAGCGGGGAGGACGTGAGGCCGCGGTAGCCCGCTCGGGTCTTGTTGGTCCGGGCCGGCTTCTGGTGGAGGTCGTGCTGCTGCTGCTGCTGGGCGAGCTGGGCGTCGATGGTGGAGAAGCGGCTGGCGATGGCTTTCTCGCGGAGGACCTGGAGCCTGCAAGCTGGCGTCAGCATTTTTGGTCGGGTGTGTGCCGTCTCGGGGAAGGGTGGCTGGCTGGCCAATGTATCTGCGAGGTGGTGCTTGACAGCTTGGGACGCAGTTAAGATGGGGAAACGTACTCATCCTCGCTGAGACCTTTTATGTTCGTCGTGACGTGCCTGAATGCGAAGGGCTCGGACTATTCTGCGGTCAGTATTATCTCAGACTGACAAAAAGTTGAACAGCTGGCAATGCCTTACAATCTGGATTGAGCGTCTCTTCTTCTCCTTCCGCAGGCGACGGTTGACCACATTCTTCACCACACTCTGGACTCGCGCGAGGCGCAGCTTGAAGGAGTTGCAAACTTGCATTTTGGATGGTGTTGGGGATTCCTTGGACGAATGAAAGGCGAAAGCTGGCGAGTCGATATCGATATTCGTGACTTGGGTCCTGAGTGAGTGGCAGTTGGGGGTTGGAAGAGAGTGTGGCAAAGTTGGCTGGGACGAAATACCAAAGTCGAAAAGAGGGGACGACTCGTTGGTAAAAGAGAGTGGTGATGCCCCTGTGGAAGAAGCGAAGGCGAAGGAAGGGAAGCCTTTTCTCTGCTGCTTTGGGTGGTTGGTCGAAGGGAAGGTCGAGGTGGGAGATGGCGTAGCAGACAAGGCTGGCCATGCAGCTGGATCGGGCAAACGATTGACAGGCACAGGAGGATGCTTGATGCCAAGTAGATCGAAAAGATGGGGCGAAGTAGGACTAATAGCTTGCGATAGGGTTTAAAGCAGCGGAATACACAAGCGAGCAAGACTCGGACGCCAAAGGGGTGCAAAGCAAATGAGCTCGATGATATCGAACAAAGGAGTGGCCAAGAACGACCAGTAGAATATGATACATGCCGCGAAGAGGGGTTTTCGAGGACCAAATGTCCAAATCAAGAAGTGATTGCCTTTATTCACAGGAATACAAAGGAAAAGACTCGAGGATGACGGCCGGGCTACTGCGCAGGTGGTGCGGAGGTTGACACCTTGCCGCCGAAGAAGAAAGCTCCAGACGGCACCGGTGTGGCTCGCTCGAGGGATAGACCGCTGCTGAGAACGATAAATGGGACCTGTAAAGGGGTGGTGAGTCGCCCTTCTCGGCAAGATGTGCTGGAATGTTGGGTTTGATATTGGGCGGCCTACGGCCATCCTGTGGAATGCACGCACCAAGGAGGAAGGACGCGAGGCAGACGCGTGCGTTTAATTGGATTTGAACGCGTTAGAGTTGAATCACGAGGGAGCGAGTGAGTGTAATTGAGATGAACAGTGCCGTGCATGTGGTGCGATTTGATCTAGGCTGCTCGCAAAGGCCATCCCTTGCCTCGGTCGACTTGTCATCATCTGACCTTATTTGGGGTAATCCTTCAGGTGGAAGCTCTTCAGCTTCACAAACTGATCGAATCCGAATCGGCTCAAGGTTTGTCCCTTGCCTGAGTTCTTCCAACCAGTCCACGCCAGATCCTGCAGGTGTCTCCGTCAGTGGTGGCGATTTCGTGAACGGGTCTCGATCGGCATAACTTACGCGACTGGGGAAATCACAACGATTCACAAACACGGTACCAGCTTCGACATCTCCGGCCAGCTCATACGCCTTATCAGTGTCCTTGGTCCAGATACTGGCGGTCAAGCCAAACTCGCTGTCGTTCATGAGCTTGACAGCCTCCTCGTCGTTCTTGACCTTCATCACAGGAATGACTGGGCCGAAGGTCTCCTCCGTCATGACAGCCATTTCGTGCGTGACGCCGGTCAGCAGGGTAGGCTTGACAAAGTTTCCCTTTGGAGGAGGGTTACTGAACGATTCGTTCTCAGGCGTCACGTCCTTCGCGCCTTTGTCGACTGCGTCTTTGACGTGTGCCTCAATGGCTGCCTTTGACCTCGTCGAGATGACAGGTCCAATGTTTGTGGTCTTGTCAAATGGATCGCCAAGCTTGTAGCTCTTGAGGACAACCTGAACGGCCTCGACGAATTTGTCGTGAATCGTCTCGTCAACATAGACCCGTTCGATGGAGCAGCAACTCTGGCCAGAGTTGAATATGGCTCCGTCGACAATTTCCTCTGCCGCCCAAGCAATGTCTACATCACTTCGGATATAGGCAGGGTCCTTGCCACCAAGTTCCAGGCCAACGTCCACAATGCGGTCTGAGGCTGCCTTTTGCACGGCAAGACCGCCGGCGACTGAGCCGGTGAAGCACACCAGGGATATCAAAGGGTTGCGAACGAGAGACTCGATCGTTGTGGGCGAGCCGGCATGGAAGTACTGAAGGACGCCTGAGGGCAGGCCTGCCTGGGTGAAGGCCTTGGAAACTTGCTCCACAATAGTAGGCGTCTGCGGCGACGGCTTCAGGATGACTGTGTTGCCTGAAAGAAGAGCAGGGATGAGAGAGTTAACAAGGATGAGGTACGGATACTGATAAGCCTGTCAGCATCTGGTTCTTGCCTTCTCAAGGATTTTATAGCCATCTCGCCACGGGATCAGTGGTAGGTGCTTGCAGATAACTCACGTTCCACGCGAAGAGGACAAGCACAGGCCCAACGGGGACCTTGCGAATAAACCTCTTGAATCCTTTCTCCGGCTCGCCATCAGTGTCCTTGAGCACCTCCTCGCTTATCTTGACAAGATACTCGGACCGGCTGATGGCTGTGGACACTTCCTTTGCTCCATAAGCAATAGGCCTGCCCATCTGGGTAGTCAACTCGAGGGCCAGCTCATCAGTGTTGTCGGCAAGCAATTTGAGCGCCTTCTTGATGATTTCCTGTCTCTCCGCCAGAGAGGTCTTGCTCCAAGTCTTGAAAGCCTCAGCGGAAGTCTTGGGCAGACTGTCTATCTCTTCAGCCGAGGGGCCATTGCGAGTGATGATGGCCTCGTTGGTGTTTGGGGAGATGGTCTGGATGACTTCGACAGACATTTTGAGTATGTTCAATGGCGCGGTGACAGGGAGCGTATGATTGTGGGATGAGACAGAGAAGGAAGAAAGCGTGTAACGCGTGCCAAGGGTCCTGGCAGAATCAAATGCAAATATAGCTTTTCCACGTCCTCGTGTCGTCTGCTTGGATTTCTGTAGCTTGTTATCCATTGCCTGCCCGACCCCTCCATCGTCTGCCCTGGATGACGCTGTCCCTTGGGGTCGCCCCACGGAGCCGATCTCGGCCACCTTCGATAAGATAAGAATTAGTGGGGTCCTGCAGGCCGAAACTTGGTATTTGTGGTCAGCAGCTGCATGAGCCCCACTGAAATTTCGAAGCAGCATCCTCGAAAGCCGCCAGATTATTTCCAATTCCTTTGACAGGCCGAATCAGCCCAGCACAATCCATATCTACCGCCCATACCGCCACTGATTCATTCAGCCAGCCGCTTCCGACAGTCAACCGCGTGGAAATCATATCATGGCGCCCGAGAAACGGAACCAATTCCTTGATGCCGAGGACAGTGACGATGGTGCCGTCCAGGACAACTCTGAAGACGAACTGCAAAAGGGTGGACGCACGGCAAAGAGGCGGAAAGTAGAAGATGACAGCGATCTGGACAACGAAGGGTCCAGTGATGAGGGCTCAGATGTCGAGGGCCGCGATAACGAACCTGAACAAGTCGAGAGCACCAAGCTACGAAAGCCAGACTCTGGGAAGAAGAGTCGGGGGGAGACACGGCCGAGGAAAGACAGTGACACACAGCCTGACGACATCCTACAAGTCAAATCCTTGTTGAAGAAGAATCCTGTCGCCACAGAAGCCGCCATCAAAAAGTCTGGCGTCATATACATCTCGCGCATCCCGCCGTTTATGAAACCCCACAAGCTGCGATCCCTCCTGTCAAATTACGGCACGATCAACCGCATCTTCCTCGCCCCCGAAGACCCGATGGCACACCAACGGCGGGTACGCAATGGAGGCAACAAGAAGAAAATGTACACCGAGGGCTGGGTGGAGTTCGTGAACAAGAAAGACGCCAAGGACGTGTGCGCGATGCTGAACGCGCAGACGATCGGCGGCAAGAAGGGGAGCTACTACAGGGACGACATATGGACGCTGAAGTACCTGAATGGGTTCAAGTGGCACCACCTGACGGAGCAGATCGCGGCGGAGAGCGCGGAAAGGAGCAGCCGCATGATGGCGGAGCTCCAGAGGGAGAAGAAGGGGAACAAGGAGCTCGTGGAGAGGGTCGAGAGGGCGAAGATGCTGGATGGCATACAGAGCAAGAAGGCCCAGAAGGGGAGCACGCATGACAGGGAAGCGGAGTCTCCTGCACCCGCGCCTACGTCAACGGTCGAAACGACTGGTTCCGAGAAGCCCAGGAAGTTCAAGCAGAACTCGCTGGCGCAGAAGAAGGCGACTTCATCAGCTCAGCCGCAGAAGGCGAGCAAGGCTCTCAGCAAGGTTTTCTAAGCCTGCCGGCCCAGGATGAGGATACCCATCTTTGTTTACTCCATAAGATGGCCTGGAACCTGTGGTTACGATACACTACACCGTCAAGCTGCAGTGCGGGCTGCCTTATAAATGCTCAGTTGAGAGATAGGCATTGCGCCGGGTTGCAATGTCCCCAGTGGAGCTGATGGGCAAGAGCTGCATGAAAATCCGCGAGTCTGCCTGTTGGTTTGTTTATGCCTTTCTACAGGCGCGACAGAAGTGATCATGCAGCTCATGATATGATCATGGCCTGCAGCGAGGGGCTGGACCTTGGTCATATCACGGACTGTCGCCTCACACGTCAGCTACAGGCCAAAGCACGGTGAGCCCAACCAGGTACAAAGTCAGGCGAGCATTCGGAAACTCCAAATGGCAGCCTCCCATGGTTTTTACTTGATGTGCTCGGATGAGCTCGAAGCATTGTATGTGGAGTACTTGACGAAGCCGCCTGACGAAGCGGGGCCTGTCTGGGTGGTTTCTACGGGCAAGGCGGTAGCAGAGACTGGGGACGGCCTTTGATGAACAAGGCCGACAACCCAAATACAAAGTTCAAAAGTCCGATTAGGCAGTCATGCATCATATTCATCTAATGCGCATGTTAACGCAGTTTTGAGCCATAGATAGAAAGCCCACTATGCTAGAATGGTCTCCTTGAAAACCTCATCCAGTTCGAGGAAATTTCTCTACTGTTGATCTTCCATCGTCATCTCCTCAAACTCATCCAACAACTCGTCCATATTCACCTTGGGCACATCGTCATCACTGTCGCCGGTGGCCTCCGTCTCCGCGACGCTCTGGCCGTCCACCTCCATCTCGCCCTCCTGCTTCTTCTTGTTCTTGTTGGTATTCTTGTAAAGCGCCAGGGCGGCACGCAGCTCCTCGTCCTCCTCGACGTCACGCAGGAACGCCTCGTACTCGTTGTCCAGGCGCTCCTGGTCGGCCTTCTTGGGCAGCAGCTCGCCCTCGTCCTTGTCCATGCGCTTGAGGCGCCACTTCCTGTTGCGGTGCTTGCGCTTGCGCGGGAAGTGCTTCTTGACCAGCATGACGTCCGGTATCCTCGAGCCGTAGGTGTGCGAGTTCTCGATCGCCTCGAACTGGGGGTTGTTGAAGTTGGTGCCCGTGAGCATGTAGCCCATGACCGAGTCGCCCGGGTTGAGGAAGTGGCCCAGGTGCGTCCGCACGTTGTAGGTCGTCTCCATGTTGTCCACCCTCGTCACCTCGACGTCCGCGACGAGCCACTTGCCCTTCTGGGGCCCCGTCGGCTCGATGTTTAATACCATGAACTCAACGAGTTGAGGTTGGTCGGAGAGGGAGAAGAATGGCACGCGCCAGTAGATATCGGGTCGCAGTTCGGCTGTTTGCAGGGTGTTTGGGTCGAGGAAGTTGACGGAAGTACCAATCTTGTGGCAAAGGACTAGCGGGGAGATGTTGCCAAGCTGCTTTGCCATGGTGATAGGAAGCGCGACGAGGTCATCTTTGCAAATTGGCACCAACTCGACGGAGAATGCGAATTTGTAGCTCTTTTTGGAGGTGTGAATGTCTTCGGAGATGAGCTCTTGACTCTTGGTGACATTTATTGGTACCACCGACTTCAGGAAGTCGACGAATTTCTCTGCTTGATTCCGTTGGGAAAAGAAGAAGTCGATACCGGCGTGTACCTCCTTGATGTTGATCGTATCCCGATGGGCGCCATGCTTCAGGATGAGCTGCTCCAGGAACAGGAACGTCCTCTTGTGAAGGACCTTCTGCCGCACCTGCACGCACGCCCTCCACACGTTGGCCGTGTATGACTTTGCGCAGTCGGGACACTGCTGGTAGGCGACAATATAGACGATCTCGAAGCTCTGCTGCAGGAGGACGCCATCTGAGACTTCATCTTGTACTGTGAGCTTGACTTTTATTCTCCTCGAGTGTGGCTCGGTCCAGATGAAGCTGGCGTCGATGATTCGAGTCTTTCCGAGGCCCCGCAGCTTCTTCAGACACAGGGCAAGCAGTTCTCTCGATTCTGGGGCGGCGACAAGCCAGCTGTTCGGGGGCAGGAGCCAACGGTCGCAGTCTCTGCAGAAGTTTAGGACGGCCTCCCTCTGGATTCCTTGTGATATGTCGTTGGTCAGCTTGACGCAGTCGTAGCAGAGTGCGCCGGCGGCTGTGGTTCCGTCGATGGGGGCTCCGCAGTTGCAGCAGAGGATGGTTGCGCCGTTCATGGCAGTCCCCGTGGGGGCCGCAATGGACACGGCACCTTCCATATCCACGTCCATGGTGACTTGGCTCGTGAGAATATGGTGCTTGTGGGAAAGGTTGCGATGTCTCGTCGAGTTTCTGCGTGTCGGCAAAGGGGATCAAAGCAATGGATGCGCTGCCGTCCCCTCCAAAAATTCCAAAGTCGCCCCGCCAAGTTTGGATTGATAAGCATGCGCCTGGGGCGATAAGACTTTTTCCAAGTCACAGAGGGGCGCTAGATCCACCTGCTCCGCCAGCCTAGACCCACCCTTCCGTCGCTTGCTAGCTCGTGTTGGTGAACACTTACTGTCATTCCAACCACCAGCCCCAGCACAACACACATGCTCTCTGACATCTCGTTTTTCCAAGACCGAAGCCAGAGAGCTGTTAGTCAGAGAAAGACAATGTGCGCAAGCATTCTTATTGAGCATAATTTACTAGCGGATACATGATCGTGGAATGAGCGCCCATTCCGATACTATGCTAATGCTGATGTTCAAGCCAAGTCTCAGATCACACATTTACCAACTACGTCTTGACGCTATTTCCCTCAAAAAAGCAGGTATCCAATGGCCCTGTTACAGAATGTCTCTGCCAGTATGAGAGACCACACCCTATACGCCATGCCATGTAAGGGAAAATGCGAAGCTAACAGAACCAGACGGTCGCTATGTCACTGACCGGACGGCGTCCTCCTCCCGCATACTTCGATGCATACCCTGTAGGACAATGATCAGCGATGGCACGGTGGAAGTGCTCGATGTTTGGTGAACTCACGTGGCCCATCTATCGCAACATCTATCACAACACCGGTCACAGCACCGGTCACAGCACCTATCGCAGCATCGATCACAGCATCGATCGCAGCACCTGTCGCAACACCGGTCACAACACCTGTCGCAGCAGCGGTCGCAGCATCTATCGCAAAAACGGTCAAAGAAGCACCAGCTTTCCCAAAAGTCGGAGAGGCAGTCCCAGATCCCTTCTTGGGATGTGCTGGTGTGGCGACTCCTCTGGAGCTTGCGGGACATGAGTGCCTCGACGTCGGACCTGCCAGGATAGGCATGGCATTCTGGGTGAGCATCGCCCTGGGTCCGGTCAGGCTGGTATCGTGCCGTCATAGGTGCGACGCTCTGTGGCTGCGTTGTCGTTGGTGTCAAGGGCTCGATCGTGTCATCGCGAGGAACTCCGACAACCAAGCGGAACGGTCGGGGTGCCATTACTGCGTCGGAAAGCCCTTGGTAGGAGAAGAGAAGTGGTAGAAGGTGCAGAGGTGATTGGCGCACAGAGAGAAGAGCGCACACTCCTCGCCGCCTGTCAACCAGATCGTCCAGAGATATTAAAGTGTCAACGGTTTCTCGGGACAATCAAGGCAAAAAGCCAATCTGCAAAGCCAATCCACATTAGCACTTCGGGTGCGGCGCTTGACGGCGTGGATGAGATGAAATTCGTGCTGATGTTTAATTCCTTATAAGGCGGGTTCTGGAAAAGGACAATCTCAATGGCTTCCTCGAAACACTATAGGTCGGAGGGCCTGTCTTCCTTGCATTTGCTCGGCAGAAGCACGGGTATAATATCAGACGGCCCTGCCAGCACGTCTAGGGTGCCACCAGAAACATTATAGATCTGTCGATATTAACAACGTTCAGCGCCTTCTATAACTGGAACGGCAGTTGATGTCAACGACGGTGCCTTGTGAGTATTGGATCATGCTATGGTCTTTGCAGTATCCTGATGTTGTCAGTTCAATCGAGCGCCAACGCTAACTGTACTACCTACTATGTAGGTACTATGTGCAGACAGATCAACCGCCGAGAACAAGGGTGTCACATTGGTTGGTCGCATGATTCCACTTCAGGACTGTGACTTTCAGCGCTGAATCAAAAAGCGTCCATTCAGCCATCAGGTCAGCACGTGTTTCTGTCGTCGAGCAGCGGACGAGCACCACGAGTATTCGTTTCCGTCTGGCATTTGACAAAGCACGGGGAATCATCCGCGACGGCAGCATACTCTCATATGCAATCAATCGTACCATTTTGGCGCTAGTGACCTGTACATAACACCTTACACCCTTTTTATATATACTTTGTTTTTTATATATTTTCACCTCCTATATAATAAATACCTTATTAATTTAATAATAATTTATATTAAAAGAAAGCTGCTTCTTTATTAATTTTTTTTAATATTTATTTAAAGAGAGTAAAGGAAATATTAAAGGTATAAAGTATATTAATATCTTATTTTAAAAGAAAATTTAAAATTTTAAGAAGAGTGTGATTTTAAGTAAATTTAATTAAATTTACTTTATTTCCCTAGTAATTTTAATGTAATTTTTAAAATTTACCCCTCTTTAATTCTTCTTTAAATTTAACTTAAACTTAAGTTATTTTTAACTTTAATTTAAATATAAATTGCTCCTCCTTTAAATACTTAATTTAATAATGGAAAGAAGAAATAAAATGAGAAAAGAAGTAGCTTTCTTCTTATATATATTTTAAATGGATTAAAGCTAAATTAAGAGAGTTGGAAAAAGTATATATGAAAAAGGGTGTGATGTGTTTTGTGCAGGTCATTAGCGCGAAAATGGTATGATTGATTGCATATGAGAGTATGTCAAACATGACTTGCCTGTGCTTATTCAGCGGCTTCTTCATACCTATTGGGTGGGATGCATGTGCCTCGGTCCATAGGTAGATCTGCACCACAAAGAGTAGGCGTCCTACTTAAGTATCACGGGACACAAGACTCTAGATTTATTCTAATCGCAACGTGACTTGTCCAACCCATCCGAGGATTAGCGAATATAGCTGTCCAAAATAGCGGCTCCACATCCATAGTAAGTATCTTGCGACTTTGTATGACTGATGCATGACTTAGAGGCTTCAGTGATGGAGCGTTGTGAAGCCGGCCGCGAGCACTGGTCTTCCAGAGGCAAGCAGAAAGAATACGTGCCACAGGCAATAGACAACGATAGGTCACATACCGCTTGAGAAGTTAGCCGCTGTCGTGCGCTGTCGGGAATTCCACACCGAGATTATGAAATGCGAGATGACCCCCTAAAGCAGTCCATCCACCGCATCCTTTGATGTCAATCCATTCAATTTTCAACTGGAGCAAAAGGAAAGAATACCGAGATTCGCCCTAACAAAAATGGAAGGTACACCAGTTCATCACTACCTCACCCAACACCCATACCCAACACCTACACCTAACACCCATATACCTGACACCTACATACCTAACACCCACACCCACACTCTTGCTTATACTTACACCTGACACCTAACACCTATATACCTAATTCAACTTAGGTATATAGGTGTTAGGTGTAGGTAAACGAATCAGGCATGGGTAATGTGCTCTGATTGGCTATGGCTACGGCTATGGCTATGGCTATGGTACGAGTTGTTGTGCCGGTGTACCCTCTGTTTTTGCAGGTGCGAATCTCCGTATTCAAAGGAAATGAGAGAGGAAGGGTGGTGTGTAGGTGTGTTTTTCACCAAAGACAGATACAGAGAACATGCGCTCTGGCCCTACCCAACCGACTGTACCGCTCAAGTGAAACCAACTTGGGACACCTGGACATTCGGCTCGTTCTCATTCATTTTGCAGCTCGACTCTGTGTATATATTGTGCCCTTACCTAGTTCAACATGGAGATCAGTAAGTAGAACTGCTGGCTCAGAGTAATCTTTTGGAAGGCTTTGTTGTGGACCAGCGGATTGGGAGCATTTCAAATAGATATGGGTGTGAAGAAGGACAATTGTGATTGTGGCGTGGCCGTGGCTTGGTGGGATAGTTGATCGGGATCTGAATAAGGGTAATTGAGATAGGTAGACCAGGTTTCGGTAAAGATCCCATGGCAGCCACCGAGACCGAGTGCTTGTATCCACACAACGCGTATCGAGATCTCAAAAATTGCCAGCCCCTGCGTCAATGTCGATGTATCCGCTTGGGGCCGAGCCCCCTCCCTCCGCAGACAGGACACGGGCCAATTATCGCAGCATTATCAATGTATCAGTGCAAATCTTGAATTTCTTCCCGATTTGAAGTTGTCTATTGTAGATAGATGCCTATGCAGGCGCCCAATAAATGGTGCAGTAGGATGCGCCTTGGTCCTCGATGAGATGATCGGCTCCAGCATGTCCGCACCCAAAATATCATGGGATGGGAATCAGGCGTTCCTGGCGTTGTGATCAGCGGCTCGTCTTCGCCTTTGCTCGGGAAAGCTTGTTCCCCGGAGTTGCTTCCGAAAAGTCGACAGAAAATTCCACGAATCCGGGATAACGAAATTTGGTAGGGGTCGCCTCCCCACCACGACGCAGCATGCCCCTTTACCACTGTGTGAGCTCTCCGGGGTCCCAAGTCGGACAAATTTGCATTTCCGACTCAATGGCCTCTGATGAGTGTGGGGCCTTTAAAGAGGCCTTTTCCTGCCATCTCGGCTCCATCAGGATTTAACTCTGTAGATGATCTTGTTTATCCGACCGTGAGATCGAATTCCCCAGACCGCCAAGATGCCAAGGAACATCATCATCGCCGCAGCCACATTGCTGGGGCTCGCCTCAGGCGCCTTGGTTGCTGATAACACTACCTCTGATTGCACCTTCAGTGGCCCGGACGGGTATCTCCAGATCAGCCAGGCTAAGAAGTCGTGTTCCAACATTGTTCTGGACAGCCTCGAGATTCCTGGAGGGGTAACTCTGAACCTCGAGAAGCTCAACGACGGCACAACTGTTTGTACTACATCTGTAGCACAAGCGAGCTCTGTACTAACAGCTGGCCCAGGTCACCTTTCAGGGTCGCACTACTTGGGCCTACGCCGAATGGGAAGGGTCGCTCTTTTCAATTTCTGGCAACAACATCACGGTCAAGGGCGCACCCGGCCATGTTCTCGATGGCCAAGGAGCCCTCTGGTGGGATGGCCTAGGTGGCGGCGGCGGCGTGACGAAGCCAAAATTCTTCAAGGCGAATAATCTCAACGACTCAGTCCTTGACAGCATTAACATTCAGAACGCCCCCAAGAACTTCTTTAGCATCAACTACGTGAACAATCTCTTGGTGAAGGACGTCATTTGCAACAATACTGCCGGTGACGAGCTCAACGCCGATGGGCGCACGCTGGGCCACAACACGGATGCCTTCAACATCAACAACGCAGTCGGCGTGATCATCCAGAATGCGAGGGTGTGGAACCAGGATGACTGTGTCGCGGTGAACTCGGGCCAGGATGTCTTGTTCAAGGACGCGCTCTGCCACGGCGGCCACGGCTGTTCTATAGGGTCGGTGGGGGGCAGATCCAACAACATTGTGAACAACATCACGTTCGAGAACGTCCTTTTCGAGAACTCTCAGCAATCCGTCAGAATTGTACGTCGATCATTCATCTACCAGGCCTTGACCATGGGACTAATTATCATCGCAGAAAACCATTGCCAACGAAACAGGGAGCGTATCAGACATTACCTACCGCAATATTGTCATCGACAGCACGGCTGACAACGCCGACTACGGCATTATCGTGTCCCAGTCGTACAATGGTGTCAAGGGCCAACCAACAAATGGCGTTTCAATCAAGAACTTTGTTCTCCAGAACGTCACGGGCACGGTTTACAAAGATGCAGTCAATACCTACATTGAGTGCGGCGAGGGTAGCTGCACCGACTGGACGTGGACCGATGTCAAGGTGACCGGCGGCAAGAAGGCCACCAACTGCCAAAATGTGCCTTCGGGCATCTCGTGTTAACTGATCGCGTCCAAGGTCCACGAGGTTTAACAGTGGGAGATGGCATGTATGACATCAGCAACCGATGTCGACACTGCCTTTCGGCTGTACATATTTGACTCTCATATCAAAGTAAATATGAAGCTTTGTCCAATTACTTCGCCCATATGTACAAGGGGTCTCCGTAGTGCTCCCTCTGACCGAGCGCCAACCGCTATCGATGTGTGAGGCATGCTCAATATTGTGCACCAGCCACACCATGTCAATTAGTTGGGAGCGCGCTGAAACAACAGACAGCTATTCCTCATAGTACCCATGTCAAGCTTTTGCTATCGAATGACGCCACTCAATGGTCATTATCAAACTCCTCTAGGACGACCTCCTTTGGGACAACCTCCTCTGGGACAACATTTGCTGGAACAACTTCCCGCATCCTAGGGGGTAACCAGGTCGAACCTCGTCGAGCCGATTTCCTGCACAACGCCCAGTGGCGGCACGACAAATCTGTGTTTGGAAACAACAATGTTTTTCTGAGTAGGGCCAGTGGAGGCGGGATTATTTCTTGGTGTTAACATGACGATGAGTATTCCACATTATTCTATTAAATATGTAGGTAAGTGAAATTGCGCTGCTCATTTATAAATGACTTCAGCAGGCTCCCGAGATATTACAGGCTATCTTTTCAGCGAGGGCATCTAGATGATTCAGAGTCAGCCGCAGACCATAACAAGGGCACAGGAGGCAGTGTCGTGGGTTTAGACTTACAGACAGTGGACTGAGGATGCCCAGGTGGCAACAGAGGAGACGCCGACGCATCCACGACGCGAAGTCCCTGTACCCCGATCACCCTTGCATCCGTATCCACGACCGCATTGGGGTCGTCAGCCTTCCCCATCGCACACGTGCAGGCGGCGTGCCAGATGGTGTTGAACGCGCCGCGGATGAAGGTCTCGGTCTGGGCATCGGTAGATACCTTGGATCCCGGAAATGCCTCCTCGCCGATGACGAGGCCCTGCAGGGCTGACGTGCCCCAGAACTCTCGGGCCCGCTTGACGCCGGCTACCATTATATCCATGTCGGCCTGGTTGGTCAGCCACTCCGAGTTTATGGAAGGGTGGACGCTGGTATCGGGAGAAGTGATGGTGACGCTTCCCCGCGAGACAGGCGAGGCGAGGATCACTCCTATGGAGGCGTAGTTCGTGCCGTCGAATGGGTCCATCAGCTTATAGATCTCCTGCTCGTTGACGTATGAGTTGACCTTCATGTACTCGAGCTCCGGCCAGTCCTCCGGGTAAGCTTTGAGGATGCCATTGGTCGTGTTGCTCCAGTTGGCTCTGAGGTCCTGCGGAACTTTCTCCCAGCCTATGACATCGCAGTTGGGACTCGAGTAGATCCCCGTGGCTGGATAGTTGTTGAATAGAGCTTGCTGGCCGTACAGAAACGAAGGGTAGCGCAGGGAGGAGCTGGTCTGCGCATTGATAGGGTACGCCAACGTGACCCAAACATGATCTTGCATGCCTTGACCGACACCCGGCCTATCGGCGATGACCTGGATGCCCAACGAGGACAGCGTATCAGCAGGACCAATGCCAGATGCCATCAGAATCTGAGGAGATGCAAAGGCACCTGCGGATATGATGACTTCTTTCTTTGCTGTCAGGGTGTATTGGAACCCTTGAGTGTCGACCATGACACCCGTAGCTGTGTTGTTGGAGTCAAATAGTATCTTCTTGGCCATAGTCAGGTGGTAGACGTGGTAAGCATCGTACTGCAACGCCTGTCGCATGAAGGAGGTCTCCGAGGAAGACCTAAGCATTGTGCCACTGTCGATGGTGAACATGCTGTACGAAAAACCGAGCAAACTTCCACTCTGGAATCCGTCGATGGCCGAGAGGTTGATCTGCTTCATGCCTTCGGCCGCAAAGGTCGCGTACGCAGAAGGCGAGTTAGGAAAGGCCACAGACAGAGGACCTGTGCCGTCTCCCATCACCGTCTCGTCGTATTGTGGTGTCGAGTTTGCGAATCGAACACTCATATCGGGCGCGCTGAAGTTGATACTCTTTTCGAAGTACGGCAGAAGCTTCTCGAAAGTGTAACTCTGATCTCCAACTTGGTCTGCCCACTGCTGGTAAGACGCTGTCGTTCCACGTTGGTATATCATCGCGTTCCTCGCCGAGCTGCCGCCGAGCGCCTTGCCTCGCGCGTAGTGTAAGGACGCGTTGTTCGCTCCCTAGACGTGGTCAGTGTGGCTTGGATAGGACTGTAAAGGCTGTGTGGAACTCACTGCTTGAGGCGTTGTCATGTATCCCCAATCAATCAATGGCTGCCAGTCTAACGCGCTCTTGCCAGCGTAATTAACGCCGGGTCCTGGAACTTGAGACGCATTTCCGTTCGACAGCTCATAAAATGTTCCCGCTTCTACCACTGCTACGCTTCCTGCGTTTTGCTCGACCAGTCTGGTCGCAATGGCAAGACCTGCGGTGCCTCCACCAACATCAACGTAGTCGAATGTGGAATTTCCTGGGACACCGAAGGAGGAGCCAAGAAGGCGCGCTTGAACAGACTCGGTCAATATGGCAGCCAGCCAATACCTGAAAGGAACCATGCTGATTGCCTCTTAACAAGACTGCCACGTGAAAAAGTAGGACTGTAGCTACAAATGAAACAGTCAACATTCGCCGGTCATCAGTGCGGCCACCGAGCACTTACAAAACACAGACTACGCGGCACCCAGTTGGGAGGATGAAATGTGAAAAGCAGCGTGCCAAACTCTAGAAAACATTGAAACTGGACCCTGGCACGGCAGCTTTATCAGCCTTGACCCTCTGTCACGTCGAGATCAATACCACCTCCAGCCTGTCTCTGGTAGGCCAAGCCGATTCGTCCAATTCGGCCATCATTAGAGCTCAGATCTATTGGACGCTTATTCCGGGTCAAGGAGGTCCAGTTGGTTTTGAGAAAGATCTGTGAGATCGGCTGTGGCGCTACGGGAGAGGCGTTCATCCCTCAAGTCTACGATGAAGGGGTCTTCCTTGCCCTGCCCATGCCGGGTCAGGGGGTAATTCAGGACGCCCATTTCAAAAAGTGGTGACGAACTCGAGCCTCCCCTTCAAGATTGTGAAAGTCAATGCGGCGCTCCTTGCATCCGGTAGAAATTCACGAACCCCACGTCGGACTGAGTGTTCGAGTTGCAATCTATTCGCGTTCGGCACCAATCTAGGAACATCTCCGCGCCCGACCTCCGCGCCCGACCTCCGCCTGGGCTCGCCCTTCGACTGAATACAAACTTTGATAGAACTCGTATTGCAACTGGGAATCCAACAGCCGTGTCAACCAGATGCCGACATAGAGACATCGGTCCGGATGGGTCGGCCCCGAAGTACACAGAGGCCGCAACGCCGAACCAAGGAGAAGAACTAAACCTGCAGGAGGGTGTCTGGGAAGCTGAGGAGTTGGATGCAAACCGCAAATTCTGTTAGCGCTAATGATTCTGCGTTCCATCGATCTCTGATATCAAGCGCACAAGCTCGCCATCCTGGCTTCACTTCTCAACGGCTGCAGCTAGGCTGTAGCGCGAATTTCGGAACCTTGCCCCGATGGCTATTGTGCAGAGTACAAGTCCAATGACGCCTAGTGTGCACAATATGCCCTGAAGAATCACATCCGATTTGGGGAGCAGGCCGATAACCCTGCAGATATGTAATGCAAAGACGAGAACAGTCACTCCCTCCCAAGGAACATTCATTGATGCCAACACCAAGACTGCCGAAGCTCCAACTGATGCTACCCAGTCTAGCAAGACCGTGTAGACTAGATCAGCTGTTTCTCTTGTTGAGTGATTGACCTTACTAAAAGTTAGGTTATAAGATTTAACCATCTAAGCAAGCCCTAAGTGTTCGTCACGGTTCCCATTTTACATCCCGAGATCAAAAAATTTGCGATTTCCTTTCTACGATAGCGATCATATTAGGAAATGCATTGGCCTTGTTCTTCGCTCATCAATGTTGTACCTTTGCTTCACAAATGAGCGGAGCGACTTTCTATAGTCACATCAGCCATCAGGCTTTAGAAAATCGGAGCCGTCCATCACTATCCGCTATAAATCTCGCCCTCATTCCTTCCGCCACCGTTTCCAGCTTCTCAGAATCCTCAGCATCCGGAAGATTGATCTCATCCGCGCTCCAGCCGTCTAGCCCGTGGACAAGGAGCGCGATAAGGGACGTCTTCAAAAGACGGCTGTGCCTAGAGAGGACTATACAAGAGACTAGGAGCACCGCCGTGGTCAATGTCTCGACAAGAGGGATGATCAACCAAGGCCATCTAACTCGAATACAAATCTCCTTGATAAACACATCTCCGGGAAATGATGTGGCATTGTTGTTGTCGCCCGGGGCCGCGCTTCGTATTTGATTCGTAAGCGTCTTTGCTAGATTTGCGGTGAAATTCTTGAGGTCTGTCGTGTAAAGAAATGTTGACAAGTCGAGAGAGTTATTATCAAAGTCTGATCCTGTGTGCGGATACATGTCCACGATGTCTCGTGTGAGCAGGTTGTACAGATACGGGAACAGGACATTATTGGGTGTGGCAGAGATGTTGAAGCCATGGCCAGTTGAATTTGCAACCAATGGCAAATACTCAGCTCCATCCAAACCTTGTTCATTGCTGACGCCATCTGGACGGGAAAGCATCTCGGAGGCAAAGTCTGCGTTGCTGATTCTGCCAGGCTCCGCGGTGACGTTTTGGTAGGTTTGCTCACACCAATACCACGTACTGTAATACGCCTCAGTCTCGGGTGCATCACTGAGGCTCGCCCTGGAGTCGTTTACCATCTTGATTGCGAACATTACCGCGGCCTTGATACCGCTGTCCGACCCTGGAGAAACACCTATATCTCCACGCGAGGCGAAGATTCAAGTGGGATTACTCATGCCACCAGCTTGCTCGGCGTAAGAAACATTTAAGACGAATGGTTCCGAGTAGTAGGAGTTGATAGGAAGATCACTCGGAAATCGGTAGGAACAATTCTGTTGGTCGTCAAATCTTCCGACACAGTCAACTTTGACTGTGTCGGTCAAGTCCAGGAAGTCGCCGCATACTCCGAGAGTGGTGAAGTTGGGCCAAGAGCAATGTTCCCCAGGACATGAATATGCTGGTTGGAAGACTGATCCAGAGATGCCATCAATTATTGAGGACTGGAGTTTGAAGAGGTCTTGGCTCCACTCGATAGCCAAATCAAATCCTATACGCATTGGAGGTTGACTTGGTCAGTTTCTGGGTTTCCTTTGCAGGCAAAAATAGATTCCTTCTAGCATTTCCCAGATGGGCTAACACTCACGTGCTGTAGACCCGTCTGTATCCTCGACGAACGCCTTGGAAGTATATGAACTCGCAACTCCAATGGAAGCAGAGACATTGGTGAGCCTGATTTCTCTTGTCGGGAATTCTAGAATCTGCTGGGCACTGGGATCGAACCCAAGTGACACCAGTGACACAATAGCCAAAGCCCGTGCGGTTCAGGCCCTGATACGAACGTCGGAGAGAAGCATCAGCGAGCCCCACGGGCCTCGACTGACCTCGTCGAGAAGTTGTAAGTGGCTCAGTCGGTTGGCGCGTAGCTCGAAATGCCTCCACTTCAATTGACTTATGCAAGATGCAATGGGGACCATCATGGCCGATTTCCCGACCGTGGTGAACACTGCGATCAAAGAGTTCGGTTGAATCCATAATGGCCAAGCCGCAAGAGCACGATTATTTGCTTCAAAGAGGACTACTAGGACGAGTCCCACGCAGATGATGCTTAGGAGCGCCCCGCCGATCTCCCACCACCACCACCAAGATATTTTGGGCTTCGATTTTCTTCCAACGGATGTATCCACAAATTCAATTGTCGGACTGGCAACTTGCCCATAGTGAGCGGCGTTGGTCGCCGGTCGGTAAGCTGAGGAACCATTGTGTGCGTTGTTCGGAATCGATTGAGGAGCAGCTGGAGCCGAAATTCCAGAGGAGCGCGAAGAGAAGTCGCTGTCATTGCCTACATCGAGCGAGTCGCGAGACAGGGCAGACTCAGAGTCATAAAGTAGGACGTTGACGTCGGAGGCTCTGGACATCGTAGCAGTGTGTTCAGTGTCAGCAACACTGGCAAGTGCCCGCCGAGAAGGGTTTGTGCTAATCGTGTAATAAATAAAGGCGCGAGGAAATCAAACGTAGTAGTTTAAAGGAAAACAGGAACGAGGAAAGGTTGTTATACATGGGCAAGGGTCTTGGCTTTATAAGATCACAACGCGTAGAAACGAGAGCCTAGCTGGGGGCCAGAAATCTGTGAAACAGCAAATTCAGGCTCCATCAGCCACATTCAACAATTGGACCCCATGAGGGAGCTGGAAAGTGACACAACAGCAAAATGAGGTCAGAGTGGCCAAATCAGCCTATCAAAAATCGTCGAAGTCAGCAACTAACACATCATGAAACAAGAGTCAGCCTGCATTCACTCAGCCTTGGTAAGGACTTTCAATGTTAAATTTGAGCAATGTCACACTGTAAACCCCATATCCCAAGTATCCACGATAATGAAATTCAGTCATAGGATAGCTTGAATCAAATTTCGTAAACTTAACCTATGAAACTCCTGGGATTTCTTTTTTGAAGGGAATCCTTCAATTCGTCTGGAAGAAAGCCAATTGCGCCCTATGTGATGGGACCTCGGTCTCGTGAACGTTCTTCCCATGGACTAGCAGCATGTCTGGATGCCCTGCGCCCTCCGCCACGTCCACATACAGAAACATCTTTTCGTGAGGCCATAGCGTAACGTAATTATCCGACCATTTCACAGGAGTGACATGTTCCCACTTGAAGTGCCCCGGTGTCGCGTCCTTGTTCTGGTGGACCAGGTTCAGCCGGATGAAGACTGCTGGGAAGGGTGAGCGGTTTTCAAGAGTGACTGTGACGCTGCGCCCATTTCCGTTGTCCATCGTGGCTGAGATTGACACATTAGCTGGTTGAATTTTGTTCAGGGATGTGTAGTCGGCATATTTTCGGACCGGCGTGTAGTACCTAATGTGAAGAAGGTCAGTTGAAACTTGGTCAGGCAGATCTAAAAGATCAGCAGAAGTGCATTTGTAGCAATGAATCAATACCAGACAGCTGCAGAGAGAGCACTTTTATATTCGCAGTGCGAGCCAAGAGACCATCGTTGCGCAACCTCCGCAATAATACAGGGAGGTCATCGAATTTCATGTACTCGAAGATGCACTCACCAGTCTGATTTGCGCCATTTCAACTTGTCAGATTTCTTTGACAACCAGTAGACATTCCGACTCAAAACTCTGTTCTCGCGACTGTCCTTGAGAACCAGACGGAGAAGCACCACGTCTTTGATCTTCTTCAACTCCTTGACCTTCAAGAGCGTACTGCTGGAATTCGGCTTTGTGACCAGAGGAACCGTCTTGTTCAAAACGTGTACACCATCTAAATTGATGACGTCTAGTTCAAGCGTTCTGGGTCCTTTCCTGTCCATAGAACGATTGATTATAGACACGCTTTTGTGCGCATAATTGTATGCTGCATGCTCCAGACGACTCCCTGTCTTCGCACCAAAGTACGATCCGGCCGGGTGCAGATAATAGTCGAACAGGTTCCAGTGGAGATTTGGCCAAGCACTATTCAGGAGCCAGTAGATCATACCTGTGGCAGGTCGCTCGGCGGACCAATTCGATGCGTAAGCTTCGAACTGAGCCCTTGTTGCTTCGTAATCCATCATCTGAGCGCTTAATAGATAATCCGACAGGTTTCTCGGTGTGCCATGTCTCTGCCAAAGTGCCTTGTTGTACATCTCTCTCGAAGAGAACGTTTCTCCAGGCGACATGTGGTACAAGGTTTTGTCAGGTCGCTGCCAGAGGTCGTTTATGTCGGACAAGTTGAGAAAATTAGACAGGCTTGGAAGCTCCGGCGTGCCCACTCCTGAACCTAATTCCGAGCCGAAACCAAATGCTGCGCCCAAACGATCATCGTACCAGTAATTGGGTGGGACCCAGGTGTAGGGCCCGTCCATCTTGAGACCCGAGGGACCAAGGCTCTCTGGGTATCCTCGTTTCGAAGCGGCCGCGATGATGGGGGTCTCCCAATGGGAATCACGCAGCGCGTCCAAGTAGATAGATGTAGCTTTTTCGTCAGGCCACAAGTCGCTTCCGATGAGGAATCCGAGCACACTCGGGTGAGTCTGCAGCATCTCTGCCTCGTGTCTCATACTCGCGCCTGCGGTCACGTAGTCTCTTGGGCCCCAGAGCGAATCCTGCAATCCATCTTCCTCAGAATAATTCCACGCCTCCCACTTGTCACAGCACTCCCACCCCGGAAGCACCATGATCCCGAGGCGGTCGCATATTTCATAGAGCTCAGGGTGCTCCATCTTCCCTTCAAGGCGAATGGTGTTCAAACCAATATCGAGGACATACTCGGCGATTTTCGTGAAGCGCGAGGAATCCCAGCGAAGAAAAATATCAGGTGTGTAGCCTGCGCCAAGGACTTGGAAAGGCAATCCATTGACCTCGAACACCCTGTCGCCGTGCGTGTTGAGTTGCGAGGTAACTTTGCGGAATGCAAATGTGCTATTGCGCGAGTCGGACGTAACATTCTCGACTGAAGCGCTCAAACGAGCTTCAAAAAGCGGTTGGGCCCCCCATTGTCTGGGCCACCAGATGTCTGAAGCTGTAAAGGGTACATCCACCTGAATTTGTATCTCTTCTGACGCAAACGGGGCCAAAGTCATGCTCGGACTAGAGAATGGATTTGCCCTCGGTTGACTCGGCAGCTCTGGTGCGACCTCTCTTGGGGGGTGTCCTTGATCGACCTGCGCCGATGACATACCAGTCGGCGGTTGATCGTCCATTGAGCTGGTTCCATATCCAGATTTGACAACACTAGCTACAGGAAAAGCCTCTACTGTGCGGTTCTCGAGATTACGCGCAAGAGTTCTGAGCGTTACTTTGGCGGATGTACCAGACATTTCGAACTGTGTCGTAACGCTGAGAGGCCCCAGTGTGACTGCTCCTGTCTGCTTGACGTTGACGTCTCTCCAAACACCCGAGCCGTTATCTGGGGGAGCAGGGTTCCAGTCGTTGAACCCTTGGGCTAAATCGTGGTTATAGTCGGTTGGATGGACTCTGATCAATACTGCGTTGGCCTCGGACGCCATTGGTGTAAAATCGTAAGTATGACCGCCGTAGGAGCCCGACTGGAAGTCTTTGTTCGCGATCTGCCTTCCATTAAGGTATATGTCGGCTTTGGAAGTAATACCGTTTGTTTCAAGAAGATAATGCTTCCCGTAGCCGGGATTTAGGGAAAACTCTTGTCGATATAGCCATGGTTCTTTCCAAGTTTTGTTCATTCCGTGGGTCTCCATATTATCTCCTGTGAAGACTTCTGCGAGGTCATTCCACGGGCTGATCCCCGCAGCGTGTAGACAACCGATCAGTGTGCATTTCGAGACTGGCACGTGTTGCCAATGATCTGACTGCCCCGTGGCAGGCATTGATAGGTTTGAGACATGCTACAAAAGTACACTCGAGTCAACATACTTCTTATTCAAGGAAAATGTATCCTCAAGCAACAGAACATCCTCACGGGCTTGTCTGCTCTGTAGATTTCACAGTCTCCTGCGAACAACGAGAGGAGGAAGGACCAAAGAAAAACGGATTGCAATCATGATCTGAGAGTCCCTGCTTTATGAAAATGTGGAAAATGTAAGACGGATCCATAGCCTTCCGAAGCGAGAGGGCTCAAGGAAGGACATGAGGAATTGGTTTACGTCTTGGAGCCTTGGAATGCAGCCTGACCGTAACAAGTATCAAAGGCCAAGAATTACTTACTTCGGAGAAAAGAGACTGTGGAGCTAAGTTCCAAGCCGGTATTGGTGACACCTGGCCATTTTTGGCGACTATCCAGGGTAATATGTGACGGCCCAGCATTGTCAGGACAATTCGAGTTCTGTTTAACTTGGGGCAATTTCTGTAAGGCGTAGGACGGGAACCAGAGACCAAGACAGAGAGGCGACGTAATTTTGAGTAAGGCCACAATGTTGCAGGAGATAAAAGCTTCACGTATGTGCTGACAGGTGAGAGATTTCTGCCCTTGCAGCTTCGGACTCAGGACTGGCAGTTGTTCAGTAACTTTGCTGAGCACTGTAGTTCACACTGCTATGGCGAACAGGCCCGCTCCATTCGTTCACTAAACAAATCTTCTTTGGCCTAGGCACATTCCGGTGCTTTGTTGCTGTTCTAAAACTTCCTATTACCTCAGCCTCCATATGATGAGTTGCCTGTTCCGATGCACCGGAACGAACACTAGACCGCTAGAAGCATTTGTCGTGCATTCTGATAGACCTGTAGACCACCATGAGAACTCTGACAAGAAACACCCATTTGAGCGACTTGGCCGCTTTTCAGGTAAGTGAGAAGGTACCCCTACACCTCCTTAACTAATAATAGTGGCTTCGACAAAGTCGGCCCTGGTGACTTCCTACGGCCCTCCGCACGGGCATTTGAGCAAGATGATCGAGCCACCACAGTCGGTGGACAGGGCTAGGCTGCCGATAGTAATTTTAGGGCACAGCACATCTCATTCCTGCCGCGCCTGTGCCTGATACCATCCGGGATCAAGTCCTTCAAAGTACGTATGTTTCAGTGTTTGCGCCGTGCGTGAGGGCCGTTTCATTCGACATTGCCTATCGAAATCGAGCGGGTTGGTACAATGCGTGGCCGGAGTTTGGTTGATCTCAAATTTTCGCACGCGATGGTGTATGCAGTCGGGGAATCACCTGCTTGCGTGCCACATATGAAAATGGTGGCTTTTGGCCACTTGTTTTGCTCCTGGCCTCTGTCTTTCAAAGAGTTGATCCAAAGCGCGCTTTCCCCCGTTGCCGAGGGCGAGAACAGCGATTCTGAATTACTAATATCGAGTATTGCACGCAACTCACCGGGCCTCGAATCGTAAGCGAAACTTGTTTGCATGCCAAATCGTTGTGCCGTCCTATCCTTGGGATGTCCTGACTGCATCATTGGCGTGCGTGGGCTTCAGGGGTTGCAGCAGCTCACTCTGGGAAACTGCCGAATGGACTGGTCCAGGCTACGCGTTGCTGTCGATCACCTAGATCAGAGCCGCTTTGCCAAAACCTGACAGTTATGTTGCATCAAAGCAGACCTGAGGTTGTCGCAGATGTGCATGATATCTGGCTCTGATTCAGTCGGAGAAATCACGGATGCAGCGTGGTGATACCGAACCCCGAGCGATCCGACTGATCTGAGTGGTTGGTGGCCCTATGACGTTATCCATATCCCCAAACCAGAAGTCATGATGCTAAAGCAGTGACGCATTACATTCCGTGGTCGGTAAGGGTTGGATCACAGCCTAGTGCCAAAAGAAATTCAGTAGACGGTAGATATAGAATCTGGCAGTGCAACGAGTTGCAGAGAGGCAGCTGCACGCTCAGCGACGCTCAGCGGAAGCATCGTCACTGTGAAAATGAGCAAACCCGTTCTCGCTGTGATTGGATCCGGCTGGGGCGGCTTCACGCTGTCCCAAAAGGTCTCCTTAGAGCGATTCCATTTGAAAATCATCTCACCAATACGCACAATTCAATACACACCTCTACTGGCCAGCGCAGCCTGCGGTCTATTCAATTTTCGGTTGGCAGAAGAGCCCGTCAGGAGGAAACAGCGCACCGACGTGGAATACTACAAAGCAGTTGCACTAGACATCGACTTCGACAAGCGTGTTATCCGATGCCAGACAGCAGCAGAGGTTGATGGGGAGGATCCGAAAGACTTCGACGTCAAATACGATAAACTCTGTATCGCACCTGGATGTGACATACAAGACTTCGGGACGCCGGGAGCCAAGGAACATGCTCTATTCTTGAGGACAACCAACGACAGCCGACTGCTCCAGCAGCGCTTACTGGAAATGCTGGATCAAGCTTCCCTGCCAAACTTCCTCGATGATCCCCAGAAACAGCGCGACATCCTGAACATCCGCATTGTCGGCGGTGGCGCCATCGGCATTGAAGCAGCTGCTGAGCTCTTCGACCTGTGGAACGAGGACATGCGGTTCCTCTTCCCGCATCTCGACGGGAAGCTCACAATAACTATTCATGACGTGGCGTCGTCCATCCTGACCACTTTCGATCAACACTTGGCCGAGTATGCCACCGAGTCATTAACCAAGGGCAAGCAGAATGTCGTACAAATAAAGACAAGCTCGCACATTGAGAAGGTTGACGCCGGCGCGATCTACACTAAGGAAGACGGGCGTCTACCCTACGGCGTCCTCATCTGGGCGACTGGGAACAAGGTCAACAAGCTCGTGGACACAGTATCGGATCGCATCATGCTGCCCGAGAAGGGCCTACCAAGAATCCTGACGGACAAGTACCTCCGTGTTCTGCGTTCAGACGGAACCTCCATGGACGATGTGTACGCACTAGGCGACGCTGCGGATATCAAGGGAGAGTCGCTGCCCACATTGGCTGAAGTGGCACTGCAGAAAGGCGAGTACCTCACCAAGGTATTTAACAACCATAGCACCGGGGAATCTGGAGACGCCCCTCCTTTTGAGTATAAGCAACGCGCCCTCCTGGCATATCTCGGACAACGGGACGGTATCATCGGAGGAAAGGAGGACTGGACTGGCCAAGCAGCCTGGATCGCGTGGCGATCGGGCTCTTTGGGTTGGACTAGGAGCTGGCGAAGGAAGTTGATGATTTCGATCAGTTGGCTTTTTGTGTGGCTTGGGGGCAGAGACATTGCTAGGTATTAGGAGACCAGCCTGGCAGCGAAGGTACGACATCTTTACGGGCATGTAAGAGTACCGGATCAGCAATCAAGACGTCTCACAGCACCCAAGAGACTTGATTTTCAATACTCACATTCGGGGAACTATTAGCCCGTACCTGAAAAGCCATTGCGATTCGTGCTCATCGCTTCTTTAGGTGCGCTTTTAGAGGGTAGCGCCTGACTTTGTGGTGCGTTTTGTTCCTAGCGAGCTCCAGAATCCGGGGAATGCTCTCCCAGGTTTTCCCTTCCCATTTGTGCTGGGTTGCCTCCCGTTCAGCACGGTCTTGTATCGTGAAATGAGCGACCTCCATTCTTGGCATAACCCACCAGTCCCACCAGCACCACCATCTTGGATTCGATTTCAGAGTCAATGCTGTCATGCGACCGCCGCTATCGTGTACTCGTGCGGGACCAAAGCGCCTGCTATCCGTACTCCCTCCTCTGTTATCCCCGAGTATAAATATATGGCCTTTGGGGACCTGGAAGTATGTACCAGGTGGAAATCCTAACAGTTCTATTAGTCAGTGGACACTCTCGACAACGCTTGGTGGTCACTGGATATTCTACGACAGATCTATTATCTGCTTTGTGGTGCTCAGTGTCAAACCCACCTAGCTCCTCCATTTTGATCACGTCACGCTCCGCGGCGATGACACGTTTCCCAAGCCGCAGGGCAGCATCTTCGTGAGACTTAGAAAGTAAGTGAGATGGTATGCTTTCACAAGATGTCAATGTCGTCGCGGCATTGCCTGTGAGATTCACAACCACCGTTGATGGTTACTAACCGGACTGAAACGACGTCGCCTGCTTTGACAACCATGGGGCGAAAGCGCCATTCATACATCCATTTCGTATCGGGATGAATGGATGGCATCATGCTGCGCCCTGACCCAAACACGTAGCTTCCAACGAGACCCATCCAAGCTTCTTGAAGTATCCGAGATCTGAAGATGCCATAAGCAAAGCTTGGTAGGGCCACAGTTGCAAATATGGAGAGACATGTGCTCGTCGGGACGAGACCGTCAGCGTGAACGATCTCCAACAACAGCCTGCCCCCCCCCCCCCTAGGAGCGACGACAAGGTTCCAGAAAGGGCGAGTGCTGCGCCAGATCGCTTCCCAAAATGAGGATACATCCGCCCAGATGTCCACCTCAACTCCGAAGCTTTCGTTCCAACTGGCTTGTACGAATCCCACCAGGGTAATCTGGGGCACACTCCTCTTGGGAGGACAAATCTCCAGTAACTTCTTTTGGCCGACTCGCTGCGGACATCGAGTATGTGAAGAACTTCCGCCGGACTGTATTCATTTTCTGATGCCGCTTGAGCCGCTTGAGCCGCTTGAGCCCCTCTTGGAGGAATCTTCCCTGGTGGAAGTGTCCTATGCGGCTGCGGGGGACTGCGAATGGTAACCTCTGTGCCAGGCCGTGCAGGGAGAAATCTGCTTGATACCTGCTGAGATTTCTGGGGTTCTGGGTGCGACGGCTTACGTGGTTTGGAACCTGTCCCCAGATTCCTCTTCAATGCAAGCTTTGTCCCGCTGGGCACCACACTGAGAAGCTTGGTGCATCTCATCTTGAAATTGTAGCAACAAAACGAGTTCCGTCCGGCTTCTCCACGCGTCTCGATACCATCAGCCAAAAACGCTTGTTTCGAGGGTTTACAAAATGAACAAAGAGACTGGAGACCGAGCTCAAGACCTTCCGGGCGGGCCAGTGTGGTGGGGGATGACTGTTGGTCCTGATTTTCCGGATACCTGCGTCCAGGCGAGATTTGCCTAGGCCGAATATGCAGCATCCCGTGCATGAGATGTTGGCCAGGATTTGAGGATTTCGTCACCTGCCCGACCCTGTGGCCATTCAGAAGTTGTGCAACGGCCTCTCGGCGACAATAAGCAAGACGACGCGGAATAGGCAACTGGTTCAGCTCTGTACACGGTAAGACATTGACGTTATTTGGCGGAATTGCCCAAGTAATTCCGCCCGATCATGTATGCGGCATGCAATGCAGGCCAACGGCACAAGCAAATGCATGCTCTCGCGCGGGGCTCTTGGTCATCCAATCAAGACTTGCAAAAATTAGACATTGTTGCCACCCGAGCACTGTCATTGATCAAGCAGCGGACTGTTTGTTCCCTTGCTTCGGTTGCCTCAGGCCTCCGTCCTCCGGAGGGATCTCACGGCGCGTACGACCTGCCTTAGGCGCAGTTGTGGCCTGCTGGTCTTCTTAGAGCTCATCAGGGGCAGCGATAAGTACATATCGAGATTGTGATTTTGCTTATGCCGTACTACCTGGAAGCGTGTTGGAGTTAGCTTCGCTAGAGAGAGGTAGGATAGTCGTTAGGGTCGCAGCTTTCACGGCAGCAGAGCTGAGGCCGGGCCGTACATTCCATCACAAAGGTGCCCCAGGAGCCCATTTGATCTAGTTGACGAACCTAATCAGAGATCCTTAGCACTTGGTCATGATCTTGGTCTAGCTGAGGGGTAAGGGCAAGGCCAGCGCAGAAGTGAAGTGAGAGCCCATGCCAGCTAGCCCATCCTCAACATCCTGAATGGTCTACAATTACAATCAGAATCAAACCACATTTATGCCATCGGGTAGTCAGTCGAGTACCGTACAAGTTTTGAACTTCGAAATGTGACATATACATAGAGATCATGCACAGGTTTCATGATCCTGAACTCGTTAGACACATCTCAGCTGCATTGCGATTCTTTTCTCTTTGGGCGCTAGAAACATTGATTCCAGGCCTGTAGAACCTGCATCATAGTGAGAGTTCCCTCAATCTCAAACAACAGTGATCTCAAATGCTGCTATTGAGTGTTGTCCGCCTCTCATAACGGCCTCGTGTACTTTGTAAGTGTTACAGTACGCTATATAGGTGATAGCCATGGTAATGCTCTCGGCATTGCAACGTCCCTCTTTTGTGGTGTTTTGGCGCAAAAGGCTTTTCTTGTGCCGTAACAGTAAGCTACAACTGGAATCTTGCGCCTTGCAATGTCAACTCAAGGAGTTTCCAATCACTACAAGTCCTACAGCTGAGCTATACTACCGATTGCCAGTTGAATTCTGATCTCTCATGTTGCTCAACCCTCAATATTACCACCGGCCTTCTCGGATGGTTGGAACTCCATCACACGCTGAAACCCCTCCTTTTCATCTATCCGTCTCAACCGATTCCACGTTTCTTCTGCCACGGTACATTTAATGCCGGTGGTGAAATTCTTGTAAGTCTGCAGTCATTCCAAGTCAGATACCTAGCGAACAAGTCTTGTGTCGGAACTTAACTTGGCGCGAGAGGTCATCCCCAGGAAAAGTTAGGGAGGCGCGCCAGGTAGCCGGTCAAACACATACCGTATAGATCACATGCGTATTCTCCCGCCAAAAGTGCCCCTTGTATGGTTCTGTCTCCGGGGAAGTCTTGATGAGGTAAACTTCGGGATGTCTGACAAGAGCCTCCTGCACCGCCTTGGATGGTCTCTCCTCCCACGCCCCGTCTCGGATCAAGCAAGTCTGCAGCTTTGGAAACACGTCGAGGGCCTCAGCAAATGAAGCCTGCCTGCTGAAGGCAACGCCTCGCCGCGCCTTGACACCAGGGTTGACACCGGTCTGTACGTCTCGCAGGTGCTTAATGTGAAGTTTGGCAAAGTCCGGGATGCGCTCGAAGAACAGGGCGCGACTGAAGTATCCTTCGTGGTTGCTCACAATAGTTTCGGACCAGTAGATGGCGAGTGCTTCGTCGTAGATCTGCTTGCAGGTAAGGAGGAGCTGGTACGTTAGGTACTGTCCGCTAGTGCGGAAAACACTACGTCTGCCGCCGACTGGCAAGAATTCAGACCGCAGGACGCGAGGAAACCAGCTGTGGAATGGTGAAAATCGGAGTGCGTCTGTTTGAAGTTGCAGAACCATCTCAGAACCAGCGAAGGTATGGCGGTAGATGTCGAGACGCAGCTCTGTCGGGATCACCTTAAAGAGCGGCGACTGCAGGTGGCCGGGAGGCAATCCTTGGGGACTGCAAGTATCAGCCATAGTGATGCCGACTTCTGATGGAAGAAATGTGTCTGGAAGTTTTTGGGACGGCGATATTTCCAGGTCAGGGATTGTGTCCGTGGTGCAATGTGTTCTGGTCTTTTGAGACTTGCCACAGGGCGAAGCGGAAGGAAGTGGGCCTGTCACGAAACTAACACGGAGGTTCACAATGGCAAGGCAGCAATCTGGACTCCAGGCTCGTGCACGCGTGGTATGCACAATTCCTGGCCAAGGCTCGAACAAACATTGCTGGCTGAAATAAAATCAGGGTGCAGTGATACAAGATGGCTGATAGCTCTTCTGCACCCAGGCATAATTGTCTGGCGTTAAAGAGTAGCATTTAGATGCAAGCATGCTTCGTCTTCTACACAGGGTTGTCATCAGTACTTTGGCCTGGATGTCTTACGGTTGACATGACGGAGAAATTGTCAAGACTACGTTCCCGTACACTGCTCACTTGTAGACAGTGTATCTCAGCCCACGCATCAAGTGACAAGCCATCTATCAACAATCAAGGTCCCTGGCGCGTCCATAGTATCCCATTGCAGAAGGGTTCTCCTCTCAAGATCCACTTGTCGTCAATTACATGGCACGATACAAACACTTATCAAGAGTATGTCTTATGAGGCTTGTGGTGCCGCTTGCGTGAACAGTGCTTGAGAAGACCTTGTATGTGGACATAAACAGGTCTGGAGCTTCTGCTTAATGGCTTCTATGACCAGGAAAACACACAGCGTAGTGCAATACGCACACGCCTTACCACGCGTTCCTATTATTCATCACTTTCCTGCGTCACTTGACACCTCCACGGACGTATCAGGCACACTGGAAGGCTCGTGCTGTATGTCGCCGCCATATGCAAGAATCCTCAAGTCAACCGTTCGAAAAAGCTAGAAGAGCGCAGCTGAGTATGGTTGATGAATAATTCATTTATTGTACAACGTAGCTGGGCAACCGTCCGTCCCGCCCAGAGATTGAGGCTGAGTTCTCTTGTTACTCATGCTGAAAAGCCTGCTCGGCATCCAAATGTGTGGAGATATGGCATCACTCCTCGTTTCGGCTTCAACAGATTGGAAATCCGCCCTTTTTCTTCATGCTCGGTGTAACAACCGAGCTGATGATCTCGGTGTCCACGTGCCTCACCTTCGTCCAGAAATCTTGGAAAAACGCGTCTGAGGATTCTGAACGCTGACTCGCTCGTCGTGTCAACCCTGTTCGCGGCGAAGAAACTTGGTTATTTTTCTCATCGCACGTAGATATCTTGCAAAGACATCGTCAAAATGATGTTGAACAGCCAGGTGGCGAGTAGGTGGAGCGTCGTCGTTCTCGTATTGTTGCGCCGAGAGTCGCCACGATATCGTGACGCATTTGCGGAGGTTCTCGAAACTGCGCAGGTACGACGCTGTACCCAACGCCAGACCCGTTCCGGTCCTCCGAAACTTCGTGATGCCAGACTGCGCGAATGCTCGGTTAATCTTTCGCCGACTTTATTGTCTCCTGCCATTGACGGAATGACGATGCTTGCCTGTGTGATGCCTCAAATTCTAGTAAAGGCGGCCAGTGGGGTCCCGCCTGTGAACATGAATGAATAGAACTCGTGAAGTCGATCAACCATTGGAAACCACATTACACTCAGTATTGTGAATTTGACGGGCAATGCGTGTGGTTGGACTTAATTTACACGAGGACGTCTGACGAGCAACCGCGACAAAGGGCCTCCTGCAGATAGCAACGACATCCTCCATATACACGTTACGAGAGAACGGGAACGATTCAATAGCAGACGCACGAGACTGTTCATTAAAACCACGGCTTCTGGGCAATTTGAGCATACAGTGATCCAGTGTTTCTGATACATTCCAGCTGGGTCGGCTCGTCTGTCACGAAGATCTTTCGCGAACCCAAGCTGAATACCCTTGACAAGTAGCTAAAACCACATGATGTATCCTGAGGAGGTAAAAGTTAACAATCCCGGCCACAATACTACGGGAAGGGTAAAATACAAAACTTGAGTTCTTCTCCTTAGTGTAGACGAACGAACTTTATTTTATGGAGTCGTCCGCCAAGGACTTGCGTGTGGTCGCACTACATTCTACTGCCATCCTGCAAATTAAGGCACAGAAGGAAAGCGTCAAGGTTTCTGGGACACAGAATGAGGAACAGCGGCACAGAATAGCCATACTTTAAGCTGCTACACACCCAGGGCTGAAGGTGAGCTGACGAATGCAGTGGTTCCTCCCATCATCTCAACTCGTGGCATAATCATGTCGGCTGCCAATCTTAAGCGCCTCGTGGATCTTAACAATGCGCTCTTGAGCGATACCTCGTGGACAACAATCAAGGGCAGGAAGCAGCAGCTTTTCGACGGCGAGTCAGTCACACGAAGGGCACTCCGGTGGTGGGCCAAGACTTGAGCTTCAAGCATGCGCCAATCTGTCTCGGTGAGGCTACCGAAACACCGATGTGGAGATTTCAGGGGCCCACTGTCATGTCTGAGGCTGAAAGGGCGGACCACCAGCTGACCGTACCGAGATCGATACCCCCCGCAAGATCTCGCTAAACTTGGGCCATTGACGCCATTGAGGCTCTCACCAGAAGTGACTGTGCGGCCAAGGGCTGCTGACACCCTTCATTCGAAGATACATGGCTTCCGGACTGCGGTTCAAGCTGCGTGCATACCATGACCGGTCAGGGCTCAAGCAGATGATCGATCACTCTCACCTGCTCAATCTTTCGCACTTCGCCTCGCCACGCCACACCGATATGATACATCTGATACACCAGCAAGCCTGCCGGCTCCTCCGCGCTTGACTCGTGGATGCCTCATACCCTCACTCGCCCATGGCTGAACCCCTCGGCAACCCCTTCCCCTCCCCCCAGCTGTGGTTTGATCCGAGGATCCGGCAACTTGGGCCCGGTTGTTGGCCTGGCCGCAGCCCTATGATGGCAAGGGATCAGACTTTCGGGTTGAGTCGTACCAAGCCTCCGTCATCTAATTCTTACCTTGTGAAGTCTGAATTATAGATTAGCCCTGGTCTCACTGCCCCCCGTCTGTTGTTCCGCCCTCTCGTTCCCTTCCCACTAGCCCTTGACCATTTCTATTGTTGTACCATCCCCTCTGATACGCTGGTCGTCATCTGTCCGTTGTCACTCTTTTCCCTGTCTGTCGCTCTTTTTCCGGGCTAGTATTGTGTAATTCTGTCCCGTCATCTTGTGTACCTGCTTCGACCTCACCGGGCACGGTGACCTGGACACGAAGACCAATTATTCAACCTGATAATTGCTTAATACCCATACGCCATCACCAACTCTCCTCTATCCATTCCCGAGAACATGGACGCCAGGGAAAGGAAGAAGTCCTATTCGGACCTCGAAGCCATCATCATCCCCGACGACGTCCCTGCTGTACCTGACCCAAGCTCAACCACTGTCGCACCACCACCAGCCCGAACTTCATACTGGAACGAGAAGTTCGCCATCTCAGATGGAAGCAGTGCGAACAACAACGCAAACCCATTCTCAGATGACAAAGCCCTAGGATTCTCCCCAGTGGACAGCCCTCAAGTAGGCCCGCCCGCATACTATCTGGTCGACTCGAAGGGCCAAACACAAGCGTTATATGCTGCGCCGACCAATGATGCGAAGGATCCATCGCCCACAGCTCGTGGCTCTCTCGGAGGGATAGGCGGGGCGGGAATCTTCGGCGGCGGCAACGGTGCCGGGGAGCGCAAGACACTGTTCGGGCTGCGGAGGAGCACCTTTTACGCGCTGTCAGCAGGGATCGCCTTCCTCATCATCGGCCTCCTCGTGACCATCCTCGCCGTCACGGCGCCATGGAACAAGACCTCGGCCCTGTCCTCGGACGGCGACGACAGCGCGTCCAAGCCCTCGGCAGCGGCGGGCATCATCATGCCCGAGTCGAGGCTGGCCGCCATGAACTGGACCGACTCCACGGGCACGACGTACACGGGCGTCTTCTACCAGAGCTCCAACGCCACGGGGAGCGCCATCATGGCGGCCATCCGGGCCGCGACGGCCGACGCGTGGACGTCCGTCAACGTGAGCGCGTCCGCGAACGCGGCGGGGCTGGACGTGCTCGACGGTACGCCCCTCGCGGCGGCGAGCAACAACGGCCTCTGGAACGTGTACTACCTGACGTCGGACCGCAGGGTCGCCGAGGTGTACTCGACCAGCCCCTCGTCGCCCACGGGCTGGCTGCAGGGCACGATGGGCTCCAGCCTCGGCAACCCGGAGGCGGCGCCCGGGTCCGGGCTGGCGGCCATGTGGCAGAGCTGCGACAACTGCACCGACAGCCTGCTGGTGCTGTACCAGGACGCCGCGACGGGCCACGTGCAGATGGCCAACATGACGAAGCTCGTGTGGGCAATGGGGGATGTCGTCAGCACCAGCGCCGCGCCCGGGACGGGGCTCGGCGTCTCGGCGTTTACCGACTTCGGCGGCAACGGGTCGACGGGCACGGATCTCAATGCCGTTCGGATGTACTACGCAGACGGGGGCGACCTGATCGAGAAGCTGAGGGGACCCCTGACGGACTTCAGGCTGGAGACGGGGAACTTTGGTAAGGCCCGAAACCCTTCCCAGTGGCGTTCTCCTGGAACCCACCACGAGGCAAAGCCATGACTGACTCACATTCTCGACAGGAAACCAAATCACCTCAGACCTGTCCGTGAACCCGTCCCCGGAGATCGCCTCGCTCACCTTCGGCACCAACGGGTGGACCAACAACATCGTCCTCACCCTCGACCAGACGACCGGTGCGCTGCAGTCCTCCGTCTACCGCGGGAGCGACTGGGCCGTGCAGGCGGCCTCGCTGGACGGCAGCCCGGACGGCGTGGTCGACGACGGGTTCTCGGCCGTCGCGGTGACGCAGACGATGAGGATGTTCGCCATCGGCAAGGTCGACGGGGTGATCAACGAGTTTCAGACCAACATATCAAACCCGTTCCAGTGGGAGTGGCAGGGCGTCGTGGATGTCCCGGTGGCGGAGAGTGATGACAGGGATTGAACACAGATGATGTGGTGGCTGCTGTCCAGGCGCGTCAAGGGAGAGTAAGATGGGGTTGCAAGTGTGGCCATATCGCACACGGCAGTCCTTAAGTAGCTCATGATCACGCGACGGTCAATGGCGGAGGAAGACAAGACGTGCGTCTGTCAGGTACCAATTACTCTGCCGTCACTACGTCTCGGGAGACAGCCACAAGCGTACAGAACAGCTCCTGCGTTGCCAACAAATCAACACCGGTTCATGGTATTTTCAGCATAGCAAGCATTGTTTTTGGGATATGTAGTTACAAGCATGTTCAATCTATGTACAATAGAAAGGCGACACACAGTCAGAAAATCCAACGTGGTCGCTGCTGCGATGCTTAAGTGCACATCGGCACAGGGAAGGTGTCGTAATTAAGCAGGAATCTTGCTCTTCACGAAAGTGAGAGCCTGCTGCCCGTATTCACTTCCATAGCCCTGGTGAGTGGCAGCGTTGTTCCCGTTACAGCAGTAAGGGTCAGCTGCGTCGCAGTACGACTTGATCTTGGCGGCATTGGGGCATGAGAAACCAGAGGGGCGGGCATCGAACTAGGGGGTCAAGAAAGTTAGCAAATGCAGGAATATATACACAAGGCAAAGACACTTACCCCTCCAGCCTTGCAAGTGCCAACCTCGTATGACAGGCCAGAAACGAAGCGAGGGTCGCCCATAAAGATAGCTGCCTTGATCTGCGAGACAGCGGCCGAAGACAAGGGAACGGCGGTGCTAGTAATACCCTCGGCGGTATCTCCACCCCTGTAGCATCTGGAGTTAGCTATTGAGGTACCGAGGAAAGATATTTTAGACGAGTTTGGGGGGGGGGGAGGAGTAGGCCCCGATGTAACCCAGCTTCAAAGCAAGGAGTGACAGACTGCGAGGGTAGTACACCTTTCACCGGACAAGGAAAATCATAACCGGAGGCTGCTTACCCGCAAAATGCGTCATCGAAGATCTGGCCTCCCTGGGAGTAACCCACGAGCACGAGCGAAGTGCTGGGGCACTTCTTGTTGAAAGCGTTCACTGCGCTAACGACGGCAGACACGCCCTGCTTGACGGAGTCCGCATAGCTGACACTTCCACAAGACGCCTGGCCTCCACATGCGGGATAGCTGATCGCCTCGGAGGTAGAGCCGGAGTAGGTTTGTGTGATCAAGTTGACAACGGTGCCAGACGAGCCAAATCCAGGAGACACAGTTGTCTCACGGGCACCAAAGACGTGGACGCCTGGGCAGGATTGGCGCTCTTGGATCTCGGGAACGGGGTTGCCCGCGGCGAGGAGTGCCTGGGTTGCTGCGAGGACGAGGGTATTGGCCTTCATTGTAACGAAAGTGGAATAGAGAAACGTGTGGAGCGAGCGGACAAGGTGCTGGAAGACAGAGTCTCTCGTCGATATGTTTGAGAAGTGTAGATCATCAAGGGCCAAGGGCGAGGTGAGAAGTGCTTTATACGCAGTAGGCCGACTCCTGTTCTTGCTGGCGAGTCGTCGTCGAATTTGGAAAGGGGGCACGAAATGGTGGAGAAACAAGCTCCAGTCACGCCCCGGCAGATGAGCTTGGGTCACATTCCGCTACCCCGTTGAGCCTCTTCTTTTTTTCTCCTTAAGGCAGGCATGCCGTCTGCCGACGACGGTTGCAAATTAACGAGGGCGTAAAAAGCTCCGTGGAGGAAACATGCCTTCAAGGATGTCATAGGCAAAATGCTCTAGCGCGGTTGGGCCGAACCACGTTTTGGACAGAGCGTAGTCTTGTGATCTTCGAGCTCATCCGCAAAAGGTGGCATACCGGCATCCTTGAGTGAGGTTCGGATTTGTGGATGTCTCCATAAGGAAAAGTTCCGGTCTGAAACAATCTAGCAAACAGCCTGAACAAGCTGGCAGGCTGTAATAAATTAGCGTTCGATGCTGATGAGGTCAACCACCCATTATAGCCATTGTGGGTGGATTTCTCAGGGGTGTGGACAGGTCCGTGTGCTTAGCGTCCGGGGCTGACATGACTTGACCGCAGTACCGTTGCCCTGAATGCTATCTGAGACAGGGACAGGGCCGATTCATTTCGGCTGATTTCAGTCCAGTTTTATGCATAATGGAGGCTCATGGTCCGTATCTGTCAGGCATAACTACCAATCCAACCGCTGCATATGGCGTCGAGATCGCTCCTGCACACGCGTTATTCCCAATTAACAGAGATGACGTTAGCACTATACAAATCTGGATGATCTAGCATATGCAGCAAAGCTTAGCTCGCCCTACCGGCTTTTGAAGCCCAGTACCGATAGCCGTGCAGCAACCGTGAAAGAATTCTGGGCGCGAAATCCAGATGTCATCTCATCGGTCAATGCTTGACCAGGGCCTTGCACAGCGACCAGTGGTGCCGAAGCGTCGCGAGTGAGACAAAACAATGACCACGGAAGAAGTCTCCTGGCCCAGAAAAGATCGTGGTTCAGAACCGCAGGCGTGCTCTAGGCAGTATAGATAATGGCAATGACTGGGACTGGACCGGTGTCATGCCAGGAAAAGGCGACCAGAGGGTACTAGAACACGTCCCACAAGCTCACCTTGCCGTCCTTGCTTCCAGTTGCCAACCAATGTGCATCCGTGGCTTGTTTGACTCTCCTCTCCTTGACCGTCATTTTGAGCAGCCGCGGAACCACCGTTGTCGTCGAAGCAACATCGTCATCAGTTGACTTGCTTTGTGTGTCTACGTCGTGACTGGACTCGTGAAGAGTAGTGTCTGCAAATGCTACAGAGAAACAACCAACCGCGTGCCATTTGAGGACAGCGACTTCGCGCATTGACTTGGTCGAGTAGACTCGTGTCTTGGAGTCCCAGCCTGCGGTGGCAAAGACACGCCCGTCAGATCTGATCCTGAGTCCCTGTTGACCAGAGTGCTTGGTATCGAGGACCTTGATAGGCTGAGTCTTGATCTCGGATTTCTCAAGAGGCACTGGACGGGCAGCTGACTTCTGGCTGCCTAGCAGCGCGGAGAGAGCGGAGCTTGGCTGCTTCTTTTCTGTGTCTGGTTCTCCGTTCTGCTCCTCTTTCGAAGGCATGTCTTTGGAACTGATCTCTGGAGGGGCGGTCTCAGGCGCGTCTCGCTCCGTGTCTGCGATAGGAGGCGCTGGCGGAAGGAGGGGATGCTTTGCGATGATGGCGTCGGCACCTGTGGTCAGGAAATAATCTCGATTCGGTGCGACGTCGAGTGAAAGGATAGGTTGGCTGTGGCTTTTGTTGCGGTATATGGCGGCCCAGGAGCCATCTCCACTGGGACCGAGTTGTGCAACAACAGCCAGCCCGTTCTCATAGCCGACAATCAGTGTGAGCACATCGCCCAGCCAGACAAGCGCAAGTGCCATGGCCATGCCATTGTCTTGACCCAGCCTGACAGTGTGAATGCGCGTCTGGGACGGCAGATGGTATATATCGACAGCCTCGGAAGCCAGCGTATTGGGAACGGCAAGCAGTAGCTCTGAGCCCAGTATTGATGGTTTCTCAGATGAAGAGGCTGGTGTGGCTGATGCCGCCGCTGGTAACGCGGAGGACGAGGTGGGACAGGAGGCGAAAGAGCAGAAGTTCATGGTGTTGACCTCGAGGAGGTGTAGCATCCAAGGCTTGGGCCTCAGCTCAGTCACTGGATCCAAAGGCAACGTTGAGCTCAGAGCAGACTCGTCATCCGAGGTCAGCCTCCAGACGATGAGCTTGTTGTCCCTCCCATGGGTGATGATCTTGTCGGGCGCCCACCCTGCTATGCCCAGGATCGCATCGCCATGAGCCTGCCACACGGCCCTAGGCCTCATGATGGCCAGATCCCAGGCGACTACGAAGCCATCGGCGTCCCCGGTGAGAAGGCGCTGGTTGGACCTGATGAAGGCTGCAGCGTGGACCTGGGCTTTGTGGCCACGGAGGATGGCCCTGGGTTGGGGAGGGAGGGCAGGATCCTGGCCTTGAGCTTGGTTGGACATGGCTGCTTAAGGTCAAAAGCTCTACTCAAGCGACTTTGTACATGTCATGGCGTTGCTCGTCGAAGTCTGCTGGCAAGGATTCAGGAGGAGATTGCCGTGTTTCGGGAGGTTGCAGAAGCAGACACAGACGCAGACGCAGACGCAGACGCAAGATGCAGATGCAGATGCGGTTTCTCGATAAAATTGGTGTACCATGCAGCTGGAGTAGGGCATGGGATAAGCAAGACGAGGAGAGGGTGTGAGGTGAGTTGAGATGGGACGGACTGGGATGAGATGGAGGCTCTCTGTCTCGCGAGCCGTTGTCTGTTGATGTTGATTGAGGCTGGCAGGTGAAGCCGTCAGCGACGATGCTGCTGTCTTTTCCTGCAAAGCCTACTGAGTAGTCACGGTCCAGCCCCACGGATCCCCCATTCCACGGCAGGAGCCAAGTACCTCGGTACCTCCGCCCGCAAACTGCCAGCGACTGCCAAGAACACCATGGACCTGGACCTGGACTTGGACTCGAATACCTTGACTACCCCATCAGCACCTGGGCATACAGGCGTTGAAGAACAAGTCTCTGGGGGACATGAGCATTGCTGCTAGAGTGACGCCGTACCTTACAGTTCTGCAGCCACTTCTTTGTGGTTTCTCAAACTTGCTTCTTCCCTGCCGGCGACTGGCTGCTCCCACTTGCCGACATTCCCCAAGCTGCCAATACGGGCCCGACTCTGCAGGTTGGCATCGTGAAACGAGGTGCCATTGCTTGGCAGCTCCATTCATGCGACCCGATCTCCTTCCTCTCGACGGCCCCCTGCGCCTTCTTCTGCACTGCAGATGTTTCTCTCGTCTGTCGCTTTGGCCTCGTGTCGATCCGGGCCTGAAATTGGGCAACAGGAGCTCATGACGCCAGCGCAGCTTTCTTAACCGGGGAATTTGGGGGAGGGTCGCCTGCCCCCTTGCCTCCGCGCCTCTCTGCGCGTACAAGCCCACGACAGACAGTTGTGACTGCTGCGATCCAGAACCATTGTGTCGTGTCAAGTGCGAATCGGGCCGGACAAGGCGATGCCACGCTGGTTCTGGACCACAGCCTTGGGAACCCTGGCAATGCACAACACATCGGGGAATTTTGCAGCGGGAGACGGCACCCGGCACTCATCCCCTGCCCAGCTACCACTACTGTGTATGACTAGGCGGTGGCTTTTCAGCCCTGGGGGAAGGGAGGGTGCAATCACATTCACTGTGTGTGTCTGTCAGCCAGGGGTCTCCACAGCGGGCTGAGCGGGCGAGCCCGACCCGGAGAATGGAACCTTATTCTATTAATGTGTTTTACCACCCACACCTGCAAGTACGGCCACGATGGCTTCGCTCTATGCATCATCGCCTCGTGATGCCTCACATGTCTCGATACTGAGGCGTGCAGCGAGAGCATAAGGCGCGCAGTGCATGTTGTCGACAGACTGTGATCCCAATCGGCAACCATACCAGGTGTGATTAGCCATAGATGCCCCCTATCTACCACTTCAAGCTCGCCAGTGCACCATCCAAATAAACATGACTTCGACCTAGTGCCTTCTTTCTGGAGATGTACACACGCCTCGCACACACCTTTCATCTATCATGGAGTGGGAATGGCATTCCCCCACGCTTCGACTCGGTCTAGGTGCGCTCATGGCTGCCCACCCACCCAGCTTTGGTCCAGGGATTGGCGATCCATGCAGCAACGTACCACAACACTAACTGCGCCCATCTCGAGTCTTTACACCTCTTCTCCTCGAGGGCCTCGCAACAGGATTCCGCAAACTTCTCGTGCGATTTTTCGTGAAGCTTCAGCCTTCTTTTTATTTGGAAGCCAAACAGGCCACGCACTCCGGCCAGCCTCTGCCAAGAATGTGCTGTGTGTCATGGTGGCTCGGAAAGGCTTTCCCTCCGTCTCATCTGGCCAACTGCAAAACATCGGCCGATACAGCACAACGGCTCCGGCCTGTCTCCACTATGCACTTTCGGGACGATCTACTGCCGAGTTCAGAGTCCACTGCAGGCAATTTGGCCTCCTCCTTCGCCGTGACAGCGGCCGGCGGCGATATATAGTAGAATGAGCACGAGGGAGGCTCGCTGCACCTGCCCATCTGCCCACGTGACTGATTGTCTTGGGGAGGAGCTCGTGTTCGAGGCACAACGCCCTCCATCTGCAAAGGTGTCGTAATGCGTGCATCTTTGCTTCTCCGGGACTCGACACGAAATTCGCCCCGGCAGGCCCACAGTTGCCCCTGCTGACTGGCCGAGTGGAAATGGACGATCAAACATTGACAACATTGCGAAGAATGTTTCGTCCACCAACGTTCCGCACTTTTTAAACGGGCAGAGATCCCTGCACGGACATGCCAAAACAAGACTTGAGGTCGCAGCACCTGAGTCCTCTGGCCTCTGCGCCTGCAGCGCTGTGCATGGTCATGGCAGGTGTGTGATCAGTCTCGCGAATGCTGCAAGACCAAGCTGGGCAGCCCAAGCGCGCAACACCCACACCGCCGCCGCCTCGGCATGTCTCGCTGCACGGCAGGCCCGCAAGCGCCTTCTCACATGAAAGACTTGACGGGCAAGGTGTTGCTCTGAGAGCCGACGGATGCTCCCTCTTGGGATCCAAGTCTCTCTCCTGACTAGATATCGCAACTTTTCCCAGGCGGAAGCTGTTACCCTGGACCCAGTGGGGGCTTGTTTCTGAAGCTCACGACCTGGGGATTGATCCTCACTGGAACCCCGGGCCCTGTTCTCCAGAAAACCGTATGCGACCCCACCCCGGGCTGCGGACACTAGCCACCAGCAGGGAGAGCTCCTGGAGAGGCCTGTGCTTGTTGGCTCTTGACTGGTCTAAATGCAGAGCTACTGCCGCTCAAGCGACCTCCATCCCTCGGGAAGAAATCCCGAGGCCTAGATTTTCCCAGAGTCTCGACTTCGAGGACAACGATCAAGCCTTTTTTTCTGTGTCTCTGAAGCTCTTCGGTGACTGTCGTCCCAAGCAGAGCTCCTCATTTCCCGGGACACAGTCTGTACCACCGTGCAAGACTGATGCTCCGGCACCACCTCGAACGCCCAATTGTCTCTCATACTGGGTGAGCATTTCAAATTGCGCGAACCGTGTGCGACGCACTCTCAGCTGGGCCCCCAGGCCATATCACCTCAAGATCGATTCTGGACAATCTCAGGCGCCTAGACTGCGCCCCGGACGAGATTGTCAAGGACTCCACGTGTTATCAGAGCTGCCTCTTCCTTCACCATGGGCGCTCAGTAGGCATCGACGGCTAGCCCGGAGGTTCACAACAGTGATTCTCCCTTCGACTTTCGCGCCCAGCCCAGTCGAGGACTAGGAAGAGAACAGTCACAGACGCCACAAGTCGTCACAACCTGTCGTTCCCGTGCCCAGTTCGACGCACTGCGGTGAGAGTAAAGCCTTGGTCACATGGGGCGCACCCGCTGTGCGTTCCTGCTTAAGGTCTTGCAACCTACCGGCCCTTTTCCATATTCCAAACGTCCCCAGAATCTTCGGCAGGTTGATGCCGATCTCCCGGCCACGAATACTACGGCTTGCGATCCCTGGGCCACGACATTTGGCATACTCAGATATCAAACTTGCCGCTCCAACCTCACCTTGGCTTGGACGGCTACTCCACGGCCGCCACCAGGCGCCGGATCCCACGAGCGAATTGTGAGCTTCTTGCAGACTCTGGAATGAGCAGGACAACAGCCGAATCACTGCCCATGCTCTTTGACCCATCGGAACAGATACAACACCCTCACCTTCACCCTCAGTTCCGACCACCATCATTCTGTTTGGTTCACGTCAGCCATCGGCTCGGATATTTTGAGAATTTTGCGAGCGGCCGAGTCGTAGGCTGCCCGCTCTCTTCATCTCTGCTCTCGTTTCTGTCCCCACACCGTCCTCCTCGTGCCACCGGTCCACTCCAGGCCGGTACGGCACGGCACGGCCCTTGCGCCGCAGCCCCTTTCCCTTTCAGCCCGGGATATCAGTAGCCGTGGCGGCTTACGGGGCACCTCCTGGTGCTGTCTCGTCGGGCTACGGCCCTGACGCAGGCACAGTGGTAGCTGCACGTCAGCGGCATCAGTCTAATTCTCGCGGCCAACACCATCCCTCGATTCCTCCCTCACCATATTCAGCTCATCACAACTTGTCTGGCCCGCAGCCGAATCCCTATTCCCCTTACGGAATCGACAATGCCTCGCCGACATACACCACGAGCGCTAGCAGCGGTGGGGGGAACTACACCACAAGTCCAGCGCCACATGGCCATTTCGAAATGCCGGCTGCCAAACGCCAAAGGGTGTCTGATGCAGGTGTCTCACGGCGACCTAGTCAAACGACTGCCCATTCGGCAACTGCCAGCCCCAGAAATCCGCATGCGGTAGATGGCGCGACTCCTCCTTCCTTCTCTAGAGGCAACGAGGCATCCACAGGGCGTGGGAAGGCTGCAAGTCGACAGGAGAGCGAAACCAGGGACCTGGGCCCGCCAGCAGTATCGCCAACGGTGGCCAAGCCAAAGCGTGTGCGGACGGGATGCTTGACATGCAGGAATCGGCACCTCAAGTGTGACGAGGCCTTGCCTACCTGTCTAAACTGCCAGAAAAGTAATCGCAAATGCGAGCGTGGTGTGCGGCTTAATTTCATAGATCTCAAGGTGGAGCAACCGCCGGTTTTGCTACCACCAGTAGATTGGAAAGGTAAGCTCGACCAACAGTCCATGGAACACTTTCAGCATGGCCAGACGTGAAAGAACAGCGCTAACGGATACTCTGCAGTCAAATTTCAAGATGAATCTCGACAGATCGCTTCGGAGTATGTTGGAGGTGCAGCAAGATACGCAAAACTAACTTCGCGACCAGCCACACCTTCACGGGAGACACCCGGAGCAGGATCACGAGCCCAACGTCCAGGAGCCCCCGGAGACCCAAGCTCCAGCCGAGGTATGGAAACCAACAGGACTGCGCCGTTCGCACCTACGCATGCAGTATACTATCCAGGGGCACTGCCTCGCCCTATGCACGAGCAGACTTTCACGAGCTACGAGGACCAATTAGCCCACACCCATTCACGGAAGAGCAGCGACGCATTCCTTGCCTTGAGCTCTGGACCAACACCTGGATCATCGCATTCGGGCGGCGGCGGCAGAGCACCATCCTTCAGCTTGGGCCCGCTGCACGATCCGTACGGCATGCGGGAGGAGGCTTATCAGACAGGTTACGGATACAGATCGGGCGACGGATCCAGCGTAGCATCCTCGCTCGTCCCTCAGGGTGTTGCTGCCTCCTCTTCTGGGTCCTACCGACACGCCACAGGATCTGGCGCTCCCGACCCGCACGACGGACTCATGACACCACAGTCGGAGAGAACCGGAGAACGGGACTACTTGAATACGCCAGAGGAAATTCATTATATGCAGGTCTTCATCGAGGACGTGGCGATATGGATGGACAGCCTAGACAACCAGAAGCATTTTGGCCGCATTATCCCATACCTGGCGCTGAAATCGCCCATGCTGCTCAATGCCTTCTTTGCCTGCGGTGTGAAGCACCTGACTCTGGTGGACGGTGGCAGCTACAAGGACGACAGGGCGTTGTATTACTACGATACTGCGACGACACAGCTCCTCAGAAGTCTGCAAAATCCGGAGCGCGACACGGAGGAGTGCGCGACCACTGCAGTGGTGCTGAACGTGTACGAAATCATGAGTGAACGGCCAGCAGCCAGGATGAATCACATCGCCGGGGCAAGAGCTTTGATTCGCGAATGCAAGTGGAACGCTAAGAGCACGGGGATCGGAGCCGCATGTTTCTGGCTCAATGTTGGAATGGAGATTCTGAGTTGCCTAGGATCCAACTGGGAATTAGCATGGGACCCGGACCACTGGGGCATTGATCCAAACGAATTGATGAACATGACCCCCGACCCGCCAGGCCGCGAGGGCAAGACGTCGAATACGAGCGAAACCGGCCATCATATGACAGCGGCAGCAGCCGAGGAGTTACCGTTTTTTTTAAGCAGCATTGCTGGAGTTGGGAACGAGGAGATCTGGGTTCACAGGATACTGTACATTGTGGCCAAGGTAGCCAATTTCAGGGCGAGCATACCACAGCTCCACGAGCCGAATCCGAATCCGCATGACGAACAGGTCAAGCTGCAGGGCCGCTTTCAGGAATGGCAGCAATTGAAGCATTGGTGCGATACATGGAATGCCAATTGTCCAAGGTCGTTGAGGCCGTATGGTTATCTCTTTGCGGCCTCGACAAAGTCGGCATTCCCAAATGTCTGGTACGTAACTCGCTACGTTCTTGCTCCTTCACCAGCAGCACAACAACATCCGATATCAGTTATTCGTACTAACCACGAAATACAGGCTCATCAAGCGCGTCGCCATTGTCGGCCGCCTGTTCTACCACACTGCAATGTGCCTCCTCGCCCAGATCAACCCACTGAGGCCTCCCCATCACGACGACGAGGAGTCAAGAATCCAGCAGCTCCACCATGCCCATCAAGTCTGCGGAATCATTGCGCACACCAAGGACGCTGGTGTCTCGTCCGTTGCAATCAGGTCTCTCGCCATCGCGGGAGCCGTGCTGAGGGACCCCAGGGAAGAACGAGGTCCTGGCAATGGTGAACCGGATCTACCGCATGACGGGGTGGAATCTCAAAGGAATAATAGGAGAGCTTCGGAGGGCATGGGCCTGGGACCCGCCAGATGTGCCGCCCAGCACGGCGACTTCGACAGGCCAGTCCCTACCATCGCATATTACCTCCGCGCCTGTCATCGCCCCTGTCGCACAGGGCGGAACGCTGGGAGCAGCGGCGGTGATCAGCCAGCTCTTCGGGCCGCGCGACTCGTCGGCGCAGTCCGCGATGCAGCAGCAACAGCAGGATGACGGCCGGCGCACGTCGCAACCGCCCCTCCCACCGGTCTTGCCCTCCGCGGCGGTGGCAGCAGCAGCAGAGCGCCACCGCCTCGCCTCCCTCACGAGCAACCCGCCGCCGCCCGTGCTCCCGTCGTACTCGATGTTCTCGGCGGCGTCCGCCAACACGGCAAGCGGAGGCGGCGCGAGGCACGGCAGCATCACGAGCAGCAACCACCCCAGCCCCGGCCGGCACGGCGCACACGCCCGCGTCGGTTTCGAGCACCGCGGCCAACGCGCCGACGCCGCCGTCGCGGCCGATGGTCAACCCGCTGCTCGCGCAGGCGGACTTCAACCAGCCGAACCACCCGTACCGGGAGTGGTACAAGCCGCCTGAGAAGGGGAGCGGCTCGCACCACTCGTTTGGGTCGGGCGGAGGGGGTCTCTGGCCTTACTAGGACGGCAAGGAGTAGTGTTCTCCTTTCTGGCTGGCCTGGGCGAGGCGCTAGGACGGGGTTTTGGCCACATGCCTCCTTGGAGCAAGGGTGGAGGTAATCGAGTGGATCTTTTCATCGTATGTTGGTATATATCAACCTGGCGTTTTGTCTGGGATTCGAGGGATGGTCTTGCATGGCATGGCGTGAGCAAGCGTATCGCGACGGGGGTTTCCTTTTGATTTCAAGGGAAGCGGGTCAAGTTGCGGCCCCCTCACTGGTGAGAGGGACAAATAGGTTGTGCATGATACCCATTATTATCAGCAGGTAGCAAAGCGAAGAATATAGAAGCAGGATTTTCGGGATGAATACAAGAATTCTGTGAGAATCTCCGATTTAGGCTGTTTCATGTGCTTGGAAGAATGCGAACTAGCTCACGTTTCGAGGCAGATGCCAAAAGTGTGGTCATTCTTCCTTCTTCCCGAGGAGGGTTGTCGCGATTTGTTGATTGGCACACATCGAATTGCAATTCTATGATTACGAGGACAGTCAGCGACCCAGCCGCCTTGATAATTGTCAATTAAGAGGAGCATCAGGGTTGTTCGGATCTGTGGTGTGACGGCAAGACAAGCACCCAGCCTCAACTCAACATTCGTTGCACAACTGTATCTGTTCGTCTGTCTAGATGTATTTTGGCTCTATGGTCGTCTTCCCTTGACCTTCGCGGTGTTTCAGTAGCATTTATATACTTTACCCCAGCCGTGCTCTATACATCAGACACAAATGCATCAACAAAACAGTAACTATGCGGTCCCCGAACATCTCCTCGACCCGCTCCAATTCACACTCAAACTTTTGGTGCCTCTTTAACCGTCACTGTCTCCGTCTCGGCTGTCTCCTTCATACTGGGGTCTGACTCGACGCCCTTGGGCGGGACGACAATACCATAGGTGCTGTAAGGGAAGTCGACCAGGTTCTCAAGGTACTGTGCCCACCCGTCGTCGATCTCCCCCAGCTGGTGCTCATCGACGCCCACGCCGGCCTCGCCCGTCCGCCCAGCCAGCACCTCGGCCTCGCGGCCGGTGTACTGCTCCTTCAGCCCCGGGTGGGGGCACCAGATGACGCGCATCCCGGCCCTCCTCCCCGCCTCGACGCCGGGCACGCTGTCCTCAAAGACAAGGCACTCCTCCGGCTTGATCGGCGGCTCGCCCGGGGGCAGCGTCGAGTTGACCGTCTCCAGCGCGAGCAGGTAGATGTCGGGCAGCGGCTTGCCCCGGCCGGGCTGTATCCTCTTGTCATCGCCCAGGACGCGGTGCGGCGACTGGAAGACGGAGAAGAGGTCCGTCAGGTGGTTGGTCTTGAGGGCGAAGTTGCCGCTGTGGCTCGACGTGGCCAGGGCTATGTGCACCCTCTTTGCTGCGCCCTTCTCGCCGCCCTTCACGTCCCAGTATCTCGTCCTGCCCAGGTCCTCGAGGAGCTGCTCGACGCCGGGCAGGGCCTTGGCGCTGGGGAAGTGCTCGCGCTGCAGGGCCGAGTACTCGTCCATGTACTGGTCGTTGGAGATGGGCAGGTTGGCCCAGGTGTGGAAGAGCTCGTTCGCCTGGGGGCCGGGGCGGCCCTGGAGCTTGGCCTTGATGGACCATGGCAGCGGCGGGCGGCCGTACTTGGAGAGGAGGATGTTTATGCAGTCGGTGTAGATGTCTTCGGTGTCGAGGAGCAGTCCGTCCATGTCGAAGAGGCAGGCCCGTATGGGCGGGAAGCTGGTACACGGTCAGTCTGTCAGTCCAGGGTAGGCACAAAGGTGCATGCACAAGCAGGGACTGACTCTGTTCGGGGGGCCATTCTGGTGCTTAGCAGCTAGAGGAAGGAGGGAAGAGAGGTGCCTTCCAAGATTGGACAAATTCGACGTCTTGTACGGTTCTCGTCAGAGCGTGGCGTGGTGTGAAGTGTCATCTCAGCATGGGGGCCTATACAATACCACTATGGAAATCGCAGTCATAGTCATCGGCAACCAACCACTTGCTTACATGGAGGGGCATGCTGGGAGCTCAAGGATCCCAAGCTCAATCTGGTGGGGTTCAGACAGGGGTCTCAGGCTGTGGGGTCCAAAGTGAAAGACGTATATCGTCATAGCCTTGCTTGCCTGCCCATTCACCTTTTTTTGATTTGGTCATGGACAACCACACTCAACCTTTCTTGCTTGCGTTGCTCTTCTGTACCCTGACTTTTCTCTTCTGCTAGGAGGAGCAGGTCCGTCACGATGTCTGGCAAAATCTCCGCCGCAAACCCTACCGAGTACATCAAGAAACCGGACCCTGAGGACGATGTAAACAATGGCGTTACTTCCCAGGAGGAGCCCGAGCCTGTAAGGTTCTCGCCTGAGGAAGAGGCAGTGAGTACAGCTGATTATACTATTCCACCACAAGCCGGCTCTATCTGGTCTTTCTGACAAGATTATCCCGTACAGGAGCTTCTCGACGAGTCAAACACACACAAGACCGAAGCAAACACCCTCTTTACCTCGGGCAAGTACGACGCTGCCATCTCCAAGTACGACGAGGCTGTCGCCGTCTGCCCCAACTACCTCGACTTCGAGCTCGCCGTCCTCAAGTCGAACGTCTCCGCGTGCTACCTCAAGCTGCAGGAGTGGAAGAACGCCAACACCGCCGCCACGGCCGCCCTTGAAAAGCTGGGCAAGCTCGAGTCCCAGCTTGCAGAGGAGGAGAAGGCCGCTGCCGATGCCAAGGCGAAGGAGGAGGAAGAGATCGAGGACGAGATCATCAGCCCCGGTGCCGAGAAGGCGGGCCCGCCAGTCCCAGCAGACGAGAAGGAGGACCCGGCCCAGGTGGCTCGTGACAAGAAGAGGGAGGACATCAAGCGCATACGGTACAAGGCCCTGATCAGGCGCGCCCGCGCCCGGAGCGAGGAGGGCGGATGGACAAACCTCTCCGGCGCGGAGGAGGACTACAAGCTCCTGGCCAAGATGGACAACGTCAGCCCCGGCGACAGGAAGCTTGTGCAGCAGCAGCTGAAAGCGCTACCGGCACGCGTCAACGAGGCCAAGGAGAAGGAGACTGCTGAGATGTGGGGCAAGCTGAAAGACGTGAGTGAGACTTAGGTTCACATTCCTTCTTCTCATCGGCGATCGTATCTTTTGATGACTGACCTTGCCTTGTCCCATAGCTCGGCAACGGAATACTGAAGCCGTTCGGGCTGTCGACGGAGCAGTTCCAGATGGTTCAGGACCCAAAGACTGGAGGATACAGCATGAACTTCAAGTCGGACTAGAAGACGAGTCACCCATCCGTCTAGGCCCTCCCCCGACAGGTATATGCAGAATCATCTCCGAATCCTTCCGGCATCAATGTGTTCTTACCACACACTCTGTCCACCTTGTGTCGAGCCCAAGTTGCCGAATAAGGCACAACTACTGAGAGGCACCTCGATGTTGAACTTCCTAGGGAACATCAGCTGGTACTGAAAGAGAGGCTTTGATATAAACCAGTGGTCCCATGATATCACATTCGGCATGGCGATGACACATGGGAACGAGGAGATAAGTCTTTTGGGCGAGTGCTGCAATTTGAATATCCCACGCCCGGAGAATTCAATACCAGAGGACACCAGTGGATAGTGGCCAACAGTGCGAGGCCAAAACCTGATATTACACCTGTCGGGTGTGGTTGCAGTGGCATCTCGATGCAGATGAGGACCTCTTCCGGCCGTCCAACAGCACGGCAAGAGAGATGCAGGATCGATGACAAGAGCGTCCTTTTAGACCCATAGGAAGATATGAGCGTCTTTTGTAAGCACGCCTCTATAAGGCCTTGACCTGGCGCACAAATCTGGGAATGTTCTTGGTAAACTTGGCTGGGTCATCCCTCGCGCCGTCCTTCCAATACTCATACTCAATCCACGCATTCTCAGGCATCTGCTCCTCCATCGCCGCCATCCAGTTTCCCAGGTCCTTTGACAGCGGGACCACGCCCGTCTCCAGCACGTACTGATCCCACAGCTTGATAAGCTCCTTCAGCCTCTGCGGCTCTTGGTCCGCCAGATCGTGGATCTCGCCGGGGTCCCTCACCAGATTGTATAGCTGCCACTTCTCCGGGCCTTTGGGCTTCGGAATGAACACGATCTTCCAGTCCCCCTTCCGCACAGCTGCCCGTCCGCATGTCTCCCACCCGTTCACGAAATCCTTCTCGTGTATCCTCCCAGCTTCTTCTTTCAGGTACGGCATCATACTCTTACCTCGCATACTAACGACCTCCCTGCCCTGGTAAAGAGGTGCCGGGTGCTTGACGCCAGCCATGTCCAAAATTGTTGGCGCAAGGTCCATTACCGTGCTAAACTGGTGCGTGACGCCACCCTTCTCAAGGCTCCCCTCCCACTGCTTCGGCACCTTCATCATGAAGGGCACGCGCACGCCTCCCTCGGTCGTGTAGGCTTTGTATAACCTCGAAGGAGCCGTTGCGGCCTGAGCCCAACGGGGGCCATACCAGATGAAGGAATCGCCGTTGCCGAGGTTGTCGATGTGGTTGTTGTAGTACTTCTTGAGGTGCTGTATCATGCTCCCCTGCACGATGGGGTACGCCTCGTACGCCGCGCCCTCGGCGCCGTTGTCGGACAGGAAGCACACGAACGTGTCGTCCAGCTCGCCCACGGACTCGAGGTAGTCGACGACCTTGCCGACGTTGGCGTCTATGCACTCGACCATGCCCGCGAACACCTCCATTGCGCGGCAGCTGTTGGCCCTCTCCTCGTCGCCCATCTCGGCCCACTCCTTGACCTCGTCCGCGACGACGGGGTGCGGCTCCACGTTCTGGTCCACCATGCCCAGCTCTTTGAGGCGCTGCAGGCGCCTCTGCCTCAGCGCGTCTGGGCCGCCGTCGTAGACGCCCCTGTACTTTTTTATGTACTCTTGTGGCGCCTGCAGGGGCCAATGCGGCGCGGTGAAGGGGAGGTAGCCAAAGAAGGGCCTCCTCTCCTCCCCGGCCTTGCCCTCGCTCTCCTGCTTCCACTCCTTGAGGTACGACAGCATCCTATCCCCGTACCCATCGCTGGAATACCAGCCCTCGGGTAGCTCCTTCACGTACTCCCCGTCCTCGCTGTGCAGCGCGATAAAGGACATGGTCATGAACTCGGGGATCTTGTCCTGGCCCTGCAGCTGCGGCTCGTACCCGTAGTGGTTGCTGCAGGCGGGCAGGTGCGCGAGGGACCTCTCGAACCCCCTCGCCCGCGGGGACCGCTCCGGGGTGAGGCCCAGGTGCCACTTGCCCGCCATGAGGGTGAGGTAGCCCTCGTCGCGCAGGATCTCGGGCAGCGCGGCGACCCGCTCGTTGAGGTAGCCCTCGTAGCCCGGCATCCCGCGCTGCGGGGCGGTGGACATGCCGCCGTTCGGGTCGTTCTGCCCGCTGATGTTTGTCCACTCGATGAGGTTGCCCAGCCCGGCGATGTGGTGGTCGGTGCCCGTGAGGATCATGGCGCGGGACGGGGAGCATGCCGCCGCGGCGTGGAAGTCTGTGAAGCGCAGGCCGGTGGCGGCGAGCTTGTCGAGGTGGGGCGTGTTGATCTCGCCGCCGAAGGGGGCTACGTCGCTGAAGCCCAGGTCGTCGGCGACGATGACGAGGAAGTTGGGGCGCTTTCCGGGAGCCATGGGCGGTGTCTTGGTTGGAGTCACAGGTAATAGAGTGGTCCTGAAGGTTAGGAAATGTACGCCCGAGAGTGTGACAATATGGGTACAACGTGTACTGAACTTTTCGAACGTTGAAGACGCGAATCAAATTGGAAGCTGGTACAGTGAAAGATTGCTACACAGTACTATCATTCTCCCTGTGGTGTTTACATTTGGAACCAGCAACCCCACATGTGGTTGCGCGGCATGAGATGTCACTTACATTGCGTCTACGCACCTATGAGACGTGTTCGAGAGAACAAGTTCCAGCTGATCACTCCCTACCACGAAGAGGGGAAGTCGGGCCATTACTCACATTGATTCGCTCCTGTGCAACAGCTGGTCTCCTCCCTCCTGCAGGCCTTACGCTCTGATATTCCCCGGGTCGCGGCGGCCCCGCATCAGCACCCTTCCTCATCAATTGCAGACATGTGCTGCTGTTGTGGCAGGGACCGACTTCCAGCCGATCCCTGGAAGTCGGTCACATTGCAGGTTCGGGAGATGTGACGAACTGGCAACCCGGGATGCGGGGGCAGGATGTCGGTTAGACACGACTTTACTCTCCTGGGGTTTAACCCACCTGTTTTCTTTTCTGACTGGCTGGAAATGACATGATTGCCGGGGCTGGTCACGACTACTCATGATAGTGAAGAAGGCTCACCTAGTAGCTAGTAGGGAAATCCACGGTGTCGCTCATGCATGTCAGAGCAGCTAAGTCATGGGGGAAACCAGAGTTGAAGAAGCCAACCGAGGCCGGCCAGCGAATGGCAGGCTTGGTGTAGCATTTCCTGGCGAGACAGGGAGAAGGTTTTCGGCTGGGTTGGGGAATCATACTGCAGGTGTGCAGGAATGCGTCAGCTCCCGCATGACCTTCAGACAGGTACCCAGCACAGAATGGATTGAACAAACTTCAGCAGAGGAAATGTGTGCTCACACTTTTTTTCCTCTGCTGTTCAACCAGACCAAAGACATTCCTGTGAAGTCCACCGTCTGGTCTCATATGTTGAGGTAGACTTGTTCTCTCTGCATACCACCCTTGGTTAATTTAACGACTCGTTAAATCATTAGCGAACGTCCTCGCCCGTCCCACGAGACTAGCATCGTCCCACCTCAAGCATGCAGGGCACCAGGCTCGGTCAGATACGCGCGTACTATCTCGGGAGCGTCGTCTGCGTAGGGGGGTTTCTCTTCGGGTACGACTCCGGCATAGTCGGCGGTGTCTTGACGCTCGCTTCCTTCCAGCGCGACTATGGCTACGCGACCGCAGGGGCGACGCGGACCAACTCGCTGTCGGTCGGGCTCCAGCAGCTCGGGGCCTTTGTCGCGTGCTTCCTCGCGTGGCCCCTGACGGACTACCTCGGCCGCAAGAAGGCGCTGATGATCTCCAGCCTGGTCTTCTGCGTCGGCGCGCTCGTGCAGACCATCAACACGCACTCGCTGGCGGCGTTTTACGTCGCGAGGGTCATCGCCGGGCTGGGGCTCGGCACGGCGACCGTGGTTGTCCCCATGTTCAGCTCGGAGATGACGCCCAAGGAGATCAGGGGCCAGATAGGGAGCTTCTTCCAGTGGTTCTTCACCTTTGGCATCTTTACCAGCTACTGGGTCGACTACGGGGTCGCCCTGGGCCCGAGCAACTCGCGGCAGTGGCAGATCCCCGTCGGCCTGCAGCTGGTCCCCGGGGCTCTGCTGGGCCTCGGGATGCTGACGCTCAGGGAGAGCACCCGGTGGCTTACCAAGAAGGGCCGTCACGAGGAGGCGCTCGAGAGCCTCAAGTGGATCCGGGCGGACGACTCACAGGCGGTGTTGGACGAGATGGAGGACATCAGGCTGGGCGTCGAGATGGAGGCCCGCGCCACCGAGGGCTTCCGGCCCAGGGAGCTCCTCCAGGGCGACAACTTCAAGCGGGTCTTCGCCGCCTTCGCCATCTTCGCAGCACAGCAGGCTACCGGCGCAACCGCCTTTGCCTACTTTGGACCGCAGTACTTTAAGCTCCTGGTCGGGTCTGGAAATAAGGGCCTGCTGCTCACGGCGATCTTTGGGGCCATCAAGGTCGCCGCCTGTGGAATCTTCGTCCTGTTCGTCTCTGAGCGGGTCGGCCGGCGGAATGTGCTGATCGGAGGAGCGGCTTTCATGGCCGCTTGCCAGATAACGACTGCCGCCGTCGTCAAGGCGATCCCGCCACCCGAGCAGGGCAATGTCACCAGCTCTGGCATCGCCACGGTTGCTTTGATTTACCTTTTTGTCATCGCATATAACTTCAGCTGGGGTCCGATGCCGTGGCCCTATGTGGCTGAGATCTTCCCTGCTCGGATTCGTGAGCCAGGCGTGGCCGTCGGCGTGGGCTCACAATGGTTGTTCAACTTTGTCTTCTCGTTGACAACGCCGTACATGATGACGAATATGGGCTGGGGCACTTTCCTGTTGTGGGGCGTCTTCGATGTTGTTATCGCCATCGTTGCTTTCTTCTTCCTCAAGGAGACCAAGGGGCTGTCGCTGGAGACCATTGCGCACCAGAACTTCAAGAGGGGAGCCTCAGAGGACGATGTGATACACACCAAGCAGCACGGTGAGGACCCCTCGTGATGAACGCTAGTACTTGTGGGTGGCAGGCACATGGGATATATATATGTACCCGGTCACCATCTGTTCGTCACAGTATCATAAAGTCCGCAGTCTCAATCCTAAGACACATCGGCCCTGCCCAGCATTGTTGTCACCGGTCATTGCGATGCCCGCCTGGCCCTGGGACCCTGGGACCCTCTTACCTCTCCATGAACACGGCCATTATGTGTCTAATTTTGTTTTCACAGTCTCCCTCCCGCACCCGATCTCAGGCCATGTGGTGGGCGCTTGAAGATTTTGGTGCTGTTCAGAATCTTGTGGTGGTTCGAGATTCTATCTTCGGCCCCAAATCCGGCCTATCGTCACACAACCTTGTTGGTGTTGCCAGTTACTAAGTCGCAACTCAGGTCGGCCGCAAATTCGACCCGCCTCAGGCACGCGATGCCAAAACCCAATCATTCCTTCACGGCCTGCGGCACAGCCCCCCCAATTTTCAGCCGCTGAACGTAGCCAGCCAATCAAGGCTGCGTCCCATGAAACGGTCCTGATCGACATTTGATGTCAGTTTCGACCGCGGCCGGGCTTGTTTTATCGACCTGCTTCAACTTGAAAGATGTCGGGAGCTGCCAGCACCCGGGTTGATTCTCGTTCGAATCAGGGCCGCTTGGTCTGATTGAGGGCTCTAGGCTTCATTTTAGGTCAGAACAAGGCCCGGGAACAGACTTTGGGGGAAACAAAGAATACATAACGGCGACACATTCCTTCTCACGTAGGGCTTGCACCTGACCTTTTGAACTCTTTCTCGTAATTTGCTTCGCACTCACTTGATGCCTCAGCAAAGAATTCTTCGCACTCCTCACTGATACCGACTTCATTTCCTTCAAAAGGCTCAACAACCTGAAACGGCCTGACTACCATAACGAAATCCATTGGAAATGGCACCATTCCTCGTGGACCCGGTGTCGACCTTCACGCTACCGGAGCGGAGGAAAACAAAAATCCACAAGACCAGCCACTCATCGGGCAGCAAGCTCTCAAAACCAGCAGCAATCGCTATCGCCGTGGTCGTGGCGGTGGTGCTCATCGCCGCCATCGTCGCGTCCATCATCATACAGAGGCGGCGCAAGGCCAGGAGCAGGGCCAACAAGCACAGCAGCACGCTGCCGGGGTTCAGCACGGACAACGGCGGCGGCCTGTATGGCAGGATGCCCAGCTACTACGCCGGGAGCAGGGACGGCGGCGGCCAGCATCAGCTCCACGGGGGTGAGGCCGCGCAGGAGAAGCACCCGGCGGGCGACTATGGCGACTACGGCAGGGCCAGCTCGAGCGGGTACCGTGTTGGAGATGGCGGCGGCGGCCAGGGCGCAGCGGCTGAGTACTATGCGATGGCCGGTGGTGGTGGTGGTGGTGGTGGTGGTGTGCAGGGCCAGGATTATGGGAGGGGGAGTTATGAGATACCACAGCGGCCGCCCCTGGCGTTCAACCCGTCTCCCGCTCAGGTGTGAGAAACTGCGGTGGCAAGATCTGCATGGCGGTGGTAGCACTCAATTTTTGGTGCATTTGTTAAAGGAGTTTGGCCCGGGATAGGTAGGGGAGAAAGATCGTTCTTTTGGTTCTCTTGCGGGACCCTGCCGAATACGATAGGTCGTTTGCTATTTGGTTGGATTGGGAAAGGGGCGTTTAGTCATTGGGTTCAGGACTTCAGGAGTTGTGGTTCACTTTACACACGAGACACTTGGAGATCTTGGAGACATTCTGGTCGATCCTTGGGCGCGGGTGCACGTTGCAGCAACGGTGGCTGAAGATACTCCGGGTTCGATAGCAGTCAGCTCGCAAGTCCTCGGTGGCTTTCCGAATTCATGCATTCAAAGTTAGCTAGTTGGCTTAGGTGCAGCGTCGGTCACCGTAACGTTATAGTTGCACAAATGTCCACCGTCTCAGCGGCTACGCGCCAAGATCTACAGTCTGTGCCACGCGAAATCTATTTGAGGTGCACACTTGGTGGCATTTCAGCTCGACAGCGTCCTCTCCGGCCGGAGACTCTGCGTCGGAGTTCCCGTCTGGGTGGAGTTTTCTCGAAGGCTCGTATTGCGCGGGACTCTGAATGGAACTAGGCCGACAGCCTCAACGTGCAGCTAGTGTCCAACGCGACTCGCCAAGAGATTTGGCTGACTGTGCTAGACCTCTGCAAGCATAGAGGCAACGGCATGTTCGGATAGGGCCACTTTAGCCAAGCTAGCAGAACCATGCAATAACAATAACGTTTACGGTAACACGACAGAGGCGCAGACAAAGGGAGGAATGCGCAATTATGTCATAGCATTTAGAGCTGTACAGTAGCACAAGGGAAAAAAGTCATGGCCCTAATAAGTCATCGCAATGCTGTGCAATGCTGCGCGACGGTTTTTGGAGATTCCCACTACCCCTTTCGGCCCAAGACCCGCACCTCATTTCACGGTGCTATTTTGACATTTTGGCTTCAAAGTTCTGATCGAGGCTCCAATCTGCCGCGACCCGCACGAAGAGCTGAGCTGCAGACGTTCTTGATGTTGAAGCTTAAAACCAAAGTTTGAAAACTCCCGTTCACCCCGGGTTGTGGTATCGATATCTTGGCCTCACCTTGCCAACCCGCCACCGCATAAACGATTAACCAAGCAACTCCTCGAGCAGCCTGTCGATCAAAACACTGCCATCGACAATGCGAGGATCACTCCAAATATCGGCATTGGCGGCGCTGCTGCTACAATATGCGGCTGCTGCTCCCGTGGCTGGTAGGGCCTCAGACTGGACCACGGATTCTTACGACTTCATTGTCGTAGGAGCTGGACCAGCGGGCATAATTGTTGCGGACAGGCTGAGTGAGACGGGCTTGAAGACGCTGCTCCTGGAACAGGGAGGGCCGTCATATGGCATCACGGGTGGCACAGAGAGACCTGCTTGGCTCGACGGAACCGACTTGAGCCGTGTTGACGTCCCAGGACTATGTGAGTTGGTCACGAACGACGTGTTGGAAGCCTATGAACTGACAATTCGATTTGCAAATAGACAACACCATCTTCACAGGATCCCCAACCCTTGTGTGTGGAGACAGGAGCGCTGCCTACGGCGGTTGCACCATCGGCGGCTCAAGCGCCATCAACGCTGGCCTCTTCTTCGAGCCCCCAGCGTCGGACTGGGACGCCTTCCACCCAGACGGCTGGAAGAGCTCCGACGTAGCTGCTGCCACCAAGAGGCTGTATGAGAGGCAGCCCTCGGTCGAGGTCACGTCTCCGTCTAATGTCCAGTCGGGCTACGAGGCAGCCAGGAAGTGGCTTGTCGATGGCGCGGGATACTCTGAGGTTGTCTTTAACAATGTGCCAGATCAGAAGCAGGCCGTCTTTGGGCACACGTCCTACGACTACGCCAACGGGCAGCGTGGCGGACCCGTCACCACGTACCTCCAGTCCGCTCTGCAGCGGCCCAACTTCTCGCTGCAGAGCAACGTCGCGGTCTCTCGGGCAGTGCGCACGGGGTCCAAGGCAACCGGAGTCTTGGCCACCGTCGACGGCGTCGAAACCACCATCAACCTGAGCTCCACCGGCCGCGTCGTCTTCAGCGGTGGCGCGATCTTCAGCCCCGCGCTCCTGATGCAGTCAGGAATCGGACCAGCGGACGTCCTCACGACCCTTTCAGAAGCAGGTGCCCTCGACCCGGCCATGACACCCTCGTCCTGGCTCAACAACAGCGACGTCGGCGCCGGCCTCTTCGACAACCCCAACACCTTCATCGAGCTGACCGCCCCCAGCCTCGACTCGTACACATACTCCTACGAATCTCCCATCGAGGCTGATCGCGACATGTACCTGAACGAGCGTTCCGGCCCGTACTCTTACGCGGGCCAGACCTCCGCCTTCTGGACGTACATCAACCACACCGACGGCACCGCACCGACCGGCCTCCAGGGCACCATCGGCACGGCCGGATACTCCGACTTCACCAACGACAGCACCATCACGCTCAACATCTACGGCACCTCGGGCCTCCTGTCCACGGGCAAGGTCGTCCTCACCCAGGACCCCAAGACGGGCAAGTTCGTCCCCGGCGGCGGCAACGGCAACTTCTACAGCGACCCAGAGGGCCGCGACGCCGACGACATCGCGCAGTTCATCGCGGACCTGTTCGCGGCGCTCGACAAGAGCGACTCCGGGCTGGAGCCGCTCAACATCCCCAAGGCGGCCACCAAGGAGGAGATCAGGGCCTACATCACGACCGCCTCCGACTACGCCATGGGCATGGTCAACCACTGGAGCTCGAGCTGCCGCATCGGCAAGTGCGTGGACGCGCACACGCAGGTGGTCGGCACGGACAACGTGCACGTCGTCGACGCGAGCATCGTCGCGCCGCTGACGGTCAACCCGCAGTTTGGCGTCATGGTGGCGGCGGAGCGGGCGTCGGAGCTCATTAAGGAGCTATGCAACTCGACCGAGGCGGGGGCCAAGGTCTCTGTTAGTTTGTAAAAAAGAGAAAGGAAGAAAGGAAAGATGATGATACCCGTCTAGATAATCAGGCAATGATAATTTTAATTCCACTGACCATCGCCCGTGCAAGCCCTCAGTTTGTTCAGTGTTCTCAAGATACGTAGTCTGTCCCGGGTTCCGTGCCTCAAATAACTTTTGCAAACAGCTTGGGGAGGATCTCAGCAGCATCGCCCTGGAAGAAGAAGTCCTTGGACCCCAGTCCCGCGCAAGCACCCTTGTCAGGGTTGATGACCGCCACGACCGCCCCCTTCCTCTTGGCCTTCTGCGTGTAGCCAGCCGCCGGGTAGACCACGGCCGCGGTGCCCACCACCAGCATGATGTCCACCGGGGCCGAGGCGATCCACTCGTCCGTCGCGTTCAGCATCTCCCCGTCGAGCGCCTCGCCGAACCAGACGACGCCCGGGCGCAGGAGGCCCGTCTTGCACCTCGGGCAGTGCGGCAGGTCCTTGACGTCGATCCTGGGCACGGGGACCTTGGGGTCGAGCAGGGGCAGCCTGCCCGACTGGTCCGGCGGCGTGTTCACCGCGGACGCGGCCTCGAGGGCGGGGCAGAGCGGGTCCGACAGGTTGTCCCTCTCGACGTAGCCGCACTCGTCGAAGCACTTCAGGTCCAGGATGCTCCCGTGGAGGAGGCGCAGCCGGTCTTTGGGGTGGCCGGCGCGGCTTGATAGGCCTGTGTGACGGTCAGTTGTCTGCCTGCAAGATCTTGGGGCCTTCTCTCGTGTGCCGGGGCAGGAGTGCTCGTTCTCACCGTCGACGTTCTGCGTCAGGCAGACAAAATTGTCCTTCTTCTTTGCCAGCTCTGCAAGCGCGTGATGGCCCGCGTTGGGTTGTGCTTTGAGACACATGTGTCGCCTCCAGGCGTAGAAGAGCCAAACCAGAGCGGGGTCCTCCTCGAAGGCCTCAGGAGTTGCGAGGGACGTAGGCTCGTGGTTTCGCCATAGTCCACCTGCTCCTCGGAATGTGGGCAGGCCCGAGGCTGCGGACAGGCCGGCGCCGCAGAGGGCGACGATGCGGTTGCTGGACTTGACGAGGTCCTGGAAGTCCTCAACGGAGGTACGGGCAGCCATGGTTGATCTTGCCTGAGGGGAGCTGATGCCGGTCCAGAAAAGACGTGAGGTAGTGTTTCCGGATCTTGAGAGCAGTGTATGAGAGGGCCGGATGCACCTTTTGAACACCAGATGGGCGGGGCTGTGCACTGCTGCCTTCATACCGGCACCTACAACATCGGGAGCGAGAAGAGTGTGGGGCTGGCTGTGACACGTCTCACATCCCACCTGACCATTTCATCGCCTTGAGTCACCTGAAAACCACTGAAAGCCGATGGCTCATTCTCTCTCTAGCTTGGAATAAGTTGACCTCATGAAGGCAAGCTGCAGCGGCAAGTTGGTGTTTGACGCAAGATGAGTAGGCCAGGCACCTGTGATGTCAGACCGAGGGACAGTATTGCTTATGTAATCAGACATCGAAGCATTTTTCAACTTGGGCAGCTGTATTAAGATGAGATGAGAATATAAGCTTGGGTATGATGATATCAATTATTGATTTTAAGTGTTTATAACAATGATCTAACGTGTACGAAGGCCTCAAGTGCTGAGCCACATGGCGAAGGCACTTTGATATAGTGCTTCACCGTGTGTCAAGAGAGAGATGGCCTCAAGCTTGACAGCTGCGGGCTGATGCTGTGACTTTTGGTGCGAAATGGTGGCTTTTGACACAACACCGGTTTACAGACGTAGATTAAATAGTCATGATTCAAAACCCTGTATAGCTCAAGTGAATGTAATTACCTATGAATTATAATATTATTGCCTCTTATTCCATCACGGTAATCGCTGTTGTTCCAGCTTGAATAGAGGAACTCAAACATTACAAATAGTCTATAACGATACTACATGATGAATTTACAAGTTCAATCAGAATCCTGTCTTCACTGGAATCCAACAAACAATACGAATTGCGATGAATATGTAGGATACGTGTATGCATTCTGGCCTACTGCGTCTTTCTCAGGAAGGCGTGAACCTGAGATCATGGTTTCAGTCTAAATTTGGATTTCACGCTACCTTACACCTTCAGAAAGAATATCGCGGGCTGAATATTGTACAAAAACCATTGAGCACACTAACCTAGGTATGTACAAGAATTTGAGGCGCTCGAGAGCAACAGAGGCATCCAGATCGAGAGACGCACCCGGGAATCACGACCAGTCCGCAATAATCAGATCAGCTGCCTTCTCGCCGATAGCGTAGGCCGTCGACTGCGTGTGGGTGCCGAGCTCCAGGGGCGCGACGCTGAGGTCGGCGACGCGGAGCCTGCGCAGCCCGTGGACGCGCAGGTCGCCGCCGACGGCGCCGCCGTCCTCGAGCGCCGCCATGCTCGCCGTGCAGCACGGGTGGTAGTCGCTCTGCTGCAGCGCCTCGCCGACGAGCCAGCGGCTCAGGTCCGCGGCGCCCGTGACGTTGGCGCCGGGGGACGTCTCGACGATGCCGAGGGCCCTGAACGCGTCGGTCGCCCAGAGCTTGCGGAAGAAGGGGACGAAGGTCGCGATGATGTCGAGGTCCAGCGGGTTGCTGGCCGTGTTGAAGTTTATGATGGGCTCGCCGTCAATGTCGGATGCGTTGAGAAGGATCGAGCCCCGGCTCAAAGGGTGAAGCAGTGTGCCGTACTGAGGCACCCCGGAGGTCCACCCTTCCATGAAGGGCTGGTCAGTGTTCTCCATTGCGTCGGCGATGTATGCCAGCTGTTTGTAGTAGCCCGCGACGACGGTCTCGGGCGTTCCGTGCGGCAGATACTGGGTCGCAGAGCCGTTTGCGATCTGGTCGCGGACGGCGGCAGCGAGGGCCTTGTACTCGCCGGTGATGACATTCAGGGCAGGGAAGGCTGCTGTGTTGGCTACGCCTTGTGTGTATGGGCCCTGCGCCGGCCTGAGGGCGTACCGGGCAAGCGAGTCCTGCAGGAAGGTCTTGTTCGAGCTCAATTCGTTCTCGTTAGGCAGGAGGTCTTTGGTAACTGTATGTCTTGTCAGATAGCTCATCAAATCGGGGCGAGAACGTTTTGCACCCACCATTGACTGCAAACTGGGCAGCCGTGTGGTCCTGGAAATTATACCCGACACCGGGAAGCTCGAGCACGACATCGATACCGGCGTCCTTAAGGAGTGCGGCAGGGCCGAGGCCGCTTCTCTGAAGGACCTGAGGAGTGTGGACAGTACCAGCAGAGATGATGGCCTCGGCCTTGGCACTGACGTTGTAGACGGAGCTGTCGTTGAGGGACTTTATCTCCACGACCGGCACCTGGTCGGCGAGGTCATCCCCGGAGTACACAACACGGATCACCTTGTGGTCGGCAATGACGTGGAGATTTGGGCGAGATTTGATCAGCTCGTAGTGACCAATGCCGGCGTGCGATCTGCTGGCATCCCAAGGGCTCTGGGAGGTCGGAACCCAGCACAAGCCGGCTTTGTCGCCCCCGGCGCACTCCTTCTTGACTTCAAGTCCAACTTCCTGCCAGGCTTGGCGGGATATACCTGAGCGAGTGGCTGTCAGCATCCCCGTAACCCCTGTCACGAAAGTCAGGCGGGACTCACCGGTTGTTGGCCATTGGAAAGGCGGGAACGAGGAGTTGACCGGAGTCGAGCCTCCATAGGCAGACTCAATGTCCCACGTGTAGCCATATTGCTCGACTTCCTCTGCCGTTGGCTCAACAAAGGTCACGCTCTACGGCGAATCCGTCAGCGAATTCTGCACGCCATGGAGCATGGACTTTTTCGGGCAACCCGACTGACCTTTTGGAAGTACGGCTTCAGGCCCTCCCAGTCCCAGCCATCCGCCCCAGCGTAGCTGGGCCACATGTCGTAGTCATGGCGAGAAGCACGGTCGAACACTTGGCCATTAATGGCAGAGCTACCACCGAGAGTCTTTCCCACCATGAACGGCCTGGGCGTCCTGTTGTCCAGGGTCGGAATGGGTTGCGAGTACACGAAGGCCCCGCCCATGTCCCAGGTTACCGAGGCTGGCTCATACCACGGCGGGCGAGGATCCCAATTTCCAACCTCCACCACGAGAACGGACCCTTGGACTTGAGCTTAGATGATATTTCCGGGGTATCGAGGGACGTTTGCTGGAGGGACAAAGACGACTCACGATTCGGGAAAGCAGCCGAGACTCTGTCAGCGATGGTCAGGCCAGCAGTGCCACCGCCTGCGATGACGAAATCATAGGTTCCGTCCAGATCGGTGGCATGGCGCTTTATAACGGCTGCTAAAGTGCTGCAAGGGACGCTGACCACCAAAGCGGCCACAAATAGGTGGTTGAACATTGTTACAAGGCTGTGAGGCTACCTTGGTGGCAAGAGCAATTTAGAAGACAGCCCTGTTGGATCCTGCCCGCGCAGATGTGAATTCCCGGACCTTTGGCGGAAAATTAACAGGAGATATCGGGTGTATTTATACAGTTGTTACTTCGATCCTGGCGAGTCGTACTGATGCACGTGGCGATATTATCTTCAGTTCATATCCGAGTCAATGCCTGTACATGAGAGCCTCGTAGCATGGTCTCGCGGTACAAACTCAACCCCTGTCTGCATCCATAACGACCCATATGCAAGTATCTCGACCTTCTTGAAGTGGTAGATCCCTCGAGCTGTGGTGGAGAATCAAGAATCATCCCAGGGCTGGGAAAAGGCTTGATTTGGAGTCCTACAGGATCTACCTGAGACTCGGTAGGCAGTACCAATAACCTCAACTGGGGATTTGTACCTATGTATTCATCCGTGGAACTCGACGCCTCAGGAGAGAATGTAAGCCTCATAGGTCATTTGGATCGTATCCTTGTGTGCCTCCCTTCCCACACACGAGCGACTGAGCCTCCCCTCTCAACCAGAACTGGCAAGTAGTGATCTTTGTATCGCAAGGTACTTTCTCCGACATCGGGTACTGCCATGGCCACATTCTGGTGCCACATTCTGGTTTTTTGATAACTCCAGAAGCACTACATCTGGAGGATCAATTCGAGGTGGAGGGGCCAGACCGGAATAACAGCGATAGTATCGGCGGCAGTTTATATCACTTGCATACGGCTGCGCATTTTCAAGCCCCTGGCTCTCTTGCTGACTCGCAAGCGGTTCTTCTATCCATCGCGGCGGCAGAGTGGAGATACACCTTTATAGAAGTTGTTGATCTGATAGGGCCAACCATCGCAGGGCGGGCATATGATGGATCCGCGTATCCTTACTATGCACAGATCCCAATGCGACCTCGAGATGCACAGATCCAGAGACAGGATGAACGCCTGTTGGTGGCATTAAAGCAAATCTGGGGCCCGGCTGGCCCGGCTGGCCCGGCTGTTTTGTCAGGTCGTCACTTTATCTAAGATGATCAGTGACCCCTAGGTGCTCACTGTAAATACCCGTGAAACACTTCATGCACCCACATGAAGTTAAAGGGCGTATTTGTTTTCCAAAAGATACGCAAAATCGCCGAATTTCCTTCATATAATAAGGAACTTTTGACCATTTCCGTTCGGTCCAGGATGGTTTTCATGGCTCTCGGACTACAAAGGGAATGCAACCAGAGAAGTGTTCTTTTCCTTGTCACGATAGTTTCTACGTAGTTGGCGACTCGTTCGAATGCAAGGTGCAAATACTTGACCTTGTCAGTGCAGCGCGCGGGTGACCCATCATTAAGCGTTTGTTCTATCCAAGGTGGAATTGTGACCCAGTTTACCCTCACAATGCTTTTCTATTGTTGCATCGACGACCTTCTACGCACTTGACGTCTGCGGTAACGGCACATGGACGTTATCACCCTCTCACTCGCTTTGAGTCTCGCCCACCAACCTGTGGGTTCTTCTGTTTGTGCAGAGCAGGGTTCTAACATAGCTCGTCTCTCAGAAGTTGCCCGTTTTGGCGAAAATCAGTCAGCGCCTCACCGTGGCTTGCGACCAGTGAGCATTCGCTTTATGGGTCGTCGGCGTGATGCCCATGAAGGTGATCGTCCGTCCTGGGCCTGAAGCTCCGCCTCATGGAACCCAGTATGTGGGCCTCATTTTGATGATATGCTGACAATGGCCTCTCTTGTCCAGGGTTCCCGAAATGGGCTTGCGGCAACGACCATGTCACGACATCGTAAAGGTGAACAAACTTTCCCACGTAATTATATTCTTCGACATTGATTAGACATGAGCAGGCCGATCATCTGACCAACAAGTATGCAATCCATGTTCTTTGGACGTAGGACAGCAGGTCGACATGGCCGATCGAAAGCGAGTAAGTTCCACCCCAGCCGTCAAGTTGTTTGTGGCTATGTTCGTCTTCCATGCGGTATCGAGTATAACCCCAAATAACCCCCAATAGCCATTGAAGTAGCACAGGCTGTGGTTCCTCGATTTATTTATATTTTGCTGAGAAACCTGTGTTCTTTTGGTACATTTTGTACTCCGGAGTAGCGAGGAGACATCTGGAGGCTCCCTGGCCGTGAGAGTTCGTGTGTGGTACATGTGAAGCCTGATCGATGCAGATGAGAGCAGCTCACTTGCTGACCTGGCTCGGTACTGTGAGACTAGACCGGACTTTCGGTCTCGGGTACTCCTTATGCGAGCCGGGCCGCCACGTCTCTGGCCCTAGCCTAGCTACATATGGCTATGCGAAACTCCGACCTGCAAACAGCCTAAAAAACAGCCAACCGAAGACATCAAAATTGCTACGCCCAAACTAGCGCTGCTGCGGACCCGGTGCCTATCTAATCCTTCGTCTATTCGGCCGTTGACTCCCAGCCCTCCCGGGCCCGAGCCAGCGGGCCTCAACGGCCGAGGATTGGATTGAAGGCCGAATTGGTCCGTGGCGTCTGACATATATAGTCGATGCAAGCAACAGCCATCACACGGAGAAATAATTGTGTAACATCAATATTTCTAGTCTTTTTCTACATACATACGATACTTCACAATGCCTGACCTGAAAGTCCTCGTAGTGGGCGCGTCCGTCGCAGGACCAACAACAGCCTACTGGCTGGCCAAAGCCGGCGCCAAAGTCACCATCATCGAACGGTTCCCAAGCCTGCGCACCGGCGGGCAGAACGTCGACATCCGCAACGCCGGCGTCTCGGTGATGCGGAAGATGCCCGGGATGGAAGACGCAGTGAGGGCCAAGACGACCGGGATGGAGGGCATCAGCTTCGTGAGGGACGACGGCCGGCCGTTCGCGACCATCACGGCCACCGGCGACCCCAACCAGCAGTCGCTCGTGTCAGAGTACGAGATCTTCCGCGGCGACCTGGCGCAGATCCTGTTCGACATGACCAAGGACAACGAGAGGATCAACTACGTCTTTGGCGAGCAGGTCGCGTCCATGCAGCAGGTCGACGACGGCGGGCCGGTGACGGTCGAGTTCGCGAACGGCCACCCGACAGCGCAGTACGACCTCGTCGTCGCCTGCGACGGCTCCACCTCGCGGACTCGAGCTATGGGTTTCGGCTGCGGCGTCCGGGACCACATCAGGTCGGTGGACTGCTGGGCGGCGTACTTCTCCGTGGAGAAAGACCTGCTTAATGGCAGCAAGACTGGGCAGGCGTGGACAACCACGGGTGGTCGTTTCTTTGGACTCGGGCCCGATCCCTCAGGGGTGACTCGGGTTATCACACACTTGATCCATCCACGCGGAAGTAAGGATGCGACGTTGCCGTTCAGGGAGGCATCGAAGAAAGGGACCGATGCGCTGAAGACGTACATTGCCGGGGAGTTTTCCGGGGCCGGCTGGAAGACGGAGGACATCCTCGAGGGCATGATGGAATCGGACGACTTCTACGCGTCGGAGATAGTACAGGTCAAGGTGCCCAGCCTCTACAAGGGGCGATTCGTCCTGGTCGGTGATGCGGGCTACGCGCCTGGTCCAACCGGAACTGGCACGAGCCTCGCTATGGCCGGTGCTTATGTGCTGGCTGGCGAGGTCAGCATGTGCAAAGGCGACATCGAGGCTGGACTCCGGGGCTACGAGGAGCGCATGAGGCCTATAATTGACGACCTACAAAAGATCCCACCCGGTATCCCATGGATATTTGCTCCGCAGACTGCCTGGGGTATCTGGCTTCGAAACGCAGCCCTCACTGTCATTTGCTGGGGCATGGCTTTCAGCGGATTCTTTTCTTGGGCGAGTGCGCTTTTCTCCAGTTCATTTGGGGGCGACAAATTCGGGCTACCTGATTATGAATGGGCGGGTACAGGCAAGGAAGAGGAGTCATGACAGAGGCCTGATGCTGGTGAGGTTGCAACTCAAGGAAGGTCGGCGCTCCTTTAAGCATATATGATTTTCTAGGTTCGCAAGCTTCCGATATATATATAATATTTCCAAGCTTTACTATGGGGGTGATCTATCGTAAACACAAGTTGAATCTGCGGACTTGATGTTTCCCACCGTCTCTGGACTTATTGATCACGTTTTAAACATTTCAAAGCACTTCTTTGATAAGCAGTCCACGTAAAACGCAACATATGCGTTATTGAAAGCATCAAGACGGTTTCACTGCCCTCTGAGTCTGGTCATTCTTGATGAGCTGATCCCAAAGCATCCAGTCTTCCGTGTCAAGATTAAAGTCGCTGCTCATATCAAGACCCATGCCGATTTCATCAAAATTCGAGCTTGCATCGACCGCCGGATTCAGGCCAGTTGGTGGTGTTGTATCATTTCCAACGCCAGACGTCGTTGCCTTGCTGCTGCCCATGGCTGCTCTGGTCGCAAGCTTGCCTTCCTGCCGGGAGCGCAGAGTGCTGATGAAATCCGGTTCAGGTACACTGCTACTAGGAGGTTTGGCATGCCAGGCCTTCAACGTTAGACTCCGAAATGCGATGTGTGCAGGGCTTGCTTTGACTTTAAAAAATCGGCGTGGTTCATGTAAACCTTCTCCACTTTGCTCCAGGTATTGTCGACTTCATCACGCGAGAGCAGGCCAGGTCTCCGCAGGCTGGTCAGGACATATATCAGGGAATCCCAAGATCCCTATGCCCAAAAGGACCTGACGTGCCATTGATATCTCTGGAGGCCTGTGTGGGCGTAAGCAGCTGCGTCCGTGTCGATGATCTTGTGCGCCAGTTGGAACAGTTCTTTTCTCTCCGCGTCCGTGGCGGTCTGATCTCGAATTCTCGGCAGCCTGATCTTGATGCGCATAGCAGTAATGGCTGACCTCGCCATGCCGATGGTTAGGAAGTGCAGCGGGTTGGTAATGTCGCAGTAGCGGATGTACTTTTCCTCTACTTCGCTCTCAGCTTCCCGGATGAGAGGCTCAACTGTACTGTGGTGTTGAGAGTGGTCCGTAGCTGTACCACGAATCGACCTGGCAAAGAATTTACCGATACATGCCCGGGCCAGACAAAAGATCATCTCGGTTGCCCCCTTCTGCTCTCGTGGCGCCGTGGTCATTCCTGGCCAGATCTGGTCATCATTGATATTCAATGGCTCCTTGGTATCCCATGACTCCGGCGCAATGGCAATACCGGTACCTGTAGTTGGCTTGCTATACCGTCAAGGGGTATGAGTTGGTAAAAAAAGCGTCTCCTTAATTGTACGTCGAACGGTGACAAGCCGAGCGCCTCTCCGTCGCGGTGAAGCCCCATGCGTTGCGCTATGCGGACGGCAACACCTGTCAGGATCCAGTATGCGTTTGGGTCGTATTGATGTCGACAAGCAAGCAGGAAGAGTACGAGAGCTTGTACGACGGATATATCAGTGGTCGTGAGGAAAGACGCGTTGACGAGGGCTTGCCGGGTTGCGAGGTGGTACTTCTGCATCAAAGCATCTCGCGATCGACCAAATAGCTTCTCGCACTTCTCCTCCGTCAAGGTGAAGACGGCGAAATGATATACTGCGAACAGGACACACTCGATCTCTCTCGATGCTGTTTCAGGCTTTCGTGAAACCTCGTCGACCATCTTTGTCGACGAGGGAATATGCAGCACTTTGCAAATAGGCTCCACGTTCTCGATATGAGTGTTCCACAGAATCATTGCTTCCGCGTGCGTTGGGTGGCAGTGCAACAGGTTCCGCCGGAAGCCCATGAGTGCTCCCGTTAAAGGATCAGCTGGGAAATCCCCTGCTGAAGCAAGAAATGATCCAGACCCTTCTTTCTCACACTCCTCTTCCTCGTGATTTCGTTCCATGGACATATGTTGCATCTCATCATCTTCTAAGCTACGCCAGGTGGTGCTGTTGATGTACCTCGACCTACCATGGCCGACCACAACTTTACCCAATTTCGACATTTCTGCGTTTGGCTCGATGAAACGCAGAGATATCGGCTCCTGTGGTGAGCACTCAGTGGAAGGCGATGTATGAGCACCCTGCGGCAGCAACCCGTGCTCGAGCAGAATGCGCTCGTACTGAGCAATCTTTTCGTAGACGTCACCGTCGCTCAACTGCCTTTTACGCCGTCGAGGCGGAGGCGCCTGGTAGAGACACTGTAGTTCGCGGCTGCGACAGCTGGAACAGATCGGCCTTGTCTTATCACATTTGACTTTGCGACTGGCACAGGTTTGGCAACTGTACTGTGCGAGGCCATCGTCGGCTTCGCGTCTGTCAAGGTGAGCCTCATCAGGCACCAGAGCGGCACGAGTATCCGCTGCGGTGCCGGTTTGCCTACTAGCTTGTTCGGCGGCCATATTTGTGCTAAAACAAATGCAATACGAGTAAACCAAATGTCGTTGGCCAAGCACTTGGCTATCAATGTTGTTGCGCGTGTGACAGCTGGTCCCATGCGTGCTGAGTTGATTGTATGATGCTTAGCCCGTGGGACGCCTCGTTGCCGGCCCTTGCCTTCTTTCAGCTGGCGCACACGTCATCCACCACGATGGCCGCATTCCTTCCAACCTATTGAGCATCAGCCTGCATGAAAGCAAATATCGAGCAGAGGCAAGTCTAGTTTACAGTTGGGCACTCACATGCACTTCAAGTGAATTATGTGTCAGAATGCTATGGTATCATACAATTCGAAACTTGGACATGCACATATTTCAGAGCACATAACAGCTGGGCGTGCTGGTAAGTCAATAATGACTGGTTATCTTAAACAACGGCAGCCTTAGCACCGAGGATTGAGCACGATTAGGGACACGTGCTTGAAGTTCTTGCCTAGTTCTGTAAACGTTAATGATTTTTGTTCAAGGTGAGAGGGTATGATGCGGCCGTGTCTTGCACGCCACATGCAACCACTCGCAATTTAGTCCCGGTGAAAGGTATAACTAATAACTTCATGTGTGTGCTTCCCGGCTGGACTTTGGCTCAATATCTTCAGCCCATTGGTCTTAGAGCTGTATCTTCGTCCACAATCTTAGGTAGCTCATCGGCAGTCCTGGCTCCTGACATTGCATGATTGACGGAAATTTTTCTATTTGTTTGCGGATCAAAATCAAAAACCTGGCTGTTGCGGCATTCGGAAGTCCCTGAGAGTCACATCGGGGATTTGAGTGCAGTTTATTGGATCGGACCCAAGCCGGAAGCCGTAGTTCGTCAACTAACTCTTGACCTGCAGCAGTTATGGCCATGGGTCAGTCAGTAACCTGCCGCACGTATTTGCATGTTCGTCGCCGGGTTGGTGTCCGGCCGGCAGCGCTGGGTTCAAATGTTCCTCTAAACGAAAAGTCGGCAGGCCGAGCATGCAGGCATATCACGCAAAACAGCCCTGCTGATCACCCGTGCTAGCCTCAAACGACAACCCATGGATACCCGCTCATGCCCAGCCCCATGAGGGGGCCCGGGCGATCGCCTATGGGGATCAGCAAATATACCACAGTAGCTTCGATGTGGCTTGTAACTATCGTTTCGACATTCTCGCCATTCGTCTGGCTGAAGAGGTACCTCCTCGAAAAAGAACTTGTCCCTACCCACATAGGTGAAGGCTTGGAGCCAATGTACTTGCGCAGCGACGATTTTCCCCTCCCATTGGAACATGGAGAAAGTTCTCAGTCTGTGAGACCCGCGGTCGTCAGACACGTCGCAAGACCGTTGACTTGCCCCTTGCACAGGGATTCATTTTCACTATAGCCCCAATCTCACCCGGGTCCCCCACCAGAACAGCTCTATAGCAGATGATAATTGTTGAGACTTGACCATTTGTCAAGGTACATGCGACTCAGACATGAGGTTGACTGTATAATGTAGGAGGCCTATAGTCCGCACTAAGGTTGGCGAGTCGACTGAGGCTATATTATTCAAACCAACAAGTCATGTAAAAGATGAGGGGCCCCGGCGACAGCACCCAGATCTGTCGTGCCTTGCGAGGTCAAAGCTAGCATGCCCACACCTTCAGGTACAGATCCCTGCTTGATCAGTCGACTCTCCGGGAAAGGGGATTTCATCGCCTCTGCACTTAATACCCACTTTTATGGCAGGTCCCGCAAAAAAAGGCCAGAGCACATCTTGATTCTTGACTCAAAACCGCAGCCATTGGCCACAATATTTGCCGGAGTCGTCACACATTCGTTTTACAGGGTTAGGAACGTGGCCAAGCTTGGCGGCTTGATGTGCAAGCTTTGACCGCTTCGAGATACACACCTGCCATCCCATAATCCGCAAGATCAAGGTTTCGAGATGCCGTCTTGTGATCCCTCCCGAGCTCGCCTCTCTTCCGTTTCCTAGGGTGTCCGTAAAAGGCAATTTAACTCCGTGGGCGCGTCTTTTAGGTAACGCCGCTCGTCTCACCCATACCCTGCGGCAAAACATTCCCTCCATCAACATGCGCGGCGGAGCTGAGGGCAGTTCCAGCCCAGTTTTCTCTGGCGATCATCAGGGGCCCGTGTGAAAACCCCCAGAACGGCCCACCGTCCCACAACCCGACCCGGAAGCCAACGTATCATGCAGGATCACAAAAAGGCACGCTCCCCGGAGCCATCCACGGCAGTCTGGCCTTGGCATCTATGGAAAACGCGAATCACTACCGATCACTGCCGACTCTAATTTGACAGGTCACCTCTTGCTGGCGATCCACGATCCACGTTCAACGACCAACGATCAACTGCACGACTCCAACACCGAGAACATCTGAAAGAAAAATAGAACCCGTTGGATACAAGGCAATGATACGATCATGGCATTAATGACCGATTTGATCGGCTCCCAAGACAACCTCCATGAGGAACCATCATTTCTCAACTCTTCTCGGAATATCCTAGGAGTCGTTATAAGCGGAATGGTACGTCGGCTCGGATGAAGGGTCGGTCGGCTTGTACTGGTACTCGCTTGGGTTGTCATGTCTTCGGAAGGTCCTTCTGACAAGCTCTCGATGCTACGAACAGGTGCTGCAGTGGATTTGTGCCCTACTACGACTCTACACTCGATTCTTTATCATCAAGTCGCCTTGGTGGGATGACCTCTTTGTTGTCCTAGCACTTGTGAGTGGTTTAGCATGCGGTCTGGAGATCTGAAGAGAGAGGAATATATGGACTGACGTTATACGACAGGCCGCCACAAGTGCCGGTTCGATAGCAATATGCCTTTCGACTACTGTGGGCTTCGGACAGCATTTTATTCTTCTCGGAGAACAAAAGATGTCTGAATATCTAAGAGTAAGCATGCATTCCCATTCCACCTACCATTGCGTGTCAAGCTGAACAACGCTGCGGTCAGATCTTCTACATCGCCAACGCCACATACCCAAGCTCTGCAGGTTTCATCAAGCTTGCTCTGCTATTCCAGTTCCTCCGAATTTATGAGAAGGGCTCACGCTTATGGTATACTACCGTTGGGACTATCGTCATTGTTTTCGCAGTAGGTGAAGTCCGCACGCTCCTGACCCAACTCGCCCCAATTCGACACGTGACCCCTCACTCGTGTTCCATTTAGTCAGTTGAACTCAATGCTGACCACACATTTGTGGCAGTGGTGTATAGGATATGGTATTCTGGGCTGGGTACCAACGATACCTATCCAGGCCTACTGGGACCTCACACTTCCTGCAACACGATATGCGTTCGGCTCTCTCGAAGTCGAAACGTTCGTCTACACTTATACGAGCTTGACTGCAACCAATATGATCCTGGACATCATCATCCTCGCTATTCCTGCACCATTGCTACTGTACAACAAGACCAGCAGCACAAAATCGCGATGGGCGCTGATCTGCCTTTTCAGCATCGGCAGCATGTAAGGTTTCCGCACATAAGACATGTTTCGATGGAGCTAATCTTTCAACAGGGCCAGCATTTTCTCCATATGGCGTCTTGCGTCCATTATCGAAACACGAGCCGCGACCTACCCGACGTAAGCAGCTTTCGGATATGTTCTTAGACCCCTTGAGAAGAAACATCTCCCACCTGCAACCCGTGACGTGAAGGTCTTATAGGCTATAGATTTTGAGACAGGCTATAGTCATTGATGCCCGGTTCTCCCTATATTTGTATCAAACTACTTCCTCGATGCTTTGATGGCTGATTTAGAACGCTTCAGATTCGATCCCACCTGGTACGGCCCTACACCAATCGTCCTCGCCGCTCTCGAGGTAGATGTCGCTACAATATGCGCTTCTTTGCCTGTCTTTTGGCCAGTTCTTCAAAATATCGACATGTCTCAGATCCTGGTGACGCGTGAGGTCAAAGTGACGCTCGAGCACCGCCGCCTCAGCACCGGCGGCACGGATAACGACCCTGACGACGACGGGATCGAGCTCCAGAGGAGCAAGAGCGGGCTCCAGGCCCAGAGCAGCAAGAACTACTACGAGGATCCTTACGTTGCGCAGCAGGTCAACCCGTTCAAGGAACCGGAGGAGTTTGGTACCAGGGCGGAGATAAACAACAACAACACGTCCCACGGTGCTAGGCACTTGCGAAAGGAGAGTGTGAAGAGTGTCTCGAAAATAAGAGCTTCTAGCAGTTTCGCTTGATATCAAAATTATAATGAAATTGTGGCCACACCCAGACTTCGGTTTTCCAATTGACACATGCGGCCTGAGTTGGAGTTCCCGCACTCTAGTAAATCGGCAGCTTGACCACATGTGCAACCTTTGCGTACCTACACACGTACGTGGTTTTATTCTCTGACTCGGACCGTGGCTTTGCCCTGTAGATGGAGCGGTGCTGCAGGGAACAGGTCTGCGCGGCTCATTCGTTTCCCATTGTTTCCTGGGGCCGGGCCAACCCGTCCAAAACTAAATCGAGTGTTTAGCGACATTGCTTGTGGGACTGTCTCCGCAGGTCCTGTCGTCGTGCGCCACGGCCGCAGCGCAGCACTGCCCGCGTCGGAACAGTTGTGCTGCGAGCTTGCGGCCCTATTCTCCCACCCAGATCCATGCGGTTCCGTAATCAGCGGCCCGTTCGATCAGAGATGCCCTGAACAATTGATTATGTGCGTGCCCTGATCGGGAGGCCCGCTCGGTACTGTAAATGATTGGCAGACTGATCTCGGTTGCACGAGTCACAGCCGGAGCACCGCTGTATCTGTTTACGCAGCCACTCAGCCTCTTGGAACTTTTGATGACGAGCACAGTCAATCTATGTCAGTCTGGCAGTGCTGTCTGAGATCATGTTGACGTATGCCTTGAGCGTGGTCAGATTCGCTCGCTCCACAATTTCCCTGTTGTCGGGCTTCCTCAGCTTTAGTTCCAAGTCATTCTTATGCGCACACCAAGTCTCAGTCTCAGTTCCACTCAAGTGGCGCATACACTGCTACCCCTTGGCACGAGGTGCAAAACCATGCCTTCACCGACCGTCAGTTCCAATGTACCAAATGTATATCGTTGTACTGATTCACGGTAATGGGCTTGGGAAAAGAGGTTTGAAGAGCAAAGAGAGATATTGAGATGTGGGCACAAATGATGCGAAAGATTAGTTCCGTACCAATCGATGTCACGTACAAAACGGGCATCTATCAGCTTTCTATATCAGCCCATTCCCGCTTTGCATTCAAACAAGTACAGAAAAGGCAGTGATCTCGGCGAGATCTACATCGCCCCGGGCGCGCCCCACAGAAGTTTAGCTCGGGCATAAGCCAATTCGCCGTGATCTAAGTAACCTAGCGTCCTGATCAAAGATGGGTCTCAACCCCTGTCGGCGAATAGTTCGGGTGGCCGAGCCTATGATTTGGGACAAACGGTCTGACAAAACCGAACTTGTCGGTCGTTGGTGGCCGACCTGGAATACTAGGCCATGTCTGTCACCCAACCTGGTTCGTAAAGCACTGGTACTGCAATAGACACTCAGCCCAATTTTCGTTGAATAAAAAAAGCAGTCCTTCCAGGGCACATCAAAAGGATTTGACGCCGCTGAGTGTTCATGTTTCCTGTTGTATGTTGCAAGCTACCGGTATCTAAGCTCAAGCATCAGCTATTTGAGAAAAACTTCTCTTTGCCCGGGCCCCCTACATTTTTCACGTTGGCTCTTCTATCAGACCTCTCGCTGCACAATCCTGGATTCCTTCATACCACAATAACGCCATCTTTTGGTAGCCCAGGTCGTTGGGGTGTACACCATCTACGAGGTCGTCAAGGTTTGGGCCAGCTGCATTGTGCATGTCGACCAGCGCGATCCGTCTACCTTCGTCTGTCTTCTTCTCCGCCAAGTCTCGGTACCGGGCGTTCGTTTGCAATATCTTGGCCTCAACGCTCGTATCCGAGGTTGGTAGCAGGGTCGACAAGATTATGGTTGATCTGGGCGACGCGTCCCACGTCATTTTCAGCAACCTGTCCATGCGTTTCCCAATAGAATCGATTTCGAACCGCTGAATACAGTCATTAGATCCTGCATTGATCGTAACGACGTTCGGCCGGAGCCACGGGATGCTCTTTTGAGCCTTATTGTGGATCTGGTCGATTCGGATTCCCCGCCACCCTTCGTTGTGATTGTTACTAAGGGAACCAGACCTTCGCGATCCAACCATTTCAATAGTGTAGCCATTGTCGATGAGCAATTGGCGAAGCTTTTCCCGGTATCCATTCGCGTGGGAGGATCCCGATCCGAAAGTGACCGAGCCGCCGAGGGGCATGAGACGCAGTGATATGGAGCAGACGTTCGGCGTGATGCAAAGTGGCCGAATGACAGTGAGGACTTCCTTAGGTCAGGTGCTATTGCCGAGCGGCCAGAGCAGTGTCGGACACATGATTATTCTTTTCATGTAAGAGGAAGATTATAACATACCTTGTAAAAATATTTGATAACCACATTATGTCCTACGTACGAATTATCTTGTAAACAGATAAAGTAATCCACGCCGGAGTTGCCCGTGACATCGACCCATAGGAAGATATGGATAGCTTGGACCTTTCCTCAGCCCTGCGTCTGGCCAGCAAAATCCGGATGGGCTATGGCACACCCCTTTGCCATTTCGCAGTCGTTGATGAGCCAAACCAGACACAGTGCATTGTTGAGCCCACAAATTCGTTTTGATGTACGAGCTCAAAGGGCAGGATTTGTGGGATGCCCCGGATCTTGGCCTCGGGGTCCAATCCTCGGTGTCTGTGTGCCAACTCCGTCGGCTGATGATGCCAGAGTTTCCGGTTCCTTGGGCCCCATAAAATTAGCCGTCCACGGAAGTGCGAAACCTTATTGATGTCATCAAGCTGGATGGCCGTGCCCTCAATTGTTTCTTCGCTGCAAACAAAGATCACCGCTGGGTCTGTTCAGTTTTGAGAATCACCTGCATGTCCCATACCGCGCTCTTGACAACATCGCAACTAAAGCCAGCCAAAGCGTTGAATGAGAAATCGCCTCCCATGTGTGGGACAGGTGACGAGGCCCTCAAAGCTGACACGCGTTGCAGGCGTCTCGTCTCGGTGTCGGACTGGTCCTCGGTCCGCCTGACCAAGACCCTGAAATCAAGAATCTTCCAGTCTGTTGGCTGCCAGTTTCATTCAGTGTCGGAGAATCCCCGGTCTTCATAACGGCCGCCACGTATAGCACTTTACGCTCCCGTCAATAGTTCTGTAATAATTTGGGGGCTCGTAATGCTCACCTGCGGACGGATGCGGCCATTTTAACTAGGTAATGCCTGCTAATGTGGAGTCCGGGGGCGATGCAATGCTTGGCCGCGGTTGCATTGCCCGGGATGGTAGGGGAATAACCTGATTTACACGCTTTAATTTTCAGGTACAATCCCTCGTAGGATCGGACCGGTAGCAGGATATCGTGAAATTCGGCCTTGTTTTCGCCATGGTCTTACCCCTATCCGGGCAGCTTTTCCCAGCTCTCGTTGGCCACAAGAAGCGGCGGTTCGATGCGAACACCGCACTTTGCATCAACGCCAGCAAACTCTAACACGAAACATCACATGCAGTCAGTATGTCTGCCACGTTTGTGATCAGCGGCGACGAGGAAGCAACCGGGGGTGAGGTCATCACAGTCTACCACCGACCACAGAAGAGCAGTATCACAGAAGTCACGGAGGTCAACACCGCCGAGATCAGCCTCGCAGACAATGAGCAACGTGCTCTAGTATTTTCAGATCATTCCGTCAGGAAGGAATGCCGAGAGATTCGTCTCTTGGTGCTCCTGCCAGCTTCAAATCCACAAGATGAGGTGCGGTGCGAATTTCGCGTTGCACCTTTAGGGACATCCGGCGAGAAAGGCCCAACGCCACACGCCTTACACTACGAGGTTTTATCCTACACCTGGGGAGAGTCAAATACCAACCGATCAATCACTCTTTGCGGCCAGACAAACTTCAAGGTCACGGATAATCTCTACTCCGCACTGGTTCGGCTACGCCAGACGGAAACGAACAGGATCCTCTGGGTCGATGGTTTGTGCATTGACCAGGACAACAATGCCGAACGGAACTGGCAAGTAGCTCTCATGGCCCAAACCTTAAAGGCCGCCGACACAGTTATCGTCTGGCTCGGGGACTACGAGGCCCAGTACGAGCCTACTGCAAATCGAGAAAGGGAGCGGCAACTATGGCTCAGGCAAAGCTGCAGAGCCTTGGGACGCGCACTATACGAGCCTCTCTGGTCTGAATGTGCCTGGTCTATCCAGGCAGCTGTCCTTTCAGCCGTTCCACCGACATTCCAATTCGGCTCCATCACCTGGAGCTGGGAACTTCTCAGTGAGGAGTTCACCCAGTGGCCATGGCCAAAGATGCCACGCGATGCTCTTGAAAAGCTTCGAACACTCCGAGCTCAAGTATTTGAACTGGAAAGGATACGGAATCAAGCGGCATACAGCACAACCGGAGAACCAGCAAACACAGCCGGCTTAATACAGTTCCTCCCGAGCCTGGCAGGCCGTGAGGCTGCGGACCCTCGGGACATGGTTTACTGCCTCCTCGGGCTGATCAAGGAAGAAGAGAGCGACCTCATCACCCCGAGCTACGACGAGCCACCCGCCCAGTGCTATAGCAAAGCAACTTTCGCCATTGTCTCGTCCGAGAAACACCTCGCCTGCATCGGCTTAGCACAGCACGGAGACATGCCATCATGGGCCATGGACTTCACCCTCTCGGGCTGTGAAGTCGACAATGCTCAGCTAGAGCTAGCAAGAAGCACTTTGTCGAAGATGAGACGCCGGGAAATATGGCATGACTACATGATCGAGGCACCACCACCGCCATCGCTCAGCGAGGACGCTTCCAGACTTCGACTCTCGGGCTTCATTCTGGACCGCGTGGTCAACATGACCCGTGCATCTTCGGTTGCCAATCATCGCTGCGAGACATGCCTCGGCCTCGAAGAATACCGTTCGTCTCTCCAAGGTCTCTTCTCATCGATGCCAAAGGTGCACCCCCGTCAAGCTCTGATGCAGGGTGACCGCCCCGACATCATTGAGCCAGGCCTTGCAAGTCCTGACTGGACAAGTCTCAAGCCTGTCTTCGAATACCAGCTGCTCGACACCGAGAGACTCGGTTTTCACCTTGCTAGCGCCTGGTACACAGCAACAGGCCTCGAGAGCCCCTTCCTGACCAGCCTTTGGTGGAAGAGCATTCTCGACTATACCAAGATCATATCGGAGCCTGAGCCCGTGTGGTTCAGGACATCATATGGCTTTGTGGGCTACAGTCCCAGACTTATTGAGCCTGACGATGTGTTGTGCCTGGTGACTTCCAACACACACCCGATGGTTCTCAGAAAGACTGGAAGCGGATACACCTTTGTTTGTTTCGCTTGGATTCCGGGCCTAATGAACCATGAGATCGACGGTATTTTGTATGAGATAGGCGCGACTGATATTGAGTTAGTCTGAGGCACTACAGAGGTATAAAGTTTCAAGGGCTCTGTGGCCTGGGCGTGGACTGACGTCACCACTGTGCAGTGAGCCAAGATCATCGGTTTGACCCGTTGAGCCTGCGAGTTCGAGACTATTGGATTCGCACACACAACACTGTGATATGCCCACAGCTTTCAGATGTTCGAGCAATGCGCGAATGTTTCCCAGTCATTCATTCATCCAATACCAATCGTTCGCAGGACTTGCACTTCGATCCGTTCAGACGACACGGTTCTTGGCGAGGAGGCTATCGAGCATCACAAAAGCCAGTAGTGGGAAGCCCCTATCCACCATGAAAAGAAGTGCTGTGTCAAGCTCGAATGCATCAAAGACGAAAAAGCGACGTGTTGAGTTGCCTGAGTATCATGCAACCACTTCTATGAGGACAGCGTCTGGAGAAATCATCTGGCCTGCCCCCAAGAAGCAGATTGAGTCTGCCAGAAATTTCATACTCGAATGGTAAGTGAATCGAACCAGAGGACACTGCTTTCCATGCAACTGACAGATGAAAAGTGCGACGTCTGGACGGGAGACTCTGATTGTGCCGGATAAAGACGCCGATGGGCTCAGCTCCGGAGCGATATTACAAAAGACACTCGTTCTTCTTGGATTAGGCCCGGATAAAATATCATCCCACTTGCTTCAGAAAGGGAATAGCATTCACGATGACGCCGAGAGAAGCGCGATGGCCACCCATGACCCAGAGTACATCTTCGTACTCGATCAAGGATCAAGGAAGTCACCTCCAGTGATAGATAAGCCTCACAAGGCCTTGGTCATCGACCACCATCACGCCCTCGAGGACGATTTCCCACAGGGCTCTCAGCATGTTACTGCCTGTAACAGCCCGCCAGTCGCGACCAGCTCGTTGCTGACCTACATTATCTGTCGAGACCTGCACGAAGATGTGCAAAAGGAGTGCGACTGGCTCTGCATCATGGGAACACACGGCGACCTCGGAAACACCCTGAAGTGGGAGCCACCATTCCCCGACATGAAGGGCGCGTTCAAGCAGTACACCAAGAAAGCCATCAACGAGGCCGTCTCGCTCGTCAACGCCCCTCGGCGCACGGCGGCGTTCGGCGTGCCCGCGGCGTGGGCTGCCCTGACCGCAGCCCAGTCGCCGTCAGACCTGCTCAGGAACAGGGAGCTGCTCGCAGCCCGCGCCGAGGTCAACGCCGAGGTCGAGCGGTGCACGCACACGGCGCCCAAGTTCAGCTCGGACGCCAAGGTCGCCGTGTTCAGGATCAGCTCCAAGGCGCAGATCCACCCGGTGATCGCGACGAGGTGGGCCGGCCACCTGCAGTCGAACAAGCTGGAGGTGGTCATGTGTGCGAACGAGGGGTACCTGCCGGGCATGGTCAACTTCTCGTGTCGGATCCCACGGACGGCCAGGGCGAGGGATCCGCCCGTGAATATCATTGAGGTGCTGAAGGGGATCGCGGCCAGGGCGACGGATGAGACGCTACGGGAGAGGATGGGCGAGTCTTTTGCGAGGGGGCACAAAGAAGCTAGCGGTGGCATTGTCCCGGCGAAGGAGTTTGAGGAGTTAATGGAGATCATGGAGGTCGGGAAGAAGAAGCCTGAAGGGGGAACGCCGAAGAAAGCGGGAGATGCTAAGCCGGGGAATACCATTACGAATTACTTTGGGAAGAAGACATAGAGATTATTGGGAGCGTTTCTGCATGAGTGTAAATGTTATGGTTTAGGCTCAAAATTGGTATCCCTGGGTGCAACTTATTAGATACACAGTCTACAAAAGACATGGGTCTATAAATGGGGCGAGTCTTCAAGGCGTGCAGTGGGGAGGGTACCTGGGCACATGGTCCCACACGAGGGTTCAACCCCGACGGGGAGCTCCCAACGTCAGCTTCAGACGTCCTCAAAACTGCGCTGTACAAATCTATCACGATGTCCACATAAAACACCGCCCACGCCCATTGCGATGGGGCGACGGCAATTTCTGACCTTCTCTTGACTCACCCTCTGACGCCAGTGAGCCCTTCACATCACTGGATTGCCCGTTTTCCGCCATGTTCGCCCGCGCGATGCAAACCCGTGCCGCGTCGCGTGCAGTCGCATCAGCCGCCCGCCGCACGCGACCAACCACCCTCAACGCGCCGACACCACCGGCGGCCAGGGCCGCCCTTCGAAGCTTCTCCAAGACCTCCGATGCGGCGGCCAAGGGCCCCCAGCCCCGACCGGGCTTCGTGACGCGCAAGCTCCAGATCCCCGTCGACCCGGCCGTGCCCCGCGAGCCCCTCGGCGAGACCGTCCCCGGCTCGCCCATCGCCGTCCTCCGCACCGCCACCGGCATCCGCGATTGGGCCGCCCTCGCCTGCCGAGGCCGCTCGCCTGACGGCGATGACCAGGGCCTCGCCCTCGTGCCCACAATGGGCGCCCTGCACGAGGGCCACCTGCGCCTGATCCGCGAGGCCGTGCGCCGCGGCCACAACAAGATCGTCGTGAGCGTCTACGTCAACCCGGCCCAGTTCGGCGTCGCAGAGGACCTCGACAGCTACCCCAAGACATGGGACGCCGACTGCGCCGCGCTGAGGGCGCTGTACGAGGAGCTGGGCGCCCAACAACCGCATGGCCTCGAGATGGCCGTCTTCGCGCCCACCACCCGCGAGATGTACCCCTCGGGCTTCCCGGGCCAGGAGGTCGACTCGGACGGGAGCTTCGTGACCATCACGCCCGTGGGCTCGGTGCTCGAGGGCCGGACGCGGCCCACCTTCTTCCGCGGCGTGGCGACCGTGTGCATGAAGCTGTTCAACATCGTGCAGCCGTCGCGCGTCTTCTTCGGCCAGAAGGACGTCCAGCAGACCGTCGTCATCCGCAGGATGGTCCGCGACTTCTGCATGCCCCTCGAGCCGGTTGTCGTGCCCACCGTGCGGGACGGCGCCGACGGCCTCGCCCTGAGCAGCCGCAACGTCTACCTCGGCGCGAGGAGGCGCCGCGTCGCGCCCGTGCTGTACCGCGCGCTGAGGGCCGCCGAGGAGGCCTACCTCGCCGGCGGGGCCCTCGAGGCGGGCGAGGTCGTCCCCGCCGCGCTCAAGGTGATCCTGGACACGCTGGACGCGCAAAAGGACCTGCCGCCCCACGAGGGCGTCCTGTTCCAGCTCGACTACATATCGCTGGCTGACCCGGACACGATGGAGGAGATCGAAGAGATCGACCCGTCCAGGGGCGCCATCCTGAGCGGGGCCATCAAGATGCTGCCTGTGTATGCGCCACAGGAAGGCGAGGACCTGGGTCACAACGACGGGCCACCAGTGAGACTGATAGACAACATCATCTTGCCGCCAAAGGCGTAGACTTGCGGATGGCCTTGGGCGGACGTGACCCGGGACAGAAAACGGCAGAAATGGTTTAGGATAGATAAAATGATACCCACTACAGCAGGGCAACACTGCGCTACCAAGCAAGTCGCACTTGAATGTGTTCATTGAATCCTTTTTTGCCTGGTACATGCAGCTCGCTCCATTTACACAACGTATATCTCAAGGGATGTCTACAGCCGCGCTCTTTTCTCAAGGCCCCTCCGCCGGCGCTGCTCCCTCACAGTCCTCTTAAGAACCAGCGCGTCCTCGCTGCTGAGGGTTGGATAGCTGGCCTTCTCCTTGCCCTTCCCCTTGCCCTTGCCCTCGGCACCGCTCACCGCCTCCTCGAACAGCTTGCGCCCGAGCAGGTCCGTCAGCCTGACCACCCTCGTGCTCACCGTCGCGCCGTCACGCCTGTTCTTGCCCTCGCGCCGGCTGTTGGCGATCTTCTCGGTGAAGTTCCACAGCCGGGAGCCTATGGCGTTGAGACTGCCGGTGGTCGGGTCGCGGGCTGGCTGCCATTCGGGCGCCAGGCGCAGTCGTGGTGGGATCTTTGTGTCTCTGGACTTGACGACTTGGATGATGCCCTCCTCTTCGAAGCGTGTGTACGCGTTCTTTAGGGTCTCCTTATTAACTGCCTCGAAGTAGGAGAGGTCGCCTTGGTGATAAAGCGTTTTGCCGAGCTGAGACACAGGTTAGGATTCAGATGCTCGGGCGTGTGGTCACTGGGGCAGAACTTACCAGCTGAGCACTATTTTGTGCCTTGGACACCTCGATCCAAACCTCGGTCTCTTGCCCGGAGGGTGGTGTAAGGCCCATTAATGACACGGCGGCCAGCCAGCTGGCCTCTATGAATGGCCATATCAGGAAGCAGTAAAAGTCATAGTTCTCCCGACCGACCTTCCTCTCCTGGTCAGATAGCCCAACAGTTGTTACCTGGCCCTGGTCGTCCCGTTTCAGAGTTAACACGCCGTCGGCTTCAAGGCCGGCGAGTGTCTTGTTTAAATTGACCGCCAGTCCTTCGCCCGAGAAGATGAATTCCCCTCTGAAAAGTGAACTGAGAAATAGAACCTGGTCATGCAAATCCCTGTATGAGATGTCTTGTATGGCCGGCCCGCCGCCCTGCTTGACGCGAGTGTACATGCCTGCCGAGACCAGTGCCTCGGTGATGAACAGGTGGATGGTCATGTTCCGGTAGAAGCTCAGCTGGAAGCGATCCACGGCGTAATACGTAGGCTCCGGAAGACCATCGATGACGCCGACCAGGTCCCTGCCGAGCACCTCGAGGCCGCGGTCGATAACCTCGGACAGAGGCGCATTACCGAAGTGCGCGACGCGCCCGCCCTTGGCGCGCACTCTCTCAATGAGCCATTCTACCCTCCGTACGAGCTCGGTCTTGCCAACGCCGCGGCCGCGCAGGGTCAAGAGAACAGTTCCGATGAGCGCAGTGGGCATCACCACGGAGACGCCGTTGATATCGCCCAAAACTCGGTATCCGAGGATGCGAAGGAGCTTCTGACGCGTACTGGGGTCTATGTCTACCTTGAGGGATTTCGGAGGATGATTCAGCCTTGTGAGCTGCTCGTTGATAAACCCTCGTAGACTCCAGGGCTCGTGGAAACGTACGTCCACTCTTCCCAGCCTCAGCGAGAGTACGGACCCGCCGCTGCTCAGGAAGTCTGCGAGGTTCTCCTTCTTCTTGGGCACTCCGAGCAACTCTGTTACATAGCCCTCGGTTTCTATGACCTTGTCGTATTGGGTGCTCACCGGACATATGATGGTATCGCTGACCCGGCCGGACAACAGGCTGTCGATGATGAAACCCAGTATGCCGAACTTTGGTGATAGCAGCTTGCCCGTTCTTGACCGTCCGCCCTCAATGAAACACTCAAAATTAAAACCACCCTGTAGCAAAGTATCGATATAAGTTTGGATAAGAGTTGTGTAAAGGGCGTCGTCTCCAAATGCCCTTCGTATATAGAACGCGCCGGCGTGCTGCAGGAAGCTGCCCACCAGCGGGAAGTTGAGGTTGTCGCCGGCAACGACAACTGGTAAAGCAATTCCAAGGCGGTAACAAATGAGCTGCATGGAGACATAATCGACGTGCGACCTGTGGCAAGGCAGGAAGACGATGCTCTGCTTGTTGGCTGCAGCCTTCTCGGCAACTCTCCGCAACCTCAGGACCTCCTCGGAAGACACGTGTATGCCCTGGTGGTACGCCCTGGTCAGGAGCTGGGTGACGAGATAGTAGGCGCCCCTGATGAAGGTCTTGCTCTCGAATTTGCAGATCATCTGGTCTGTCCACTTCTCGGCGACCTCCCTCAAGCCGCTCTCGAGGAAACTCCGTCGCTGTGCCTTGCGAATATCGTACTCCCGGCTGTCCTTCTTTCTGTCCCCCAGCAAGCCCTTGCTCTCCTCCACTGCCAGCCTCCGCTCTGCCAGCTTGGATATCCGAACGTTCAGCAGGGGCGCAGACAGGATGGTGTTCTTCATGTTTTCGGAGAAGCCCGAGTAGAAGATGGGCTGGCCGATGACATCGTCATAGGCGCGCCATCCTGTCCCAGAAACGTACAAAGACACTTCGCGAAGGAACTGTAGGGGCTCGGAGCGGAAGTGGGCAGTGTGTTTCATGAGGGCTTCTTCCTTCTCGGCCTCGGCGGCGTCGTCGACAGCGGCATCGTGGGCGGGGTGGCTTGGATGGGCCACAGGAGGCTCGACGTAGCCCGAGGGCTGGAGGGTGATCTGATCGCCGAGGATCTGAAGATCGGGCGCAGAGTCGCGCGAGGCATCGTCATCACCGTTGGCCATGACGGCGGTCGCAGGCCGGTGGAGAAGTGGAAGGCGGATTGGACTCGTCTATCCAATTTCTGTTTGATGACAGGCTGTTGGCAGCGGTGTCGGGTCCGATCATGTCATGGTTGTCACGGTTTTCTTAGGTGCAAATGAGACAATAACAAGCGCATTACTGACGGAAGTCAATCGCACCTAAGCAGGCCGAGAGATGGTCGTCACCTTGCCGCATAGAGCGAGGAATCCGGTGACATTGTGACCTTCCGTGTGGGGTGGCCGCTACTTGCCGAGCTCGCCTCTCCAAGGCTCCGGGTTCTAGCATGTGAAGTCTGGTGCTACCGGTACCTAAAAGATGGGGTAAATTGAAGCACCAAGGTGGGCCCCTGCATGCAGCCCAAGCTTTCTAGCCTCTCGGCCAAAAAGTTGGAGCTCCAGCTCCCATCACCTCAACTTGCGATATTCCATTTTGCGAAAGGGTGGACTTTAGTTCAACCCAACATAACACGACGAGACACGGCACACAAGAACTGTCTCTCCACAAAACTATGGTACACTCGCAGGGCCATTACGTGTCGGCAAAATGACCTCGAAAAACCAACCAGTCACCCAAGCGCTCCTCGCGCGCGCCCACTCCCCAACATCGGCCGAGCGCATCTACTCAGACAAGATCCAACACCGCCCTCTCTTCCTGCGCCCAACCTCCCCTCCACCTCAAGCCACCGCCCGACAAGCCCGCCGAAAAGAACGCGAGCGCAAGGCCAAGGAGCGCAAGAAAGCCCTAAAGCCAAAACCGGTTTCCTCAAAGCAACGCCGCAAGCTTGGCCTCTACGATGTGCCCCGCGATGGCCAGAAATATATCACCTTCCTCCCGCTGCACAACCTCTGGCTGGGCTACGTGAGGGAGATACTAGGAAGCGAGGTATACACAGGCGGCCAAGGCGCTGCATCAAAGCTTAGCTCGGCCGACATGCACGGCGCCGAGGTTGAGGTCGTCCGGAGTGGCTGTGTTGGACGAGTGGGCATCAAGGGGATTGTGATCAAGGACGCCAGATTCGTGTTCGAGATAATCACGCCCAAGAACAAGATCAAGCTCGTCCCAAAGGAGGGAACTCTCTTCCGGGTCGAAGTACCACCCCCAGGCGCGACAAATGATGGTGAGGCGGGTGAGGGGCAGCGAACACCACCCAAGAAGAGCTTGGTCTTCGAGATCCACGGTGACCAATTCGCTGTTCGCTCAGCCGATCGAGCTAATAGGAAGTTCAAACCGCATTTCCTGGAGAAGGTGTGAGGAACGTCCAAGAGCTCCCCAGCGCCGCTGATGGGGAGTCTGCTTTACGAAAAGACCTGTTTTGTGGTTCCTCAACTACGCCTTCATAACCAGGACCAAACGCTGATGAGCAGACATTTGGGGCAATTTACGTGGTATCCGAGCGGCGGCACCAAGGAATGCAATTGGGCCGACGTAGTCACCAAAAATGGTACGCATTGACGGCCTTGGGCGCACAATTCGCCCGGCCTTCCTCTGCAGACATCTGGGGGAAAATATTTGAAGGATTTGCAGAGCTCCTAGACCATGAGAAAGGCACCACGGCCGACGAATGCTCACAGAATGAGCAAGGAAGAAGCTCTCCGTGTGTCTCGTCCAGGTGGCTTCTGAGTCCAAGCAGGCTACAGACCCCAGACGCCGGGGAATTATTGAAGCTTGCAAAGCCAAAGCACGCAGGCTTTGGGCATGAAAGATCTTGGCCATGCTTGATCGCTGTGCTGAGACCGCAAAGATGCTATGAGAGACGAGGGTGTAGAGAAGGGTAAATCCTGTGATAGCTCTCTGCGCAACGAGTCTATGGCATGAATTATCCGCCTGAGCCAACGAGGAAGTGTGTTGTACCCTCTCAAGGAACACACAACTCCCTAGGGCAGCTGTACGAGGACAGTTTCCGACGGGCACTCAGCTGTGGAGGCTGCCGCCTGTGTACCTCAACATCATCATATGGGACGGAGAAAGCCCACCAACACCAAAATAAATGAAAATTCCTTCTTGCCACCCTTCCTATTCGCGTCTTCTCTTCCGTGGGGAAACGCATTTTGAAGTTGACTTTAAAATTCCCAGATGACGTTTGTATGTGACTACGTAGGTACTAACCTACGGCTCCTCCAGTCTTCATCACTTTGCTTTCGCCTAGGCTCAATTTCAGTGGAGACTTGAAAACAGTCCTATGAAGCCTAGTGTTACTAAGTCATTAGCCACTTTTTGTTCAATAGTGCTCCGCAGACTCTAAAAGCCTCCTGCAGACCAGCCCCTGCCGGAAACTTTGCTATATTACCCGGTATTCGAGGCTGGACCCGAGCACTTGAAATAGAAGCATGGCTTTCTATTGCGTCTTCGGGAGGAGTGTGGGATGGATGCTTTGGTCAGGGGAGATTAGACTTCTATGTTGAAACCTTCATCTATCTGTGTGTGGTTGCCATCTCATACCTACGTCCTCGCATGTTTCGCACTCCTCTTTGCGCGCGCTATTGTGCATCAACTTGAACTTCCAGGAGTGCGCTAGGAACCGCCGGAGGTGCTCACAGAGCCAGGGGCGACGACCGGTCTGGGCTACAAATTGCGTTGGTGACTCCCAGATGTCCTATACTACGTATCGTCGCGGTACAGACGGAAATATGTTCACCCTTACTTTCTTGGCCTAAACGCCCAAAATCTACCGGAAGCAAAGCCCCATCGAATATGCGAGCACCGCTGCTTAGCTGCCACTGAGTTGCATTCCACATACGGCGTGTCTCGACCACCAACTTCCCCTCTGCTGAACGTGTTGCAACGACTTCACTGAAAGAGACGTACCTCTCAACCTCCATACTCTGCCAGAAAAGAACATGATGTTGGATCTACCCTTTCAAGCGAGAACGGCGGCCTCAGTTCTCTTAGTCGGACTTCTTAGTGCAAGTTTCCCTGGCTCTTAAGACATTACAGACGGTTCCTGCTGCTGACCGAGGGACACATCAGCTCGCCTTGTATGTGATTGCACGATGCGCCTACATGCTCTTCTTCCACCCGCTGGCCAAGTATCCGGGTCCCCGACTTGCTGCCGTCACCGAGGTCAGGAGCGCCCGACCCTCCCAGAGCCTCAAATGTTTTCATGCTCGATCAATGCCTCTGACACAATGCGACAGGTATGGCACGCGTGGCTGACGGCGTCTGGCCGATGTTGCTTGATCATGCAAGACCTGCACCGCAAGCACGGTAAGCCCGCATTTGTTGCGGGACTTTTTCAGTAACCATAGATCCAACAAGTACACAGAACTGAATGGGTGCTCCTGTAGGTGACATAGTCCGTGTTGGGCCTAATGCCTTGTCATTCGCCACCCCAGAGTCGTACATGATCATCTACGGGCATCCCAAGCAGGGCCAAAAGAAGTTCATCAAGGCGGCCGTGTACGACAAGGGACAGCGGCGCATCGCCAACGTTCGAGACCCGGCGGAGCACGCTCAACAACGAAAACTCCTCTCCAACGCATTCAGCGCTCGGGCTCTGCGAGACCAGGAGGTTGTGATCCACCGTTACCTTGACTTGCTAGTGCAGCAGCTCAGCAAGCTCGGCAGCGGCGGCAGCAAGCCTGTAGATGTTTCGGCTGCCTATAATTGGCTGACATTTGATGTTATCGGTCAGTATATACCAACCTTCGTGACCTCCTACTTTTCTCCCGGTTGCTGATCAAGGTTATAAAGGCGACTTGGCATTCGGCGAGTCGTTCGGAGCAGTAGCGGAAGGATCCTTGTACTGGTCATCGCTGATCCTGGATGCGATCCTTTGGGCCAGCGTGGTACATCTCATGAAGCGCAACCTGTTGTTTAGGCTCGTCCTTCCCTTCTTCTGGCCGAAGGGCATGGAGGAGAAGCTGCAGAAGCACAAAGAGCTCGCGAGACGGAAGGACAAGAAACGTCTTGAGCTCGGCACGAGCCTGAACCGCCAGAACTTCTTCAGCCACCTGATCAAGGACAACGTCCTGACCGAGGCCAGCTTGGTAGGGAATGCGCGGAGCTTGCTCGTTGCAGGGCCCGAAACTACGGCATCGGGGCTGGCTGGGGTCACTTACTACCTCCTCAAGAATCCAACATGCCTCGCGAAGCTGTACGACGAGGTCCGCTCCGCATTCAATTCTTACGAGGAGATTACTAGTGACTCGACGGCTACCCTTCCGTATCTCCACGGCGCCATCGAAGAAGGATTGCGTCTGTTCTCGCCTGTGGCATTTGGGCTGCCTCGCGACTGCCCCGGCGCTGTCATCGACGGGGTCCATATTCCGGAGGGAGTTGTCGTGTCGACCGAAAATTATGCCTTGTCCCGTGATCCGCGCTACTGGGCGGAACCCGAGTCGTTCCGGCCGGAGAGGTGGTTCGGAGAAGGGCTGGGTGACGACAAGAGGGCATTCCAGCCTTTCTCACCGGCCCACGTGCTTGTCTGGGGTTGAACCTGGCGTATTTGGAAATGCGTATAACCCTGGCCAAGATACTATTCACGTATGACTTGGAGATGGTCTCGCATATCGAAGACTGGAGCACGGTTTGCAAGCGCTATGGCATGTGGAAGAAGCCGGAATTGCTGGTTAAGTTTCATCCACGCATGACGATGCACGGCGCTTAGGGTACTTCTGGAGTGACTAAAAGGAAGTAGTCCATTCATGTTTCTACAGTATCAGGTTTATTTGGTAGAAGAAGCTTTTGGAGAAAATAGTGAATAACTTTTATGGGGATTTCTAGAGGCTAAAAGCAGAAGATCAACTCCAATTGGCCCGGGCCTAGAATGACATTGGCATCTAGGTTTCTCTCCTGTCACCACTTCTGAAAACGTTGGTCTAGACCTATTTGAATCTCGTCCAGGACCATTTACAATGCCCTTCTTCATTCACCCATGAATCTCTGGAGCATAATTGCCTTTAGTGCAATTTCCATGGAACACTTTGTCATACGAAGTAGTCCTGAATCAAGGGGCTATTTTAGACTATTCAATCAGTCTCCTAATAATGGCCATCATCATCTCAGGCTGTCTGACCCATACATCCCCAGTCTATACTTTCTTAATCCCTGCATATCTGTTCACATATTCCGCTCACTTTAACCCAAGCGTCCGCCTTTTGATTCAAATACAAAAAGAAAATCAACATCAGTCAATCCACACAGCAGCCTCCGCCTCCTTGCGGCAGGATGCTTCTCGCACTGCCACCTAATCCTCAGAAACCAGGAGCGAAACAATTACAAAAGAGTAGAGAGGAGTTTCCGGCCTTCCCATGGCATGGGGTGAGGTCGAGTGGCTGGCTTGCCTGAGTCGCTCGCCTCAACATATTATCGCCTATAAAGTGGACCTGGCCTCTTTGGTGGATCTTAACCCGATCCACCTCCTCTATTGGCGTGTCCCGAGGACCAGGAAGAGATCCAATCCGTCGATCTATTCTACATGCGATACTGGGGCACAGAGGCAACTCTAAATACTAAGTTCCGCTTTCGGTATGTGTTGCTTATTGCACGTTGCCGCCTAGAGCTGCGAATACACCGCCTCAATGATCGCCGTTATTGTGGCCCTCTGCTGGCCACGCACAAAGCTCAGGATTCAGAAGGAAGCTTGGCAACCTGGCTGAACCATTCTCTGCCACTTTTTTCACGTCACGGGAAATTTTCTTGCGAAGTCAGAAATATGCGGCAATGGAGTATATAAGAGTAGTTGAACCAAGAAGTCGTCCTCAAATGTCAACGTCGTATGCACAGCACAATTGCGTGACCTTTTTCCCGACTATCTGACCAGTCCTCACTTTTTGGGTCCCCAGGATCGACACAACAATTACCATGTCTGGCTTACAATATACCCTTGCGGGCGAGACCACCAACTGCAATGACTCGAGGCTCTCCGGGGCCACTCCAGTTCTGCGCAACAACACAGGGACACGCGTGTGTGGCATCCAGAGTGCCAATACCAGCAGCATCCGATCCTGCTGCGACGGCGAGGTTCAGCTGTACTGGTGCAACGCATTTTGCGAGACGTCCATGAGCGCGGCCGAATTCAGCCAATGCTTCTTCAACAACACAAACACCGACGCCATCTACGGCGGTTTCACATACTGCCAGGACAGCATCAGCAGCACTCAGAACGAAACCATCCAGGCATCATTCGGAGTCCCTCGCACGGGTTCCCCACCCCGCCTCCTGCTCGCCCTGTTCCTCACCTTGTTCGCCGTCCTGCCTGCCTCCGCCTTCGTGGTCGACTCCCTCGACGGCGGGCTCACGCGGAGGCAGTCTGACAGCTCGGATTGCGGCTTCGAGATCGACAGCAAATACGCCAGCCAGGGGGAGGGCATCGTGTTGACCGCCACCGTCGGCGGCTCCAGCACAATCGGGTCGGGCGCCTACGTGAACACGGGCACGACCCAGAACAACCGCACCGTGAACGACACCTCGGCCGCGGAGCCAGGCTACGATGCATTCTTCGATGTTCTCGCTAATTTGACGGGTCGCCGATACCCGGCCCTGAGTGGTGTCAGCCTGCACAGTATGTAAACTTTTCCCCTCCTGCTCCTGCAGCGGTTTCCACTCTCTTCCCGTCATACGAAAACCTTGCCCGGATCATGAAGCTAACTACTCTCAGTGCAATGGGCGTCGGAGAACGTCGATAGTCAGCTGTACTTCTACCCCTACCGCGTAAGTTGTACAAAGTCTTGTGGAAATCAGTGCGCGTACTGACATTTTCATTTATCGGTAGTACTGTGTCAATGGAACTGTCTCTGGTTGCGGTGACGCCTTTGGTGATGATGATACTCAATTCATTGAAGCGTGTGGGCCACTGTTTGGCTCAGACTGGGTTCCAGAGGGTGAGGAGGCCGTGACAGAGGGGCTTGAGGCAGAGACACCACAGGGGTCATTGCGAGTTGTCAATCTTAATTAAGAGAGGCTGTCACAAGAAGCGAGGTTCGTAGATACGATATAAATGCTACTACTATACACTACTGGCTTTATATAGTGACTCCATGCAGAATACCTGCACTTACCAAGCATATAGACAGTCTAGGGAACAACTTGAAGTAGTTGGTTAGTTCCTATCTTGGTTAATGGGATAACCTTGGCTCTGATATCACCACAACCTCTGAAACAAACCTCAACGATCTCGGAATAACTGAATAAATACAGAAGACTGCTTCTATTGCAAAAATAGAAGCAAAATGCAAAAGTCATGCGCCAGCCCGGAGTCGAACCGGGGGCCCATCGATGGCAACGATGGATTTTACCGCTAAACCACTGGCGCTTTTATTTGATACAAACAAGCGAAAATGAGATATTGATAGTGTTGATGCAAAACGATCGGCCAAAAGCACATCAAATTGCAAGATCTAGCTCTACCATCCCTTAGTTCATTATGGCCAGTTACAGAGTGATCCGTTTTGCGGATTTGACGAGAGACCAAAGTTTCACGAGCATATTCGGGCTCTACAGGAAGTCCTTGTCTCGAGGCTGGGCCGTGATGCCGGCTCGAACCAGCCAGCACATTGTATCGCTCAAATTTTCCTGGGAATGAGCTTCGGAGTGCTTGTTAAATCTATGACAATCGATCTTCTGAAGTGTCCACACACTCTTGCCGCATCTTGCGAAACGGACTTCCAGTACCCATGGATCTCAATCTAAGTCTAAATCACTCCCGCAGGTCTGTGGTGATCAGCAAGCCCCTCTGGTCCGCCGCAGTTACATTTGCACTTTACCAGGAGACAGGTCACAGCACTATTTCAAGAGTCCCATCTGGTTGCAGGTACTTGCGGACACCGTACCTCAATGTCTCGATCCTGCTATTGTCAGCAAATGGCTCCATAGTCAGGGTGATCCAGTCAACTTACGAGTACTCCAGCGTGCCGGTATCCATGATGCGAATGCCGTTGATGAACATCGTCACATCATGGTTCAGCTGAGGATCTGCGAGCGTCATGGTGTGAAGCCTTGCAGCAGCAGAGTCAAGCCGGTCTCGAGATCTGTGCATCTCATCGATGAGATGTGGGATGACCCGATCCAGGTCCAGGCCCGTCTTGTACAGGACAGGCACGAGGTTGACGACGCAGTCCGTGGCCTATAGCCGTGTCAGCCACCCAGTGTTCGATCTCAAGTTGATTGTCTCGCCAGGGCCAGGGAACTTACAATCTCCTTTTTGAGTGACAGGATGTCGTTGACACTGGAACTCTCGGTTAGGTTGCTGTTTGTCCATCTTGCCAGAAGCAAAAACATACACAATGATGATAAAATTGCATTCCTCGACAATCTCCTCCATCTCAGATGAATCCATGACCCACGCTGGGAGCTTCGTCTTTTGAGTGATCCTGTCAAACATTGTGGTTGGTCAGATCTATTGGGAATGTTCACAGAAATAAACTGGCGAGCATACTCAAGCAAGAGTGTGAACATCCGTACGCCAGTCACGCCGTAACGGATGTTCATGTACTCATCGTAGCTGGGAATCCGACCAGCCAGGCGCTCGGCTTGCTCGAGCCTGTTGTGCGCGACGAAGTGCTCGATCTTGGAGTACATGCGGCGACGTTGCTCTGAGGATCAAGACGGTCAGATACCACAACGCCGCAGACAGTAACAAAGCGATCATCACGTACCGTCGCCAAAGTTCTCACAGAATCTCTCCGCAAATTCCTTGAATAGTAGGCAGATATCATCGGGACAGTATGGCTCCTTCTCGTGCGGTGACAGCTGCAGATGGTATCTGAAATAAGCGAGGGACTGGTTACGCCAGACCTCAGCCTGCTGGAAGTTGGAGGCCAGCATGTGCTCGTTCGTATCAATCGTGTCGTCCCAGACAAAGAGGGCCACGGTGAATAACATCGCAGTGTACAGGTCCTCCCAGTCGGCGGACGGCCACCACAGCACAGAGAACAAGGCGAAGTCACTCTTCATGAATTTCTTGCATCGCTCAGCATCAGCAACACCCCTAGGGCACGCAAGAAGTATTAGCTAGGCACAGCCGTAAATAAAGCAGGAAGGGTCATTGTACATCTCGAGGACACGATCGCATTCAATCTGAAGACGTCTGTAGTGGGGGTTCCTTGCACCAGAGGGCCAGTCACAGAAGCTCTTTGTCATGTCTACGCTGAACCTCTGGCCGCGGAGCTCGTTCGCAAGAGCTGTATTGGGATCCATTGGGTATGGAACCTTCTCGTGGGACGGCTCCGTAGGATCTGGGAAGGCATGGCGTAGGAAAGACAAGGCGAGACCCATGATGATAGATGTTGTACAAGATTGGAGGTAGAATCTTTGAATGCTACGCAGTTTGCAGTTCTGGACGACGGTTTCGATAGCACACCATAACAGGAGATGCTGGGGCTTTAAATAAATTTCTAAGGAAGGGGAATCTATTCTCCCAGGTGTAGGGAAGTCACTTTGGGCTGTCAGACCTGCAGCCAAGTTGCAGTGAATTTCCAGCCACCGGTGAAGTCCCTTGCAGCTTTGAGATTTGTCACTTTTCAAGCATTTCACTTGTTGCTTGTTCGAACAATGTCATTTGGACTGTTGATGGACCCGTTATTAACTCCATACCTAGGTAGCCCTGTAGTTGCAATACCAGTCTCCTGTTGCTGCTCTTCTAGTTTGATGCCTGTACGACCATCCCTTCCCCTGAACTCACTCATCGTGTTAACCACTTGGGTCTCAGTGTTGCATCAATTCTCCATTCCACCCTTCGAGTCAGTTAAGCTCTGTTTATGACATAATATTTTGGATTTGTCCCGAGCCCCTGGAAGAAACCTATTGTCTGGTAGACACGTGGTAGGCCGTGGAAAAGCAACTGTACCAAGAACCGGCCCGGTATACTGTGAACATAGGATCCCTAGTGTGAGACGACCCGCCGGCTGCACATCCTTGGGCCCCGAGTGCTGGAAACGCATTCCGGGATCCGCAAAAGCAACTGGAAGTGAATCAAATCGTTGAATTATTTGTTTTTTGTTGTTTCCGGATCTGATCCTTCCCATGCCATTCCGAGGTACAATCCCATGAGCCTGGGAACAGGATCGATCTTGCATGCTCGATCCGCCGATTCCACCCACACCTGATCGGCAATGTGCACATAGCCAGGTTCAGGGGGTGTGGAGTGCGTTGTTCGAGTCGCACAACATCATCATCCTGCCCCGTGTAATGCTACCGGCGAGCGCGGGCTCGAATCCTGGCTGGAGAATCGGCAATGGTCTCGGGCACCTGCAGTTGATCGAGACTGGACGTCACCCAATAACTCGGGCTGAAGAACAGAACCCTGGCTCGCCGGCCGGCGCAGACCGTGTGTGCTAGTTTGGCAGATTCGGGGAATCACGATAATTCACACGCGCTCCAGACGGCGCCTCTTGCACTGGGAGAGACGCAACCTGCCGGAAGCGGCATGGCATCGTCTAAGCGAGGGAGAGGAGAGGATGACCTACCTGGTCATTATTTCATCAGAAGTCCCCGACCGCTCATTGCACACCGCGGACTTCTGACCGCTATCAGCCGCGCACCTCGGAACCAGGATCGTGGGTCGGAACAGTCCCGGAAGCCGATATGCTTCCGATGCCGACCCAGCATGGAATTGACATAAGAAAAAAAAATCAAATTCTGTAAGAATTATCTCATTTCTTGACGCTAAGACTCGAGAACATTGTGCTGCATAATGAGGCGAACAAGTGATGAATCATCCTCGAAACCCCTAGAAAAATAAAAAGATCCCACAACGGCCTCGTGAGACTTGGACTTGATTTCAGGCACAAATGACTGGCCTCGTGGTTCAGTACCTAAATGACACGGGGCCTCTCGATGGACAAGGGGGGACGACTCGGATCTTATGGTCGCTGGAATGATCCGTCACTTGCTTCTTCAACTACTGCGTGGTGCTATCACAAATGACGGCTCGCATCCAGTCACTGCATACGTGACTAGGACCGCATTTGCATTCGAGCGTGTGAATGGACAAATGCATCGTCCAACGAGACGGAAATGACCACAAATAGCTCACCAGTCGAAAAGTCCGCCTGGAACTCTTGCTAGATTTTCCTATTTAGTAAAACCAGAGAGTAATCTTAAATCATTTGTGCTCCTTTGATTTACTAGTATTTGATAGGAATAGCGGCCCAGCTCAAATCAGTTGTAAAGCTCACTCAAATACCTAGGTATTTAGTGGAGTATCCACAGCCCAACAGAATCAACGTACGTTTCAACAAATACTGCATGCGAGTCTGCTAATATTACTGAGACGGGTACAGAACATGCTCCCCTGCTCTAGAATAGATCGAGCTTTCTCGGAATCCGCAGTCTAATCCCCCGTCACACGATGTTTGGCACCTTGTAAGTAGGGTAAATGATAAGGCGAGTTGCTGTTTGAACCATGATCCCAGGCGTATATTTCATCCAAATCGAGGATCAGCTTCCTGACAGAGCACCTGTCTTCAAGTGTGAGCAGGCCAAAACAGCAACTTGTGTATTCCAGGCAGTTCGCATGACAGAAATTTATCCATAAAACATTCGTGATTCTCGTACAAGATCATTAAAACAAAAGCAGGCCGGGTATACTTAAAACCGTCGTTATACCAACCAGACCAATCCTTCCGGGAACCTATATCCTCGTCCATGTGTTGGGTATCCTTCATATCATCATAGCGTCGTTACCCTCCCTATCTGCCCCAGCCTGCCCATACCAAAATTTATGCGTTTCCATTAGCATTTTATCAACCAGTCTGTCTATCGCTGACCTTATTATTCCCTGTGACCCACATCATTCATGCCTCGTCAATGTCTCACAGAAAGAGAGAGGTGGAGTCAGGGTGTTGTTCCAAGAGCTTCGCACCGGTCAAGGTCATGTGGCAGCTGCAACACCATCGACCTCTTTTCAGAAGATATCATCTTCGTCGTCCAGGACGTCCTCCCACTTCCTCGCAGTCAGTTTCCGAGGCCGGACGCGCTTGACTGGACTGCCACTCGCATCTGCCCGGCTCCTGCTATTTGCCCGGCTGTTGTTGGCACTCGCAACCCTCCTCAAGTCGTCCTGACCCTCCCGTAGGCTCAGGCTCTCCATCCGTCGCTGGAGACCTTCGGGCTGGGCGTTCTCGTTGACTTTTCGGCCAACGCGGCCCGAGTGCACCGACCTAGGACTGCTATTCGCGCTTGTAGTGATATCCTCCCTCTCAGCCAACGGGGCTCGTTTACTGGGAGTGCGCCCTGCAAGCTCCCTCTTGAGGATCGTGACCTCGCGGCGCAGTCGTGCGTTCGCCTGTTCCAGGTTTTCGACCAGCACGTTTTCTTTGTTGACGATGCAGTCGTCGTCGCTCGCATCATTCACAGTGATTTGTGCTTCCAGACTCCTTTCAAAGACCTCCAACTTTCGGTCCCAATGCTCCTCTCCCCTCTCGACTGCCATCTGCATCGCTGCCTTCCACCGTGAGAGCTCCACAGCGAGGCGCTGATCGAACTCTGCGGCACAGTCTTCGCGCACCACCTGCTCAAGCTCCAGCATCTTGTCTTCCATGGTAAGTAGATGCGCCTCGGCCGATGCCCGAGCCTCTTGCTCACGTGCCAACGACTCGCGCAGATGATTGGTCTCCTCAGCAAGCCGCGCAATCTCCAGAGCCGCATTCTCCATAGTGACACGGTCTTCGGAGGGCGTAACACTGTGCGGCGTAAGAGTCCGATGCATTTTTGGGCTCAAAGGTCCTGGTGGGAAGAATGGCGATCGCTGGAACTGCTGGGTCGGAGACGAGATGGGGCTTGAACATGGCTGAGTTTGGTTCGAGTTCCCGCCCCAGGCCTGGCCCGTGGGGTACGCATGCGCAGCATTTGCCTGCAAAATCGTTTCTGTTATCGATGGGATGCGTGGTACAGTGACCTCTCGGGCGAGGGCGCTGTATCGGAGGATTTGTGATGTCGCGTTGAAATCACCGTGCGGGTCCGCGGTCACAACCATCACAGCCTTTTGCGGATTTCGGCGGATAGATTGGGATTGACTTAGCGAAGAAGGAGACGGGAAAGAGTTCGAGAACAGCAGCTCAGTAAGTTTGCATTGCCGAAACGGCACGACGCCTTGCTGCAGTTGCATGTCAGTCACCGACCCCCGGAACCCTGAGGAACTACTTACCTTGCTGTTGCTTCCAACGTCACTCTGCATCTGCAGGCACTGGCCGAGATACATCAGACTCTCATTGATTTTACCTGCTTCAGCAAGTGTCGCACCAGCCGTCTTTGCGTCCCGTGCCCTCTCGCTGCCAGCGAGATCAACAATTGTTAGCGTGCTGCCTCCCCATGGATATTGGTGCCGCTTGCTGCTGGACCTCGGCCGCTTCTTGACTTCGACGCTGAAAAAGCCGTGGCTGCGTGAGCTGGCACTATTGCTGCCGGTACCAGCGACCCTTCGTTCATGCAGCCCTGCCTCGAGAACCGTGAGTGCCTGGTTCAGGTTGCTGCAGATGACCTTGCGCAGACCGGCGACCAACTTCCGATCAGGGGATTGTTCGGTAGATTTGAAAATCAGGGGCCGCCGCCGAAATTCTTTTGTGGCCGCGGATTTGACTGGAGGCGTCAAGAGGTCAAAGATGCGGTCATTATAGACTTCGTACATCGAGACCAAGACCAGATATTCTGCTGCAGGATCAGATGAGACGTTGACTGTACTGATGTCGGGGACCTGCGGGAACGCCAAGGGCCGGTTCAAGAGCTTTCGAGGTGTCGGTGGGATTGAATCGCCCTTGAGGTTGAATGGTTCAGCACTTCTCTTCTTGCGACGAGTGGAGGCAGTAACGCCCATGTAATGCTTCGAAGGAGATTTGTATGGGGTATTGACATTCGCGACCCGCACTTCGAGCGGCCGGCGGTTGTCCGTCATGGATTGTGTATTGCCATGGGGAAAGGCACACCAATCACGACGCAACCGCTCAGGGGTATTTGGGGGGGACACAGTATAGTCCTCCCTACAAACAAGACGAACACTCTTTGGGCGGGAATTGCGAGAAGGGGTAGACGGCTCAGAAACCTGAGGTAGCTCAGGACAGCAAACATCTGGAATAAAAGCAGAAGGCTGAGAAAAGGAATCATGGGGCCGTACGAGGGGTGTTGGTGCGCGGGACGAGGGGCGCGGGCCGCCTGAAGGGTCCCCATACACAGTTTCGATGAACGTGCTTGCGCTGGATATTGATGCCTCTGAGGCATCTGATGCGTTGATGGAAGCCTCCAGCTCTGGCTTGGTGTCGATGTCGATGAGGTTCTTCCCAATAGATCGGAAAATGACATCCAGAGACAACTGGGTCATGCCGCGTTGTGACCGAGAACCAAGGATCGTATGCGACTGTGAAGTAAGACAATTAGTGACGTCGTCCCGTACACAAAGTAAAATGGCACACATTTCAGGCACCCACGCCACGGTGTGTGGTGTGTACCACGCCTCCGTCGTTGTCACCACGAGAATCTTGAGCTCCCGGCATATGGGCAGTAGACGCCCCAGCCAGAATTCCCGAGACCAACCCTCTGCTCCAACCCTCAAGCTGAAATTGCAGAACATACCTTGCCAGATCCACTGACTCCCAGTGTTGCTAGAAGTGCATCAGTGCCATCGCCGCCGTGTGGTGCCAAGACACCCTCGACGAGGGGAACAACATTGGTGCAGTGGAAGACGTCGAGTTGGGTGGCGTCCTCGGTGAAGACCTGGGTGAAAGCAAACTTCTCGACTGCACGTCTTCGATCATTTGGGGGGTTGAGGGTGATGTGGGTTGGTGCCGTGGATGGGGTGTCGGTTGAAGGAGGCTCCACGGTGAGGAAGCGCTCAGTTGTTGCTGCCCCAGCCTGAGGTGGTCGAAGCCGCAGGTAGACTTGGAAAAGATTGTGGGATTTCTGGGCCGTAGAGGGCCCCGTGGACGCGTTGTCCATGGTTTCCGTGAGCTTTCCGGCCGTGCAACAAGCCGTGAGAGCAGAATGGAAGACGGAAGAGCCAAGTGCTGGTAGCGACCGAATGAAGATTGAAGAAGCGGGGATGTCAGACGGAGCAGACAGGCAGATGCGCTCTCAGACTCAGGAGTGGCTGGACGTGGGTGGATACCGATGGCTGGGAGAAAGAGTTCAAGATGGCTGTGACAAGGTGCAGACGAAACATGCCAGATGGAACAAACCCGACTGTCTGCAATGCGGTTTCAATTCCAGTTCCAAATCAGGATCCAGATCCAGATGGAGCTACGTACTATGTAGTCTACATGTGTACATGCCCAAAGAAAACAAAGCACTGGCCGATCGGCGGGGCAACCACCCCTGTTGACGATGGCCGATAACCGATAAGAATTGCAAGGGGCAGGGGGTTGGGGCCTTGCGAAGGTCCGTGGCCAAGCTAATGCCCAAGGAGGTCTAGCTTCTCGGGTCAGGCCAGTCACTGCCACCAGCTCCCGGGAGCTCTGGCTGCCAAGACTGCAACGGCCCTCTGAAAAGATGCCTCAAATCACTTGCAGACTGCAAACACGGCACCGCACTGCAGCAGCGTTGAAACTCTGTTCCACTTCTCCCCGTCTCTCGAATTGAGGGACAACGTTCAATGACCGAACCTTCACAACCCCAATCAAGTAAACCGAATCTCGCTCGGATCACGATTGCCATTACAACTTCACCCAGATGGGATCACATAACCCGGTTGCGCTCGGCCGATGGTCACGATGTGCGTCACCTAGCATCATCTGGCGTTGACCTCTTGTCTGCCTGCATACCGAGGTACCTGGACTGCCTATGTACCGTACCGCTCCTCGCTGCTCTTCGTCGACTGCCGCCCCGGCGGGCGTGACTCGCAGTCGAGGCCCAAGCCTTCTTGGCCTGTGGACTTGCTTTGAACTCATGGTCTGCGCAGCGCGGCAACCCGATTCCCCGTTAAATAGAGTTCGTCCGACCAAGATAATATAATTGGGTATCATCTGAGCGGGCGTCCACAATGCAGCACACCTTATCTCTCACCCCGCCGAGCATCTCAGCCTGCATGGACCCCAGCGCTCACATGGCTCACATGGCTCACATGGAGGGCAATCAATAACGTACTCGTCCATGATCGTCCTGGTGCTACCTGCTGCAGGGGATCTCACCCACAGCCGCCCCCATTGACCCAATGCTGCTGTTCTCGGTTCAATCCGACTCTTCCGGAAAGTCAGAGCTGAAGTTCAATAAATCCTTCCACATCCTTCGCCAACCTTGTGCAGCCAGTCTGTCTCTGAAAATGACATTGCGTTTCGTGAAGGTTCGACCCCGCCTGCGCCAAAGCCGCCCTACGTCGGCGGAGAGACTCGTCTCCCAAGATGGCCTACGACGACCTTGTTGCCAGGTTCACTCTCGCCGGCAGCATGACCTCGTGTATTGCCACGTCCTTTGTGCTGCTCTCCTATCTCGTCTTCCGGGACCAACAGCATTCCTTCAGACACGCTCTGATTCTGAATCTCGCCCTGGCTGGTACGCTTCATCCCAACTGCTGATGACGTCTCGTTGTCCGGCGCCTCACGTCGGCCCCTCGAGTCACTTACTTCCTGTCCGGAGTCGATATCACATGCCGTCATTGGATAGTGGAACTGACTTCGCAACCTTCTGCAGAGTTCATAAATACCCTAAACAACTCCATATCGGGCTTCATCTATGTTGGGACTAAGAAGCTCAACCCTGGTCCTGCTTGTACTGCAAACGGCTTTATCGGGCAACTTACTGTACAAGCAGTGGACTTCACTATTCTCGCTATTGTTCTTGTCACGCTCTTGACCATAACACGTAAAACCTACCTTCCCGATGTCTCGATATGGGCGAAAGCACTCATCTGTGCCTCAACATGGATCGTGCCCGTCATCACCAGCGTCGTTGCCGTCTCACTCAATGCGATGACTCCTGTCAGCGGGAACTGGTGCTGGATCACTGCGAAACGTCCCGACCTACGATATGGCCTCACCCACGGCTGGCGAATCGGAATCATCTTCCTAACGGTTTTGCTTTACGCCTATATCTGGTGGTTCGTCCATCGCCACTTTAAGGCTTTGTTCGGGTCTCGCAGGGGCGCTCGATACGGTTACAACCCTGTCACTGGCGCCGTTCATACGGAAAGTGGTAGACTGACGAAAGAGCGGCTGGAAGAGTCGCAAGGCACAACATTGATTGGAGAAGTTGAGACGAGACCGTTGAGCGACATCAGAAACCCGCCGAAAGATTCGAGGGACAGCAGAGACGACGTGACCATGTCAGACTTCTCGCTGCCGATCCAGGGGATTGAGGAGGTCACTAGCACGGAACGAGATTTTGTGTCAACTGTGACACCACCGGCACCGACTGTCGGCCACGCGGAGGGGCAACGCAACTACAGTCGGCACTTTGCCGCTGCTGAGAGCGACAAACCCGAGATCTGTCCCAGGGTCAGACACTCGGTCGACGTGCGAGTGAGCTTCGCGAAGAGGTCATACTCGTGGCTTCCGCCTGGCACCCCGCCAGGTTCTTCCAACCCGATCACCCCACACACGGAGACTAAAATATCCTCCACGCGCTGCTCGCGCGCGGCGCCGTCGCAGCCTACAAGGCACATGTCTGTCTCGCGGCATGACCACGGACCTCCGTCCCGAGCCCACAAAGTCGAGAAGGAGATTCGACGGATGCTTTTGCTCGTGAGTACAAATCCCTATCTCGGTACCTAGCCCGATCCCATGCGCTCAGAAAGCGTGGATTTGGGCTCTGCAAGACATAGAACTAACAGACGGCAGAACGCGTACCCGACCTTGTACGTGTTACTCTGGATCCCAGGCATCGTCAACAGGCTCATGGAGGCAACGGGCAAGACTCCCTCGAATCCGCGTGCTGTTGCTGCCCTGCAGAGCACCAGCCAGTTCGTTGGGTTCGCCAACGCCATAACCTTTGGGATAAATGCGACAATGCGGCGGCGCATTGGCTCGGCGGCCGTGAAGGCGAGGCAAACGTTGAAGACGAGAACGGAGGCATGGTTGAGCGTTTAGCCTGCGGCGGCCGATGCATGACATTTATGCTTTGTAACAATGATAGTGATAACTACCCGATCAAATGACAGAGCCCAAGAACTGGGGTCGGGAATAATTAGCGATACATGCTATAAATCTGGAGATGGTCTTGCATGACTCGACGTAGTTCTACTCGGGCGGCAGAAGCCAATGCTCCCACGACAATAGATTCGCGCTTCAACGCAGAGCCTCGCAGGTGGTAGATGAAGGTATCCCATCACCAACAGTTTTACATAAGCGCAGCGCTCTAGAACCTGAATTAACCTGGCCATTCGGGAGTTTGATCTCCGGAAGGACAGTTGGGATTGGCAATTTGGCAAATTTACACTGTATCAATGGAGCTTACCAGGATGGGAAGTCATCTTGCGGCTTGGAACAGAGGGGGCAGGGATCCATGGATGCGGGGAATAGAAATTTAGGGGTCCTGGGTCACGTCAGACCAAAAAAAAAAAATTGTGACCAGTGAGTGAGCCAGACAATAGGATAAACTCCCGAGGGGCCCTTGAAACACTGTGACAAAACTTGACGACTGAGCAAATGTTTCATCACGGCTGTTCCGGTAATTGTGATTTTGTGAAGTTGGGTTCCCAGTATTGAGGGTGTAGCCTTTTTCCTGGTTGGGTCATCTTGATGTGTGCCGTCATCAAGGTGCCTTGTCGATGAAACCAAGGCAGACCTGGCGTCCGGGGGGGGGGAGGGCGGCAAGGCGGAGGAGGCCGAGATGCATGCTGCTTCCCAAAAACCGGTCCCGCGCCAGACGCCGTTCAGACAAGAGGCGCCGTTTCGGTGGGTAGCCGAACTAGGGGAGGGCTCGATGTCCAATGGCGCGATTCTCCGTGTTGAGTCATGAGACTAAGTCCCTCTTTTGGGGGGCTTCAGGGCAGAGAGCAGGGTGTGGATGATTCACATCACTGTCGCCATCGTCATGAGGATCGCAATGCGAGGGGCACATATCAAGAGCAGCGAGTGGCCCAAGGAGGCTCTCCGCGTGCTCGCAGGTCGGCTGCGTGCCGGCCCAGGTAGCTGTAGTAGTCAGGAACCAGACGACTCATGGGAGCATGCGCGGTTCAAACCCAAATCGCTTCGCGGCGACGGCCCTCAATCAGACCAGCGCAGCATGTGGTGTGGGGCTCGATGCGATCGCCGAAGTGCCCACTTCTCAGGCATGCCAGGCTACTCAAGTCAAGGTATCGCAGCCTTGGGATGCAGACCGCCAGAGTTCAGAAGTCTAACCTGGATTATGGAGCGAGAGACATCAATGTGAGAACCCGAGTGCTGGGTCGACAGAGGATTGAGGGTAGTACAGGGCAAGGAGACTGTTCTGCACCGTCCTTGAGACCAACACGCGAGCTGGCAGAACGTACAGCGTCATACTGTAGATACAGCAGACTGGAGAGGACGCCCCTCCTCATGCAGGAGTACTGTACGTGTACCAATGTATGTAAGGCTTGTAAACACGTTCGAGAACAGAAGTGGAGACAGAGCATCGTCACACCTGTGGACCAGAGCATGATTACTGGTGTCATCATCCCGGGACCATATCGAGAAGGCGACGGATAAATTATGGGGTCTGGACAGGGTGAGGCGAGAAAGCAGTTGAACTGGCAAAGTGACGACGAGGTGACAGGCAGCAATGACAGATCGCCATGCCATGAATTTGTATAGACAGGAACACAGTTATATGACACACCTCACCATGTTTCGCAAAAGACGACCGCTGGCTCCTCTTGAGCTATCCCTGGGTTCCGCAGTTGGCTGCTACAGTATCAGATGGATCTCGCAGAGAGGTAAGACAATGCCTCTTCCCGCTGGAGGCCTGGAAGATGGTGCTGTTGACGCGGAATTGAGTTCTGAGGGCACCTTGCTGCTTGTCAAGCCAAAAGAAACCACTTTGACCCTTGCTGTCAAAATGGCGGTGACCGGCGTCCAGGAGGGACTCTATTGGATGGAGGGCGGGCTCGATGCCGTCTGTCGTTCATGCTGATGCTTGTGCTGCTTGCGCTGCCGCCGCGGCACTGCACGAGATAGCTGCTGTAGGCTAGAATAGGTAGGTCATTGGGTACGTTGTCCAGGGATTAGACTAGGCACAGAACCTGAGGACATGCAGCATGCAGGAGGAAGCAGACTAGGGACTAGACAGTCTAGACAATCTGGACAGTCTGACAGCAAGGAGTCTTCTACGTGCAGCTCCAGCCCCAGCCCCAGTGCTGCCTGCCTGCATGTGCAGGCCCAGCTGTCGTATGAGTCTGAGGGGAAGAACGGGTATGAGTATCAGCCAGGTATGGTTTGTAGCTGGCTTGCGGCTTGGAACGGGCATGAGCAAGAATGAGTCTTGTATGTTGGTCACAGTTCCCCAGGCCATGCATGCGCAACGGTAGAGAAGAGTCACCGGCGGCCGAGATGAGTCGTCCCTGAGAGGTCTAGCTGATGGGTTGGATGGCCGGGTCGGCCTGTGGTTGGGTAGAAGCAGCTGATGATGGTGGTGGTGGTGGTGGTGTGGTGGTGGTACTTGGTAATGGCGATGATGATGGTGCTGATGGAATTAATTGTCGAAACGCCCAAATTGCTGGTGAGACGATTCCCAGAGGTGCGTCTGTCCCTTGCTCGGCTGGGCTACCCCACTGCCGTCCTACTACCTAGATACATACCTAACTGTGTGCCCAGGTAGGCATGTAGGTACCCTCCACTAGCAACAAGGTGGGTGGGTACAAGACTACAACGCTGCTCCCCAGGCTCATTGACCACTCACAGTGCACGCATTGGGGTCCCACCCCAGAAAAAAGTTTCTGGGACCTTGACGAGGCCACTTGAGAAATTTCGGGCCCCTCTCGCTTACTTGCCCTGCCCTGGCCTCCCCTTCTTCTTCCCTTCCTCTTCCTCTCCACCCATACCAAACCACCATCAATCCAAACAGACAACGAAGTCGCCGTACCATCCCCAGAGAATTGAACAAATCCCAACCAAACTTCGTCGAACCCTTTAGTCAATATGTCTTCGGCCGTCCCTGAGCTGTAAACGCCCACTGCGCGGCATCGGTCGCCGTGAAACGTGACCGGTGCCTCGCAGTCCCGCAGCATCAGAGATCAGTCCGAGTCTTTCGACGAAGTTATCCAGACCTTGAAGCCTGTCAGGAGCCTCCTTACCGCACGCAAGGGCACCGCACAACCACGGCACCACCACTGCTGCCGAGTCGAATCGCAGGAAACCAAGAGGCCTGTTCCTAAATCCAACAACTACATCGTCTGCCCTTCCCGACTGGGCCTGAAAGCGTTTCCAACCTCCTAAGACCGAGCTCCACTTTACACCTTCCGCCTCCTCGGATCCGAATACTTGCAGAAGCCATCTTGCTGCTCCTACCGCCCTCAATCCGACCAAGCTCGGTCTCCAGCAGACCCGAACAATCACCCTTAGATACCCAACGAATTAAAGTGCCCACGCCGCCATCGAAGCTCAGCCCTAGCTCGAGGCCCTGACCCGGCGTGATCGACAACCTCTTGCATATCGTCCCGAAACTTGAGAACAGTGTCTTTCGAAAGAGAGTAATAAGCTGTAGCATGCCTCCCAAGATCGTGCTCAAACGGGGCCTGAGCCGAGTGCCCACGGGTGGCAAGTCCATCAAGGCGCCGAAGAAAGGCCCCAAGAAGGCCCCCAAGTCTTCTAAGCAGCGCCGCGCATCCTCATCCTCTTTGTCATCCGCCTCGCTTGACCTCTCCGACGACGAGGGGTATTCTGGCGTGGAGGATGTCAGTGACTCAGATGACGACGAGGAAAATGTATTCGCGGCCGAGGAGGAGCACATATTAGCCAACGCGAGGCAACCTGCCGCGCCAAGCTCCCCTCGGCCGACCTCTTCTGACGTCGACGGCGACGAAGATGAAGCCGCCGCCGATGCTGATGATGACGATGATACAGACGAAAACGAGAATGAGAACGAGCACGAGCTCGATTCTGTGGACGAGGACGGTGATGATACTAGCAGTGTTAGCTGGAACGGCTTCGCGTCTGAGAATGACGAGCCCGCCCCAGCCCAAGTACACACTGCCGAGCCAGTTAGTACAACTCCTGTTGAACGTCACGTCCGCTTTGCGGGCGTCCCCGACTCAGAGTCGGACTCTGACGAGACCGAGGAGGATGTCGATGACTTCTTCCCGGACATTTTCATTGCTCAGGACTCGCTCGACTCTGGGTTCCGCCGGGAGATCGAGCAGGATGACGACGATGATTCGTCCGTCTCTGCAACCTATTGGGACTACTCGGGTGCCGCTGGCGCACCAGACGACTCAGACGATGACCCATATGGGATCGACGAGGAGTATCCCAACATTTTCGGGAGCAGCAACGTGAATGAGCCAAATGATGTCTCGCACTCAAAAGTTCCTGAACTTCCTTTGCCAGAGGATGATGACGATGAATCGGATGGTTATATGTGTGAGTAGCGCCGATGCATGACGTGCTCGCCTTTTGATGCTGATGACTCCTGGTAGCCGATGGTGAGACGACCGAAGAGGATGAACCTGAGCCGGTGCCCCGTAAGAAGCTGATTCCGATTCTGCGTGCTGCGTCTGGGGAGCCGTCCGACTCAGAAAAGTCTGAAGGTGGCACGCCCAAGCCGATCAAGAGGTCGATCAAAAAGCCGATTGTTGTCATGAACCCTGTCACCCGCAAAATGATGGTCATCACGCCACAGAAGAAGCAGCGTCGATTTGATGTTATCCTCGACCCGGTGCAGTTCCAACCAGACTACTTCTCCTATCCCGCCTCCCACCAGACTTCTCCGATCATGGGCAATCCCGGCTCACTCATGATGAGCGCCATGTCGTCTGCCAACTTCTTCGCCGGCGGCATGATGGATTTCCAGACTGTTGGACCTGCCGAGGCTTTCTTTCCCTCGGGCGCCGAACCGTACATGGGAGACGATAGTGAGGACTCCTGGCTGGTGGATGCTGAGCAAGAGGATGAAGATGCCGAAGAAAGAAACCTGAACATCGAGGACTTCCTCGATTTCGGCGATGGCGGGTCGGAGGGGGAGGATGAGGCTGACAAGTCCGACGACGGCAACACCGACGCAACACCTTCGCGCCGCAGTTCCATGGCTCCCAGCGCTTTGAGCGATTCCAACACCGACGTCCATCCGCTTCTGAGCCACCTGACCAACAATGCGGATGCCGTCGGCGCCTTCCGGCGGAATCAGGTCAACCAGCAGCTGATATTGAACGGGCAAGCAACACAGGAGTCTCTTGCTTTCTCAAACCCGTTGTATCATGGCACTCTTCGTGGTATCAAGCACGGCAGTCTGGGAGGCGCAGCTACTCCTCTGACACCGGAACGTCGTCACAAGAAGGTCATGGCAAAGAGCCCCTCGGAGGCTGTCATGCAAAAGCGCAAGGCTTCTGGTCCAGCTGCCGACATCTCTCAGGCCCATAAGAGGCAGCGCAGTATTTCGGACGTGAGGACGATGCACCTCTGAGCGCTACCATGGACAGAGCAGTCCCAACTGCTCTCCCCGTAACGACATAAAATACGCTCATGGACGGCATGGCTGCGTGGTCAAATCGCTGGAAAAGTTGACGAACCCCGCTGTCATCCCTGGCCTGATTTTCCCTTTCTTTCATGGGCGCCAATTCGTTCCCCATATCAATCTGCTTTCTCCTATGAACCTGTCCCAGAATCTCCTTGACATCGAGTCCTGTTTTCTTGCAATGCTCTCTCGAGCTGCAGAGCCATTGTGGCGCCTCGCACTCGCTCGCACATTCAGTCGGCTTTCCTAACTGTCGCTCGATCTATTGCAATCTCACGTTCCATCAAAACCCACCAGTGCTTGAAAAGCGCAGACATCAACAAAAGTTTGGGAGGGTCTAGACAAAATAGAGGTCATGACGGCTAGATGCACACGGACAGCGGTCTGTGTTTAATGTATGCTACCATCATACTATCTGCTGTGCACGACAAGGACTATGAAACGGCTGCGGCCTGGATGGGATGGATACGGTGCTCGAAAAAAAGGCTTGAGAAATACTATTCCAAAAGCAATGAAAATTCATTTACTACTTAGCTGGCTGAATTGTTGCCGTGCGATTCGATCATCAGAAGACGCTGGCTGGGCCAAAGGTGTATCTGAAATTGTACGGTCATCCCTCAGCATTCACACAAGGCAAGACCAGTGAGCTCCTTGGCTCCTGGTCTCAGAGAGTTCCGAACTACAGGCTGACTCTGGAGTTGAGCAACAGTACAAGTATATTTTGTCTCATTCAGAGCCGTACCTAGGTAGGGTCTTTGAGCTTCCATGTCCACAACCACACAGGGCTTTATCCTAATCCATATTGGACTAGGTACTGGCCAGCATTTGCCAGTCGACTCCGTAAGTGCCTAAATAGTTATCTTGCAAGTCTGCAAGAAGAGGCCGGGCACCCTCTCTCTCCTTCCTGAACGCATCCCACCACCTGGGGTCTGGCCCCAGAAGTGGCTCATGCCCACCAGACACCAAATCCTTATTGGCCCAACGCATCAGCCTGCCAATCACGAAGTCGTCCAACAGGAATATGCTATTGATGACAGTCCCGGGCAGCAACCGGTCCTTCCTGCGCCTCTGTTCCGCCCGCATCTCGGCTTTTGGGGGGAGCCGGACTTTGCCTGAGAACACGACAACGAGGACCTGGGCCTGGAAGTCGTATAGTGAAAAGGTCGATGCGAAGTGAGAGACGCCTATGAATGCGAGAGTTGGGTCGGGGATGTAGAATATGTCTTCGTGTAGATTGTGAACCGTCCTGCCGTCGGCAGTAGTGACGACCGTTTCGTCTGCGTCTTGCAAGGCTGTAGTATCCGGTTGTTGTAGCAAGGGACCAAGGAATGGAAACACGGTCAGGTAGCCCGTCGCAATTATGACATGGTGGATTTCTTCTATGACCCGACCATCTTGAAGGCGTGCCTTCCCTGGAATGGGCCTGTCATCATCTAAAGTCGTCGGGCCTAGCGTGCGTTGAGCCACGTTGCCGCCCCCGAGAGTAAACTCGGCGACCATGGCCACTTTCTCGGCATTTTCGTGATTCACTTTGTCTCTGAAATCAGCTCTGGTGTCTCTGGCGCTCTGGTAAACCCGGGCGCCGTCCTTGACAAGCTCGTTTGCGATCTCCAAGGCCGAAATGTGCGCCCCGATGATCAGCACCGTTCTGCCACGGTAGGGCGCGGGAAAGCGGTATTGCTTTGCGTGCGTCACTCGGCCTGGGAATCTGCGCTTCCATGTGGAGAGTCCTGGTATGTCGGGCACACGCGGCGGGCCGTATCTGCCTGAAGCCACCACAACGGCGTCAAAGCTCCAGGACTCCTTGCTTAGTGTGTAGCTCGAGGAGGAAGCAGTCAGCTTCGAGGTCTGGATCTGCCATTTGTCGTCCTCGGCGCCCTTGAGAACCGATTCGACCTGCGTGCGGTAGAGAATTCTCTCCTGGACGTGATGAATCCGAGCAATTCGCTGAAGATAAGCGACCACGTCGGTATGATCCAAGGGCGCGCGTTTCCCCTCCGGCCAGTCCTCAAGCGAGGTGCGCATGATTCCCTCACTGCCCCGGCTCTTCATATTAGCATACACTGGGCCCGGTGGGTCGAATATTTTCAGCGCGCCCTCGAGGTCCAGTCCACTTGCTCGCAATTCTTCTAGTTCATGCCAGTCTGCGGCCGGTGGTCGAATGTTGGGAAACGGCGGGTCCCGATCTGCTTGTGGGCTGAACTTCCAGGCACCACCAGGACTGTCCGATCGCTCGAAAACAGTGACATTCATTCCAGAACGCAGCAAATGCGCAGCCGTAACGATGCCGCTGAGGCCGGCACCGATAACCCCCACTGTTCTGATACGAAGAGAAGACGGAGGCGTGCTCATAGTGTCTTTCAGATCATCGGCAAAAGGCTCTTGGGGCATCTTGTCATTATGGCATAAACTGTGGTGTGTGACGAAGTCTCGAATATCATCAAATGTTCCGAAGGAAACGTTGCTGTGTGCTTTGGCTAGAAGGGGGAGGGGCCGAAGGCGGGCCACCGAAGAGCAGGTAAGTAGTATCTTAGTAGACGGTCTGGGGGCCCTTCGGGGCTCTGAGCGGGGACCGGATAACTCGCCAGTGATGTTGTGTATTACTGCATATGTACTCTGCACGGTAGTCACCATTTATAGGGAATAATTGGCTCGGTCGAACGACCGACATATTGTTGGATCGCCACAAGAGCGAATTAGCCGCTGGGATCGGTTGTACTAACCTAAACCCTTATTAGTCGTCACCCCCTCAGATGTTCAGATTTTGACAATGGTTGTTGACTCCTCAACCCATTTTATGCTACTAGTTCAAGAATACGCAGCCCTCTGGGACACAATAGCGGAGTCCGTCGTGAATACAATGTCTGAGCTGAGATACGATCCTGAGTGGTACGAGCTCGCGAGATCGGTCTTGGAGAGTGCGCAGATGCGAGAATGTCTTCCACTCCACGACGTTGAGGGCCGGAGAAAGAAGATCGAGGCCAGGGTCAGAGCCAACCCCTTCACGCTGCCCGAAGATATTGAGCAGACCATCCGATATGCCCGCAGCCAGGACGGCCACGAGGTTCCAATCTACCATTACCGCAAGAAAGAACCCACAGGCTCACGCTCCTTTCCCGGCCCGGCCGTTGTGCACATTCACGGCGGCGGATACAACACTGTGAGCGCTGCAGATGTCATGCCAGACCTGGTACCCTATGTCACGGCAGGGGCCGAGATTTTGTCCATCGACTACCGCCTGGCTCCAGAGAACCCGTTCCCCACACCCCTCGAGGACTGCTGGGCGGCACTTGCATGGATCCGGTCCAGCGCGGCCGAGCTGGGCATCGACCCGAAACGCATCGCCCTGTTTGGCGAGAGCGCCGGCGGGGGGCTCGCCGCGGCCCTCGCGATGGTGGCGCGGGACCGGGGCTTCTCGCCGCCCCTTTCCAAGCAGATCTTGATCTACCCGATGATAGACGACCGGACGGAGACGGACCACACCGGAGGGCGCGACGTCTTCAACATGGTCGACAGGGTGACGAGCTGGGCGGCGTATCTCGGGGAGCTGCACAGATCTGGAAGGGTGCCGCCGTACGCAGCTGCGGCTCGGATCAGTGACGAGCATGTTCAAGGCCTCCCGCGTATGTATATCGACGTGGCACAGCTGGACAACCTCCTCTATGAGGTGCTCGAATACGTACAAAAATTTGTCAAGGCCGGTGTCCCCGTTGAATTCCATTTATACGAGGGCGTACCGCACGCGTTTCATATTTTTGCGCCGACCTCCAAAATTGCCCGTCGTGCGTTCGAGAACAGATTGAATGCAATATTAGATATTTAGATAAACGATTATTTCAAATTTCACGAATACTGATACTCAGCACCTAGATTGGTTCAGCTGTAGGGAAATACACCCTCTAATCCAGCTACAGTCACCGGCCCGATGACCTCTGCCCTTCGTGCAGTTGTTCCTCGCGCATCTCATCAGTTCTCATCCGGCACACTCAAACTTGGCCGCTGAGAATTCCATGAGTCGCAAGTTTCCTGCATAATCTGGGGTATCTGTGCATACTGCGCCTTGATTTCATCCGGCCGCTCCATACAGTTGACCAAGAGGCCGTCGGCCAGGTGCCACGGGATGTGACAGTGCAGCGACCAGATGCCAGGGTTGTCTAAGGTGTACTGAAACACGATGTGCCCGTTGAGCGGCATCATCACCGTGTCCCTGCGGATGGGGTTCTCTGTCTCCAGCGTCTTGCCGTCCCATGGGCCGTCCCCCGTGGCGAGCAGCTGGATGTCGTGGCCGTGCAGGTGCATAGGGTGCATGTTCTGGATTATGAAAGGGTTGTTCACTACGACGCGGACAGTCTTGTTGGTGCCAAAATCGTACACGCGGCTCTTTTGGCCGAATCTCTGCGCCGCGCCTCCTGGCTGCGCGTCGCGGAGGATCGGGCTGCTGTAGTTGCCTTGGTAGAAGTGCCGGCCGATCTGCACGACATTTTCGAGTTGAGTGTTCATCGTGAATCGGTACTCCAGCTTCTCGTTGATTGTGAAGAAGGTGAAGAACTCGATTTTGGTATCGGGCTCCTCGAGTGGCATGTGATAATACGGCTTGGTGATCTTCAGGTCGTCCTATAGTCACGGAGTATTAGAGCTTAGATTTAGCCCTATGGCCGGTATTTGACGGTCTTGGAACAATGCAAAGAGCAACTCACGTTCTGACAGTTGGTCAAATTCGCGTCCGCCGTTTGGCTCGTCGTCGGTTGAGCATTTGTATCGGCTCCGTCGTAATTCAAGGCCCCTAACATTTCCACCTGTTTCGTGAGGCTTGGAGGACAAAATACGACTTGAGCTCGCATCCAGAACATTTCGCCAGGATTTCCTGTCGCCTCGAAGACAACATCAGTGCGCTGGCCGACAGCGACTGTAACGAAATCAGTCTGGTATGGCTTAACCTGGACAAAATCATTGGCGATGACCATTAACTTGTGTCCATCAATACCAAACCTCTGGGTTGAATCACCACCGTGGTTAATCAGCCTCATCTTCACCCTTTTCCCTGTCAAATAATAGCGTTGGATGCTTAGTCTATTAGGCTAGCTAACGTCTATTCTACGGGAGGGAAGGCCCCTATTTATAGTTATTATCCTCCATACAGTGGCAAACATATGGGGAAAAGGATATCCCGTATTAATAATAGCCTAAATATCTAAAATATTCCAACAGCCCCCCTTAAACTAATTCCCTTTATTTATTTATTTATTATATATAAGGGATTAAATTTATAAAAAAGGAATATTCGCTATATAGTAAGAAAACCTTATAAAAAAGGAAAAAACTCACTTATATAAGTATATATATATATATATGTAGGTAAAAAACCTAAAAATTTACTATTACTTAAACTTAAACTTATAGCCAGTAGGGTATTACATATTAAATTATAGTTTTATATGGGATTCACTAGTTATTTTATAATGACTACAATATATCACGGCATTTTTATACATTAAAGTTACACATAATTTTATTTATATTATATACACTACAGAAATACGTTTTCTATATAAAATAAAACATATATAAACGCAGTATAAGTATATTATAACTATGTATATATATGGTATATATAGGCCATATAAGTAATACTTATTTTTCAAAAAAAAACCTTTATTATTTTAGTTATTTCTTTTAAGGGAAAACCTTTAATATTTAAGGTAATATTATATATATATATAATTAAGTCCGCTTTATTTATTTATATATTTTATAAATAAAGGAAAAAATCTTAACCTTAATTATTAAAAAGTAAACACCTTAATTTATTTTACGCATATTATAATATAAATAAAAAATCTCTCTATTCTTTAGCTTAATATTTTTATATTATTTTTTTATTAAACTATACTTTTCTTTAAACTCTTTATAATATAGTTTATTTATTAATTTTATAAGCCAATTTGCTAAATTTTACTTAAAATCTATATATTTTAATATTACTTTATTATTTTCTATTACTTTTCTTATATAAATATATAATATTTATATATTTAATTCTCTTATGAAATAAAGTATTTTTAGCTAATTTCTTAGCCCCATTATTATTTATATATATGGTAAGGAGCTTAAGATTAAAGCTAATATTTAAGTTATTATTAAAATATTCCAATAAATTATATAAATATTTAGCTTCTTTTATAGCTTCTCTTAAAGCTATATATTTTGCTTTCATAAAAGAAAGTGCTGGTATTTTTTATAGCTAAGAATTCCAGCTTATAAGGTTTATTTTATTATTATTATTATTATTAATATTATATAAGCTAAATATATAATTAAAGGTGCTCTTTCCAATAAATATATTATTACCCTAGTTTAAATTTATATAGCTTATTAATTATAAATTATTTCCAAAGTAATTATATACTTTAAATATATATAGGAATTTATATATATATCCCTATATTTTATTTAATTCTTTTATATGCTTTAATTTTAAGTTTGCTATATATTTAGCTAACTTATTTATAAAATAAGTTAAATTTAGCCTTATTTTTAAGCTAGCATATAATATAAAACCTATTTATTGCTAATATAATTCTATAATATTTTTATTAGCTTAATTAATATATTTTTTTAATTTTCTATTAAGGGTATATAGTATAAGTTAAGGGATTATTTCTTTTTTCTTAACCTTTTCTTTTATATTAAATCTTTTTAATATTTTATTTATATATTTATTTTAATTTATAATTATTTAATTATCTTTTCTATTTATATATATATTATTTTTAAGGAAATTTATTAAATCTCTTTAAAAATTTAGTTTTATATTCTTATATAATTTATTAATTATTAAATTTATATCATTATTATTAGGTTTTATAATAATAATATCATCCATATAATATATAAATATAATTTATTTATTAAAGTATATAAATACCTCTTTATTATATAGATAAATAATAAATCCTAGCTTAATTAATATATTTTTTAAGTATTTATATTAAAGCATAAGTAATTATTTTAACTTATATAAAGCTTTATTTAGTTTTATAACTTTATTTTTATATTTTAATTTATTATATATATATATAGGTAATTTTATATATATTTTAAAATTAATATTAAAGTATAAAAATGCGTTTTTAACGTTATAATTATATATATAATATCTTTTATTTATAGCTATTATTAATAGCATAATATAAGTTTTAAGGCAGCAAATTATAAAAAAAGTCTTTAAATAATTTATGCTTAATTTTTAATTATATCCCTAAATAACCTATTTAAATTTAAATTTAATATTATTTTTATTATTTATTACTTAATTAAGCTTTATAATAACTAAGTTATTTATAAATTTCTTTTTATATATGTATTTCTCCCTTAAAGCCATATAATTAAATAATAAATCCATTATTATATAAGTATTTTGTTTTTATAAACTATATATTTTATTTAGCATAAATTTAACCCATAGGGGTTTTTTTAAGTTATTTAATACTTCTTTTAAAGAAAAAGGTTTATTAATATTAGCTATAATTAAGCAGTATTTTAATATATTTTCTTAAATATTTAATATAAATATTTGGTTATTTAATAATATATCTTATATAATATATATATAATCTTTTAAATTCCCTTAAATTATTATTTTATTTAAAATAAAAAAGGAATTTTCTTCCCTTTATTCTTATAATTTTGGGAATATATATATATATATTATTATTATTATTATTATTATTATTATTATTATTATTATTATTATTATTATTATTATTATTATTATTATTATTATTATTATTATTATTATTATTATTATTATTATTATTATTATTATTATTATTATTAATATTATTATTATTTATATATTACTCTTTTAATATTTAAATATTTTAAATTAATATAGGCTTTTTATTATTTATATCCTATACTTAATATATATTTAATTTTAAGATTATATTTAATAATATGTTCTTTTTATTTTTAAGTTTTAATTTAATTTTATAATTATTATTTTAAAAATATATAATAAATCCCTATAATTTTAAGTTATTTATATAAGGCTTCTTTTTATTTATTACCTTATAAAAGTACTTATACCCCAAGCCTTTATAAGGTATAATATTATATAAATATATAGCATATTTTATTACTTTTCTTTATAAATATATAGGTAAATTTACTATATATAAAAAGCTTTTAACTTTATTTATTATAATTAAATTTAATTTTTTTATTAAGCTATTTAATTCTTTTATATATAAGGGCGTTATATAATAAGTTATAAAGTATTTATTTAATAAGATTTTAAATCTTTTATTTATATATTTTCCTTTATTATTAATAAAGAACTTTTTTATTCTTTTATTATATTTATTTTTTACTTTATTTTTATAATTATTAAAAGCTTTTAATGCTTTTTTTTTATTTTTAAATAAAGAAACTTTTAAATATTAAGTTCTTTTATTAAAGAATAATATATAATATTTATATTTATTATATATAGGTTTTAAGGAATTGCTTATATTATTATATACTCTTTTAAGTATATTATATACTTAGTTATTTAAGTTAATTTTATTTATTTTAATTATATGCTTAGCTTTTAAATATATTTTATAATTACTTATATATTTTTAAATAAGTTTATTTATTAATATATTTATTTTATTTTTTTAAAGAAATATTTCTAAGGCTTAAATATTTATATAGCTTAATTTATAATACTATTTATATATTTCTTTTTTATTTTTAATATTTATATTTAAATTTTATTAAGTTATATATATTTTTAAGGGGTATATTTAAGCTTATTTATTTATTTTATTATATTAATTCTTATAAAATATAAGCTATTTTTTTAATATTCTTAAGTTATTAGCTTATTTATTTCTTAAAAGTATAATTTAATAATATCTCCTTTTAATTTTAATTTAATTTTATTATTTATGCACTTATATTTAAATATATTTAAACTTAAAAAAGGTATATAATATATATTAAAAAATCTTTTTATAATATTTATTTTTAAAAAACTTAATTATTAAGTCCCTTATTTTATTTATAAATATAATATCTGCATTACTTTATTTCACGATTTTATTAATTATATATATAATATTAAAGAAATATATATTTTTAAAACTTATTATATTTATAATAATATTTACAGTTATTTTTATGAAATTTATATATTATTAATTTCCTATAGATTTATTATTATTAGCTGCTATTATTATTATATATATATATAGGGTATATATAAGGTTATTAATGCAGTATGGATAGGTTATGGTAAATCTATGGTGAATTCGCTGTGAATTCACGGGCACCTGTGAATTCATGATACTTTTATGGTGAATTTACCGTGAATGTATGGTTTTACGGTGAATTTATTATGTATATATTTAAATAGAGAAATTCCTTGCGAATTTACCTTAAATTTACAGGGGATATTAAATTTTAAACTTTTGTTTTTATTATTATAATAGCTATAATTATATGCTTTAGCTATATGGTTGCCTTATAAAAGGATTAAGTAAATTATAATTATTATTATTATAATATTATAATATTTATAAATTAAGTTATAAGATTTTTAATAATTAATAAGTTAAATAAGTATTAATTTAAGCTTTTTTAAATTATTAAAAAAAATAAGGTTTATTATAAATTTATAATAAATATATTATAAATAAAATATAAATTTAATATATAATTTCTTTTTATATTTTTATTATTATTTTTTAATTTTTAATTAATAAAAAAATATTAATAATTATTTTAATTATAAATAATAATTTTTAAGTAAGTAAATATTTTTTTATTTATTATATTTAAAGAAATATAAAGTTTATTAAATATTATAATAATATTTATTATTTAATAAATTTTTTATAATTATTATATTATTATATATAATTTATTAAAGTTATAAAATCTTTAATTTAAAGTAATTAAAAATTAAATAATAATAAAAAGAAATATTTTAATTTTAAGAAATTAAGTATTAAGCTTAACTTTTTTAAAAGTATTTTAA